CTCAGTCTAGCTACCCATCCAGGTGCGCGCAAAACGACGGATTGGCGCAATGCACTGATGCCCCGCGACATCACACAAGTCCGATACCCTCCGCGTCCAAGGTGAATTGAATTGCCTTGTATCCATGTCGTCTCGGGCTCGTATTTGCTCGGTAGTGTGTAGTGTAAAACATGACACCAGACCCTACTGGCACGGGCGTCGTCGTCGTCCGTCTCCCGGCTGCGAGATAGCCGAGAGCCCAGGGGCACCACCACACCGTGCACTCTGTTAGTGCCCGCCGTTGCACCGCTAGTCCGCTAGCCAACAATGCAGCTAGCGGGCGGCCGACTGGCCTGTTGTCCCCACTCCATCGGCCGTGGCCGCCTGTCGTCGACTCCGCGGCGCCGTCCGGAGGGAGAGTGCACAGAGCCCCATTCCCCTTGCGCAGCCACAGAGAGCCGTGGGGGGCCGCCTGTCACTGGAGCCGTACCGACTTGATACTGTACAGATGTACCCCACGTCTTTGGACTCTAGGCAGCACAGCGCAGTCGAGTTACATGCCTAGGTACTTACTTACCTTGCACATGGCATAATTACACCATACATGCTACCTAATACATCACGTACATCACGCAAGAGCCCTTCCCATCATGCGGGTCGCTGCCGAAGCGGCGTGCCGGCATGGCGGTAGCGACAAAGCAACAACAGCAGCGGCAACAATGAGAGGGCGCACGGCAAACAAACAGGATGAACCTCTCATCAGCATCGCCCGTTTATAAACACACACACACTCGCACACTCGCACACTCGCACACACGGAGTGGGGCCCCCAATGGATGGATGCGGGCGTCATCATCCTCGTCAGCACCACCCGCATTTCCCACTCGCTGAACCCTGGGCAGCAAACCCCCTAGACCGTGGCCCGCCAGCAGCGACTTGCCTAAAGAAAAATCGGCCGGTGGGTGGCCCTTGGCACTGCATGGCCTCAGGTAGCGGAGGCCCGTTAATTTCGTTTGCTTTACGGATACGCATCGTCTCTTGCTCCTGCCACCCCCTTTTTTTGCTGGCATTCAAGTGCATAACGCAATGCATGCATGTCAGAATATGTATGTACCTGGATCATGGACTGCATGGTGTGTGCTTCTTCCCGCCCTCTCCCGTTAAGCGTCCCTTACCTTGACATTGATGAATTCACAAACGGCATGCTATCTATCGCTCTGTTTTTGTGTAAAAGACGAATTCTTATATGCATGTGCGTGTACGAAGTATGCTCAAGAGGCACTCAATATGCATCATGCGCAGCTGTCGTGCTCCGAAGGCGTATAACACGGTGCCCGCCTGGCTTCTCCATCCCTCAACAAGGGCCTTTGTTCTGTGCGTAAAGGCCGTCAGGGGGGGGATCCTTGCTTGGCCCAGCTGCCCCATTGGGAAGTGCGTGCCAAAAAGCATGCATCTCCGCATTCGTCCCGGCCTCCGGAGCGGCCTCGCGTTGATTCTGCACCGTTGCGCATGTCGACGCCACAAAGTGGCCCCCCTGGGAACCATGAAAAAAGAAAACAGGGCCAAAAAAAGGAAAGGAATCTAAATCCAAGACATGGCCGGGGGGGCGGGAGGACGAATCGCAAACGCCCGGAGAGCAAGGGGGGATCCCAGCAGGACGCACGGATCATGGCGTCAAGCCTTTGGACGGCTTGCCTTTTTGCGGGCAAGGGTGGGCGGAGAGGTCAAGTGTCAGTCAGCCAGCCCTGTGGCCAGGCAGGAGGCACAAGAAGAGTGAGAGCAGGAGGAGTAAGCAAGTGACCGAGATCTGCCTCGAGTCTGCGGGCCGGATCATCACACGCGCACACCCGCCACACGCTCTCACATGCCCATACATAGCCTATAGGTATCAGCCCCCCATCCTTGAAGGTGCAGTGGGTGTAGCGCCGAGCAGCGCCGCGCCGCGCCGCAGCAGCCGGCAAAGCACTGTCGAGTGAAATTGGGCACGGAGTATACGGAGTATACGGAGTGCAGTATAGCCATGGTAGGCAAGCCAGCACAAGGCATTCTCGATGACAGGGAAAAGATACTGCGATCCTGCAGTAGCCACACATCCCAGCTAGGCAGTCGGTGGCCGGCGTGGACAGCAGACAGTCTCTGCCGCTTCCCCCTGCTCGGGGAGGGGAGGGGGGGCGCCCCATGGCGGGGCTTCGGCCACTCTGCCATGAATGATCAAGAGAGAAGAGGACGACGAGGGAAGCTGGACGTGGAGCTTCCATCCTCTCCCCCCCACCGAGTCCAACGAACCCCAGAGGCGTCCGGGCCTCTCCACTCCCACCCCCGCTAACGCCTCTGTCTCTGTCTCTTTTCACTACCAGGTACAGTAGACTAGTAGACCCTCTCAGAGGACCCGGGCGGCCAGGCCCAACGCCCATAGCCTGCTCCATCCATAGCCATGTCGGCGATAGGAGAGATGGGGGCGATGGAGGCGCACGCACACCCGTTAGTCCAGCCGCCGCTAGCGGAAGGCCCCATCTCCGTTCTTTTCATCGAGTTTTAATCTTTTTTCTGCCAGAAACGGTCTGTGTCTATTCCGCCTTCTCTTTATACCTGTGCTCGTCGGTCTGCTGCGCGCGAGAGAGAGAGCGCGTGTGGTGCGGATGTGCCCCGTGGCCGGACGCACTGATGATCAGTCTGACACCGGGCCCAGAGGTTGCAAGAAGCACAGAGCCGGAGGAGGCTTATCCTCGGGCAGCGTCCGCATCTTTTGGTTGCCGCGGAGAGCAGTGGCCTTGTCTTCCACGGCTCTGCCACCCTATTTGTACCCTTCGTCACCAGATGGAGTACATCTTCGTACTTGGGCACACACACTGGCTGGACACCCCGGATATTTTCATCTATTCGTGCATTCGCCTTACAGCACTGGACAGAAGTCTGCGGTGCTAACGACGATACTGCAGCGGCAACCCCCCACCCCTCTGAAGAGGTCCAGAGCTCAGAAAGGGGAAAGGGGGGGGGGGGGGGGGCGACGCACGCACGCACGCACGCACGCACGCACTCCTGAAGCCGTTCCGTCCGTCCCGTCAGCTAAGTAGGTAAGTAGGTTAAGGTAGGTAGGTAGCTTCTGCGTCGCGGCGGCGCTCCAGCTCCTAGGCGCCGACGCTTTTTCCGTCGCCATTCATTGCCTCTCTGCTCGTCGATATGCCAACGGCCCCGTCTTCTAGAATAGAATAAAAAGTTACATACATACACAGCATACATACGCATGTACAGTACAGTAGGGGCTCTGCATCCTCACTGGCCCTCGGAGCATTCTCTCGACTCCATGTAACCAAGTGGCGCCCTTGGTTCGTCAGGGCCCGGAATGCGCCCTAGCGCCGCCCCCTGCTCTGTACTCCGTACCGGCGCTTGTACTGGGCAGTGGTTGTCTCGACAGCCCGAGGCCGTTGCCGAGCCAGGTAGCCGCTACTTTGCCTCTATTTTGGCCGCCAGCCCCTGCAAGCCACAGCCTCGGCAGGCTGGATTGGCCCTCTCCCATCTCCACGTCTCGTCACCGGTACATTGCCCGTGACGACTTTTTATTCTTCCTTCTCCCTCTCCACTCTCCACCTCCACCTTTTTCTTGCCCACTCACTCCACTCCACTCCTCCTCGTCCTCCTCGTCCTCCTCGTCCTCCTCGTCCTCGTCCTCGTCGACGCCTCGGCAGACGCTTGATAGGGGCTGTTCTTTCCCCTTTATGGAAAAGCACAGAGGCAGAGAGGGAGGTATGGAGGGGGTGGGATGCCAAGGGGTGTCTGCAGGAGAATCGCCTTTGGCAAAAGGCCCTGTCCCTGTCTTTGCTGGCTCCCGCGATCTCGTGCGATTGCCTAGTCAATCACCCGTCCCACGACGCTGTCGTCAGGAAAAGCTGATCTCGCCCCCAACGCAACGTCCACCTGCCATACGTGCATAGATGGAAGCTCCTCAACGTAGTCTGAACTCGACGGCATCGCAAGGGGACAAGCGAGCAGGAGAGAGACACGGAGAGCGAGAGACACGGAGATCGAGAGACACGGAGAGTGAGAGACGTCAAGGCCGGTTCCAGAGCCGTCTGCTTGCTGGGGGCCCTCAGTCCTCCTTCCGAGAAGGGCCGCATGCACGGGCAGGCCCTGGCATTCGCTTCAAAGGGCGCGGGATGGGGAGGGGCTAGGCGGGCGGGCGGGCGGACGGATGGAGAGGCACGACAACGACAGAGAAGAGGCCCTTTGCCTCGAATCCAAGGCCCGTTCCCCCATCAAGCATGGGTGCACAGTACTTGGCGCGCAGTGTACGGGGCACAAGCAGTCACACGCTCGCCCGGCCCACGCCTCGGGTTCCTCGTACACAGGCCTCGCTCCGGGGGCCCGTACTCTTCGTAGCTCGACGCCGCTAGAGAGGGCCTTACGTGCCTATAACGGAGGAACCCCATCAAACGTGCTCTTCACTAGCTCCCGTTCCTGGACGTTATCACCGGCCCCGTCCCCAAACCCAAATCTACGTATCCGCCCCCGGAACATGTGCCGGACCTTTTTTTATTTTTTTGTATTTTTTGTATTTTTTTACCGTTGCCACACCCCTCCTCCATCTGCCGTTCTGGGGCTCCTCCATTCGGATGCCCCAGAGAGAGAAAGAGCGAAGCATTACAATACATACAAGTACATGTGCCCGCGACCTCGTCCGTGATTTGCCTCTCCGTAGTTGCCTTGCCTCTTCTCCTTTCCCCATCACCACCAAAGCCATCTTCTTCCATCATCACCACCATCACCATCCCCATCCCCATCCCTATCCCCATCCTCAACCTACGTCGAGTCGGCAACTGCACTGTCAGAAATAAGTTGTCGTCGTCTAGTTTCTTCGACGAAGCCTTGGCTGCTCAAGTAAAGAAGAAAGGGACACCAAAGCCCAAGGCCGACTTCCCCTTGTGCTTCTCTTCGAGACGAGTGGCCGCCCGTAACCGGAGAGAGACAGAGCCGCTTCGCGGAGACATGAACGCATGATGACCACCGCAGCATACCCGGCGACCATGACGGAGCTGAGGGGCGAGCCCGCCCATTCGAGCATCTGGTCCAACTACGGCTCGACTCACCTTCCTAGCAGGCTCGGCAGCGCCATGGACTCGCCCTTTCACGCCTCGTCGGCCGCCCGCCCCCGGAGCGGACACGGGAGCCTCGATCATCACCAGGCCTACCCCTACCGCGCATACTCCCAGGACGAGCCCAGCCCCTACGACCGCCACCCGAGCTACTCGAGTCTCAAGCGCTCTTTTTCCCAGGCCGAGCCCCCTGCCTACCAGGAGATTGTCCAGGATCTTCGCGAGGACGGCTCGCGCCTCACCGTCAACCAGGACCACAAGCTGCTGGCCTTTCGCCGCGCCCAAGACAAGTCGACCGTCGTCGACCAGCACGGCCGCGTCCAGCAGCTCGAGCTCTCGGCCCAGCTCCACGGCATGTTCTTCCTCTCCGAGATGCCCTCCAACGCCAGCGACGGCTCCGTCATCCAGCCCGAGTTGACGTGCTATCGCCGCAACCTCTTCCAGATCAGCGGCTCCCTCGTCATGCCCCGCGGACAGCTTTCCGTCGTAAACGACGCAAACGAGACGGTCCCCGTCTCCAACATGGAGGTGGCCATTTCCGCCATCGAGTCCGTCGACGGCAACTCGATCCGCCTCATCGTCATCCCCTGGAAGACGCCCCCGCCAAACTCTCCCGAGATCAACCAAGCGGCCGACCAGGAGCCCCCCACGCTACCCCTAATCCCCTTCCAGGACGACGGCGCAGACGCCGATGGCGAACTCGCCGTCTACCCCATCGGCTGGCGGCGCCTGCAGTTCAGAGTGTAAGTCGATTCGTCCGGAATCCGCCTTTTCCTTTCATCTCGGTGCGCTCGTCGCTCAACTATTTTCTCGCAGAGCCACGGCAAACAACGGCCGGAGAAAAGAGCTCCAGCAGCACTTTGTCCTGCATCTCAAGGTGCTGGGCACCCTAGCCGACGGCTCTAAGGTGGTCCTCTCCGAGTCCACGACGGCCCCCATCGTCGTGCGAGGCCGCAGCCCCCGCAACTTCCAAGCCCGCAAGGAGATTCCCCTGCTGGGATCCAGCGCCGGCTCCAGGGGCCAGGCCTTGGTAGAGACGGGCTTGGGCGTCGTCGCCAGTGCGCTGAGCTTGCGGCAAGACACCAAGCCAAGGAGCATGGACATGCAGGTCCCTCGCTCATCCTTTACCTTTAGCCCGCCAAAGCCCCAGGGCAACACGCTGAACTCCCTCCGATCAAAGTGAGTCGCCTTCTGCCCCTATTCTTACCCGTAAAGATGACTGATGGACGGTCGCAGCTCCTACCCATCGTGGAACTCGCAGGTTTCCGCGTCCAGCCCAGGCGCGTATCCGTCGACGTCCATGGCGGCCGACTCTTACCCCAAGCTGCCCTTGTCCGCCGCATCCGGCTACACCACTGAGCCGCAGGAGATGCCGCTCCACACATCCATAGCCCCTTCGATCCCGCTGCCGCTGCCGGCCAACGACCAGTCTCAACCGTCTCTACGCTCCCAATACTCCTACACTACCTCGGCCCCCCAGCTACCCGGCAGCAGCGTCGCCATTGGCAGCGCGGATAGCGCCTTTAGCATGCCTCGCTACGTCGACAGCAACCCCCGGCCGTCCAAGAGCCCGCGGCAGTCGGGCCATCAGTCCGTGCACAGCTCGGGCTCCATCACCAACACGGACTCGTCGTCGGACTACCGGTACGGGTCGTACCGGGGCGCCAACAGCGGCGGCAGCGATGCGTCGCAGCCGCAGACGTATCCTCCCCCGAGCTCCTGGACGACCACGTCTTCCGAGCAGACCTCCAGCCTGGCGTATGCGGCCCACGACGGGCGGTCTTACTCCTTCTCGCACGAGCCTTACAAGAGCGGATCATTGGCGATACCGCCTCTCAAGCACGAGCCGGCGTCTTCCAGTGTCTACAGCGGAGGCTCGCGAGGCTCCTTTGACACCATGAACAACTATTCCTGGAGCGCAGCCTAAAGAGTAGTCCCCTCAGCCTCCGTCGCTTCAGCTCAGATCACCCCGTACTGGCTCGTGCATCCATGGCCATTTTACCCCTGGGCTTGGGGCAACATTCAAAAAGTTGGCACACTTTTCTTCGTTTTGGTTGATATTGTACAACAATTCCTTCTTGTCTCTCTTGCCACGTATGGACATTCGACAGGGCGAGGTGTCAGAAAACATATTCTAATCTCGCCTGCTATATTTGACTTTGTTTCTACGGGGGAGGCGCTCATCACGGGGACGGTCGTGATGTTATTCGATTTCGTGTACCCGGCACCCAGAGGCCAACGGAGGCACGTCGTCTTGTCATCCGGTGTGGGAGCTTCCGGCAAGCCGCGTTCCGGGTCACGACAACTGGCAGGCAGGGGGCGGTTGGCTCGATGTGCAAGATGCAGGCGTGAGGGCGCCGTTGTGATTGGAGCTCATCAAGTGGGACGAGGCGCCAACGGACCAGGATGCAGCTGCGTGCATTTTGGGCTGCGAGACAGACAACCGCACGAAGCCGGGGGAAGCATGCTCTTATGTGGCCCGTCTGATTTGGACAAGTTGCGAGAGGGCTTGCGCCGCGTGACGCGCGCCTCGACGAGTCACGGCGCGAGAAGCAGGGGAACCGACAAAAAGCATGTCCTTTGCTCTGGTCGTGCCATGGCCCCAATATTATTCTCTCGGACCTGCAGCGGCGGCGTGCTTGCTAAGAGAAGGAAAAGGCCTCGAGTCGATCCTCTTTCCCCGTTTTTCTAGTCTCGCCTCTTATCACGAGGTCATTGGGATACTTTGTCTTGTTTCGGCCGTTGCCCGTCGCACAGCAGATGACTGGATCCATTTTCGACGGGGCCCCGCCAACGGGAAGACGTCGCAGCTGCCTGGCTCTACAGCTGGAAACATGCCGGCGCCGTCGGTGACGGGTGAAAGATGTGCTGAGGAGTGGGTTGCAGTGTGGGGATGGCGGCAATCGTTGAGCGTGCTGCGAATAACAAGAGGGCCATGAGTCGATGGCATCTGCCCAAGTTGGGGCGTTTTTTTTTTACACACATAGTACTACTTGGGAGATTTGGGAGGGAGAGGCTATCGTGTGAAGCATTTTGAACTCCAAGAGGAAGGTGGGCGAGCCGGTGTTTATGGAATGAATTCTTGTTGCCTCGACTGTTATATGCTCTTATTACTGGTAGCATGTTGTACTGTGTGGTGGCAGCGTCGGTAAATATTGAAATATTCACGGTGCAACGGATTTCAGGGCAATATATCCAGTATCGGATGTACAGTGAGACTCGTCCTGGCGCTATTTGTCGTGATGTTTGATTTTCCGGTTGAATCTGCTGCCAAGTGAGTCTCTTCATTGGCGTGCGTACAGTGTAGCGGCGGCTCCGAGTCCTCGTACCTCGGCGAATATGAATGCCGAGACCAGTACTTGACAGCACAGTGCCAGCTCCATACCGTAGAAGCTGCAGAACTTGCGACGGTGTTGCCGATAAGACAATGATAATGATGAAGATAAGATAAGATAAGATAAGAACCTCTCGCCCGAAATGGACCTCCGCTGATTGACCTAGAGTCTCTCATTCCGTCCGCATCTTGGCCACCCGTGAGCTCGTCCCAACCGTCGGGACAGCAGCTGCTCTCACTCAATATAAGCGAGCGTAGCTAGAGCCCTCTTGCATTCCCATCCGCGCCAAGAAACTGGGAGCACGGACGCCATGTTCGATTTGCCGGATGCCAAGAGGTTTGTCCTCATCCTTTGGACCCATGCTTGTCCCCTTGGCTGGGCTTGATGCTGACCTGTAAACAGAGTGAGACGCGAGGATATCAATGAGTCACTCGGGTCGGGCTGGCTCAACAGCAGTGACGACGAGGGCATCGATGGAGAGCTGCACGCGCAAATTGGAGAAGCGCTGGGCCTGAATTTGGGCATCTTGTCGCCACCAAGCCCTTCCCCCAAGGAGATTCGCGCCAAGAACGAGGCGTTCAACTCTCGACCATCGGGCGACGCTCAAGCTCGAGGCGAGACCGTTGCTGAAGAAAGCCAAGATGAGGATCTGGGTGAATTCGAGTTTCGGCTCTTTAGCACGGCGGGATCCAAGGCCAGGGTTGTGCTACAATCGGAGAACGAGGCGCAGGGCGAAGGCAGTATCGTGGCAAGACGGCCGTCGTCATACTACCTTGTCCCGAGACTCCCCACAGAGCTGAGGCGGCAGTATAAGTTTGCGGCGCTAAGCGGCGAGGACGTGCTGGCGCGGTCCCAGCAGAGGTCATGGGGCCTCGAGCTGCCTTGGAAGGTGACACACATCACCGCCGCCGCCACCGCCTCCTCTCCGAATGCGAAATCGACTTCCGCAACAGGCGCGGTGGCGGAGAGCAGCGAGTCGGCCGGGAGAAAGCGGCCGGGGAAGAAGACGCGGATCGCGCTGCGGAAGAGGGACCGGGCGAGGAAGCTGACGGAGGAGAAGCAGATGGATAAGGAGGAGCACCTCAAGGATAAGAAGAAGAGGCTGAATAGGGCGAAGAAGCTGAGGAGGAGGGCCAAGGATAAGGAGAAGAAGGCGTCGGCGGATGGGGGCGGCGCGGAGGGGAGTGAGTCGGACGACTCTGAATGAAGAGGCCGTTGGCAGTCTACCAAGACTCTTGTGTCTTCTGCTAGCAACGGCACATGTCGCGGCCAATGAGCGGGCGGCTCCAGCACAATGTACCTACCACCCTGTCCTAGCGCCCTACCGCCTAGCGCCCTACCGCCTACGGGCCAGGTACCGCAGGATCGGTCCGCTTAAGGTACGAGGTAACTAATAGTTAGGTACTGTAGGTACAGTAGGTAGGTAGGTAGGTAGGTAGTGAGTTGGTCGGCAAAGACCCCTCCACCTCCCTCAGCCAACCTGCCGCCTTGACGCGCGTCAGCTCGAAGATCAACAACCGCCCGCAAACCAAATCGCAAGCCGCAAACCGACAACTAGACGGCATCAATGGAGTGAACCCGGCAGAGGAACCGACCTTCGGCTACGGCCCCCACCCCACCATGTGCCACCAGGGAAGGGCATCCCTCATAGCCTGACCGCACCACCACCATGAACAGCCTGTGGCCCTCGACCAGGGCGGCGCCTCAAGAGACGGGCCCCGACGATGACGCCGCCCCGGCCGCCACGCCGACCGATGATGTAGCCGACACCGGACAAGTCGCAGATGTCGGGCCCGGACCCGGCGCCGATGAGCTCGAGAAGCCTCCCGTGCCGCCCCCTCCCCCACCGCCGCCGACGCGCCCCGGGCTCGCGCGCAATGCCCTCCAGCCGGGGCCTCCTCTTCCGCCGCCGCCGCCGCCGCCGCCACTGACGGGACCTGCGCATGGCCGGGAAAGACAGCAGCAGCAGCAGCAGCAGCAGCAATATCAACAGCAACAGCAGCAGCAGCAGCAGCAGGGAGTCCCCGCGCCGACCGACTCCCTGTCGCTCCTGCAGCTGCGCCGCATCGTCGCCGAGGTGAACCGCGCCGAGCCCGTAGCCTACGACTTTGTCTACTCGGACATGGGCCCGCACACGGACGAAATTGACGAGTGGTTCGCGTACCAGTTTTGGCAGTGGGTGCGGCTCAACGCGGCGCAAAAGGCCTTTGAGTGGCACCTGAATCACGAGTCGGCGGCAGGCGGCGGCGGCGGAGGCCACGCGTGGGAAGACGCCGACAACGACACGCGCGCCAGGTTTGTCCAGGCCGCCATTTCCGGCGTGCAGTCCAATGACGCGGCCCTGCGGTCGGCGTCGATTGGCAAGCTCGTCTACCTGGTGCTCGGCCGGTGGGGCGACACAGCCATGCCCAGCTTGACGGGAGCAGGCGCCGGTAGGTCGGTGGCTAGCGCGTCGCAGCTGCAGGCCATCAAGGCTGGTGTCGAGTGCCTCACTTCGCTCGAGGGCTTGCCTGTCATTTGGGAGGCGCTGCGCAACTGCTTTGAAGTGCATTGGTACGGCCTCGTCCAACTTTCCTCTGGTCTCTCCCTTGGACAAGAGACGACTGGAGCCTCAGCTGACGGATTTCAGGTCTGGCGACATCCAGCAGCAGACAAGCCCTCAGGAGGCTCAGGACGAGCTAATGAATCTCATGACGATCATGTACATTACCATTCAGGAAACACTCAACGACCCGGACGACATGTCTTCTTCGTACGGAAAACTACGTGAGTCTGCCATGCCCTCTGCAGCGCCCGTCTTTCGTTACCGTCACTGCTGATACTGGACCAGTGGAGCTGAACCCTTCACTTGTCGATGTCATGCTGACGGCGACATCCAAACTCCGCTGGGACGAACAAAACGCCATGCCCCATACTCAGGTGAGTCGTGCGGTTTGCATTATGTCATGGCGGCTGTCGACTGACCTCCTGGCAGATCTTCCTGCTCTTTTGGAAATCCATCCTGCTTGTTTTTGGCGGTACCAAGGAGCTCGAGAATCTGAAAAAGGCCACCAGCGAGGTGGCCGCCGACGGCAAGGACAAGGAGACTATTACGGCGTCACCCTTGGACTACCACGCGTTCCGTCAAGAGATCGCCTCCAAGTACCCGGCATACGTTCCTCCGCAGCCGCTCATCCCCCTCGAGGCGGACAACAACTCCCTCCTCCCTCCGCTGCCGAATCAGTCGTCCAGAAACAATGCATCCAGCGGCATCATCCCCACGCCAGCCCATGCCCAAAGCGGCGGCGCCTCCATTCTTCACCAACCAGTCCACATCGCCACTCCTGCCCCGTCTCCGCCTCCCTCTCCCGGTGTTGGAGGGAAAGGCGGCAAGAAGCAAAACTACCAGACGAACCAAAACTTTCCCTTCATGTATCCGCCCCTCGACGCCACCAGTAACAGCGCCGGCGGCAAAGGCATGGCCGGTATGCACGATGCGGCAGTCAGCAGAAAGTGGGAGGGCAGCGACATCCCGGCCTCGATCCTCGAGGCGGGCGAGCTCTTCTCGTCTCGCGTCCGGATGAGTCGCGCGACCCGGCAGCTGTGGGATGAGCGCGAGCGGTTTCTCAAGTACGAACGCGGCTGGGACCTGGAGAGCGACGACGACGAAATCGACCCTCTTGACCTGGACGAGTTGACGTTGGAAGAGAAGCAGGTCCTGCAGGAGCTCAAGGCCGAGGATAGGAAGAAGAACTCGCCGCCGCCGCCAGAGATGGAAGTAGATTTTGGCCCGAGACCCGACCGGCTGACTGACAGAGACAAGCAGAGACTGGTTGCAGTAGAGAGATTCTACGTGAGCAGTCTCTCCCTCCCCTCGGCTCCACATATTGGACCCCTACTGACGTGTGTTTCTCGGCAGAAAGAAGCTCTACCCCATCTGCAGTCGCTAGTGATTGTCCTGCTGCGGCCGATCCTGGTTAATGTGACGGCCATCGTGACCCAGCAGGCGGCGCAAATGTCCAATGGGATGGCTGGTAGGGGCGGCAACCCAGGCATGAACGGCGGCGGCCCGGCGATGCATAGGGGACCGGACACAGGGGCCCACATGGGCCGCGGCGACGAGCCAGAGCTGTCCCCCGAGGAGGTCGATGCCGCGAGGACGCGCGAGATCACGGCCAAGGCCATGACGGGCATTCTTGTCCTGTTGCTGAAGTGGCTTAGAGTCTCTCGTGAGTTTTGTGGCCTGCAGTGAGCGTTTGTCGGCAGCTAACAGCGATGTACGCAGACGTTCTCAAGTTTGAGTATTTAACCCAGCTCCTCCTGGATTCTAACTACATCCCGCTCGTTCTCAAGCTCTTTGCGCACCAGGACATCCAGCAGGTGGTGGACAGTAAGATGGACCGCGTCGAGAATAGGTGAGAGGGCTTGTCCCCCGCGGCTGTGACAAGAGGTCTGACTCGGACAACAGCTTCTTTCAGTTCTGCAACCTGCGCTCCAAGTTTAAGGATAAGATGGAGAGCGACCTGGAGAACGAGGACGAGGAGGATGAGGGCGGACCAGGAGAGCGGCACGCGGGAGATGAGCTAGGCGCCGGCGACGACAGCGATGACAGCGCAGCGCCGGCCCCCATTAAAAGACGACGGTCACCCGAAGAGTCAGAGAGAGAGGGCGAGGAGGACGCCGACGGAGACGCGGGCAGTGACGGGCAGGCGTCGACGCGGCCCGAGGTGGACGAGCTCGGATACCCGGTCAATCCGCTGCCGGCGGAGCCCATCACGGACTTTTCGCGGCGCAACTTCTTCTCGCTCACCAACTACCTGCGGGTGATGCAAAAGATATGCAAGAACAAGGCGCACCGCAACCTGCTGCTGGTGCAGTACAAGTCGTCGACGATATTGCGTAAGTCGCTGCGGATCCCGCAGGAGGAGCTGCGGCTATACACGCTCAAGCTGTTCAAGAACCAGGTGCCGTACTGCGGGCGCAAGTGGCGGCAGAGCAACATGCGAGTCATCACGGCCGTGTACCTTCACTGCCGGCCGGAGCTGCGGGACGAGTGGCTGGCGGGCAGCGACGTGGACGCCGAGGTGGAGGGGGCGCTGCCGCTGGAGCAGGGCCTGCGGAGCCTGACGCACTGGCGCAACGTGCGGCGGTACCCGGACAGGATCGCGGCCGACATCCGCACGGCGATGCGCGAGGAGCAGGATTTCTTTACGCGCGAGCTGGAGAAGCTGGATGTGAATTGGGCTGACATGGGGGCGGACGATGGTGTGGGCGAGCCGGAGCACGTCGAGGGGTGGGCGTGACGGTGGTATTTATGACAGCGCAGTATGAGCAGGCGAGTGAGGAAGATGTCATCATTATCCAACGTTGCGGCGCCTGGCATCGCACCGTAATTTCATAAGATATGTTTAAAAAACAAATGTCTTGTACATCAAGAATTCGCAGCCGCCGTTGGCGACGAGACGGTTCTCCGACACGCCTCGGCTACGCAAGGCGGCAGGGTATATCATCATGGACCTTGGGTCCGATAGTCACAGACTTGTACGGGTTTCCAATCCATGCCACAAAGGACATATACAGAAAAGAGAAGAAAAGAGAGGGAAAGTTAGAGTTCAGCGCGGTCGTAGACACCGTCGTTGTATTGGTGGGCGGCGGGCGGCGGGTGCTGCGGTTGGGGCCCGGCGGCGGCGGCGGCGGCGGCGCCGTGGTGGGGCTGGTAGCCGTAGCCGGCCTCGGGCTTGTTTGCGTAGTCGTGGGCGGGGACGGCGGCTGCGGCGCCGACGGCGGTGGTCTCGGTGCCGTAGCTCTGGCGGTTGGCGCCGTTGAGCTGGGTCGGGTGGGTGTGCTCGGGGAGGGCGTTTGCGTCGTCGGCGGGCTGGGCCTTGGGCTTGCGGCGAAAGCGCGAGGCGAGGCCGGCAAAGGCGCCTTTGGTGCCGTAGCCCGAGGTGTAGTTGTTTGCGGGGCCGGGGCCGAAGCGTTTCTCCTTGCGGTGGTGGCGGACGAGGGCGACTTCGATGAAGGCAGCGAGTATGAAGAAGACGCTGCACCGGCAGGTTAGCAAGGATTGGGTTCCTTGTATGCGGAGGTGTGGGCTGGTGTAGTCTCACATGGCAACGATGGCAACGGCGAAGCAGGCCGTCTGCAGACGACAGGCGGTGCGGAAGCTGGGCAAGGGGGTGAAACCGTCGGAAGGCCCCTCGGCCGTGTCTCCCGACTGGCCACTGCCAAAGGGGGTGTCGAGATAGCCGCTGCACGAGCCGGCGCCGTGCTTGTTGGCGACGGCGACGTAGATGAAGGCGCCGACAAAGGCGATGTCGAGGAGGATGGCAATGGCCGAGGTGAAGAGGAAGCCGGCTACGCAGCAGAGCAGGACGAGGCCGATGAGGGTGTAGAGGACGGCGGCGCCGGCGATGCCCTCGACGGCGCGGGCGCTGGTGGGGATGGACAGGGCGTGGTTGTGCAGGGCAGCGAGGAAGTACGAGTAGACGCCGAGGATGAGGGCGGCGCAGAGGAATTGGATGCCGCGGACGAGCCACTGGAGGCCTTTGAGGGCGAGGCCCGACTTGGCGCCCATGGTGGTGTGTGTTTGTGTGTGTGCGTGAGGAGCCGAGGTGAGGAGCCGAGGTGAGGAGCCGAGGTGAGGAGCCGAGGCCAAGGAGCCGAGGTCAGGTGAGGAGGAGGAGGAGGAGGAGATCGAGGAGGAGGAGATCGAGGAGCGGACAGAGGACGGAATTGGATGGACCAGGGCTTGCTTATCAACTGCCGGCAGGCCACTGCGTCTGCCACAGTCCCCGGTGGTTGGTTGGCTGGCTGGCTGGAAGGCCCGGGCTGCCTCGGCTCTGGCGCTAGGATGTGCTGAGACGTACGTAGGGGAGAGAGTTTTACGTACAGACGGACTGTACAGCCTGCGGCGTCGATGATATCAGCCACGCAAATGTCACCTGCCCCGATTCCATATAGGCAAGCTACTTATTCCAATTGATAATTAGACGCTCGAGCCAAATTGGAAAAGGCCATGACGAAACGACGTGGCTGGTGGAGACGACGCGAGGCTAAGCTCCGGCCATGTCGTCACTGTGGCGGAGGACCCTGCATCCTCACCGGCCTGCGATTGGGCAACTGAGCCACAGGTTCAAGTCGGATGACTGTGGCTTGAGTGTCGTTTCCTGGTGCAGGTGCTGTAATTACTGTAGTACGTAACTACGGATACTCGGTAGTACAGTAGACAAAGTGTTCACGCACTGAGGAGGTGCAAGCAAGGAAAAGCTGGAGGTTATTTTCGGCTCTCACACAAGCACCAACACTAACACTAGCACTAAGATACTAACAGCTGCCTAGGGCCCCTTTAAGCCTCCACTGCTAGCGGGCGCTCTCTCTGATGCAAGCGGATAATTATGGCCTGCGCCGATCGTCTGCCCGAACCGAAACCGAGGCAGGGGGAATGATGATGTCACGCTCTTTCTTTTCTTCACAGTACCCTGTATCGCACCCTGTATCTACGATTGACTTTTCTGGGGGAGAGGGGGGGGCCGTTTGTTGCGCTCAAATCTCTCTCGTGCTCTCCACTACGGAGCAGGAACCTGCTGAAAAGGATTCCGGCTTGCGCGCTAGGCAAGTTGTGTGAAGTTGATCGAGATGGCCCGACGCTCGGTCGTCTTGGTTTGGGGTGAGAGTGAAGCTGCAGGGCGTAAGTTAAAGCCTCCCGGACAGGTTCGTCGGGCACAGCACACGTGTTTCACGGCCGGCGCAGATGCAGGATTATGCATCATTTAGCCATGGCTTGTACAAAGTTGACTGCGTAACGTGGAATGGGCTCAAAGAAAAAGACGAGATATAATTAGAGGGCGAGACAGCAGCGGGTAAGCGGGGGGAGGCAACGGAGAGAGCCGAGACCGTTTGTCTTTGTCCACATAGGCATCACACGAGCGGTGGGACTGACTGGAATGGAGAGAAGAGAAGCAGAAGAAAAGAGGCACGACGTTCAAGACAACAATAGCCTGCAGGTGCGCTTTGGCTTGGCTGACAGGCTAAATCAAAAGGGCTCACCGTCAATACAGGCTGGGGTTTGCAGGCGGCGAGGCTGGCTCTGGGCGGCGGGGCCGACAAGGGGAAAAGGTGTGAATGTACGTATTCAGGCAATATCGGCCTCGAATGCAATGAGTGCATGTCGCACGAGATGCTGCGCAGTGCAGAGAGAGAGTCGACTCGGCTTACCGCAGTGGCCAGGCCGGGCGGGAAGCGGGTCGAGACCGATGCTCCGTGTCACCTCTCTGGCCTGCCTGCTCCAGAGAGTAGGGATACGGATACAGGCATTGTCCGGCAGCACGTTCCGGCGGTCTTGTTGATTTGCCGAGGGCCGTAATTAATTGCTACAGTGTACCAGTGTATGTACGTACAGTACATGCCTCCAAGGCCCTCCCTCCCTCCCTCCTGCCTCCCCGGGCACATGGCGGGCATCGTCAGATTTTCCCTGCCCACTCAAGGACAGCAGGGAGGGGGGAGATGCTGCTTCGTATCGGCGGCTGAGACGCACTCAGGCACCCAGACGATTGGCCGACGATGCCATGCCAATGCGACCGTGCCGGCGGGCACTGCGGCCTCTTGCTCGGTGATATTTTCCGCCCTCTTCTTCTCTCGCCAGGACGGCACCTCCACCGACTCCGAAGTGCGGCGCAAAGGACGGGCAAAACATCGAGCAGACGCAGGCGAGAAATCAGTGGTCAGACTCGCCCAGCACAGCATCACGTTCAACTTAACGTCTCCCTGCAAGGAACAGGCAATGCTCCCCTGCTCCCCTGCTCCCCTGTCCCGCCGGCCCGCAGCCGAGCCGGGGCAGGGGCCGCAAGGCATGCCGAAGAAATGCTGACACCATGATCCAAGACCTGGCGAACGAACCCATGGTGGAGATGCATCACCACCTCTTGGCGTCGACGGCCCAGCTGAGGATGCGCCACCCGCAGCGACTATTGACCCTTTGACGAACCCTCTCCCATATGGCCATGCACGATGCGTGACAGGGCGGTCGCTTATCCTGCAGCATCCAACGCGGCACAGCTGATCAAGCGATGCGCCCAATGACCTCCCCCTTCTGGCAAGCGCCAGCATACGAAAGAACCCTCTTCGACTGCAATTCCCACCCCGGTCCCATGCAACCATTCTCACTTGCACTGCAACCCCGAGGGCGAGACCAGGCTCGGGCTATTTTGGCCCGCCCTGCCTGTCATTTGCCCGCCGCCATGGCCGTGGTGGTGGTGGTGGTGGTGGTGGTGGTGGAGGAGCACCAGCTGAGCGTGCGCCCGCCTGGCTTCAGGCCGGTCATCAGGAATAGGCTCCTCATGGCCTTGGATTTTCCCCTGCTCGTCTCTGATTCCTTTATAACCCCCGCGTCGTCGCCCGTCGGTTGCGCTGCTGACCTGGTGCGACTGCTCTCCTCGTCCGCCGTTATCCAGGAGCTTGCCTCGCTCTCCCTCGCTCTCTTTCTCCGTAGCGCCTGAGCCGGTCGTCGCCTTGGTTTTCCTCACCTCTCCCCAGTCGATCTTCTCCGTCTTATAGAAGCGCGGCTACTGCCCTTTTCCGCAGCAAAGGTGCTTGTGTTTGGGCGCTGCAGCCCCCCCGGCGCCATCATGCGCGCCTCTCCCGTCCTCTTGGCCCTCTGGGGTTTGGCCGGCGGTGCGCTGGCCGACCCGACCTGGCCCTCCGAAGTCGACGAGCTCGAGGAAATCATGTACCAGCTCACCTCGTTCCGCGCCCGCAAGTTCGCCGACACGGTGAGCCCCTGCACCAACCAGGCCTCGGGCCCGGGCCGCCTCAACGCCGCCGAGTGGCTCCGCACCGCCTTTCACGACATGTCGACGGCAAACTTTTACTTCAAGACGGGCGGCCTCGACGGCTCCCTCCAGTACGAGCTCACCAACTCGGAGAACACGGGGCCCGGCCACAAGACGACCCTCGAGTTCATGTCCCGCTACGTCTCCCCCAAGTCCAGCCTGGCCGACCTCATCGCCATGGGCATCTACACGTCGGTGCGCTCCTGCGGCGGCCCCGCCGTGCCCATCCGCGCCGGCCGAAAGGATGCCACGGGCAAGGGACCCACGGGCGTGCCCCAGCCCCAAAACTCCATCCCCATCTTCCGCCAGCAGTTTGAGCGCATGGGCTTCACCAACGAGGAGATGATTCAGCTTGTCGCCTGCGGCCACACCCTCGGCGGCGTCCACCAGCAAGAGTTCCCCGACCTGACGCCCCCGGGAGTCAAGGACGGTCAGGCGCCTTCGGACTCGACTGCCGCCGTCTTCGACAACAAGGTCGTCACCGAGTACCTGTCCGGCAAGACCAAGAACCCCCTGGTCGTCGGGCCTTCGGTCAAGGCCAGGCGCAACTCGGACTTCAAGATCTTCAACTCGGACAACAACAAGACGATCGAGGCCATGGCCGACCCCGTCAAGTTCAAGGCCATCTGCAAGAAGGTGCTGCAAAAGATGATTGACGTGGTGCCCGACGGCGTCACCCTGACGGACCCCATCGTCCCCTACACCGTCAAGCCCGTCAACCAGCAGCTCACCCTGGCCAACGGCGGCAACGCGCTTGTCTGGACCGGCTACATCCGCGTCAAGACGACAGGCCTGCCCAAGAACAGCATCAAGAAAATCAGCATCAACTACAAGGACCGCAAGGGGTCGGCCGACTGCGGCTCCAGCTCCTGCACTGTCACCAGCACCGTCCAGGGCGTCGGCAAGGGCTTCGACGATACATTTTCCTTCTTCCCCATCCAGACCACCATCCCAGCTTCGTCGGGCATCTCGTCCTTTACCGTCACTGTCCACGGCGCCGGCGGCGAGAGCAAGCTCTACGACAACAACGGCAAGGGGTATCCGATGCGGGACGACGTCCTGTTCCAGGCGCCGCAGAGCTGCATCCGGGGGTCCACAGGCGCCCTCACCGTCGTCGCCGCCGTCCGCAACGACGTGGCCGGCCGAGGCGACCCCAAGGCCACTGTTTGGTACAAGGTGCCCCAGACCAACAGCCCTCTCCCACAGCTCAAGAATGAGTCCATCGCGCTCAAGAAGGGCAAGTGTGTGGGCAAGTACACCCTCTTCGCCTCCGAGTACACTGTTCAGGGTGGCTTGGCCTATGAGTCGCACGTCGACGTCACCGCCGACGGCCAGACGGACGGGTTCAAGAGCCTGGCCAGCATCGGTGGCACCTGCGCACAGTTTGCCGGCGCCGCGCCCTGCGATGCGGCTGAGCCGCCAGCCAGCTCATCGGCCGCATCGACGCCTGCCGGGTCGACGTCTGTGGCGTACAAGACGCTGGGTCGCCGAGCCGTGAACACGACCTCGACGGCGGCCCCGACGGCTCCTCCTACCACGACCGTCTCGACGGCGGCCCCGACCGTGACCCCACAACACCGCCAGGCCGTTGGCGGATACAGGCTGGCGTCTTGCTGGACCGAGGGCAACGGCACCCGCGCCCTGTCTGGCATTTCGTTTGCCAATGACACGATGACGCTTGAGAAGTGCATGGGGTACTGCAGTGCATACAACTACTGGGGAACAGAGTATGGCCGAGAGTGTGAGTTTCCCCTTTTGTTCTCCTCGACACTCTTGTTGTATACTTTTCTTCTCCTTACTTCGATACCTCCTCTTTTGAGAGGGGAGAATATCCGGCTCCATGCACCAGGCTAACAGCACCGTGACAGGCTACTGCGGCAATTCGCTGTCGCCGAGCAGCCAGACAGCGCCCCTGGCCGAGTGTAACATGCCCTGCGGAGGCAACGCCAGCGACTACTGCGGCGCGGGCAACCGCTTGGAACTGTACTCGACGACGAGCGCGCCCGTGACGCCGACACCGACGGCGACGCTGATCCACAAGCCCACCGTGGCCCCCTACACGCTGGTCGGCTGCTGGGCCGAGGGCCAGGGCGTGCGGGCGCTGGAACAGAAGGCGACGATCGACAAGGCCATGACCAACGACGCGTGCGGGACGTTCTGCAAGGACTACAAGTACTTTGGCACCGAGTACGGCAGCGAGTGCTACTGCGGCAGCTATGTCGGCGGGGGAACCCAAGCGCCGCTGGCCGAGTGCAACATGCCGTGCGCAGGCGACGCGTACCAGTACTGCGGCGCCAGCAACCGGCTCGAGCTGTACATGAACGCCAACGCGACGGGCGGACAGCCGGAGCAGCCGGCGGCGGTGGGCGACTACGTGCTCGTCGGGTGCCGGACCGAGGGCAACGGCACGCGCGCGCTGGCGGGCAAGGCGACGGCGGTCGAGGGCATGACCAACGCCAAGTGCGGCGAGTTTTGCAAGGGATCCAAGTACTTTGGCACCGAGTACGGGCATGAGTGCTACTGCGGAGACGCGCTCGACGTGTCAAGCAAGGAGGCGCCGCAGAAGGAGTGCGGCATGCTGTGCGGCGGGAACCCGCTTGAGTTTTGCGGCGCCTCCAACAGGCTGTCTGTGTACACGAAGAAGGCTGCCACGCCGCCGCCGCCGCCGCCTCCCCCTCCACCACCACCGCCGGCACCCCCAGGACCGGCGCCACCGGCGCAGAATGGACGGCGAAACGTGCATCGGCGGAACTAGACGGGGCCTTCGGGGCTGTCTGTACAAAGAGGGAGGGGCGGGGGTGAAATGAGGGTGGACATGACTTTCTCGTAGAATGTAATTCTTGTTCCCGCTCTTCTTCCCGGAGAGGGCGGGAAGGCTGTGAGTGAAGCGGAGGGGAGAGCAGATGTAGGACAGATGAGAGCATGGCATGGTAACCGCCTAACTACATGACCCTTTGAGGCATTCCTGGGGCTCCTGTAGCTTTGTTGAAAGCCATTGTGCAACGGCCGATTTGATGCCATGGCCAGAACCCCTTTTTTGTAGCTGGGGGCACGCGTGTAGTGGTGATGCCCCACCTATAGGGACAGGCACAGTGCGCCGCCGGACCGCCCCAGACCCGATACAGCCGCCGTCTTATCGCAACTTGCTTCACCGCAACCATCGCCACCATTCAGTCCAAGCAACTCGACCTGTGACGCGTGCAACCAGCTCACCCTCCCCCTTCTCTCAGACCGTTGCACTCTATTCGTCCCGTGCTCTCAAACTCTCGTCGCCTTCCCTGGGCATATCGCGCCGGCGCCGTCGACCCCATGGCAGACGCGACGGGCGAGGATGATCGCGAGGTATGTTCTGTGTCTACACACGGCCTCTCCCCCTCTCTCCCCCCTTTTTGTCTCTCGTTGTGCAAGTCTCAAGATGGGTGAATGGGGGTTGCTGATGGTGGCATGTGTTTTCTCCAGCGCCTCAAGTCGGCGCTGTGGTTCGCCGTCGGCCAGATTGTCGACGAGGAGTCGATGCGGCGCGGGCTCAACGCCACGCCCCAGTTCATCGGTGCGCTGACGGAGCTGGTCTGGACTCAAATCGGTATGCTTCCCCCTTTTGTTTCCGCTCTGCTTCTTCTTTTTTTCCCTTCCCATGGCGTTGGGACATGGTCCGGTGAGTGAGGGAGTGAGCCGACGTCTCAAAAGCGCCCCCTTCACGCAAAGGAGAGGAGAAAAGCCATCGCGATGGCCGCTGATGCACCGCCGGCGGCAGAGAACGTGGCCACGGACCTCGAGAGCTTCAGCAGCCACGCCGGCCGCGCCACCGTCACCACGGCCGACGTGCTGCTGCTCGCGCGCAAGAACCCGGACCTGCAGCAGCTGATGGGCGCCTTTGTCGACGAGCGCAAGACGGCCGCCGGGGGCAAGGCCGAGGCGCGCAGGGCCTGAGTGCGTGGGGAGACTCGGGCGGAGGAGCGGCGGGTGGCGACGAGGACGCGGCGCCGGGGAGGAAGCCCCCTTCCGTGAAACTGCACGCGGCATCTACACTATACGGATACTTCACCGCTTTAACCCCCCCCCCCCTCTTTTTACTCGTCTCACCCGTCCCGCAGCCGGGGCCCGGAGAACCCCCCCCCTTCCCCGGGCGGCCCCGCCTCGGAGCTGACTGGTCCACCTTTGCAACTACACGCTGTGATGATTCCTTTTGTGTCTTCTTTGCTTTTCTTCTTCTTCTTAGAGATAAAGACTTATATAAAGAAGCGATTTGCTCTTTCGCTCACGCCCAGTTCGCAGCTCCATCTACGGTGCAGAATAAACATTCGGCGTCTACACACTGCCAATCTTGCATCCTCACAGCAGAGTCACAACGGAGGACAAAGCGGCACGTCCAATGCAAACAGCCCAGGCTTTGGAAGTAGTCAATCCCGGCGCAAAGGGGATTCCCGAGTCCCTCACACGGAAACGTCTCTCTTCATCTAGCATATCTTCCAACTTTTCTCTAAGCAATGTCTCGCGCCCTCACTTACGCAATCACGCTATTCTCTCGCCTGTATAATATCTCTCAAACTCTCTCTAGAGGAGGCTTCCCATTGCAACGCAATGCGTCGTCGCCCGCCACTCCAGCGGACAGGCGCGCCACGATAAATCCCAAGCAAGTGTCGCTTTTTCGGACGCCAAAAGCAAAAGCACACGCGTTTTACCAGACCGTGAAAAATACTTGTCCAAAAAAAGAGGGGGGTTCCGGAACAGAGCATGTCGTCCCGTCCCATGTGGTGATGGGCTCCATTTGCTGTGCCCTGAAGATGGTTTGCTACCCAAGGCCGCAAGCACTGCAGCGCCAGTCACATCTCCTGCTGAACCATGGCTGGGCCAGCAAAGGCTGGCCAAGGCGCATGGCTGCGTGAAGCTTGGGCCACAAATCATCGTTCGTGGGTCTCCGGAACCCGAGACGTAGGCGAAGAACCCACAAAGCCCAACAACACCCCATCCCGCGTGGGAGGGACGGCCGGGCCACCAGGGAGAGGGCAAGGCATCGAGAGCATCGTGGAGCATATCCCAAGAGCTCCGTCACGCAAGAATCCTTGTTATTAAACCGATAAGGACGGAGGACAAGGGGAGCAACCGCCAACAACGCCATGCATCCAAAGTAAAAACGCCCCGACCGCGTCCCCGCTATGCCTTGATGGACGTCTGAGACCCGTACTCGGCCCGGTACTGGTCGAGGATACCCAGCGTCACGCCAGAGCCGCCGCAGACGATGAGAACAATGTTCTTGTCGGCCCACTCGCCGTCCGTCAGGCCTCGGCCCAGGCGCTCCCTCAGGTCCCCCCGGTAGACGGTAGCCAGGGCGGCGCCGCACGAGATTTCGACGAGGTGGCGGGCATCATCGGCAAAGCGGACGCAGCTGATGGCGGCATCGGCATCGGAGACGACGAGGCTGTGCGTGTTGGGGTACTGGATCCACTTCCACGACTCGGCCGACACGCGGGAGCAGCCGAGGGAGGTGGCAATGGACGTGATCTCGGGCAGGGTAACATGGGCGTTGGCGCGCAGGGAGGCGTTAAGGCTGTCGGCGCCGGCCGTCTCGACGCAGACGACGTCGGGCTTGTTGCCGGACCAGGGGTAGCTTTCGATGCCCTGCATCAGGCCATTGAAGAGGCCGCCACCGCCGACGCTGCAGACAATGGCGTCCATGGGAACGTCCATCTGGCTCCTCAGCTCGGGGACAATGGTCGAGGCCCCGTCCCAGACGTGGGGGTGGTCAAAAGGCGGGACGTAGACGGCGGTGGGGTCCTTGGGCAGAAGCTCGGTTCGCAGATACTCGTCAGCGGCGGCCAGGTTCTTGCCCGTCTGGTGAACCTCGACGCCAAGGTCGAGGAGCTTGTTCTTCATCAGGTTGGACGTGGTCATGGGAATGACAATGGTGGCGGGCCTCCGCAAGGCCACGGCCGAGGTGGCACAGGCGAGGCCCGCGTTGCCGCCAGAGACGCAGTAGAAGTGAACATCCCCGGGGGCGGCGGCGACGGCGCGCGTCATGAGGTTGCCAATACCTCGAGACTTGAAGGAGCCGCTGGGTTGAAGGTTGTCAAGCTTGAGGTATATGTTGCTGTAGAGGGAGAGGCCAATGTCAGCTCAGGGTCGACGAGTTCCGCTGGCGTCCAACGTACCAGCCCGCGACCCGGGACATCTGGGGGCTGAAGACGCATGGCGTCTCGCTCCAGGGGAGCTTTGCTTCGGTTCCGAGAGAGCCCATGGTGGGCAGAGGAGGGGGACGAGAGTGAGAGTGGCTGGGGGAAAGCAAGAGCTAGCTGGAGCAAGTAGAAGATGAGAGAGGGCGACGTGATGTCTGCTCAACGGCCAGGCAGCCAGGCAGCGGAAACCAACGGTAGATATAAGCCAGGGCCACGATCTGAGTCACGGGAGTTGCTTGTTGAAGCTCAGGCAGATAAGGAGAGATAAGTCCTGATACCAGCTGGCCCAAGCAGACGGGAGCGACTGGGGGCGGATAGAAGGGGACTGATATACCGACGGGAACGGGCCCGGGGTGTCGGGTCAGCCAAAGACAGAAGATAAGGACAGCTCGTATCCGCCGCAAGCCGGCAAGCCTTGGGAAGCATGTCCATGTTTGAGGTGGTGACGGAGTGGAGATGGGATGGTGGACCCCTGTAGTGTCTGGAGAGGGAGCACTTGTACCCGGTACATGGCCGTTTCCCCTTTTTTTCTTTCTTCTTCTTCCTCCCGTTCTCCTCGCATCCGGAATGCCGGCTTCAGCTAGGGAGTATCCGGGAGAAGATGGTGGCCGTTCGTGTAAGGCCGCCGGTCCATGGTCGTGGACGACAAGCGCATCGCGAAGAGCCGGCAGCGAGCGGTCCATTGGATGGATCGGCGCCTAGATAAGCCGGGGAATTAAATAGAAGGTGCGTCTTGCGTAGTAATGGGGGAGTCCTGAGTTGTCCGCGGTCAGCAGGTACCGTGTACGACTTTCTAGACCGTTCGTTCCTGGGCAGTTGCTATTTTGGCTCGCCAACAGGCCGAAAGCGTGCGCTCGTTTCGGCAAAGATCAAACAATGGCTCTCCACGTGTATGCGGATGCTGTACCTCGCACAAGGCGGCCACTAGGCTCCCTTGTGTACCGTCCTGCTGGCTGTTGGTCTTGTATCTCTCGCTTTCCATTACCAAGAAAGGGGACCACGAGGGTGGGCCGAGACAAGCTTTGTGGGACCGTGCTGGAGAAATGCAGTTATCCGAGTGAAAGGGCGTCGAGAAGGCCCCGATGCCTGCCCATGCCGGCCGTCATGGGCTCACACGGTCCGATATCGCCGTCCTTGGGTGTATGTAACGCACGGCCACGTGAGACCGGGTGTGAAGGGCGTGAAGAGATCGGGGTCACGAGAGACGGGCTGGCGACGACGGACGAGAGAAGGCGGACATGGCTCGGCATGCACGGGGACAGCGGTCGCAGATACGGCCCATCGAGCTAGGCACGAGAAAGATGGGGGAGCGAGGTCGAGAATGTGACTTTGCGCTGTTTATTTTGTTCATCGACGAAAAGCCAGACCAACATGCGGTTGCAAAAAGGTCGGTGAGCAAAAGATTGTTGTTGCTGCGAGAAGATACTGTACCTAGACTGTGCACCTCGGGAGCCATGCATGTATCCGGTACTTATGCCTCAATGGGGACGACGACGACATGGGCCTTGGGTTCAGGTATCCGCGACTCGCGGCGGCAGTCGGGGCCTGCGCGTCCTCTGGGCACATGGAACAGGTACCGTCTACATTGGCGATGCAGTGCGGTGCTAGCGATACCCCTGCATCGCAATTGCACCCGATTACGTTGTTATAGGGTAAAAGGGGCGAAAGTATAGGGTAAAAAGAGCCAAAGTATAGGGTAATAGTGGCATGGAGATTTCAGCCTCCGTGGGGCCTCGTAGTTTAAAGCACCTGCAAGGTTTCCCCTCTGGCATATTTTTTTCTCCTGGACTTGTTTTTTCTAGGCCCGCCCTTGTTGCTCTTGTGCAAACCAACCTCTCTGTTTGGCTGTACAGGTCGGACCGCTTGATCTTGCCTATCCGGGTGCTCTGCCGTTGAATTAGCTGCCGCTTCTCCCAGAAACTTTTCTCTACGCGTCGATGCTGCTGAAGGACTCCAAGACCTCCTCTTCTCTCCGGCAGCTCTTTATGATGCTCAACAGATGCATGATGCATTGCATGTACATACATGTGCCTTTACACGCACACATGTACATGCACATGAAAGTATCTTTTTGCACCTCGCAGCGAGGCACTCCGTAGCTCTTTCCGTCTTCGGCTCGGCGTCGTAGCCCAACTTGCCCTGTCCGGCCACAGTGCAGCCGGTTTCCTAATCAGGCAGGTACGCTAGCCGCCGCAGCCACAGCAGCCAATCAGCGACGTTACCGCGTGCAATAATAACCGCGTCTCTGCACCTCCGGCCTCGACGAAACAAACACATGAGAGAGAAAGAAACAAGCAGGCAGAAGGACTGTCTCGCCCTGTGTCTCTCCCGCGTCTTCATCGTCACTTCAAAACGAAACATGCGCATGAAAAATAAAGGCATTTGCCAAAACTTGCCCGACAAATGCTCCAACGACCGGTGCATCAAAACCACTGCCCATGACGACGCCGAAACACGGCCCGCCAGCGCCTCAACTTGGCATGAATGGGCGGCGTAATCCTGCTCAAAACGTCTTACTGACCTCCCAATGTCGCCTACGTAGACAGTGGTTCTATGTGGAGGCTGTTTCCCCATGATGCCCACCTCGTGCTTCGCAAGTGTGCGCAGAAGGCCGGCAGAAGATGATCTACATGTGCGCTTTGGAACAGTTCAACCCGTTGCTCTGTACGTAGACTGGCGCTGGGGCGTAGCTGAAGACGTTGCTCAGGTCAACACCATGCCGTGTCCTCGTCGCTGCGAGCCGCACAAAGCTGCACGCCAAACTTGCGCATCAACATGAATGAAAGATGCTCTGAACACTCCCTCCCTCCAGCTCCCTTTCCTTTCCTTTCTTCGCTCGTCAAGCTCAATCCCTCACGCCTTTACCGGCTTTGATGCGGTGTTCTGCCGGCGAAACTCGTGCTTCGTGAGCACGATATAAAGCACTTCTCCTACACCTTTCTCCTTCACTTCTCCACGGCCTCTCAGACTGCCTCCTCTTCCTTCTTCTCCTCCCCAAGGCCTCTGTCAAGTCCCTCAACCCCTTCATCCGTTCTGACCTCATCATTCATCGCCCTTCAATATGACAGATCGAGATGATGGCCAGAACCACCGAGACGCGAGCCCTCCGCAGCAGGACGACGGCCAGCCTGACCCCGAGATCCTTCATCCCCAGGAAGAGCCTTCTCCTGACCAGCCCCTCATTGCCGAGGACCACAACCATGATCACCAGCCCTTGCCAGCCCAAGGCGGCGATGAAAGCGCCGGCGAGGCTCTCTATCCTCAGGGAGATCTGTCTCCAGATCAGATCGAGGACCTTAACCCCGAACACCAACACCAGTGGGCTCAAGTCGGTAATGAGAACGGCGGTGAGGCCATGATTTCCCAGAGAGACCCATCTCCTGATCAGACCGAGGACCCCAATCCCGAACACCAGCCCCAGTCAGCACACGACAACTTTGAGAATGGTGGGAATGCGGAACCAGCATCAACCTCGGCGACCAATGCCGCTCTGCAAGACCCAAGGCCGGCAACGCAAAGCCAGGTCATCGAAGGCTGGCTGATGAACATTGATTTTACCCAGCGAGGACCAGAATATCCCGCCTCCTCACGCCAGAACTCGCCCGAACATGATTCATCCTTGACTTACAGACTCTGGACTCCGCCCGACGACGACTCCGACACCTCTTCGTCTTTGCCGGGAAGTACACCAGAAAACCAGGTCAGTAGAGCCGGCTATGCAGGGGCCACAAAAAGCAGACAGCGCAAACAAGGGAACGAGCTTCAGCGCATCCTTTTGGGCCACGGCACTGTCATCGACGAGGCGACAGGCCTCCCAACGCCCGCTGGGGATAGTTTCCCTGTCGTCCCAGCGGTCAGGGACGACTTCCGCACTGACTGGGAGCTGCCGGACGACGCCTTTGGCAACCCGCAGTCAGTAAAGGCCGCGCCGCCGTGGATCCCCGATCCCATGGACGACTCGCGCGACCACCCGGGGTTCATGCTCGGCAGGCAGGTAAAGATGACGACGAGGCCGAAGCGCAAGAGGAGCTTGAAAAAGACGAGGCAGCGCATGCCCAAAGAGCGCAAGATAGTGCAAGCGAAGAGGAAGGGAAAGCAGACGCAGCGGCGCGCGGACACGCCCACGCCCACGCCAACGCCTGAGCCCGAGAGCGAGCCAGAGGGCCTATTCAAGCTCTCCGCCGAGCTGCGGCTCAAAATATACCGCGAGCTCCTCCTCTCCTACACGCCCGTCGTCGTCCACAGCGGCTGGCATCTCGTGTACCGCCACCCGGCCACGCGGCAGCAGCAGGGCGAGCGCGCGGGCCAGCACGGGCTCGGCCTCTGCACCGCCATCCTGCGCGCCCATCCGCTTTTCTGCGCCGAGGGTCTCACCGTCCTGTACGGCGAAAACACGTTCCTCTATCGCCTGCGCGATCCGCCGCCCACCGTCACTGACGTGTCGCGCCTCGTGTATGTGGATGATGAGGATGAGTGCTGCGACGAAGAGGACGACGGCGGCGATGACGCGCCCGGGGAGCGGGTCGAGGTCGAGGACGATGATGGCCAAGAGAGCGCCTCGGACTGGGACCAGGATCGCCGCGCTGAGCAGGAAGACGGAGGCAGGAGGAGAAGGTCGAGGCGGAGGCGGACGAAAAAGGCCAGGTGCGACATCTACGTCGACAAGTACCGCCACCTCTTCCGGCACATCGTCGTCGAGGCTGAGCACAACCGCTTCTCCCGCTCCACCATGCGAGCCATGGCCCGCGCCATCCGCACCTTTGGTCCCGGCAGCAGGCCCGCGGCAAACATCCAGACCCTCGTCGTCCGCGTCGCGCCCCTCCGCGACCCCCGCGGCGGTCCCGGCCCAGGCGACGGCGACTTGGAGCCGCAGCAGCAGCAGCAGCAGCACTTTACCTTCGTCGACTTCTTCGCCCCCGACTCGCCCGTCCTCAAGGCCATCCAGGCCGTCGAGTGCCACTTCCTGCGCGTCGATCTTATGACGCGCTACATGGACGGTCCCGCCGAGCGCGCCGGCTGTAGCCTCACCGTCGACCGCCGACCCGAGATTGTCGCCCGCCGCTACTATCGCGATCGCTGCCGCGGTTCCCGCCGCCTTGGAGACTGGCTCTCCGATAGAGCCATTCGCCGCGAGCGCAAGCGCAGGGCCAGGCTCGTCCACCGCGCTCTCCAGAGCCTCGGCGATACCGTTCGCAAGTTTTGCTGGTCCTACGTATACCGCGTCGTCGGCGGGTGGGATGCATTTGAGGACATTGGTGACGGTTTCTAAGGCTGCGTGGGCGTCCTCTATCAGTTAGAAGCCCTTCCCGCCCCTCTTATCATTTTCGCGTTCCTTCTTTTTACTTCTTCGGCCAAGGGGGGAGGACAGGTCATGATAAAGGGTCGTCGAGGGCATTGCTGGTTTCCGTTTAAAAGGGCTTGGAGGTTGGGTCGTTTTGGTAGGGCCAAGATATAGCAGTGAATGACAATGAGAGAGGCAAGGGCAACATGGCTGATGGTCATCGTGATCGTGGTGCTTCATAACTCACAACACAGGCATCCTCTGCTGCCCTTGACCCTCGTCATCGAAACCGCCCCCTTGCCTCTTGTGTAATCGCACGTACGCAACCACCTCTCTCCAAGTCTCGTGGGTATCCTGATAGCCGACCTCACAACGCCCTGCCCCTTATTGACGCCTCTACCCGTACAGACGAGGAAAAACCTACGCCACGTCGATTTTGACCTTGGTTACCTCTAGCGTCTCCGTGTCGAGCAGCACCAGCTCCTTCGTCTCCGCAAACGAAGGCACGGTGATGAGCCGCACCGACTGGCCCTCAGGCCCCTGGATCACCCTGGTCGAAAACTCGGGCTGGCAGCCGACAAAGTACACGTGCGGGCACGTCTTCAGCACAAAGGGCTCGTCTTCCTGAAAGGGGTAGCTCCCTGAGAAGCAGTCAGTGACGGGAAACGCACCAGGGGTGTGTGGTTTCCGTACATAGGGTGTCGGGCGCAGTCGGCGCACAGCATCTCCACCGACACATAGCCTCCATCATGCCCAGCCTGTCGTCGCTCTCGGTGTATTTGAAGACGTCGTCCACGTTCTGCCCGCCCGTGCCTAGCATCCTCCAGCCGTCCACCTCGGCTTCGAACGGATTCGTCACAGTGTCGAACCAGCCCGGCGCCCCCGCCGGCGCCGCCGGCTTGGAAGGATCCGGGCCGTATCTCCTCGCGCGGGGAAACATGGCCATGTGAATCGGCTGTTGCGGATAGCTCGCGTTGGCCGGGTCCTGGGCGCCCGGCATCAAGGTGACGGGTATAGAGGGTAGCAGCTCGGAGACGAAGTCGTCAAAGAGCTGCGACGGAAGCGCATTATACGCACTAGCATCGTAGCCGTATTTTTTGCTGGCCTTTTTATCGGCCGTGCCCTCGTCGAGCTTGCGGTCCGCGGTCGAGATGGAGTCGCCGGCAATGATGAGTCGGCTAATGCGCGACGCGTCGGCCTGCGCCGGAGGCCCTAGGGATTCCCCGAGCAGATACTCAAGCAGTAGACTTAGCTCCAGGCTGTGAGATGCGTCTGTCCCCGAGAAGGACAGGCCGGAAACCAAGGCGATCTTGTTGCCAGAAGCCGGCGACCGATCCGTCATTGCTGTATCCTCATCCTTAACGCCTTCCTTGCTCTTTTTGCTGGAGGAGGCCGCTGGTCCAGTGAGAGCCCAGCGGCCGGGCTGAGGGGGTAGGTCGGGGAATTTGATGTCGATGACCTCGAATTCGCCGCTGCTGTTCTCGGTACCCATGACGGCGATGATGCATCCCGTGACCATGGGAAAGGCCTTGAGCAGCTCGCCGACTAGCTGAACGCGGCCCGACTCGTCCTCGAGCATGATTTGATCGGCATCGTCTTCCGAGTAGTACTTTTGCGTCGAGATGGGGGCCGAGATCCAGCGCTATTTCAGGAGCGTCAGCCAGGGGTGGGCCATACAGCGAGCGGACGGGCGCTACTCACGTCCTTGGACACGTCGTCGAGAATGTTGGGCTTGAGCGGCATATCCATGTAGACGGTGCCCGAGACCCAGCACAGCTCGCCCTGGCGCACGTCGAGGACCCGGTCGACCTTTGTGGCCTCCTCGCCTCCGATCACGGTGCCCCCCCAGGCCGCGCTGGCCGCCTCGTCGACGGCGGGCTTGATCTTTGTGAGGCGCAGGAAGTACATGTCACCATATTGCTGCTTATAGGAGCGCTGCTTGTCGAGGAGAAAGGTGCTGAGGGGCTTGTACGAGGAGGCTGCCCGGGGCGGGACCTCATGCGGAACATGGCTGCTGGGAGGGGAGGGAGCGAGTTAGAGCGGCTGGACGGTCGTAGGATGATTGCAATTGAGGATGGGTCTCACTCAGGTCCTTGGAGCAGACTCCCGGACGCATCTTCGAGGGCGACCATGATTGCAGCGCGAGCCCCATGAGTCTCGGGATATAATGCGCCAGCTGGTGATGTGCAGCTCTGAGAAACAGTGAAGGAGAGAGGGGAGAGGCGCGTTGGGTAGAATGGAGATTCTGTGCGTGTACCTCTTGCAAAGGAATTGGCGGTCATGGTACTTGCGTACCGCGACGCGACCCCACGCGTAAAGTGGTGGGGCTCGCTCAGTACAGCAGCGGACCATTGGCAGGCAGCCTGCAAGCTAACTTGTTACTAACAGACAACACTGCAGATCCCGATTACAGCATGTTTCGGGCGGTGAGCTTCAGAACCCCGCCATCGTCTAAGCTCCGAGATAGCGATACCGGCCTGGCCTACGCAGCGTCAGATTCATCCATGCTCCTCCCTCCACTTACGACAGCCAACTAACTTACTCCTCATCTTTGCCCTTGAGGCATTACGAGGCTGACAAGTTCAACAACATTCCCCTTTCCAACTTCCCAATTCGATTTGCCCTCGGCCCGACAGCTATAATCCCACGATCCCCTTTTTTTTAACCTCAAGCCTCAAGCCTCAGGCCGCCTCCTCCCTCCTTCACGTCTCCTCTCGCCTCTCCTCTCGCCCACCGCCAACATGTCCGCCCCCCCGCCCAGCGCGCCCCGAATCCTCGTCAACGGCCTCTCGTACAAGTTCCCCGACTACTCGACGGGCATCCGCGACATCACGCTCGACCTGCCCCCTCGCTCGCGCACCCTCCTCATCGGCGCAAACGGCGCCGGCAAGACGACGCTGCTGCGCCTCCTCGCCGGCAAGCGCCTCGCCCCGCGCGGCGCCATCAACATCTGCGGCGTCGACCCCTTCCAGGACAGCCTCGAGGGCGTCACTTACCTCGGCCTCGAGTGGGTCCTCAACCCCATTGTCCGCAACGACATTGGCGTCCTCGAGCTGCTGCGCTCCGTCGGCGGCGACGCCTTTCCCGCCCGCCGTGATGAGCTCGTTGCCATGCTCGACATCGACACCGAATGGCGCATGCACGCCGTATCTGACGGCGAGCGCCGCAGGGTTCAGCTTGCCATGGGCCTGCTGCGGCCTTGGGCGGTGCTCTTCCTCGACGAAATCACCGTCGACCTCGATGTCCTCAGCAGAGCAGAGTTCCTAGCCTGGCTCAAGCGCGAGACCGAGACGCGCGAGTGCACCATCGTCTACGCTACGCATATCCTCGATAACCTTGCCGGCTGGTCCACTCACCTCGTCCACATGCACCTCGGCGCCGTCAGGGAGTGGGACGAGGCCGACACCATGCTGCAGTCCATCGATGGCACCGTTGGTCGCTCCGGAAACAGCCGCCTCGGTGAGCTTGTTCTCGGCTGGCTCAAGGCCGACCTCAAAGACCGAGGGCCGCGCAACCGGGCCAACATGGGGTCCGAGGGCAAGACCTACGGCTTCGGCGCCATCAAGGTTGGAGGATACGGCGACGAGTCCAAGCCCAAGGAGAATTAGACCCTTTGATTCCCCCCTCTCCATCAACGCCAAGCTTCACCTCTCCGCCATGAGGAGGGGGCTTCTGGATTCTTTTTGTAGAGTGACCCGGCATTCAACTGGCATCATCGGCGCTCTTGGTGTAACAAGTGGGTAATATTGGTACAGCAACATAGGTCAGGTGGGCATTCAACTGCATTCAAGGTGGCGGCCGGGGGCTGTCATCCTTTCTTCATATCTCTACACAACTTGGTAGACTGGGGCCATGCATTTCAACGATATATGTGGCACGTTGACACGGCGACTGGTAGGTTTAACCCTGCCTGTTCTTCTTGAACATGTTGGAAGGTGGCTTGGAGGGCAATTTTGTGCCGTATTGCAAGGTCTCGGGCATTTTCTTCTTTTGATACCCTGTATTTCAACCACGGGCAGGTTTCCCGGGCCAGCTTCAACTTGGCGGGACCGACATGGCGAGTCTGGGCAATGCAGTAATTTCTGCCGCGGTAAACTGCCTCATTGAGATGCCTGCGCCTGTGAACTGCCCCCCTGCGTGCTCGCCTTGCCCTCCATCGAGTTCTTGAGCACCGTCATGGTGTTCTTGAGCAGCTCCGTGACGCCCGGCAAGCCCTTGTCGCTCAGGGACCTCAGCACGTCGATGCGGTATTCCTGCCAGCTGAGCCGGATCCCGCCCGCGGCGGCGAGCTTGGCCAGGCTCGACTGCGTGACGGGCCCTGCGTGACGGGCGCGGAGAGCGGGGCGGTCCCCTCGCATGGCCGCGTCCTCCATCTCGCGCACGCGACGGATGCTCTGCAAGCACAAGACGGGCGCGTGCGACAGCGAGAGCAGGGAAGCCAGCGACGTGGCCCTGTCGACCGAGGCGACGTAGGCCTCGAGCGCCGAGACGGTGGCGCGCGGCACCATGCAGCCGCGGGCGTTTGTGTCGGTGTCGCTGAAGGCGCGGGTGCGCCAGAAGCAGTTGCACATGTCCATGATGAAGCCGTTGTAGCGGTTGACGTAGGCGCGGTCGTATGAGAGGGCGTCGATGCGCGCGCTGCCGTCGTGGCGCGCCTTTGTCGACATGGCCACCTCGAAGCCCCTCTTGTAGCAGGCCAGCACGTGGCACAGCCGCGACACGGTGGCCAGCGACGGGCTGAAGAGGAGCGTGTAGACGAGCGCCGACGGCGGCAGCTCGATGCGAATGTACTGCCTCAGCACGTCGTCGGCCACGAGCCGCACTGTCTGCTCGTAAAAGGAGAGAATGGCCGACTCGGTGGCCACGCCGGGTGCCGCCTGGAGCACGCCGAGGGCGAGGCGGCTCACGTGGCGCACGAGCTGCGCGACGACCTGGCTAGCATGCGGAGGGACGGCGTCGGCGGACTGGAGAGCGGTTGTCCAGTGGTGAAGGAGTCTGGTGTATAGGTCGAGCAGGGCGAGCGGTGAGGCGGGCGAGTCGTCTAGCATCGCCGTCTCGAGAGGTCCAAATATGTGTTGATACAACTCTGAGAGCAGCAGAAGGTGAGATGAGAGCTACCCACGACACTGAAGCGGTTGAAGATAACTGACCTTGAAAGTCGTGAAGAGGAGCGCGGCCGAGGACATCCAGGACGAGGTCTCGACGTCTAGAGCCGCTCCACAGCTGGAGGAACCGGGCAAAGAATTCCAGCAGAGCCGGAGGAAATGTCTGTCAAGATCAAAAACGATCAATAAAAAGTAATAAAAAGAAGTCTCGAGGGAAAACCGACTCACCTTGGTTTGGATGACATAGTCACGCGTCACCTCCAACACCTCCCACAACGTCTCCTCATCTACATCCCCGTCCAAAAAGTCCCGCAGCACCGAGCCGAGCCAGTTGGCAACTCGCTGGTGCGACTCGGCCGCGGGCCGCAGCACCAAGAGCTTCTGGAGGAGCGGATCGGCCAGGACGGCAACGAGCTGGTTCGGCAGCTCGAGCCTCTCGAGGTTCTGCACCAAGCTCGTGACATTGTCGATTTCTTCCAACGTAACAGAGTCCTGTGTGCCGTCAGTTGCCGGGGGACTCTCTTGTGGGATTCAAGTCGTTGCGCGCACCTCTGTCGCCTGGCTTGTCTGAACCGTGGGGACGAGTCTGTGCCTCAGGGACCGATTGACTGGTCTATTGACCCGGAAGCCCTGCCGAGGGCCCGACGAGGAGCGTTGCTCGGCGTCACGGAGATGCGTGTCTTGAATCTCGTCAAGCCTCGCGCGCCATTGAATGTCGGGATGCTGTCATCGTTAACCGCATAGTCCCATCACGGCGGTTTCTGCTGGTCTGGCTGGGGGACAAGGCGTACCTTGAAGGCCGATGCTTTGCCACGAACAGCCTCGCCGACGATGATTTCGGGGTAGTAGTCCTTGAAGACTCTGAGAAGCCCGACGAGCCAAGGGTCATTTCCGGTCTGCCTCGACAAGGCGAGCCTGCGCGCCTGTAAGCCTTGCTATCTTCACGGCGTCCCCGGCGCGTGTACTCACAGTGCCTGGATCCTAAACGGCCTGACATGTCTTCGCCTCGTGACCAAGGCCAGAAGTTGGGTGAGCTGCGGCCTATCGCAGCAGTGAGCAAGAAAACACAAGCCAAGGCCGAAAAGTAAGGAAAATACCTGATGGCCGCCGTGTCGAGCAAGTTGAACAAGACGGGATACGCCCTCGCCAACACAATGCGGTCCTCGAGCACATGGAAGACCATGTTGAGCCACCTCAGCAAGCCCGCCTGCATGTTCAGCGACGGCTTGAGCGCGCCATGCCCCAGCGCCGCCACGACGCGCATGACGACGTTGCGCGACACCTTGTCCCGCGGGTACAGGTTGCGCACGAGCGCATTGAGGCTGGCTTGGTCGAGGAGGCTCGGCGCCGCGATGAGGTCGACGAGCTGCGCCAGCGCATCGGGCAGCAGGCCCCGCTCGTACGCGAGGGAGGCGAGCCGTGCGACGGTCGGCTTGATGTCGGCCAGACGGGCCTTTGGCGGGATCCTAGACGCTGACTTGCGGTGAGGGACTGGGCTTTGGCCGGAGCGACGGGGGGCTTACCACCGACGACATCCTGGACGAGGAGGTTGATGTCTTGGTCATCGGCCGGCGCCATGTCGCGTCATTGGATACGGAGTGTGCGTGTGGTGAAAAGCAAGCTGCATTGCGTCGACGAGACATGGAACAGCACGGAGCAGGTTGACGCGTTTTGTCGGCCCGGCGCGTGATGCCGTCTCTCCCCGCCAAAGTGGAGCTCAGTGACACCACCCCCCTCCGGCACCCGAGGATCCGCTGCCCGCCTGTGCCCCGGACCAGGACTCCCATATTCTACAGACTACAGTACAGTACACTGGGTGACTCTGAATCTCCAAACGCTCATTCTTCTCCACTCGATTCATTCTCCAACTAAAACGTGTCCCCGGCCCGCGTCTGCCTCAACCTTGGCAATCCTTGTTCGAGCCATAGTATTCGATGCCGCAAGGGACGCCACTCTTAACAAATGCCAACCCGCCCTCAGTCCTCGAGGACATTTTCGTTTCCAAGCAAACAGTAGCAGCCCAACTATGCCTATGAAAAAGAGGCCTCTTGGCCAGCAAAACTTTTCGTATCCGACAAGGGTTCCCTCCCTTTCCTCACCCGACGCCGTGCATATGCACTCCATCCATCATCATACATCGTGCTCTTCTTCTTCTTTTTCTCTTTCCCGGTCATTCGGCCCTTGTGTCCCTCCAGACGATTCGACAACGTCAAGCAACAAGTCCGCCCTCATGCCCACTTGGAAAAGTCGACAGACTCCACCAAGGGGTTCACGCCCGTCGTCGGTGGTAGCTCCGTGTCGTTTGACGTGGCCGACGTGGACAGCATCGACGACCGGTGAGACGTCTGCTCGCTTGTGCTCGTAAAGAACGTAGCCACGCTCGTCCGGCGCAAGCTGCCGAAGCTATCCCTCACGCTGCTGCCGGGCCGCGGGGCCTCCGTCTGTGGAGCCTGCGCGGCCCCGCCGAGCCACGACGATGTCGGCGGAGACGAAGCCCGGGTCGTTGCTTTCGGCCCGTGCTTGTCGCGCAGTCGTTTGATCTCCCGAAGCCTGGCACTCCAAGAGCTGATGTGCTCCCCGCCCTCTCGGTTGTGCCATACCACCGAAAACATGGAGGCGTTGAGGGCGAGGAGCCGTATGAAGCCGGGAAGCGCCTTGAGCGATATCATCTTGGTCTCCGAGGCCGGTGATACCTCTGGGAACCCGGGCTTGCTCATCACTTGCACCCTGTAAAACGGCTGCTTCTGGCTCTGACCTCTGCCGGCGTCCGCCTCACGCATCGCGATGAACGAGGCACGCGACGCTGGCGTGATGACAATGTTCACAAAATTGAACTGACTCGGGAACGTGTCAAACTTGAACGGAAGACCCGAGTCGTTGAAGATGATGTTAACAAAGTCGTTGCCAATGTGCCTCTTCTTCAGCGTGCAGTTTGGATCCCGCTCCAAGTTGGTTGGCATCTGCGTCGTCACGTGAAAGACAATCTCCGTCACTCGGTCCCGCCAGCAGAACGTGTACTGGCCGTCCGTGTCGTACTCGCGGTCTAGACCCTGTGTGTTGAATTTGGCTCCCTTGAGCTTCGTCAAGGTTCCCAGGTTGTTGAGAAACTCGAGATAGTCGTTACTCCCAGACACATTGGCGAGTATATCGGCCTCCTCGGTCTGACCCTCGCCGATGTAGATGACGCCTACCTTGTGTCCGTCAAGGCTCGAACTCCTGTCAAACACCCTGATGGCTCGGTCCGTCGCCTCGTCGTCCGGTAGAGGGATCGGCCGCGCCGACTCAAACGTCTGCGGCACCGGAGACATGAGCTGAACGAGTAGGTGGCTGGGCAAAACAGCGTTCGACGTCTCCTGGCCCTCGCGGCTGACGTCAACATAGGCCTCCGTCTGGTGAGGCGGGGGCGGCGTGAATGTCTCGCGGATGGTATACGCAGAAGTCCCCGAAGGCTGTCTCTTGACGATTTGAGCCCACCCGGAGCCCGTGGCTTGCTTAACCGTAATGAGGCTGTTGCCCAGGAGCCACTGCTTCTTGCCGATGGTGCCGAATCGATCCTCAGTAAAGTAGGGGTCCTCGGCCGATTCAGCCACGTCAGCGTACGTGACCCTTTGCATAAAGTCAATGGATGTGAGCGTCTGGTCGTCCGCGGTTTGTCCGCAACTGTCGCCGTCCGAGAAAAGCTTCTTGACAATCCATCCCACGTGGTTGGCTCTATCTTGGAGTTTCAGAGCGAGGAACCAGAACAGTATGACGTGGTATGCCAGCGCGTGGACGTATTGCGGAAGATCGTCGGACGGGTTCGTGCCAGATGGCTCCGCAGGGTTTGAGCCCGGCGTCGTCGCCGCCGTCGAGACTTCGCTGACGTGGCTGCTGCGATTCGACTGCCTCTTCTCTTTGGCGTACTCGAGGTAGCGGAAGCAAATGCCAAACACAATTCGAAAGTCGTCCTCTCGAAAATTGACAAAGACATCGTGTAGTCGGCTCAACGAGGCAAGGAACTCTAGGATGTGGACCGAGACGTGAGGCTGCGTGATGATTGCTGCCATCTGGTTAAGCATCTGAATCAGAGACTTGCTCGTGGACAAAGGCAGCTCGTGGCAGCATATGGACAAGGCGTGAATGCAGTATTTGGCTGTCCGCTCCCATGCGGCGATGCCAAGAACAAATATCTTGACGATTTCGTCCTCGTCACTCTTGGAGAAGTGTTCGTGGTAGCTTAGAATCATAGTCAAGCTATGGAAGAGACAGATGGCCACGTCTGCGCGGCGGAGTCCCGAGGCGTTTGGCGGCTCCTGGAAGCCGTTGGTCCGAATTTGTTCGCAAATGATCCTGCGCAGTTCCTGGATCTGGGGGATGGCATCTCTGAAGATGGCGTGGTTGCTTAGCTGCGATGGAAGATGAACCAAGACGAAACTATACACCTCCCAGTCGCTCCCTTGAAGGATTGACAAGACTGCGTTGAGCCAGGCCGACATATTTAGGGCGGAGCTCTCTGAAGCTTCAGGGCTCTTGGAGCTTGGCTCGTCATTGGCCGCTCCTTGTTCGTGGGATACGTGGGAGACTAGAATAGGGCTGATGAGCGCGGGAATCGCATCTGGCAAAGCTTCTGCGTCCGAGCAGCTCCACATCTGGCGATATCTCTGCTGCACGCTCTTGGTGCCGCTTGGGGTGCGAACGGGGATGCCTCTCTCGTGGGAGGGCCCCTGACCAAAAGAGATGCCGCGTGACGAACGCGACTGACCTCCGTGTTCGCTTTTCGACAGCCGAAACGTCTGGGCAGCCTCCTCCGCTTGCTTCTTGGCAAAAGATGCGCCTGTACGACACAGGGTAGTCGCAAGAAAGCTGTTGTCAGGATCGTCCGTGACGAAGACTCTGTTAGCCCAGTCTGCACGGAGCCGGAATAACAGTTTCATGGCTGTGAGCCGGGCATCGACTTCGCAATGGCTTGGCTTGGCGATGCTGACGAGCGCGCTGAGGAGCCGCGCGCTCTTTTCACCATGACTGTTGATGACCTGGAGAAACATCTTGACGTAACCTTTGGTCACGACGTTTGACGGCGATTGGTCCACGGAGGAGTTGGAGGGGCCAGGGCCGCCGGGTGACATGATGGCGGATGTGGCCGGAGATGATATGGGCGACTTGAGCCGATCGTTGACCACAATGCCCCTGAGCGTGTTGATGATGTAGTCGAATAGCTCCATGTCACAAGACGTGACGACAGAGATCATGAGGGACATGATGGCTTCCAGCACCGGCACATCCATCTCCTCGGCAACGTTTTGGAGAATGCTCTTGGCCAGGCGGGGAATGAGGTTCTGCTCTGCTCCGTCACCGACGAGGTCGACGATTTCGTATGCGTCCATGGTAGTCTGCAACGCCCGAAGGCGTGTTTCCGAGCTTCGCTTGCGGTTGCTGAAGAAGGCTTCCAGCACCAGAGTGAGGTTCTCCTCCCATCGAAGGTCAGATGGTGAGCAGCATCGAAACTCCTGAAAGTAGTCCAAGACCGTCCTCACTGCTGCGTCAGGAAGAAGGGGGTGTACGTCGGTGAAGAATCTGATGATGGATTCTCGAGGAACAAACTCGCCCGACCTTTGCTTGACAATGGCATCGAGGCGGTTAATGAGTGTAAGAAGCTCTCGGTCCACCATGACCTCTGGCAGCTCGTCTTTGGTGAAACTGTCACGTCTCCTCTCCATATCGCTATTTACCCTCTTGCCGCATTCAGCCGCCACCTCCAAACACACCGACCAGTCTTCATCGACAATCAGGCGATGGACTCGCCCGCGCCCATCGTCAAATAACAAGTTCACGAGTTGAAGAACGGACAAGTACACTCTGGGCGACGGCGTTGCCCTGAGAGCGTTGGACAGCCCGTCGACGAGGGGTGCGTACGGGACAGTGGGGTAGCCCTTGTCCGTAGATTTGGACATGAGTTTCTGAAGAACTGCGAGAGCACCCTTGATCTCTCTGCTCGTCTCTCCATCCTTGACTCCGTCTGCGGGACGGTTACGGAGAATGTCGAGCACGATGCGGACGACAACTTGGCCATTGTGAGATTTGCAAAGATTGGCAATGGTGTGCCACGAGTTCTTCTGCAGCGCCGGCACCAGACAGTAGATGGAAGAAAGCACCTGGACGCAATTCTTGAGCCTGTTTTGAGGAATCGACCCAAAGGTTACAACGGCATCAAGCATGCCGATGCAGCTCCGGAGGTCATCCTCGACGCTGGTGTTCATGCAGATGGCCAGAAGGCTCTCAATGAGCTCCGTGACAGAGCTTTCATTTGCGTTGTTGAAGCTGAATTTGATAACGTCGTGGAAGAACTGGAAGAGCTGTGCCAGATTCTTCTCCTCGCCGGACGCGGCCACTCGGCCCCTAGACGAGCTCCTCTGACCCCGATTCGATTGCGCTTGTCTCCGTGCTCTCCGGGCCGCCCTATATGCCGTCTGAACCCAGCTAGTCAAGAGCGGGACGAGGTCGTAGTCGAAGCCAGCAACGACTCGGCCGTGGTTGGTCAGGTCGACGAGTGCCGCAAGTTGAAGATGGAAATCTTCCGGACTCGCTGGTGAAGACAGGGTTTGGAAGTACTCCTTGCGCTCCAGATCGGTAGATGAGGGGTGCTTGGCACACTCTGTCAAGAGTTCCCAGCCAGCCGTCCGCATGGGCGCTGAACTAGAGGAGTCAATCATGTCCTTGGCGGCATACCATATGTCGAGAACCGGGTTCACACGGTACTCGGAAATGGCATATTTGAGAGTGCCGGCGGCGGATATCCGTTCGTTGGGAGTGCCGCTTCGGAGGAGCTCCAGGGCATCCATGTGGTTGGTGGAGAGCTCACGAGAACTCGTTGGGCTGGCATTGACAAACTCGGTTCTCGGCGGAGCGGCGGCCGGGGATAGGAACTGGGGGGATCGATCGGTGCTTTTGGAGCTGGTCAAGGTACGAAAGACGTTGGCGAAGCCACCTTGGCGTGCCGAGCCGGGCGAAGAAGTATCATCTTCGGGCCGCGAGGACATGTGCTCGTCTGACGATGGCTCAATCGCAACAGCCGCGGGTGGCCAATCTGCCTCTGTTGAAGACGTCAGCAGGGATTTGAGGGGCGCAGATGCCTGTGCTGCTCTCTGCTTGCGATAAAAAGCCTTGGGGGCGCAAAGCAAGGACGGCTTGGGGCTGGCTGCACGAGGAGGAAAGGGTCTGGTGGGATGCAGATGGCAGCAGCGCCAGATCGAGAGCTAAGCCTGTGGTAGCGGTAAAAGCGAGTGCGGGCCTACCTAACAATCAAGAACGATTCTGCCTGCTCATTAGGGGGAAATGTGAGCTCGGACGATCAGAGGTGATGTGGTGATGTGGTGATGTGGTGATGCCGAAGAAAGGGTGCCGTGATGCGCGCGATACGGTTGTACGTTAGCTGCGGTTGAAGCTTGCGTGCTGTTGCATGAGGTTCTCGCGAAGATGAAGACGGGAGGTTCGAGCGGATCGGGAGACGGAGCTTGAAGGATTCGAAAACGTTGGAAGTCAAGAGGCCAGAAGATGGGCTATGGACATTCAGTTATTAATCCATGTCTCTGCTCGAGGTCGTCTGCGGACCGGGTGGGGTGATTGCGTCGTGTACCTCGCTGATAGCTGACGGTACCTGAGCAGCTGCTGGGCATGTACTACACACCCAGGGCTTGGGCCTGTACTCCCCAATAGATGCTGAGGTACCCCCAGTCTCCGGCGCTAGGCTTGTCGCCTCCATTTGCGACGTCTCCAGCTGACCTCGGCCGCCTCTAATCCTCTTCCCATGTAACTCTAAATATCTGCAAGGTACACCGGGGATTCCAGGTGCATGCCGTTCGTACCTGGCGAGGCAGGCTGTCCGTTCCGAGATACATCCGCTGCATCGAATAGCGCCAAAGAGTGACCTCTGGCCGCCCTCGAGCCAATGGCCCGTGACACCAGCTGATGCACCTCATTCTCATATGACCCTTGTCGACGGCCTCGCACCATCCCCAACGTCCGCTAATGACTTGGATTTGTTCGGGTTTTTTTTTTTTTTTGCAAGGAAACTCGCTGAGGCAGCTGAATGTGCCTCCATGCACGGCCCAGACATCGTGGTCAAGGCAGCACGCTGGCCACGGCGGCTGAAGCCGGGGTTTGCCTCACCAACACCTTACCTTGAGATGGAAACGTGGCTGCAATGCAGTCTTATCCGCAGCACCCGGCAGAGACAAAGGGCTGTCCGACCGCCGACCGATTTGCCGGGCTTTGCCTTGTCTCGTCGGCTTCCGGCTATGCGCCTCCAACGTGGTGATGAGTAACACTTGGCGAACTCTGGCTGGTCCAGCGTGGCTCGCTGCAAAGAGGTCGATGCTCAGTCAAGTCGGAGGCCAGAATACCATAAAGAGGGTTGTTGCTGCACCACGTGCCTTGATGTAGAAATGCCGGCTACTGGAAAAAGACAAGACTTCGGACGTAGATATGGAGCTACCTTACCGAGGCATGAAGCGCTAGCTCCTTGAAAAAGGCAGCTCGGAGATAAAATCAGCCTTGCTACCTACCTAATAGCTTGCTGGCTGACGGGCGGGCAGATGGACATACCGGTCTGTACAGTCAAGCTGATATCAATTCAAACGAAAAGAAGGAGCCTTAGGTAAGCAATTGACAGGCAGCGAGTGACAGACAACAGCTCCCGGGCCGTTTGGTTGCCGTGCAATGCCGTACCGTACAGCAGGCAGGTAGGTACCTTGCTCTGCACCCTAGCTCGTACCCAAGGCTAGTGGCTGTCCACTGAGGGGCGGTGATGGGCTTCAACCTCAAAAAAGTCTCGTCGTGCGCAAACATCCTCGCCCATTCAACCCTCGTCCTGCACCGCCGTTGTGCCAGCATCATCGCCACGTTGCAGCTCTCTCTCTCGAGACCTCACGATGGCGGCTGAAATTGGCCACATTGCCGAGTTGCTCAACGCAACCCTCGATTCCTCTCAGCACCGAAAAGGTGAGCAAGCCTGCTCCGTTCGCCCCGCCGCTCTCTGTGCTCATCAACAAACAAATCTTCAGCCGAGAACGCTCTCAAGCAAGAGGCGGCCAAGCCGCAATACTCGCTAACCCTCCTCAACATTGTCAATTCCGAATCCCTCCCCATCAACACCCGACTCTCTGCTGCCTTGGCCTTCAAAAACTTCATTCGATACAACTACGTGGTGCGTCCCCGACAGCCGACCCTCTCTTGACCGCTCACGAGGCTGAATCGCTCTCTTTGCAGGACGAAGATGGCAACTACAAACTAGCGCAGGATGAGGTGCACACCATCAAGGAGCGCCTCATTGGCCTCATGATCTCGTGCCCTTCCAGCGTCCAGAGCCAGCTCGGAGAAGCTATCAGCGTCATTGCCGACTCGGACTTTTGGAGACGATGGGACACCCTTACCCAGGTAATGCCCCTATTTGCTCATGGCGCGTGAACCGCGCGGTGGCTGACCCTTGCGTTGCACAGGAACTTGTCAGCAAGTTCTCCACTACCGACCCCAAGGTCAACATAGGCGTCCTGGAAGTCGCGCACTCTATCCTCTCCCGTTGGAGGCCGCTCATGCGAACCGACGAGCTGTACACCGAGATCAACCACGTCATTGCCACATTTGGCCAGCCATTTGTCCAGCTCCTCGTGGTAAGGGCTCGCTTCTACCCCCGTCTCTCCTCAGCTTCTTCTCACGCGTACTAGACCACCGACCGCAAGATTGCGCAAAATGCCGATGACAAAGTTGCCCTCAAGGGCTGGTTCGAGACGTTGGATCTCCAGATCAAGATTCTGCACGACATGTCATCGCACGACCTGCCTCCAATCTTTGAAGAAAACCTTGAAAGCATCTCCAGCTTGCTGCACAAGTACTTCACTTACTCTAACCCGAACCTGGAAACCGACGACGACAGCGAAGCGAGCATCGTCGACACCGTCAAAGCAGACATATGCGAACTGCTCGAGCTCTACACGATCAAGTACGACGACGACTTCTCCAGGTTCTGCGACCCCTTCATCTCGAGCGCGTGGAATCTGCTGTCTTCGACTGGCCTGGAGACAAAGTACGACAACATCGTCAGCAAGGCTCTTCACTTCTTAACCGCCGTCGCGTCCACCTCTCAGCATGCGGGCAAGTTCAACGACGAAAACGTCCTCACCCAGATTGTGGAAAAGGTCATCCTCCCCAATGTCGCCCTGCGAGACTCGGACATGGAGATGTTCGAGGACGAGCCCATCGAGTTCATTCGGCGCGATCTCGAAGGGTCCGACACCGACTCGAGGCGCAGATCTGCGACGGATTTTCTGCGAAAGCTGCAGGAAAGGTTCGAGTCTCTGGTCACCGTCATCGTCTCCCAATACATCGAGCATTACCTCACCCAGGCCAAGGCAGACTGGAAGGCCAAGGATACGGCAATCTACCTGTTCCTGTCTATTGCGGCCAAGGGTGCGGTCACGGCCGCGCAGGGTGTCAAGACTGTCAACCCGATGCTCAACGTGGTCGACTTTTTCGAGCAGCATATTGCCTCGGACCTGGTGGGCAGCGACCAGGTACAGCCCATCTCCAAGGTCGATGGCATCAAGTACCTCTATACCTTCCGCAGCCAGCTGTCGAAGGAGCAATGGAAGCTCGCGCTGGGTCCGCTCGTCCAGAACCTGAACTCGTCCAACTATGTCGTCTACACGTACGCCGCCATTGCGGTCGAGCGTGTGCTATTCTTGGCCGACGACGCCGGCAACCAAATGTTCCCGCGCGCGGATATCGAGCCTTTCGCCAAAGACCTTTTGACGCATTTGTTCAAGCTGATCGAGAAGGACACGAGCCCGCCAAAGCTGCAGGAGAACGAGTTCTTGATGCGATGTGTGATGCGGATCCTCATCGTCATCAAAGACGGCGCCGCGCCCATGCTGGACAACGTTTTGACTCATCTGATCCTCATCACCAACGTCATGAAGCAGAACCCGAGCAACCCCAGGTTCTATTACTATCACTTTGAGGCCATGGGCGCCCTGGTCCGCTATTGCTCGACGACTAGCGCCACTCTCTTCAACGAGAAACTGTGGGACCCGTTCCACAAGATCCTGGCCGAGGACATCACCGGTTCGTTTTGAGGCAGCTGATGAGCATATCGAATATTTGTGCTGATGCCATCGTCAGAGTTCATTCCCTACACCTTCCAGATTCTCGCGCAACTGCTAGAGTCAGCCCCGTCCGAGGCCATTTCGGACAACTTCAAGGCGCTCCTCGGTCCGCTGCTCACCGCACCCTTGTGGGAGACCCGAGGCAATGTGCCAGCCTGCACCCGGCTGCTGTCCGCAGTGATTCCCAAGGCGTCCAAGATCATCATCGCAGAGAGTCAGCTGGAGCCCGTCTTGGGAATCTTCCAAAAGCTCCTGAGTGGGAAGAAGTCGGAGTTGCAGGCATTTGACATCCTCGACGCCATCATCCACTCTTTTGAGCCGTGAGTCGACCGAATTCACCTTCCATGGGTTGACGCACTGACTTTGTCTTGGCAGGGCGACACTGGACAATTATATGGGCACCATTATTCAACTGCTCTACACGAAACTGCAGGGATTCCCCACGGACCCGTTCAAGCTCCGATTCGCCCGATTCTATCATCTCGTCGGGGCAAAGCTAGAGGCTGGCTATGGTGCCGACTACTTCATCAAGCAGTCTAACCAGGTGGACGAGAGGGCCTTTACCCAGGTCTACCCGCCCTTTGTCCTTGCCGAGACGGAGAAGCTTGCGAGGCCGGTCGACCGCAAGACGGCCGTGGTGTCCCTGACCAAGACGCTGTGCGACTCGGAGGCGTTTGCACAGAAGTTCATGAAGGGATGGGCCAACAGTTGTCGGATCCTGCTCTCTCTGCTCGCCAACCCACCGACGGTGTCGGCCGGGATGGACAACGAGATCATCACCGAGGCCTCTGTCGACGACATTGGGTTCGGGCTCACCTTTACCGCCCTCAACACGTGCAGGCCCCTGGCGTGCGACGACTTTCCCGAGATCGTCGACGTCACGAAGTGGGTCAGGGAGTACATGGCCGCGGCCAACACGCGCCACGGCGGCACCGTCGAGGGCTTCATCACGCAGCGGCTTCCGCCCGAGCAGCAGGAGGCCATTGCGCAGTACATGCGCTAGGCTGGCGAGCCGTGGCCGGGGACGATTCCGACGAGAGCGGGTGGGAGGCGAGATGATGTTGGAGATTCAGCGGAGCAGAACAAGCCCGAGATGCCCGTAGAGCGGCCGAGACATAAGGGGGTTACGATACCAGTGGCTGCGAGTTTTGAGAGGGAACTGGGGGCTGCAATCAGGCAGCGAAAAAAAAACATCTGACGGCAAGATCAGAGCAAAATGGTTACGTAGGGCAGACTTGGTGGATGTAAGCTTGCTATCAGATATGGACATGGAGCAAAGCTCAGGAAACCAAGGGGCATGCCAAGCCACCCTTAACATCACGCGTCTACAGCTCCCGCGACGGTGCCGCCATGTGAAGCTCGGCTTACGAGGATGACAATATGTGCATTTCGTTACCCTCACACCGCGAGTGCGCCACCCGCCAGCCCGGAGTTGACCAGAACAGGGCCACTTCAGTTCCAGAGAGAGAGAATAGGTATCGTTGGAACAGGGAAGAGCTCCTCCAAAGAGGAATCTAAGAATTATGGCAAACAAAGCGGCTAAACACCAGAAGAGAAAAAAGTCTCCGGCATGTAGTAGTCGTCGCAGCGCTCATCATGTATCTGGTAAAAAAAAAGCCTTTCGAATGCTCGCCCAGTCGTCGCCCCTGTCCCCGCATCGAGAGGGGAAAGAGCACGTGTGTGGAACGTCAAGAAGCCTCCGAGAAGAAGAAAATCACTCCAAAAGAAAATAGTCCACCCGGTTCTATTCATAACAGCGCTCCATTCATGGTGGTTCGCGAGATGACGACGCCGCTCTCCAGTCCTCGACTTGGATGCGAAAAGAGACCGAGAGGGGCAGGTCAAGGAAACAAGGGGAGCAAATGGGTGTAAGGGGTGGGTATTGCGCTTCGTCGTAAAATCGTGCAGTATCAATTCGTATATGCATCATCGTGGCCCCTTGCGTCGTCTCGACCCACAGCGCCAGCTGTGTGTGGGGGGGGGAGGTTTAAAGATCAAATAAGGCCGCCCTCGGCCCCGACGACCCCGACGTTGCCGCGCCAGCCGCATCTTCGGTCGCTGTCGCCGCTTCTCGGCTGCGGGGATGACGGCGATGGCTGTCCGGCAGCGGGAGCCGTCGCAGGACCGGATATAGCACCGCGCGACGTCAGGTTCGCCCTGGGGGCTGACGGTGGCTGGCCCTCAATCTCGCTGCTGCCACGGTTGCTTCCGGCGCTGACGTTGGTCTGGACCAGCAACAGGCTGCTGCTGGTGCTAGACAACCTCTTGGTGAACTCGGTGAAGCTCAGCCCTTTGGCGCTGGAACCCGAGTGGCGCTTCTCCCCGCCAGACGTCGCCTGGCTCGCGCTTGCGCTCGACTTGGCGGCCCTCTTGCCACTGCCGCTGCCACTGGCCGCCGATCCGGGGAGGTCGAGACTCGTGTTGGCGGCGGAGGCGATGCGAGGTGCGCTTTGTGTGCGGTTGGCGCCGGGTCGCGTCTTCGCGTGAGCAGTGTGAGGGCGTGACGGCGGCGGTTGGTTTCTGGACGTGGCGTGGGCTGGCCCGGCATGATAGCTGAGGTGGGTACGGGACACGGATGGGCGGTGCGATTCAGACTTGCGATTCGATTCGTGGCGGCCAGCAATGAACGCCAATGCCTTTTGAGCTCCAGGGGACATCAGTGGCGCGCTGGCAAAGTCGTCTTGGACTTGGGAGGTAGCGTCGCTGTCAGCGTCCGAGCCGTTTGCATCGCGTTGGTCCGCCTCATCCGATTCGGCATCGTCGTCGTCGTCGTCGTCGTCGTCGTCGTCTGAGCTGTCATCCTCGTCAAAGGCGCTGCGCATGGCCGCCTGCTCAGCTCGGGCAGCCGCATCCTGTTTTTTCCGCCTCTCCTCGGCCTCACGCATTAGCGCGTCGAACCTGGCTATGGAGCTCAGCTTCTCCTGACCGGGGATGTACATTTCCGCCCCCGGGATGTGCCCTAGCTGGAAGGCCCTGTCGAGAATGGTTTCTCCGGGGGCGGGAGGAGAGGTGGCATCGTTATAGGCGGGGTAGGGACCCTGAGAGCTGGCGCTGTCTCGCCCCCCTCGGGTGGGGGAGCTCAAGGCCGAAGAGCGGCCCTGGGCTGCCGTCCATCCTTCAATAAACTCGCCGCGGTACTCGCCGGGCGAGGCCGTCATGGGCAGAACCGTGGTGTAATGCTGCTCCGGGATGCCAAAGGGCAACTTGTGCGCCGCGTGGTTGTTGCTCGAGGGCGAGGAAACATCACTGCGTTTGGATCGGAGGCTGGGCGACTCAGAGCTGAAGGTGGCCGGACGATCGCGCAGCCCCGTCGAGTTCGAGTGGGTAGCCGTCGAGCTCATGTGCTGAAGCAGGCGACTCCCGCTGCCGGGTCGCTGACCATTGTCCGAGTTGTCTCGAGATCGGCCCGAGTAGGGGGTTGTGGCGACGGGGGAGACGGGGCCGTCGGAGGAGTTGGCGCCCTTCCTGGCCAAGATGAAGCGCGCCCAGTCACGCAAACCGGGACATTGATCGTCGGAAACAGTGCGAAACCAGAGAGTGGTGGTGCCGGAATCCTTGTTGGCGGAGATGAAGCCGGTAGCGCGGCCCGATCTGCGGCGTCGCTCCTTGTCGGAGATGGTGATGACGAGGGTTGGGAGGACGGGGCCGTGCTTGCGGTTGCTGACCAGCTGGATCTGGCAATCCGTCACACATCCGAGGGGCCATTGTTGGATGAAGTCGCTGTCGTCCTGAGGGCCATGTCAGGGTCGTCTCTCGGAGGGCGGGAGAGACGAGGGATCATACCTTGGACTTGTACACCGAGAGGCAATCGTCGCTCGTCGGGACCTTGGCGAGGGGTCTGGGGGCGAAGCTGTTGGCGCGACCCGAGATGACGCCTTGCGCGAAGCTGGTGCTGCCCTGACGAGGTCTGGTGTTTGCGGAGCGCGGCTTGCCGACGACGACATATCTCGGCTGAAGGGAGGGTCCGGGAGTTAGAGATTCGAGTGGAGACAAAAGGGATGCACAGAGAATGTGAGGGCGGTGGTGATGTTCACGGGACTGGGGGACCGAGGGACCAACCTTCCAAGAAGCGCGGCCCAAGATCTGGGTGCGGTCCGGGGGGACGAGGAGAAGGCCGTCGAGGCCGTCGAGGCCGTCGATGGCCGCCATTGTGGAGTTGGAAGACTACGACCGACTAGTCGAGGGAAGAGGGCAAGACGAGGTCATGAGGAGCTGTCTTGTGGGTATGCCAAGCGCATCCTGAGAGAGGGCGCGCAGGTGGTGGAGGACTCTCTGCGCTTGAATGCTGACGGTGGCCTAGCAGCGCCGTCACTTGGGTGAAGCCCGGGCCGTATTGGTGGGATGCCAATCGTCGACGGTGGGCAGCGAGGTCGAAGAGGGAGAGCAGGAGGCGGCGGCGGCGGCAGAGGCGTGGGAGGAGGCGGAGAAGTAGGAGCAAGCAAAAGTGAGAAAGGCAGCGAGGCGCCGGAGGTCTGATGGGGAATAGGAGGAGGAGGAGGAAGGGGAGGAGACGAGGATGAGGAGGAGGAGAGAGGAGGATGAAGAAGAAGGAGGAGGATGAAGGAGGCGAAGGAGACGAGGGAGAGAAAGGCGGGAGCAAAAAGCAGCGCAAGGCTTCTAGAAGCAGAGTCAGAAGCAGAGCGAAATGAAGCCGAGGAGGAGAGAAGCAAGTCGACGGATGCTGCGGGTCATGGGCTTGGTGTTTAATCTCTTGCACCACTGCTCGCTACCGACCTTGGCAGCAGGGCTCGGTACCGCCAGCTACTGCCGAGGTACCGCGGCAAGGTGTGACGGGCGTGCGAGAACCTCCAATGCCAGAATTCCGGGCCAGAGTACATGGACGACGGTGATGGGCAAGTACCTGCCCGTTGGCCGCGAAGAAGAGCAGGAGCGAGTACGGATACGCGGCCCAGGTTAGGTAGGTACCCTGTGTCCGCCAGTACATGAGCGGTACCTGGGGCGGAGGAGTGGCAGGTCTCGGGCTCGTGGTCGGGCGGCGGTCGAGGGGCTGGTCATCTGAGCAGAGGTTCCTTGCCTGGCTGGCCAACGCAGGCCAAGGCAGGCAGCGACGATCCCGCCGTGGAGGCGCCCCCAAAGTCAAAACAAGGCGCGGCGGCCCCCCTTTTTTGCCCGTGCACCGAGGGATACCGGTACCTCGGGAGCACTGTAGCGGCAAAGTACAGGGCGGACGGGGAGTACATGGCGGTACACTTGTCTCTGCTGATATGGATGGACTGGCACGTTATACTGTCAGGGACCGATACTTCAGGTACCTAGTACCAAAGCAAGCTACCTACATGCTAACGTTCCCAGCTGCCATCCAGCCACTGGCAAGTCTAGGTAGGTAGGTACAGTACTGTACAGTATCTATGCAGGGCATGCCGGCTGCTGGATGATGCGATTGTGGCTGCTAGCGAAATGAGGTATGCTTGATATCCACACGAGCTACCTCTGTACTAGGCGGTTGATCTTGGGGCCAACGCAAACCAAGACGGGAGGCTCCATTTCTCTCGCTCTCCTCCGATGTGGTGCCTTGTTTTAGCCAAGGACGGATATGCAAGAGGAATAAACCAGTGGAGAGGCGCACTGTACAGGACTGTAGCTAATTACAGACGGTTTCGTCCAGCCCCCGTGTCCACTTTACCGAGACAGAATGTCTGTCTGGAAGCCTTCTCCGTGTCACATATTATTATTCTTGGGTGCCGTGTAAGCAAGCTCGACGACCAGCCCACGCATACCCGGGGTAGACGGGACGCGGGCGGACGGGGGACGCGGGCGGAACATGGTTGAGGACGAGGCACGCCGAAAGGAAGCCTCCTTCCAACCGGCTGGCTGCAGCGCGCACACACCCTCTCGCCGAGCCAGCTGAAGCCCGGGAACTAACGATGCGTGCCCGAGGTGGTGGTGGTGTCGAAGATTTCATGCAACTCGCCTTCTACATGACATACATACGCGTCAAAAGGTGAGTCTGAATCTCAAGACTTGCAGTCAATGTTTCAATCTTTGGCTAGGCCTGCCATCCACAACCCGGGTCGGACCCATGTCTGTGCCTAATGGAACGGCAAAAGGAAGAGGGGGGGAGACAACAAGGAAAAGAAAGACTGCTGCAGGACACGGATTGCCACGTGTGTCCATGTCCAAGGCAAAAGGGAGGGTGGATGGATGTGGGCAGCCTCACCTCTGCATAGCGTCCGCTCTCCCGCCCAATCCCGTGCCCCTTCTCTTGTCTCGCTCTCGCCGATCCTCCCCAAGGGACGAGTTCCGCCGCGTCGGGCATGAATGGGCTTCCGTCTCCGTCGTCGTCGTCGTCGTCGTCGTCGTCGTCGTCTGCTTGTCGTCTGCTTGTCGTCTGCTTGTCGTCCCCGAGCGTCAGGCAACCAACGCACAACCATGGGCAAAGATGGCAGTCAAGACGCAGCAACCAACCAAGCTGGCTCTCACTTGCCATTCTTGCCAATATTCATGCGTGTACTATTATCCTCTTATACTCTTGTTCCCTGTCCATCATCGTGGCCTGCTCTTCCCTCGGCCCCGCTCTCAGCCACTCTTGCCCCTGACCCGCCTCATAGGGCTTACAGTTGAATAGGTGACAGGATAATAGAGCTCCATGTTCGAGAAACCAGGCTCGATATTGCCAGTGTACTCTGAATTGGACATGTACTTGTCTTCCAAACGGCTATAACCGACGTCTTGTCCCGGACAGCCATGCCCCAAAGCACGACAGTCGAAACGCCTCGGGCGAATGGCACAGTTGGTTTCAACACCCATCATCTGATTCAAGCTGTCAACCAGGACGATCACGCAACGTCTTCTACAGCCGATTCAAGTGCGGCTTCCTTCCAACTAGCCGATTCGCAGACCAACAGCCCCAATCTGAGAGCTCCGGCTGCCGACGCAGAGACCCCCGAACTCAGCGCCCGAATCATCAACGGAGCCTCGATGGGGGTTTTTCTGGATTTAAAGCGACTACAACTTGCTTCCATAACCCTACTGACTGGGACAACAGTTTGTTGGGGCGATGGCGCTCAATTGGACCTGAAACGAAACCTTTGTTGGGCAAAGAGCTTCTTCCATGCTTATCGTTGCACCTTGCCGTCATGGCGTTTGCTCTCATCCCATGCCAAGCGTCTGCCGGCGTTTGCACCTGGCCTTGCAAGGTGGAGGTGAAATGGCCATTGTGCAGCCGGCCGTAGCAAACGGCACGCGTCCCCCCTGGCAACAGGTCGGGTGAACAGGACTGCTCGTTGCCGTCGCTCGTGATTCACTGTCACCACTTACGCCCAAACATACGGATCCATCTCAGTTCGCGTGTGTCGCCCAAGTTGAAACCCTCACTCAACCTTTCCCCTGAGCGACGAGGACAGTTGCTGCCGTTGCCCTCGATCCATCATCATCGAGGACTGACATCAGCTTCCCGCCTGGGAACGCCCCGCCTCAAAATGGACTCCAGAGACGTGTCCGACGCCTCCGACTACACTGCCTTCTTGGAGCGGATTCAAGAGGCGGCCGAGCGAGCCAGCCGAAGAGAGGGCGAGCTGGTGCGAGACCATCCCTCCCCCGAGCAACTCATCTCGGACTTCATGGTTAATCTCCTCGCGTCGACGAGGCTCCATTCCACGGCCGGCAGGGGCCTCTACGTTGCCACGTCGCAGGTCCCTCCTCCCTACACCCCCTGCGTCCGCTCCGCCAGCGAGCTCCGGCCCATGATGGTGTCCGGCATGAGGCTCGAGATGCATCACCGCGGCACCAAGACGCTGCTTCGCGTCCGCACGCCCCCGTCGCGCATGACGGCCGTCATGGCCATTGTCGAGGACGAGCAGGGCACCGCCGTGCTGCTGCAGCTGTACTGCCAGCCAGACGAGGCCGTGGTGCCGGCCAAGGAGATTGTGCGGCCCGATAGCGTCTGCATCGTCAAGGAGGCCTTCCTCAAGACGGCCAGCGACGGCACGTACTCGCTGAGGGTCGACCATATTAGCGACATCATCTGGCTCGACGACGCTGACGACCGTGTCCCGCTCAAGTGGAGGAAGCCGGCGTTGACCATGAGCAGCATGAGCAACAACATTCGCATGCAGGGCAACTCTGCCGTGGCCAGACAAAACTGGGCCGAGGCACAGCGCCTGTAAGCCTTTTCCCATGTCATCCTCACCTGATGATTTCTTTTTGCTGATGGGCTTCTTCCAGGTACTCGTCCGCCATCAAGGCGGCAGACAGGCACGAGGAGGCCCAGCTCGCCTACCTCAACCGCTCGCTGGCAAACCTCAAGCTCGGCCGTCCCAAGAAAGCCATCCAAGACGCGACCCAAGGCGGCGACGCAGCGTCCCCCTCGGAGAAGCAACTCTTCCGCGAGGCCCGCGCGCTCTACGAGCTCGGCGACTGGCAGCCGTCTCTGCTGAAGCTGCAGGCCCTCGCGGCGTCGCACCCGGACAACGCGGCCGTGAAGCCCGAGCTGGACCGCGTCATGGCACGGCTGCGCGAGCAGCAGACGGGCGAGTACGACTTCCGCCGCATGTACAGGCAGACCAGGTCGACGCCGCCGCTCATCGACTGCGCTACCTTTTCCGCGCTGGTCGAGGTGCGCGAGTCGCCGGGCAAGGGGCGCGGGCTCTTCACCACGGTGCCCGTGTCGGCTGGGCAGCTGCTCCTGTGCGAAAAGGCGTTTGCGTATAGCTACGTCGCTGACGGAGACGTCCACAGCGTGCTGATGAACATGAGCACCAAGAGGATGCTGGTGGGCGGCCAGGCTCAGCTCCTGACGCAGATTGTGCAGAAGCTCTATCACAATGGCCAGCTGGGTCATTCGTTTGCCGACTTGCACCGCGGCGACTACGCCATGGCTCCCGTCTCGGAGGCTGATGGGCTTCCGGTGGTTGATTCGTAAGTCGTCTCCTGTCTGCCGTCATGTCGAGCACGAAAGCTGATGCCCATGTCCAGGTTCCTGATTGAGAAAATCTTGTCCCTCAACTCCTTCGGCGCTCCGCGAACTAACCTCAGCTGGTACACAGACCTCATGTCGATGGGCTACAAGGCCATCAAGGACGACACGCCGCCCGGCCACGCGACGTGCGGCGTCTGGATGCTGGCGTCGCGCATCAACCACTCGTGCACCAGCAACTGCCGCCGCTCCTTCATCGGCGACATGCAGATCCTCCGCGCGACGAGGGACCTCGAGGCCGGCGCCGAGCTGCTCTTCAGCTACGCGCCGCCCGTGCCCATGGACTCGTACGACCAGGCCCAGCGGCGCTTCGGCCACTGGGGCTTCGCGTGCGGCTGCGAGCTGTGCACGCTCCGGAAGGCGACGCCCGGCGCGGCCCTCGCGCAGCGCAAGCTGTGGAACGAGCATCTCAAGGTCGCTCTCCGGGGCATCGCGAGCACCAGGGAGGTCAGCGCCCGGCGACTGATTGGGCGGCTCGAGGAAACGTACGCGGCGACGGCGACCAGCGCCCTCCGGATGGAGCTCTGGGACCCGTACCTTGCGCTGGGCGCCTACATGCTCGCCCGGAACACGCCGGCCGCGTCCATCAAGGCAACCGTCAGGGGCCTCGAGGTGCTGGGCTTCACCATGGTCGCGAGCCCGCCGCTGCAGGACGCGAAGCCGCCGCGGCTCGAGGTGACGCACTGGGGCATTGTCAACGAGTACACGCCCTGGGCCTTCTTCAACATGTACAAGGCCTACAAGGTGGTCGCCCCCGAGCTGTGCGCGGCTGCCAGGCAGCTGGTCGAGACTGCGTATAGCATGGTTGTGGGCGAGAAGGAGACGGTGCGCGACGTCTTTCCGGGGCTCGTCTGATGGATGTGCGGATGCAGGGAGGTGGTCAAAGGTAGGTGGTCAAAGGCAGTCTAGACAAGCAGCTCGGCCATGCGCCTATAGGTACTCATTTACTGTACTTTGGTTCTCCGGGGGAGCCACGCCGCATGGCCCCCGATGATGCTATTAATGCGTGGCGTCACTTGGCTGGATTGCTTTTTTTCTCTTGCCCTTCCTTGGCTTTGAGCGAGGGCATCTATCCTTTGGGCCATCAGATTTAAACTGCATCGTGGACAATGAGGCGGCCTCGTGCTTCCTTCCGACTTGTTGATGTGATCCCTTGACATGTTTGTCTGTCCCGACTCTCGTCCAACAACATATACGCCTTGTGCCACATGCCCTGAGAGCCAGAACCTTTCCTTCCGAATCAACCGCACCTTGGTTTCCTTTCTTTTTCCGTCACCGCGAGCCGGCTCTCTGGTTCATCTACTGCAGCTGTCTCGCCATCTGACCGTCGCGCCCCCTGCATGCATCCCCTTCCGTCTCTTGTCCTAATTCCTTCGTTTCTTTTTACCCTTCTAGAATATCGGCTCCGCTCCGCTCGCTCAAGGCCTCGATCGAGATATATCCGAAAATGACTCTAGATCTGACTTGCCCAACGGCCATCGTCCACGTTATCTTGACTCACAGACGTGGACACGAACCCCCACGCCTTCCTTGAGGCCCCGTCAGCCTCCCGCCACCTCCTTGTGCTGCCGCCATCTGCTGTGGATCCGATCCTCCTTGCCAGAAGCCTTGTTGCTCGTCTCTCTTTGCTTCTGTCTGCCCAATTTTCGGACACAGACGTGCCAAACTATCCATGTCTCAACCTTGCCTCACCGTACTGGCCCCTTGATGCCATCAAGACAATAAGCCAAGGGCATAACATTCTACGTATGCATGTGTTTACATGTATGCTTCATTACACAATAGAGGCACGTATGTCCAAAGTGCACCATGCGCGTACTTCGTATGCATGTACTTGCTCCGGCAGCACTTCCCGATCCGAGCGTGTTCTGTACAACCCCGAGACGCAATCTGCGAGTCAACCAGTCCCAAGGGCCACAGCCCAGCCCGTCGATCCGGGAACAGCCGGGCCACCTTCTTCCTTCGCCGGGACGTGGTACAAACGTGCCTCTTTGCCGTGCCGGCTTCCGTTGCCGTCCACCCGTCGCCGTTCCTGCGCCTTGGTGTTTCGCCAGTCCGCATGCGAGACACCACCACGGCCTCATCTCACAGCGCTTCCTTCCGCTCAAGTCGCTTTTGCATTTCCCGTCTGCAGTGCAGAGATGTTTAGTCTACCGTCCAGGCCTAACGAGCCCTCCTCACTGGTCCATCCAGCTCATTACTGCACATGACATCCCTGCATGCCGACGCTGCAACGCCTGAAATCAACGAACCACCACACTCGGACAACAAAGGCAAAGGGGGAAGAGGGGAAATACCAGGTGCGCGCTGGATGGAGAGTATGAACAACACTGTGCTGGGGATTAGAACGCACAAGGGGAAACGAGGTGCACACCTATGCTCGGGTCCAGGGTCCTGTCCATCGATACACTTTCTCTCCCCGTCTCCAAGCCCTCCTCGACGTCCCCTACGCCAAGAAAAACCCAAAGAGACTCTCGTGTAGCAAGCTCCTTGGCCTGTCGTGGTTGCCCAGAACGTGTCCGCATCCCTGCCGCTGCCTCTACACGTTGTCTGCGGAGCTTCGCCACCCGTTGGAAGACTTGGGGTGTCGAGCACGCAGCTCAGCCATCCCCAACTTGTTTGTCCAGCTGTGTCCACCAACGTCAGCCTCAATGCCACTCCGCCATCTCTCGGGCGCAGAAAACATACACCTTGACGAGACCGTCGTCTCCGCACGAGGCCAGCATGCAGGGGTCGGTTGGGTTCCAGCACACGGCGTTGCATCGCGGCATGTGCCCGTGCATTCTTTCCACGGCGGCGCCCGTGTTCTTGTGCCAGATGAGAACACTGCCGTCCTCACTTCCGCTGGCCACGAAGCTCTCGTTGGCGCCCCCAAACGAGCTCCGGATTAGAAACTTGCCTCCCTTGTGCCCCAGGAGCTTGTGAATCGGGTTCCTTGTCATCAGGTCGATGAGATGCACTTCACCGTCCTTCTTGTTCACAAGCAGATGACGCGAGTCTTTGCTGACGCTCACAGACGTTGGGCGCCCCCCCATGTCCATGTGGTACTCGAGCTCTCTCGTCAAGCCGTTGTAGACGTGAATGTTGGAGCTGTCATCGACGGCCGCGAGCCATCGCCCATCCGGAGACCCACAGAGATCCTGCACGCGGTGCTTCTTTTCCCACTCGATACATCCTTCGTCGTGCACGTTGAAGCTGCAGAGACTGTGGTTCTTGTCCAGAGTCCCGAGAACAAACGATGCGCCGTCCCCGGCCCAGACGCACCCGCTGACGGGTTCGTCAAACCGCCTAGTCTTCTTGATGAGGGAACCTGTCTGTGCAAAACTCGTCAGTGAAACACTCCCTCGTTTATCGCTGCGGAGCCGGCACTTACTGCTGCGTCCCAAAGCCGCGCATACTTGTCTTGCGAGCATGTGACAATCAATCTGTCGTCAGGACTCCAGGCAAGGTTTCCAACGCCATGCTCATGCTCTGTGAGCTCGTGGAGCAACGTGAAAGTCTTGGTGTCCCAGATCATTACACTCTCCCGGCTCCCGCAGGCGGCAATTTTAGATCCATCATTCGAAAACTGCACCTGCCAGACCTCGCCACCCAAGTCGTTGAGCTCGAGGGCTTTCTCCGCTGGGAAGTTGCGTCTGTCGCAGTTGTGGTCGGAATAGAGGGACGGCGACGAAGCCGCAGTGTGGTATAGGCACGTGTCGACCTGTGTCTGCTTTACTTGCTCGAGAAGGACGGCGAGGCGATGTTCCGGTAGCATGACCGAGGGCGATATGCACCCTGCGTTTCAGTTAGTGACAAACTGATACCTTGATAAGGCATCGCGGCAAGAGGGGGGGAACTCACGAGAAAGCTCGGATAGAAGCCGTTTGCGAGACTGACCGCGTGCTCCGTCCCAGTTGGCTTTTGCCATGAGGTCCTCGACGGTGCGACACATGAGCAGACTGGATAGGAAATGGAGCTTGCTCGTGTCTTGATACAAGGGCGTCAGCTCTCCTCGCAACACCACGAGCGCGCGACTCGTATCCCTTTGCTCTAGGAGCTCGAGGAACTTTTGTTGTCGTAGCCAAAACTTCATGACGTTGCGGTCCGAGCCTGCGGCAAGAACCAGCCCGTTCCCCCCGCCTCCGCGTCCCTCCGAAATGGCAGCGCCGGCCAGCAACTTCTCAGCCTCGGCCCAGAGGCCGTCAAGGACGGCGGACCGAAATGCAGCCACCGTGGGGCTCTCGAGATTGAACCCGCTGTCCCGGCTGACCATTTCCGCTGCCGCTCGATAGCCCATGTCCGACAGGGCCTGGATCAATAATCGCGTAACCTCCTCCGGGCAGTGCCCAAAGTAAGACAAAGGCTGCTGGACGGCCGGCGTCGGGTTGGCCTTGTCCCCCAGGGAAGAGCCGTTGGTGGACGGGGCGGCCTTGTGCGTGCCATTTGTGACGCCTGACATGGCCGTGTGCTGACTTGCTAGCAAGTTGGAGCCGTTTGACCTGGTCATCGCATGGCCGTTTGAATGGCCGGGCGCGTCGCCGTCGGGCAACATGGCGGTGTCGTCGCGTCGCCTTCGCTTAGGAGGGTGCTGTGAGGATCCTGCGGCGGCAGGCGCAGCGTCAGACCGGACGGCTGACGCGGCAAGATCTTGCGGCGGCTGGAGGCCTGAGGACCGCCGACGTCGTCCCAAGACTCGCGGCGGCGGGCTGGAGGCTTGGGGAGCGCTGCCTGTGGAAGATTCTATGTTCGCAAAGGCGGTGGCTCCGGAAGAAGCTCCTCGGTCGGATTCAAGCGGCGTGGGGGGGTTCGGGGCTGAGAGGACTGTGCTGGAAGAGAAATTTGCAGGATGCGGGGTGGATGGGTCGTCGGAGGCGTCAATGGGAGAACGAGGGTCGCGAGATCGCTCCACGTCGACCTCTCCGCGGCCTGGAACCGCGGCAGGACTCGAGGAGCTTATCGAGAAAGCCTGGCTAGGAGCCGAGGGGGAGCGGCGTCCGGCGAGGGCTGAGGCCTGGACCAGACGTCAAGGACAGGGCGAGTCGGCTCGAGGGGCTCGTCGTCTCTGGGCGTAATGCTTCACGGGCCGGCCAAGTCTGAAGACGTCTCCTGCCTGGAGCAGCCGGGGCAGGGACGCACATGTGAAGGTCCGTTGGCTGATGATGGTTGACGTCCGCTGGCCAGTAGCGGTGCTGTGGCCGTGACACGATCCAACGTCGCTCGCTTCTGGAGACGAGGGGCGATATGCTTCTGTCTGCTAAGGTTGTGAGGCTGCAAGAGGTCGAGGGAGGTGGTTGAAAGAGGGCCCGGTCGGCTCAACCTACAAATGGCGGCCAGCGGTAGGAGCACCCCTCTGCCAAGTGCTGAAGGACGTGCTTGGTGCTTCGAGCCCCGTACCGGTACCAGCTGAGAGGCTGCCACATTGGCGGCTGGCCGGGGCACGGTACGTACTTGACGCGCCGCTCTCGAGTGGGCCCCTGGAAGGGGTGCATGACCAGCGCTGAGGCTCCGTAGTGGCGGAGACTCCAGGCCTCGCAGCATGCTAAAACAGGTCCGGTGCCCCCTGTAGGCCCCAGAGCCCTGTTGGACCTAGCTGGCCAGTGGCCACCTGCGCTCTGTCTTTGGCTCGCCGGCTGCCCCGTCTGCCCGCTGACCAAGGCAGGCCTTTTACAAATGGTACAGTATTTAGTGGGCTGCCTACTAGAAAACACCAGCAACTTCCAAGCGTTCACGTCCATGGTCCGGTTCATCCAATCCGTTTCGTCTCCTCCCTCCTCACCCTCTAGCTAATTACCACTTTGCAAAGCGATAGCGTCTGCATGCATGCCTACTTGACATTGGTCGTGCCCCATCGGGCTCGGGCTGACGGCTCGGGCCCCCTTGGCGGTCCTGCCTGCGCACGACCTCTTTCAAGGCTCACGGGATGCAGCTGACGCAAGACATTGCGGGCTGGCAGAGTAGGCTTTGGAGGATGCGGGAGAGAGGGAAGGGGAGGGGGGGAGGATTCGATGACGTCTCACCTCATCTCGCCTCGCGCGACTCGTCGTCCCGTCTACAGGTCTCGCTCAGCTCGCGTGCGCGATGGCGACATGGCTCCCAGTGCGCCGCGCAATGCTGCCCGTGTTCGTGGCCCGCGTGTATTGGTGTATGGATGCTCCGTCACCTGTGAAACCAGCAAATATGGCGCAGAGTTTACCGACGACTTGCCCTTCCAAGAAACGTCGGCGTCAACCCGCTACGACCTACAAAGCTAGAGTCCGGCGCCGTTTTCAGGCTTTGGCGAACCTCGTCAGTCAAATGACCCCCGGCCACCTTTTGACGTGCCCAGCCGCTTCCCCCTCCTGTGCAATAGCCTAAATGCCTGGTAGCAAACGCGTCGAGGAAAAGATGACGGATCCACCAACCCGGACTGGTTGACAGGGGGTCGTCACGGGATTAGACGTGGCGAAGCGCGCATGACGAGGCTCTTGGATCACCGAGGCGTCGGCTCAATCGTCGTGCAACACTTGTCAGGACTGTCTTAGGCTCTTAGCTGCCTGTCAGCGTTCCGGCTGCCATTACTCTGATGCCGGCGGATGGAGCGGAACCGGTAATGCAGTGACCCCGAATCTGCCATCACTGGGACACCCAAAGATGCTTTCCAGGGAACTGAACAAGGCAAGTTGTTGCGGCAAGCAGCGGCACTCCAATGTCTTTGGGAGCAGATGCTGCCCTACTCGCGTCTTGAGGTGGATTGGGATGCCTCCGTTGCAGCTACCTGCATGGCCCTCTACCCGCAAGCACATCCATCCAGGGCCGCCTCGGGCGAATTGTGTCCGGCTTGGCCTTGTCGGTCCAGAGCGTCTCTGAAACTCCCCCGCTCACGACTGCAAGATGAGCTGTTCGTGGAAGAATATGCAGACCACGATTGCGAAACTGCCTACGTAAATACACGTCACCTTTGTTGTAGGCGGCAGCGTCTCGCACAAACACGTGCTCCGAACATGAGGGCATAAGAACAGCGAGGACGACGACACTGCAGATTTGCGGGAAGGGATTTTCAAGATTGCGAGCATTCAGCCAGGGACGAAGAAACGGTAAGAGTCTTGCGTGAAGAAGTTGACGTCTGGAGGACTCGCGATCACGTGGTGGCTCGGGTACAAAGTTACAGTCCGACAGAGCCACAGCGTTGTGTCCAGGCAACGAGCATTGAGCCCGACTCTGCGCAGAGGTACCTACTTCGAAGGGGTACCTGGACATGAGAACTTTCACCACTGTGGGTAGGTACCTCGAGTTTCGCTTCAATGTACCCATCGCCAGAGAAATCATGCACTGCAGCTGATTAATAGGGTATTTCAAATTCCGGAGTCGAACTACGGTGATTTCCGAGCAACTGGGCTTGCCGGCAGGCAGCAAGGACTTCGTACACGCGGCCCGTATAGTGCATTGCGGCGGCCCCGCCACATGTGGCTTGTTGCAGGCAAATTCCAGCTCCAGTGGGCCAGCCCAGCCCCACTGCCACCGTCAGGCTTCCGGGACCACATGTCGTCTTGCGAATCCCCCGACCGCAGCAACGCATACAGTAAACAACTTCGGCTTCCGCCTCGTCCACGTCCGTTGCCCTGCCCCGAAGCGACTGCCTACCAGAACGCGTATTTGGGGGAACACAGTCCAACCTTGATTCTGTTCCCCAACGGCCACCCGTGCGCCTCCCCCCATTTCCATCGAAATTGCTCTCCGTCGCCCGCCGAGAAATCAAATAACCCAGAATCCTGCGCCGTCAAGCGGCAAGCCCGACGCCGTCCGACTCCAACGCGTTTGATACAAGGAAAGAAACCAACAACATCATGAGTGGCAACTTGTCCACGCCGGGCGGCATCTCGGATCCCGCCCTGATCCAGTGAGCTTTGACTGCATGTTACGTCTCTGGGCGCTCCAGCCTCTGACCTCTTCCAACACAGGCTCGTCAACAAGCTACAGGATGTGTTTGCGACAGTCGGAGTCAACAACCCCATCGATCTTCCTCAAATCGCCGTCGTCGGCAGTCAGTCAAGCGGAAAGAGTTCGGTGCTGGAAAACATTGTTGGTCGCGATTTGTGAGTGGCAGCCAGGCCACGTCTCGGCAGGTGGACATATTCTGACCGTACATCTATCTACCTGACAGCTTGCCCCGAGGCTCCGGCATCTGCACGCGACGACCCCTCGTCCTGCAACTCATCAACCGGCCCGCGCAGAGCAACGGCGTCTCCGAGGATGAAGTCTCCACCGCCAACGACAAGGCTGCCAATGCCGACGAATGGGGAGAGTTCCTCCATATCCCCGGCCAAAAGTACTACGACTTCCACAAAATTCGAGACGAGATTGCCCGCGAAACAGAGGCCAAGGTCGGCAAGAACGCCGGCATCTCCCCCGCCCCCATCAACCTGCGAATCTACTCTCCCAACGTCCTGACCTTGACACTCGTCGACTTGCCCGGCCTGACCAAGGTCCCCGTCGGTGACCAGCCCCGCGACATCGAGCGACAGATTCGCGAGATGGTGCTCAAGTACATCGGCAAGTCAAATGCCATCATCCTGGCGGTGACGGCGGCCAACATCGACCTGGCCAACTCGGATGGCTTGAAGCTGGCGCGCGAGGTTGACCCCGAAGGCCAGCGGACCATTGGTGTCCTGACAAAGGTCGACCTGATGGACGATGGCACCGACGTCATCGACATCTTGTCCAACCGCGTGATCCCCTTGCGGCTGGGATACGTGCCTGTCGTCAACAGGGGCCAGCGAGACATTGACAACAGAAAGGCCATCAACGTGGCCTTGGAGGCAGAAAAGGCCTTTTTCGAAAACCACAAGGCGTACCGCAACAAGAGCTCCTACTGCGGCACGCCGTATCTGGCCCGCAAGCTAAATCTCATCCTGATGATGCACATCAAGCAGACTCTGCCCGACATCAAGGCACGAATCGCCAGCTCGCTGCAAAAGTACTCGAGCGAGCTCGAGAGCCTGGGGCCGTCGATGCTCGGAAACAGCGCAAACATTGTCCTCAACATCATCACCGAGTTCACCAACGAGTGGCGCACGGTGCTGGACGGCAACAACACGGAGCTCTCGAGCACCGAGTTGTCGGGTGGCGCTCGAATCAGCTTCGTCTTCCACGAGCTCTACTCCAACGGCGTCAAGGCCCTGGACCCCTTTGACGTGGTCAAGGACGTCGACATCCGCACCATTCTCTACAACTCGTCTGGGTCCTCGCCGGCGCTGTTTGTCGGCACCACGGCCTTTGAGCTCATCGTCAAGCAGCAGATCAAACGCCTCGAGGATCCCAGCTTGAAGTGCGTGTCGCTCGTCTACGATGAGCTGGTGCGGATCCTGTCGCAGTTGCTGGGCAAGCAGCTGTATCGCCGGTATCCCGGGCTCAAGGAGAAGATGCACGGCGTCGTCATTGGCTTCTTCAAAAAGGCCATGGAGCCCACCAACAAGCTTGTGCGGGACCTCGTTTCCATGGAAGCCTGCTACATCAACACTGGCCATCCCGATTTTTTGAACGGCCACCGGGTAAGTCTTGCCACTCAGGTCGTTGCAGGCTCGTTGCTGACAGGCGTCGTCGATGCCAGGCCATGGCGGTCGTCAACGAACGCTACAACCCCACGAGGCCCGTCCAGGTTGACCCGAAATCCGGCAAGCCGCTGCCGCAGTCTTCGACGCCAGCCAGAACCACCAGCCCGACAGTTCTCGACATGGAGGGAGGCACAAACTCTGGCTTCTTTGGCAGCTTCTTCGCCGCCAAGAATAAGAAGAAGGCTGCTGCCATGGAGGCCCCGCCGCCCACCCTCAAGGCCTCGGGCACGCTGTCGGAGCGGGAGAACATTGAGGTGGAGGTTATCAGTAGGTTGCCATTCCTCGGGCTCGTACGTCGACGGCTAACGCGTCATTCCAGAGCTGCTCATTTCGTCGTACTACAACATTGTCAAGCGCACCATGATCGACATGGTCCCCAAGGCTGTGATGCTCAACCTCGTCCAGTAAGTGTCCCCCTGCGTGTTTTGGTGGTGTGTTTGTGCTCACGAGCCTGGCAGGTTCACCAAGGACGAGATGCAACGAGAACTGCTGGAGAACATGTACAGGACCGACACGCTAGACGACTTGCTCAAGGAGAGCGACTTCACCATCCGCAGGCGGAAGGAGTGCCATCAGATGGTTGAGTCCCTGTCCAAGGCGAGCGAGATTGTCAGCCAAGTCCAGTAAGGCGAGGCCGATGACGGTTGGTCCCGGACGGGCCGGCCCACGACTCAGCCCGGCTCGACTTGCAGGGCCTAGAGGCGGTGCATACTGGAATCCTGGCCAATGACACGGATGAGAAGTCTCGAGGTTCTCGCAATTCTTTTTCGATACCACGGATGGGTTCACAGGTCTTAGAGTAGACGAATCAGTAATGCGTTTATTTTTATCGCTTGCCAACGATGTGGCGACAAGGAGACGGTTGGGCGGGCACGAAGCGACTTGTCGAGGCAGCGGCATTCAGGAGGCGGACCTTGAGGGATGCGCGTTGCGAGCAGCTGTCGTGGGACGAGCGGCTGCGTCATTTCCGAATTAGAAGACTAGTGAGCCAACTCGTTTAAATGGATTAGCGGGGAGACATGGCGTGCATACAAGGAAGCATGTCTATTGCCGTGAGGATGCGGCAGAGTCGTCAAGGCGGAGAGATGGCGGCAGCGTAGGAGGAACGTGAGGCGGATTACAGCTTGGGCCCGGCGTGCTGGTCAAGCACGAATCCCCCGGGGCCGACGTGGTAATCTCTCCCCCTCTTCCAGCCCAGCCAGCTCTCGAGGACGTGGTCGGCGCCCTGGCCCGGGGCGAGAGGCTCGGCGTCGTAGCCATCGCCGGGGACGCCGGGGCCCTGGCCGAGGACGGAGGCATCGGCGGCGTCGGGGCCCGGGGGCGGCCGCTGTGTGACGGCGAGGCAGGGGTTGCGGCGCAGGGCGACGGCGGGCCGCTGGTCGCCCTCGCGCGCGGCATCGGCGCGCAGCTCGGCGTAGTCGAGCACGGGCACGCAGCAGGCATCGGAGCCGTCAAAGACACGCTCCCACTCGGCCCTGGTCCGGCGGCGGAAGGCGGCGGCCATGTCGCGGCGCAGGGCGGGCCAGCGGGCCGGGTCGGCGCGGTCCTCGCACCAGGCGCGGGCGATGGCGAGGCGGTCGACGAGCTGGCGGAAGAAGCGCGGCTCGAGGGCGCCGACGGACATGTAGCGGCCGTCGCGCGTCGCGTACGTGTCGTAGTACGGACAGCCGCCATCGAGCAGGTTCCGGCCGCGGCCGCGGTCGCCCAGCGGCGTGGCGAGCATCAGGCGCGGGAAGGTGGCCAGGTGGGCGGCGCCGTCGACCATGTTTGCCTCGACGACCTGCCCGCGGCCCGAGGCGTGGCGCGCCACCAGGGCGAGCAGGATGCCCTGGACGAGGGTGGCGCCGCCGCCGGCAAAGTCGGCGAGCAGGTTGGTGGGCGGCAGGGGGGTGTCGTGGGCGCGGCCCAGCAGGCTGAGGGCGCCCGAGACGGCCAGGTAGTTGATGTCGTGGCCGGCCATGGCGCGGTACCGGCCGTCGCGCCGGAAGCCCGTCAGGCGCGCGTAGACGAGGCGCGGGTTGAGGGCGAGCAGGGCGTCGGGTCCGAGGCCGCGGCGCTCCAGCACGCCCGGGCGGAACGGGTCGATGAGCACGTCGACGCCCGCGGCGCGCACCACCTCCTTGACCAGCGCCGCGCCGGCGCTGTCGGCCCGGAGGTCCACGGCCAGCGAGGCCTTGCGCCGCGTCAGCACGTCGGCCGTGGGCGCGGCGCCGGGCCGGTCGATGCGCAGCACCGAGGCCCCGGCGTCGGCGAGGAGCATGCCGGCGTAGGGGCCTGGGGCGGCGGCGTGTGAGCATGTCGTCATGTGCGTGGGAGCGTCTGCCGGCGGGGTTACCTGGGGCGAGGCCGGCGAATTCGAGCACCTTGATGCCCGCCAGGGGGGGAGGGCCGGTGTCCATGGCGGAGGACCTGCTGGAGAGATGGAGCACCGAAGCACGGGCACAGACAAGGGGCCGATGAACAGGTTCTTCGAAAGAGATGGGTATTGCGTCAAGGTCTTTAGCGGCGCGATCTCAACCGTGGTTCCCTCATCGTGAGGCAGAGAGCGAGAATGCCGGTGTAGGAAGCAAATGAGCCGAGGCTCTTAGCGCTGTCACCGGCCGGCCCCGCAGTGGGGGCTGCGGGTCTACGGTGGAGAGAGGGCGGAGGAGACGAACCGGTTCATCGCAAGCTCTAGGGTAGCTCATCTACGACTAGACTAATCACCGCCTTCAATAATGGCATGACTCTTGGAACACAATCACTTTTTCATTCCCGCGAGCAACACCGCTTCACCCCGCGCCGCGCCGCAAACAAACAACACCATACTCCTCGAAATGCAGCGCCCATCCCGAGAAAGCGCCAAAAGAAGCAAACTAAGCCCACCAGTCGCCCTGGTCGTACATGGCCTGCGCAACCTTGACGAAGCCGGCAATGTTGCTCCCGGCCACCAGGCTCGGCAACTCGCCCTCGCCCGCCTGCACGTACTTTTTGGCCGTCTCGAGGCCCGCCGCAAAGGCGTTCTTCATGATGCCCTTGAGCTTGTCGTCCACCTCGTCGGCCGTCCAGGCGAGGCGCTTGAACGAGTAACGCGTCAGCAACCACCGCGTCCTGAATCTCGGCGGAAGAGAGCAATGCCCTGCGTCTCCACCGAGCAGAGCGAGAGAGAGAGCGAGAGAGAGAGAGAGAGGCTTCTTACCTGGCTGTTCTGCGCCATCTCCAGCCCCGACACGGCGACGCCGCCGCAGTTGGCCGCCTTGCCCGGAGCATACCACACGGCCTCGCTGCCCCGTTGGCGGCGCTGCTCCTCAAACAGGTCAATGGCCTCCTGCGTGCAGCCCATGTTGGATCCCTCGGCCACCACCAGCAGTCCGCCCGCCGTCAGCGCCTCGGCCTCGTCGCGGCTGACCTCGTTCTGCGTTGCGCACGGCAGCGCCACGTCCACCTTGCCGACGTGCACCCACGGCCGCGCCCCGGCCACGTACGTGTACCGCCCGCCGTGGTCCAGCTCCGCCAGCGCCCGCCGCCGCGCCTTGAGCGCCGCCACCTGGTGCACGTGCTCGGCCGTAAATGTCTTGCCGTCGTCCGTGGCCACGAGCGCGCCCTGCGAGTCGGACAGCGACACCACCGTCGCCCCCAGCTCGAGCACCTTGAGCGCTGCGTACTGCGCCACGTTGCCCGAGCCCGAAATGGCCACGCGCTTGCCCGCGAAGCCGCCGCGGCCTGCGTACTCGAGCATGTGCTCGACGTAGTAGACGACGCCGTAGCCCGTCGCCTCTGCGTGCCGTGTCAGCCAATGGCTCCAGAACCGGGAGGTTTGTCAAGGAAAAGTCTCCTACCGGGACGAATCAGGCTTCCGCCCCAGCTGAGGCCCTTGCCGGTCAAGACGCCCTCCCACCGGCCCCGGGCCTGGCGGTAGGCGCCGAACATGTAGCCAATCTCGCGGCCCGACACGCCAATGTCGCCGGCGGGGACGTCGGTGTCGGCGCCAATGTGCTTAGAGAGCTCGCGCATAAAGGCCTGGCAGAAGCGGCGGATCTCGGCGTCACTCTTGCCCTTGGGGTCGAAGTCGGCGCCTCCCTTGGCGCCACCCATGCTCACTGCGATAGGGGAGCCTGGTCAGCCAGGCCTCTTTCCCCCCGTCACCTCGGTTGTGACTTACAGCCAGTCAGGGCATTCTTGAAGATTTGCTCAAAGCCGAGAAACTTGAGGCTGGCGTCTTTTTGTCAGCACCGTCCCTCTGCGAGTAACATGGACGTACATGGAGAGGTTGACGGAGGGATGGAGGCGCAGGCCGCCCTTGTAGGGCCCGAGGGCCGAATTGAACTGGACGCGGTAGCCGCGATTGACGCGCAGACGGCCGTCGTCGTCCTCCCAGGTGACGCGGAACTGGACGACGCGCTCAGGAATGGAGCAGACCTCGAGGGCGGTCCGGTACTCGGGATGCTCCTGGAAGAGGGTGCTGTCGGCAAGGGTGCTGGCAAGCTCTGATGTTGCGGTCAGCAATAGCGATGAATGGATGCTCTGGTAGGACGGACCCGTGTAGGCCTGCTCGAACTCGGGCTCGGACGGGAGGTTGGACATGGGTGCGGTGCGTGTCATTGCCGGAGATGGAGAGGTGTGTATGCTCCAGAGCCTGCACCGGGGAGCAAGAGTTCACAACAGCTTGAATGGACAGGATGGTAGCCCGCTGAGCTGTTGACCGGCAGGAAGCCGAAAGGACAGACAGATGCAGATGAGAGAGAGCAGGATGACAAGGGGGATGGAGAAGTAGCACGGGGAGCGGAGCTGGTTGCAACGGAGAGGGAGACGTGGAGAGTTTATATAAACGGAGCAGGCAGCCTGACATTGTTGCACTGTATATATGTGTCTAGTGCTGTAGCTCCGAGCCGAGCAGTCGAGAGAGGTTCGGACGACCCCTGTGCGGCAACACAAGAGGCTCGGCGACCCGCCCGAGCCATGTCATGTTTGCTCAGAGTCAGTCGCAGGGCCCCGCTCCTCGCGCGGCTCGCCTGCAGAGAGGCCTGTGAGTCTCCGTCAGTCCACACAGTCAAGCATCATGGTCCCGCCTGTCAAGCACGACCTGCTCCCAGTCCAGTCCAGTCGGGCCGCCGAGCAACCGCCTCCGACCGTCGGCCACGTAAACAACGGGCCCAGGCCGTCATTGGGGGGTAAAGAATTGACGAGACAATTAATAATAATAAAAAGAGGACCTCCAGGTGGGTTCTGCCGTCGGGGGGATCCGTAGATAAGGGTTGTCGTCGTCTCCCTTTCTCCCTTTTTTCCATGTGAGGTTGGACGGGGATTCACGGCCCAGAGATAAGGAGCGAGATAAGCCAGCGAGTCGTCGCACACGCCCCACCCACCCTGTGCTGCCTTATCAGTGACGTCTTTCTTTGGGCACGAGCTTAATTAGCGGCTCCGTCATCGCTTTAAGGTGAGACAAATATAAAGATGATGATGAAGACGAAGAAGAAGAAGAAGTAGTAGTCTGTGCTTAGAATTCAAACAAAGTGGACGAATCGGTTGACGCTTGCTTCTCATCCGCGATAGACCAATGCCAAACGGCCCACCCATATGCCATCACCACCATCGCCTCCCATTGGAACTCCCTGCCATCCAAGGACCGCATTGCCGAGGACCCCGTCTCCGCCATCCTTAAATGACACCGTCCTGTAGATGCACAATCAGGGTCCTCCCTCCACATGCCCCGTCGCCGTTACCGGCCTCTCGGCTCCGCGACTCCTGCACTCACTGTCACTGCCGGGCGCGCCCTCGCCTATGCAGGGATCTGCTCGTGAGACAAAGCCGCTTTATCTCTATTACCGTTGTACCTCCACACGTAACCCGTGTATACAGACAGACACGCACCCCATCCGTGTAGCCTACACATATCCTCCCTCCAAGGAGCCATGACAAAACGACAACAACAGCGTGCCCATGCTTCCATACTCCTCCATAACCACCAGCCAACGCCCAAACGCCACCATGCCGACACTTGCTCCCAAATCATCAGCCGTCCCTCACCATATCGCCGCCTGGTCCACGTCGAACCGCTTCAGTTCCTTGCCCGCGTCCTCCAGGTCCTTCTTGGCCTTCATCCGCATGTAAAAGATGGGACAGTCCTTGCTGCTGCAGATGACCTCGCAGTGCATGCTGCCCTGGCATCGCTGGCATTGCGTCCACAGCCGCCCGAACCGCACCTCGAGGTCCGACACCTTGTCCAACGTCCTCTTGTGAAGCTCCCCGACTCGCGGCGCGCAATCCGAGCACACCGCCCCCTCACTTTCGTGCTTGCCCGTCAGCGGCTTCTTGCACCCCATGCACGTCTGCGTCTTCTTGGCAAACTTCATCAGTCCCCCCACCGTCGGCGCCGCCACCGATATCGTCCGAGTGTGGTCTCCCGTCAGCAGCAACCGCGCCTTCGTCTCCCCTAGGATCGGCTCGAAGATGCGCCCCAGCGGCTTGGCCAGCTGGTTGTCCAGGTAGTACTTGGTGTCGATGGGCACGTTGTTTTCAAGCACGTAGATGGGGTCCTCCGACTTCTCAAAGTTCTTGGCTCCCGCCGCTCCCCGCACCATGACGTACGCCACCCGATCCCCGAGCCCGGGGGCCGACCCGGCGTCGCGCTTCTTCATCCGCTGCGCCAGTTCCACGTGCGCCTGCTTGGCCGTGTAGTCGTCTTTTGTCAGTGCTTTCGTGATGACCAGCTTCGACATGTCCACCTTGTTCTGCAGCAGGTCCGCAATCGCGTCCTTGACGTAGCTATATCGCCCTCGTTAGCCGTCAATGGGGAAGAGCAAGGGGTTGCCTCGACTCACTCTTGTGCGCCTTGCACATCCCGCTCAATCAAAATCATCCTCAGCACCCTCTCAATGACCGTCTGCACCAGCAAGCAATTGTCTCGTCGCACAGTCTCGATGCCCTTGGTGTCCATCTTGTCGTACTTTTCCGTCTTGGTCCAGTACAGCCCGGCGTACCGCTTCTTATTGATGAGCAGATATGGAAAGTAGACCTTTTCAAACTCGAGCTTGATTGGCTTGATGAACTTGGACGACACGTACTGCGCCGCTTCCTCGCCTAGCTTCATGGCCTCGGCGAGTTCCTTGGTCCCAAACTTGACCATGACCGAGTCCGTGTCACCGTAAATGACTTGCGCGTCGTGCGTGTACCCGTTTGCAATGTTATACTTCTTCTCCACCTCGGCCTTTGTCCTTTCAATCATCTGCCGCCCAAAACTGGTCGTGCTACTGGCGATGGGAAGGCAGGGCAGCTTCCCCGTCGTCGCACCCGTCAAGCCGTACACACTGTTGGCGCTGATCTTGAGCGCCAGTTGACGACCGTTCAACACGGCCTTTCGGAATGGGTCCGTCGCTTGCGCCAGTTCCCGCTTGGCCTGCTTTCGTGCCGCCAACAGCTCTTCCAGAATCTGTGCCAGCAGCCCTTTCCTCTGCTTGGCTGTGACGAACAAGTCGCCGTTGGGTGTCACAATGTAGTCCTCATCCTTTTGCAGACCGAAATGCTCAATGTGTTTCTTGTCCAGCAACGTCGTATAGCAAAGGTTGTGCGCCTGGATGATGCTGGGGTACAGCGAGGCGAAATCGAGCGTGGCAATGGGCACGTCGTAGTAGCCGCGGGTGGGCTCGATGACGGTCGCGCCCTCATACTGGTCATCCGACTTTTGCGACTTGAGGTTCGGGATGACGAGCTTCTGTTCCAGCGCCTTCCGGAATAGTTGGCTGATGAACTTGATCTGCTGACCGCGGGACAGCAAAAAGTTGAATGGAACGCCCGTCACCCTGGCCATTTCCGTGTAGTTTTCCAGACACGAAAGCTTGTCCATCAGCCTTTGCGGCAGGTAAGCATCTTTTAGACAGTATAGCGCCAGACGCCGACGCGACTCTGGCGTTCCGTTGAACAGCTCTGTGATCATGGTGTGGTGAACGTCCTCCTTTTGCTCGCCCAGGAAGTGCGCGCACACTGAGTTTAGAGTGTAGCTTCGGAGTTGGTGGTCGCGCTGGATCAGCTGCAGAAGATCTAGCTGCAATCTTCCGTTGGTATTGGTCTCCTTGGTGTCGCGGTTGCCTATTTGCTTGCTCGAGAAGTTGGTGTCCTTTGCCCTGGACGGCACGCTGGGGATGCGGGACCAGTAATCGAAGCCGTTCACTTTTAAGTGCTTGGCGCGGTCGAGCAGATACGGAAAGTCAAAGTTGGCAATGTTGTAGCCGATGATGATGTCAGGGTCGACCTTGAGGAGAAATTGTTGCCACGCGCTGAGCATTTTGTCTTCCTTCTCAAACTCCAACACCTGAGTGGCCACGATGGAGCTCGTTGTGTCTAGACAAAAGACGTTTCGAATAAACGGCTTCTTGTCTCCGTATTTGGTGACGACGTTGGCGATCTGGATGACTGGATCGTGATTGGCCTCAGGAAATATGCCCTTTCGCCCAGCACACTCGATATCAAAGGACAAGATGCGCAATGGAGCCATCTTGGCCCATTCTCCGTCAGGCTTATACGTAGTCAGGTCGAGATAGCAGATCTCGGCCTCGATTTGACAGTTAGACTGCTTGCTCTGCCCGGGGATAAGCTTGTACTTGGACGCCGGCGCCTCGACCCATGACATGCCTTGAATCTAGTTGCTGTCAATGTCTGCTGCATTCGCTGTCAGAATGGGGAGTGGCTCTACCTGGCAGTCCACCATGAAGCGGAGCACGTATTGAATGTTGTCGTAGGTCATGACGCCCTGGTCCCTCGCCTTCCACATGCCCTTCCAATCGGCATCGCCACTCTCAATCGTGGCCCGCACCCTGCTGATGAACCTCGGGTCGTTGACTGTGATCTTCAAAAAGTGGCTCTGCTTGTTGCCATTGAAGCCGTACATGTTTTCTCTCGGGCTCATGGTGATGGAGTGGATGGCGGGCTGATGCTGGGCAATCTGGGTCTCGAGGTACGCCTTGAAGGCCGCCGTGTCTTGGGGTTTGAAGAGCGGCGGGGCAGGGACATAGAGGTAGTGCTTGAAGTCTGTGACATGCAGCATGATCGAGTGGCCCTGCTCCGAGACGCCAAAGAGCTTGACGGTGGCTCTGCCGCCATGCAGCGTGCCCTCCTCGGCATCAATGGACTGAAAGCACAGGCTGTCCCGCTCGGGGGAAAATTCGACGACGGGGGGCCGCTCCCAGACCTGGTCCTTTTCCGTGTTGCTTCGCTTGAGGTCGGAGATGTCCTGGCTCAGCTTTTCGAGCACCTCGGACTCGAAGGCGCTCTTGGGCTGGCTGGAGCCCAGCTTGGCGCGCGGGTCTCTCTGGGAGCCTGGGAAGCGCGCGGCGGGGGAGGACGAGAAGACATCGGCTTTGCGTCTCTTGGCCGAGGCTGGGGTCGAGGGAATGTTCTGGCGAGAGCCTGCCTCGCCCAGAACCCGCTTCTGGGGGAGGACTGCGCCGGCCATGGCGAGCTGATGGCAACGAGTACGTGATGACGGAGTCGACTTAGCTCTGGTGATGCATGAATGGACTGAGCTGTGTCTCTCTTCCACCGGGCAGCTTGTTGGACGGGGTTCGTGGTTTGGGTGAATGGATGCCTTTGACACGACCCTACACGAGAGACGCGCCTTTCCGAGCGTGACGTGACAGACCCACTGGTCTTTAATTGGTCCCGCACTCACGTGATCTGCTTCGACTCTAGCACTGTACGGCCGGAGAACCACTGGAGCTGAGCCTGCGAGTCGACTAACAGGAAACAGGCGGGCTTGAGCATCAGGCATTTGAACGTCAATTTTCTATTCGATTAAACACAGGCTTGCTCGTGCGGCAGTCTCAGCATCAAAAAGACCATTTCACTACTGCTCCTAGTAATCCCTCCGGGCTGCCATCAAGAAAAGGCCGTCAACTCCATCTCGTCCGACTCAACCGCGTCGCGGTTTCGTGGTCACAGAAGAACGACGGCAATGATATTCTATGCAAAGCGTCCTTCATGTTGTTTTAGCCTTTGTCTCGAGGCTAGTGCGCGGGGGCTCGGATGACTAACAGAATACCCCCAGTTGCGGCCGTCGATTTGAGGCATCTCGTCTTAATGATAATAATAACCTATATGCGAAGCAGTACTTCCCATCTGCGGATAATCGAGTCCGCCTGATGGAAATTGTAGCATAAATACTAAAGAGCCTTCGCTTCTTTCGAGAACCCCTTCTATTCTAAGCCCATCAAGTACATTCCTACGGATCCCCATGTATCCAGAATGAACTCAGACACGTCGCAAACCACCGGACCATCCTTCACATGAGACCTTGAAACGCCGCCGCTGTGCGATGTAATAAATACTGCTGTCCGAATGAATGCCCGCCCGACACAGTCGATGCGAGAACCTCGGTGTACCTAAAGCCCGTCCCCCCAAATGGGGAAATGAAGTAGTCGTCATAAATGATCCCCTTTCAGCTGTCCTCGCGAATCGTGCCGATTTCGCACCAGTTGCTTACAGGCTGCCTATCCATTAGCAAGCGAGAAACTTTGACGGCGACTCAAGCAAAAGAGAGACTCACAATGCAACTCAGGTACTTGCACCACTCGCAGCGATCCCGAGCCGTGTAAAAGTTGTTGACCAGCACGATGAAGACGACGATGACGACGATGAGGACAACGGCTCTGACGATCCACCAGAACCACCAGAACGGCTTCCGTCCCTTGAAAAAGCCGAGCGGACCCCTGAAGAACTGGGCCGACGGTGAGCCGTCTCCCGGGACGACGACCGAGTACGGGGTGCCGTTGCCCATCCTCTTGCGCAGCGAGTTGGGCGAGTGGAGGACGCAGATGCCGAGAGCTAGCCCCATCACGAACCCGCCAATGTGGGCAAAGTTGTCCAGCCCCGGCAGCAGGCCCAGGGCAAACGAGATGACCATGTCGAGGATGAGAAACATCAAGTCTTTGACGGGACTTTTCCGTTCCTTCCACGAGTAAAAGAGATCGAGAAGAGTTAGGGCGATGATTCCGAAGAGGGAACCCGATGCGCCGGTGGAGGGCAAGGCTGGGGCAGCAAAGTTGCCGCCCAAGACGAAGCCAAATATGCCGGCGCTCATGTAGACAAGAAAGAAGCGAATGGGGCCAATCGCCACCTCCATCTCCTTGGCGATTGTGAGCTGCATCAACAGGTTGAAGCCAATGTGGATGAGTCCGGCGTGCATGAAGATGGGGGTGATGAAGCGAAACCATTGATTGGGGGCGGGACGCTGGTCGGCATTGTTAAAGGTCGGGTTCGGGACGCCGCCGAAGCCGCAGAGCTCGGACAGTGAACAAAAGTTGTCGTTTGTGGTGGCATTCGGACAAAGAAAGAGGACAGGGACATTGGAGCCCTGTATCTCCTTGACGTTGTGCATGCACGGAACGTAGCGAGCGCCCATGTTAATCATGACCTGCGTCGACGGCCCGATCATGGGGTTGAACTGGGGCTTGGTCATGATGGGCGATCCCGTCAAGATGCCTGCAGTGGTGGTCAGTATGCGTGAAGCACCGCCAGCGAGCGGACAGGGACGGGGGAAGTACCATTCTTGACGATCTCGGCAATGAAGACGGCCACCTGGATGGCAGTCAAGGTGTAGACGACAAAGGGGATTCTCTTCCGGTTGGCGCCAAACATGCCAAGCTCGCCGAGGCGGATCTTGCCCTTGTTCTTTGCGCGACGCGTCCCGTTCTCGGCACTCGAGGCATCGTAAATGTGATCGACGGAGTCGTTGTTTTTGGAGGCATGGTCTTGCAAGGGAATGTTCTCGGCGACGTGGGGCCTCGAGGACGAAGGATTCCCGCCTTGGCCGTAGTAGCCGGTGTCTTGGTACAGCCCTTGGTTGCTGGCGGCGGCGTAGGACCGCTGGTCGGGAGGGTATGCCGGGTCATCGAAGACGCTATCGAAGGGCGAGGGGCCGGGTCGGGGCGGCTGGCCCTGGGGAGCGCCGTACGGAGGTTGGGGGTACGGGGGGTTCGAAGTCTCGTGGCCCGAGTGGTAGGAGGGCGCGGGAGTCGAGTGCGAGGGTGTGCCGAAGTGGGCGCCGTTGTAGGGGACGGGCGGTGGAGCAGCATTAAAGGCGCGATGGGGGTCGTCGTGTGAGGCCATGGCGGGCGGCGAGCTCGCGGTAGGCGGCGACAGATTCGATGGAGGCAGTCGCGAAAACGGGAGAGGAACAGAAGGATGGAAAAGGGAGGGATGGCCCCGATCAGGCCAAGCGAGCGTGGTCTCTAGAACGGCCGAGGAGAGACGGAATGAACGGGGGGGTTTGTCAGGGGGATTGTGGGAGAAGACGAGGAGACGACTGCTGCTGTTCGTTTAAGGCGAGTCGCGGTGGATTACGTACGACAGACAGGGCGAGGCATGTGGCCGGGGGCTGTGCTGGCTGCCGAGCAGTGGAGATGTACTGCAGGTAGCTGCAGGGTTTACCAGTGTCTTTCGTTGCGAGGCCAACAAGGTACCTAGATGTAAAGAACAGCAGGCGAGCAGGGTCTCGTTTACGGATACAGTTGGGCACCTGTTTGATCAGCCCCATGCTTTCCGCTATGATGCACGAAGCCTCGACTGCTGGACCAAGACAAGAACAAACGCCCAGGCGAAACCAAGAGTGCATCTCTTCCTCAGCCTACTCCGGTTACAGCATATCCTTTGTGCATGCAGCATCGCAAGATTCCCGTCTCCACAGGGTCGAAGCCCACAGTGGAAACTTTTCCCATGCTCGGCTCTACTAATAATGTCGTCACAGGCCGCGCTGCCTACCGGGAACGCAGCCAGCCACACGGCCTTGTCAGCCGGAGAAACCCTGTACTGTACGGAGTACAGCATACAGTAATTACAGACAGAGTGCCATTCTCAATCACCCGCAGAGCTTAGCCCGTTCCCCGGTTCTACAAAAAAAAAAGACAAGCCGGGCGTCACCCGCGCTCACCCAGCCACCCATTTCGTGTAGGTATTCGAGGATGGGCTGTCCATCACAGCCACCCCGCGTATCCAATTTTGGCCGGTGGAGCCGCCACACGAGATAAATCCGTCCCTGCCACAGAGCGACATTGCGCCTCAGTCAAGCCCACCTGCGGGCGTGCCGTCCCAAGAACTGCGCCGAGTCGTGAGAGAGGCGTAGTTGATTCACCCCCCAAGTCCCTACCTAGCTTGGCCTGTTCGTCATGGCATCATCAGCTCAAGTCTCGTACAACAATCACCTACTTTACATTCATACAGACATTCTCACCAATCACTTCTTGTCGGACCCTCCGTCATCGCTCGGTATCCTGTCGTCGGCCTTCGTCTTCGAGTCACCACCGCTCCAAACATGCATGATTTGGTCGAGTATGATATCGCTCATTCCCTTGCCCTCCTGGAAGCTCTTTTGGTGCTCCTCTGCCCGTTTCCTGGACCAGTCTTCGGCCTCGCCGCCCATCCATATGTCCTTGATGAGCCCTCGCTTGTTTTGCGCCTCTGGCTCGGCCTCCCCTTGGCTTCGCTTCTGGGCCGCTTCTCGTTCCCGCTGCTCCTTTAGCAGTTGCTGCGTCCGCTTGGCGCCCTCTGGCAGCCCGGTGTCGAAGACAGAGCCGACGCGGCCGCCGAACCGCGAGTAGATGGATTGACCAGTGTATTCGTAGGCGAGCTGGTTCGTGGCCAGGGAGAAGGCTCCGGCGAGCACAAAGAAGCGAACGTCCATCTTCCTCGGCGGCAGGAGCATGGCCAGAGGCGCAATGATGGCCCCCGCGACGGCTGCATTGTGGATAACAGGGATTCGTGGAGGCAGCGGCTGCTCCTGCGCCATGGCTGCGACGACGCTGCGATGTGTTCCAAGCTCTCACGTCGAAGTAGGTGCACGGCCGTTGTTTTTCGCCAGAGACAATGACGATTGGCGACAGAGATGGATGGGCCTCGATTGGGTGGTGGTGGTGGTGGTGGTGGTGGTGAATAGTTAGGGTGGACTAATTTATTAAGTTGGACTAATTTATTAGGTAAGGTAGTTGGACTAATTTACTAGGTAAGGTAGTTGGACTAATTTTTTAGGCAAGGTAGCTAGTAAATAGTATCCGTATTAACGGCGGGAAAAAATGGCGCCTGGTCGAGGTACAGTACTTTAGCCGGCACCCTAGCTTCATCCATTCTGAAATCCGTACTCCGTACTGGCCAGTTGCTTCCGACTCTTTGGATTGGAGAGGCGTGAACGTCTGTCTCCGAAAAAAGCCGTACGGTGAAGCTGTTTCGGTTGATCTTTGTCCAGTGCCCTTTCGCAGCACAACTGAAGTGTGTGGCCGAAGTGGTCGACGTGGCATATGGACCGTCTCAGCCGTTGGTCAAGGAAGCATTACAACCTGGGATTGTCACTCTGCCTTTATCAGCACCGGCGACCTGGAACTTACATGTAAACGGCACAAAGTTCCACCAGCTGCTGGATAGGACCGGGCCAAAAACCCCGGGGCATAGGTAGTCGCCAGGGGCCACCACCATTCGCGCCCTCTTGATGGTGAAACTGCGCCGGGTGCACCGAGCATGCAGGGCAGCCAGTAAGGGCTCCTCAACCTCATTCAGACCAGGTCCTAGCAAGGCTAGCAAGGCAGCTTAAGAATGGCAACAGCCCTGGAAGGAGCAAACAAGCATGCTTCCTCTTACACCCAAGGCAGGCAGGCTCGAAGGTAAGTACATAGGTCCTGCCCTCCCACCGCGACTGCTCGTAGACGTACTCGCCGGCTGCACAGGCGAGCCCTGAGAACCTTCACCAAGCACCAAACTTTCCATTCCCTCTCTCCTCCTCCAGCAAAACAGCCCGCCGCGAATCCCGCAGACGTCGTCCGCGCGCTGTCTTGGCGAATGCATCTCGTCCGGTGTGTGGGACGCAAAACCGACCTCGATACCCCGGCCTGTTTTGCCCTTGCGAGCTCGTTATGTCGGCTGAGCATGGCCACACCCTGGCTGCTTCCTCTACTTCGGCCGCCGAGGCATCACAGCATCAGCCCAGCATTGCCCTGCCGGCGAAACGGGGTCGTCGGAGCAACCCCAAAGTCAAGACGGGCTGCTCAAACTGCAAGTGCGTCTTCTCTCCCTCAACTGCCATCTCCCTTGTTGCTCAACTCCCCTCTCCCCACTCTCCGCAGGCAGAGGCGAATCAAGTGCGACGAGAAGCGCCCAGCATGCACACAATGTGTGAGGAGCAACAGGTCGTGTACCGGTTATCCGCCTCCCAGCCGCAGCAGCGGCCCCGTGGTCGAGATTCGCATCGCCCCCAAGCCCGTCATCGCCCTCCGGCCTCAGCCCGCACCCGATGCCCCGGTAGCCGTCCTCCGGAAGCCGACCGTCCTGCCCCCGCGCCGTGCCAACTGGAGAAAGCGGCTCCTTCATGATGCCCATGTCGCAGGCCCATCCCTCGCCATCTACCAGCCCTCCAACAGCCTGTCCATGAACCATGCCGAGGCTTTGTACTTCGAACTCTTCCGTCTTCAGACGGCATCGGAGCCGTCGGGCTACTTCAACGGGTCCTTCTGGTGCCAACGCGTTCTGCAGGAGTGCCATTCCGAGGTTGCCATTCGACATGCCATCGTCGCCCTCGGCGCCTTGTATAAGACGCTTGAGCAATCCTCCCGGGTCGGTTTGCCTGCGAGCTCCGCCCCCGCGTTGACTCAAAAGGAATCCATCAAATCCCACTGGCAAGTTGCCATCAAGCAGTACTCAGAAGCTTGCAATGCCATGTTGCTGCTCCACGAAGATAACTTGCACCACCACAGGACCCGCCTCATGGCCACCATCTTACTCGCTTACTTCGACGCCTTCATCGGCGACCACAAACAAGCCCTGGGCCAGTTCCGGACCGGGCTCAGCCTCCTGCAACGGCTTCACGACAGTCACCCGCATCACAGGTCTCCCAGCACGCCGGGCTACATCGAAGAGGACCTGGTCGTCATCTTCACTCGCTTTGCCCTCCAGTCAAAGTCTTACGCCGTGGCCTTCAACACGGCCCAGGCCAACGCCACTGAGCTTGCTCCACAGGGCCAGCGGGCAGAGGGCATGCCGGCGTCGGAAACCATCCCGCCCGCCTCTCTGCCACCCGATGCCCCCCTCCCTCATCGCTTCGGGTCCATCATGGAGGCTCGACAGGCGTCCGACAAGCTCTGCGAGAAATTACTGCTCATCATTGAGCAAATACTTATCACCAAGAATAATCAAGGCAACATTTTGCCTCCATCGTGGAAACAACTCAGCTTGACTTATAAGCATCAAATGGATGCCTGGTCCGAGGCCTTTGGGCCCATCTTCCGCTCCCGTCTGGATCCAGGCGTCGGCCACCTGGAGAAATTAAGCATCTCGGCCCTCAAGTTGTTTCAAATCAACAGGAACCTGCTGTTCCTGACGATGTTCTGCGACACGGAGATGGAGTTTGATGCTTTCCTGCCCCATTTCAAGGCCACTGTGAGCCTGGGGTGGGAGGTTGTCGCCGCCGAGGAGAGGCGCGCTGCAACACAACGCTGTCCAAACCCCAGCATGTGCCAGCATCACGGTTCATTATCCAAGAGCGCCTTCCAAGCGGGGAAAGTTCCTGCTCGTCACTTCAAGGCAAGCTTCTCAGCGGATCTGGGCATTGTTCCCCCGCTGTTCGTGGTGGTCACGAAATGTCGAGAGCCCCGGACCCGTCGGCAAGCGATTCAGCTCTTGAGGAGCGGTTCTCGACGCGAGGGCATCTGGGACAGCGAGCTGGTGGCCAAGGTTGGCGAATGGATCATGCAATGGGAAGAGTTTAATGATCAAGTGCCGCCGGGCACCATCCCAACGAGGCCAATACCTGAAGAGAGGAGGGTCATACTCAAGGCGGTCGAATTTGATTTGCGCGCCCGCTTTGCCGATGTTCATGTTGGAACGAGGGCGCGGCATGACGGGAGTCCGGATAGTCGCTCCCGGAAAACGCGCCTAACTTGGTGACGATTCATGTCGCCATGGTCTGTTTCTTGCCTTATGAAGAAAGCCATTCGAGGTGAGCTCATAGGGCAAGGCGTGTTTGTTCTTTTCTTCGCGGTTATCATCTTTGGCTACATAAAAGCTTCGTCGATGGATAGGTGCGCTTTTGCGTATTTGATTGGGTGCGTTTTGTACAATTTCATCATGGCCTTTGGTCAAGAGACGTGTAGATTGCCCGAGAAAGCACCTGTTGGTATTGCGCACGACGACGACACGGATTCACGCTGGCCTCGGGCCTGGATGTTGATTGACTCGCTGTTTTGAATATTCCGTCAAGACATGCACGCAATATCAAGTTTACAAAAAAAAACAAAAACCGCTCGACCCGTTGGGGGACGTTTTCAGATGGGAGGCAGCTCCTCTCTGCATATCGGGCACTGCAGGCGGAAGCGCATCCAGCCCTCAAGACAGGTGGTATGGAAGATGTGGCGGCAGGGCGTCACCATGTAGAGGCGGCGGGCAAAGACGCTGGCGACGCTGGCGTCCTCGTCGCGGGCCGTCAGGACCGGCACCTCAAGCACCTCCCTGCAGATGGCGCAGTCGATGGCGCGGACGCTACCGCTGGCGCCGCTGGCGCCGCCGATGCCGACGCCGCTGCCAACGCTGCCGCGCTTCTCGCCGCTGGCGGCACTGGCGTGGCTGGTGCGGCGGGATGCGAGTCTGCTGCCGGCGCCGTCGTCGTCTGCAGCCGCGACGAGGCCGATGGGCAAGCCGCCGGCCTCGACCGTGTCCTCGCGCAGGACGGGGTGGTAATCCCAAGCATCGGGGGTCCAGCCGGGGGGCACGCCGAAGCGGGGGCCGACGACCTCCTGCGCGGCCAGCACGAGCACCTGGACCCAGACCCAGGCGCAGAGGACGACAAAGGCGGGGCGGTCGGTGCGCGCGTAGAGAAAGTTGTCGTCCTTTGCCCAGAAGTAGGCCACGGGCAGGAGGCGCAGGACCGACTGACCGACGACAAACTGCCAGCGCAGGGCGCGGCGGCAGTTGCGCGCCGTGTTGCGGTAGATCTGCGGCAGCCAGAGGGACAGGTAGGCAAAGGTGCACAGGTTGAGAAAGGCGGAGCGCGCGCGCGGGTACCACGTCGACGACGAGATGGCGAGGAAGGAGACGCATAGGCTGAAGAGGATGAAGCGACCTACCATGGCCTGGAAGGTCGGCGACTGGCGCGGCGCCGGGGGGTTGTTGTTGGAGGAGGAGGAGGAGGAGGAAACGGGGGGTCGTGGCACGGCGGATGCGCCGGAGGCGGCGTTGGAGGCGATTTCGGCGTCGATGTCCTGGTCCGAGGGCACGATGACTGGCTGCGAGTTGGAACGACTCGCCGTCAGGGGCTGAGGCAGCGTGGAGCTCGCGTTTGAAAAGGTCGTGGTCAACGGGCTGACGGGCGTCAACGGGCCAGGGGTCAGCGGACCGGGCGTCACCAGGCCGGGCGTCGACGAGCTGCTGGGCGGGCTGGCGTCCCGACCCGAGCCCGTGCCCGGATCGCGGCGGCCGCGGCTCTCCGGCAGCTGCACCTCGTGGATCTTAGCGAGGAAGCTGCCGCCAATTGTCATAGACAAGAAGGACGCAAACATCAGGGCCAGGGTCGGCAAGAAGGTAGCCGCCGCCGATGAGACCCACGTCGCTGCGGCGGTAAACGTCATGCCGTCGACAATGGCCATGGCGCTGATGGTCCAGAAGCTGACGCGGCCCATGGTAGAGGGCGTAAAAGACTCCTGCATCTGGTTCTTGAGCAGCCGCACCTGGGCGAGGACGACGAGCGCGTAGATGAGCATCCACGTCTTGACCTGATGCGTGTGCACCTCCGTCTTCATGCCGACAAGGTGGTCGGCCTCGCCCAGCGGGAAGTCGGGCGGGCCCTTTGTCTCGAGGAAGAAGGCGCAGTCGGGTGAGTAGATGACGGCCGACATCTTGAGTCGCGGGACGGACCGGATGGGCGCGCCCTCGGGGTTCTGCAGCTCCGACTCGATGGCGCGGATCACGTCCTCGACCGGGTCCGTCTGGAGATCGGGCGCGGCGCGGCCGTGGGCTTGCCTCATGGGCGGATGGACCTGCGCGTACATGACGAACTCGCAGTGCGGCGAGGGCGTCGCCGTGTAGAGCGGGTTGTCAATGTCCGAGTTCCAGGGCATGTTCTGGTCGAGGTTTACGTTTGCGTGCTTCTTGGTCACGACGCGGTTGAGCGTCTGGTTGAGCAGCATCTGGCTCGAGCGGAAGAAGTCGCCGCCGGGCGTCAGGTGCGGCAGCCCAAAGATGCCCTCGAATTTCTCGCTCGTCGTGGCCATGACAACGACGCCCTGCCGCGGCCAGTGGACGCCCCACAGCCGCATCTCCCAGTTAAGGCCTGAGCCCGTCGTGTCCTCGATGGTAGCGGTGCCCTTGACGTTGCGTATTACGCCGCCCGAGAGGGGCACGCTGCCATGGGCGAGGTCGTCGTAGGTCGTCACCGTCTTGTTGCCCTCAAGGCGAAGCATCATCCTGCCCGTCTCGCCCGTCATGTTGCGCGCCCACTCGACCCTGTCTCCGACCCAGTCCATGGACGGGACGCTCCGGCTGAGGTTGTAGCTGTCGAACCCTCTCGGGACCGAGCCCGGCCGACGCACCCATTCCCCGTGAAGCGTGCCAGACGCATTCGCCCACACGACTTCTCCCTGCGCCACATCCCAGAGCTGCCGGCCCGCGATGGCCGGAACGGCATGGCGACTGAGCCGCAGGCCCCTCTCGCGGAAGCGGGCCAGGTCCTCCCACGCAAACCCGTCCTCCTCCCTGAAGCCGGTGAGGTTGAGGTATCTGGGCGTCGTATCCGGGTCCGAGTCGGTGGCCTCGGGCGGCGCAAAGTCGCCCCAGTTCGTCGTGTTCAGGACATGGAGCGCATTGCTATATTGCGTGAGGCGCTCGGCGGCGAGATCTGACAACGCTAGCGACTGGGTCTGGTTATCGGCTTCTGGGAAGAGCATCCAGATGAGGAAGAGGACGAAGAGAATGCCCGCGGCCGGGTGCTGGTGATGCGGCATGGCGTCGTCGGGGACGCGGAGGGTCAGCGCAAAATCATGTCTTCCAGGGCAGGTTGATCGGACGGTATTCTCGAGATATGTAGGAGGAGCGGCTCTGCTGTATGGACCAAAACAGCCGGGCGACGAGGCTGGATGCTGGTCGCTCGGCGCTCCCGTTGATGATGGAATGGGGAAATGGGATGATGCTTCGGGAACTGTAGGTCCGCCCCGACAGTGCGGAGACGGCGGGACCGACGGCGCATTACGTCGTCGTTGGAAGTGCCGTGGCGTGCCGCCGCGGCCGCTATGGGGAGCAAGTATCCAGTACTTGGCGCCTTCGCCTTGTTTGTTATCTCGACGGAGTAGCCGAAACAGGACACGGGGGAGCCAACTCACCTCGCACCTCACAGTGCCTTACATCTTAGACCTCTTGACGCAGGGACCAACCGCTCCGACGCAGACGCGCCATCTCGAGCTTTGCAACAAAAACAACTGCCGCAGAATCACGCTGATTCCCACTTCTTCCCGCGCTCTCAAACCATGGCCGCCGACGAGCCCGAGGCCGCAACAGCCGAGCAGCAGCCCACTGTATGTCCCAGAGCCCGTCATCCCTTGGACATCGTCACCCTTGGACATTCTCCTGGAACCATGGCGGCCTTCTGACCGATCCCGCGCTCAGTCTTCCGAGGCCGCAAACGCAGAAGTCACCGCCGCCGTCGAAGATCTCCTCAACTCGCTCTCCAACAAGTTTGCCAGCATCTCGTCCGAGATCTTTGCAAAGAGTGAGTTGCCGCTTTGATCCCCTGGCCGCCCTCGGCACCAGCTGTCGTGTGCCTAGACAATGACCTATACGACAAGGGGAATACTGACTTGCCACGGCCCGAAGTGGACGAAATGTCCCGGAGATTAGACAGCCTGGAGGCGGCCCTCGTGGAGACTAAGGCGTCCAAGGAAGGCGCGTCTTCAACGGAGCAGTGAGAGACCGAGGAGGCATCGCGTTACGGATGGAGTTGGCTTTAGATACCATGACATCAGACATTCACATTACACTTCTCGCCATTGACCTTGTGCCATGCTCTCCATCGCAAAGTAGCAAAATCTTGATTCTATCCGCAACTGTCTCGTTACCCAGGTCCCCTTGTCTTTTACAGTCATCAGCAGCATTGCGCTCTCACAGCTCGTCCTTGACCTCCCCAGCCTTCTCCTCGACCTTCTCGGCTGCCTCCTTGACAAACTTGCGGAGCACGTTCGTCTTGCGCTGAAGTTCATCCCGCTTGGTCGGGGCCAGCCCGCCCTTGGACAGAATGCCGTCGAGCCTGGCAAGCTCCTTGGCGGCGTAGCCATCGTTGCTGGTGAGCTTGTTGAAGACGCGGACGTAGTACTCGGCGTATTTGTACTGCGCGTCCTTGCTGAGCTTCGCGGCCTCCTTCTTGACCGTGGCTGCGACATCGGCAAGCTTGTCGCCCCCTACAAGCTTGGCCACCAGGGTGTCGAGGGACGCAACGGTTCCGGCAACCGCGTCGAGCCCACCGCCAGCCACTCTGTGCGTGCCGGCCTTTTCGTTAATGTAATCGAGCAAGCCTGCCTCATCTCGGTTGTCCTTGTATACTACGCCTTCCTTGCTGCCGGCAGGAAAGAACTTGATGGTGGGGTATGAGCTGACGCCCTCGGCCTCGGCGATGGCCTTGCTGTCGACAGCCTCGGCGTCGACCTTGGCAATGACGACTTGGGCATCATTGGCGTAGTCTGTCGCAACAGTCTCCCAAACAGGAGCCAGGTTCTTGCAGTCTGCGAATCCCGCCATCAGCCCCACGAGCTCCTCGCCAGATTTAGACACGCAGAGTACTTACGCCCGCACCACGGCGCAGTAAACGCAACCATGACGTTCTTGTCACCGCCAATCGTCTTTGCGAACGTGTCATCCGTGAGCATAACCACTTTGCTGGGCATCTCTTGCTTCTTTTTGGCTTTGACGCCCGTCTTTTCGGTGATGAATGCCGTCAGGTCCTCGAGATCCCGGCCCTTATTGTAGTCCTCGGGCTTGGCCGACTTTCCATCGAAATACTTGAGCGTGGGGAAGCCCTGGACATCGAACCGCTTTCCCAGGGAGCGCTCGGCGTCGGCGTCGACCTTTGCAATCTGGATCTTGTCCTGGGCAGACGCAAGGGACTCGGCGAGCTGCTCGTACACGGGGGCGAGCTTCTTGCAGTGACCGCACCACGGGGCGAAGAACTCAACGAGGGTCGGCTTGCCGGATTTGAGAACAACGTCGTCAAAGTTGGAGGGCGTCAAGTCGATGACTGCCGATTTTGCGGCTGCCACAGCTGCGAGGGCCGCGAGCGCGAAGGTCTTGATCAAGACCATGGTGGGCGATTTCAGTGAAGTGGAATGACCGTCTGCAGAATGCACAGTTCAATATGGAGGCAATGGTGTGGCAGAGTTGAGGTGAGAGGTGAAAGGGCTACTCACTCGCTGTGCAAGGACGATTTTTCAGTTGACCCGGAGATCAATGATTCGAATACAGTTGCTCGGCGGCACGGGGCGATGCTTGGAAATCCGACGTCACAGATGCCAGCTGGCCCCTTGCTGATGAGCTCAGCAGCAGGGAAGCGGCGGCCGGCATGAAACGGGCCATTATGGAGCCATGAGAGCCGCAAGTGGTCCGGGCTGGCGTCACGTGGAGGGAGGAACGTCGACAGTGAGGTCCGGGCAAGGTACGTACAGCTTGGAGTAGCGCCACATCACGTGAACAGCGGCCAGGCGTTGGAGACCTTTGGCATGGGGGGCAATGCGCATGGGACCTGGGGCTGCCAACCCTCCAATCGGTTGACGGTACGTCTCGTGAAAACCACACAAAAATTCCCGCCCACGCCGAAACTTGCACCAATTTTCCCTTTCACCCAGCACGTCTCCGGCCACCAGCACCGCAACCATGTCTCACGAAAGCGTCTGGAACTCGCGCCCGCGAAGCTACGGCAAGGGCTCTCGCAGCTGGTACGATCTCTGCCTACAGAAACAATCCCTCCAAGCTGCCAAAACCCCCACACCAACGAAGCAGTTCGATCGAGCGTCGCGACGGAGAGCTAACATGTCGTCGACTTTTACAGCCGTGTTTGCAAGCACAAGGCCGGTCTGATCCGAAAGTACGACCTCAACCTGTGCCGCCAGTGCTTCCGAGAGAAGTCCAAGGACATTGGCTTCCACAAGGTGAGCGCGACACCGAGAGAGCGATTCGCCTCGCTCGCGGGCGGAGCTTCCGATGTCAAATTGGCCACTGACTCTGGCTCGTCGCAACAGTACCGATAAACGAGCCGGCGATTTTGAGAGGGCCGGGGGACAAGGAAACGAAAGCAGAGGACGCATTCATGATGGCATCACGATGGCCTCGCGAACATCTCAGAGGGCGGCGGCCGCTTGGAACCGGAGTTTAATGGCTTGCTTGGTTTTGAGGAGATCGTGCGTCTGACGAACATCCTCCGAGGATAGAAAAACACCAATCACAGCGATTCTTCCTGTGCAATACCCCGATCACGCCTTCGCACCGTGATTTCCTTACGAAGACGGTTATGTCGCCGGCAAATTTGACTTTCGCTGTGTTGTTGATGTCACGTACCAAAGAATAGATGCAAACCCCGCCCCGTGCACGGAGTCTATTAAGATCATATTCGATACCAAACCTCGCAACAGCCCCCGCCCAGTGAGCCCGAACATGGGTCGCGCCATAGTACAGGTAGAGTGTAAACCATTTCCGCCAAGCACACGATAGCACGAGCGTTTCACGTGGTCCATGACTGCCTTTTCTGTCCCAGTATGCCCTTCTAAGTATACATAACAAGACATGTGAAGAAGCAAAGTGGAGATGCTCCGGTCTCCCCTCATGGAATATACAAGAGCCAATCTTGACTCGAATCAGGGACGGTTTGTTGGCATGCCCTCATTACGGCACGAGCCAACCCTGTGCACCGCGAAGCCCTTGTTGCCGTCATCCCACACTTGGACAGGGCCATTCCTGAGAGCAATCTCTCATTCGAGTGGCTTACTTCATGATGCGGGTGACCAGGCCGGTGGCCACAGTCCTGCCTCCCTCGCGAATGTTGAACCGCTGGCCCACCTCAATAGCGTTGGGGTGGACCAGAGTGACGACCATCTCGACGTTGTCACCGGGCATGACAATCTTGCTGGACGCGCCCTCGGTGCCCTCGGGGAAAGTCAGATTGACTGCTTCGTCCGAGGTTCGGAGGTAGAGCTGCGGTTGGTAGTTCTCGCGGAAACCAGTGTGTCGGCCACCTTCATCCTTGCTGAGGACGTAGAGCGAAGCGAGAAACTGAGAGTGCGACTTGACGGTGCCGGGCTTGCAGACGACCATACCGCGGCGGATATCCTCGCGGCGGATACCGCGGACGAGGAGTCCGGAGTTGTCGCCAGCCTGCGACTGCGCACAAGACTTCCTGAACGTCTCAATGTCGGTGACCTTGGTCTTGATCACCTCGGTACCCTTGCCGACGACCTCAATCTCATCCTCGCGCTTCAAAACACCGCGCTCGACCCGACCAGAAACGACGGTGCCACGGCCGGAGATGGAGAAGACATCCTCGACAGACATGAGGAAAGGCTTGTCGAGGTCACGCTCGGGGGTGGGAATCCATTCGTCGACTGCCTTGAGGAGCTCGTCAATCTTCTGCTCGCCAATCTCTGGCTTCTGCTTGTTGAGGGCCATGAGGGCAGAACCCATGATGACGGGGGTATCGTCGCCCTCGAAGCCGTAGGTGGCGAGAAGCTCTCGCATCTCCATCTCAACGAGTTCCAGCATCTCAGGGTCATCGATGGCGTCGACCTTGTTGACGAAGACGACGATCCTCTTGACGCCGACCTGTCGGGCAAGGAGCAAGTGCTCACGCGTTTGCGGCATCTGGCCATCGGAGGCAGCGACGACGATGATGGCGCCGTCCATGTTGGCGGCACCGGTAATCATGTTCTTGATGTAATCGGCGTGACCAGGGCAGTCGACGTGAGAGTAGTGCCGGTTCTCGGTGGAGTACTCGATGTGCGCTGAAGAGATGGTGATGCCACGCCTCCGTTCCTCGGGGGCCTTGTCGATAGCTCCATACTCGAGGAAGTTGGCGAAGCCCTTCTCGGCTTGTCTCTTGGTGATGGCGGCCGAGAGAGTAGTCTGGATATCCAAGAGTCAGCTCGAGTTGACGAGTGATCAGCGACTCAGTCTGGCGCCCACCTTGCCGTGATCCACGTGGCCAATTGTGCCTGGCCATGAGTGTCAGCATACAGACGGAGGACCCTTGGCGTGATAGGCGCGCTCATACCAATGTTGACGTGGGGTTTCGTTCGCTCGAAGACGGCGTATGTGCGATAGAGGTTGAGGATGCCGGAGGCGCTTTGCTTCTTGATGGCGGACTGAAGCGGGTTAAGGCCGTGGCGCGCGGTCCGCAAGAACGGCGCCACTGATCTGAAAGCGGTCGACATGTTGAGCCGCAAGTGTGAAGAGGAAAAATACAGGGATTGAAGAAGAAAACGGCAGAAATCACGGGAGGTGTTGAGAGAGGAGCTCCCACAGCAAGCGTCGAATGAGATGGCTTAGAAATTTTTACGAGCTCTTTGCCTTCAAGCCTTGGAGAACTGGACAGGGGTATGCTCCACGTAAAATGCAAGTCACGTGAGAGCGCGTGGTCTGTTGAGCAAGGCGGTCAAACGCGCGACGGCGCATTTAAAGCCTTTCCTTTGACCGTGAGATGCGTAGACATTTATTCAAGTCACTTCCAATTTTCATTAGCTTTGTGGCAAAATTTGGTCGCAACTATTGTTCGTGCGAGTGCAGCTGAGGCCCGAGATGGCCGGCGGCGTTTTCTCTGCCAGTCATATTCGGGTACTTCCGCCCAACGCAGTAAGGGGCCTCCGGCGGGAGCCTAAACAACAAGCCACCCAAAACCTACTAGTGGCTGTTAGCAGGTTCTGCAACATTGCGTCTCAACCAGTCTCGATATTTGTTTACTCGACGTCACACCAATCCTCCTGCCATTGAGACAGCCCTCTCAAATCGCCTGCTGCGTTGGCCGCGATCCCTGACGTCGATTCGAGCATCTTGAGACACGAGGTCCAAAAGATATAGCCATACCTTCATCGCGCTTTCAGCGGCCAGTCAACTCCAGCCGGATCCAGCAACCGCCTGATTGCAAAGACCCGAGTTAGACCTCGACTCGTCCGCCTCTCTGGCCTCTTGAGCGTCCATCACATTCATGGAGCAACAAACGCGGCAGTCAGAACTTAATGCCCTCGGCAAGATGGTTGCTCGCCTCGCCGAGTATGGCCACAATGCCACCGACAACATCAACGACGCCTTCACCAACATGACGCTCCAGTCATGGATCCGCCTCACCGTCATCGTCGGTGGCTATATGCTGCTGCGGCCGTACATCATGAAACTGTCCACCAAGTTTGCCGTCAAGAAACTGGAAGAGGACGCCAAGTCTCAGAGCAAAGAAAAGGCCGATCCAACAATGACACCAAACGAGTTCCGGGGCATCAAGGAGAAGCTCTACGAGGCGCAGGATGAGGTGGACGGCTCAGGCGCGGACTGGGGCAGCAATGCAAGGTTGAGGCAGCGGCAGATGCTCAAGGATCTGCTTGAGGAGGAGGAGAGGCGCCGAGCGGCGGAGAACGAGGACGCCGACATACAGGAGTTTTTGGAAGACTAGGATCTTCAGGGTCACGGGCTGTGGATGTACGAGCAGGGCGCACTGCCGCTGTTGGTCAGCGAAACAAGGCTTTGCGGTATACAACGCCTTGTCGTTTCGGTGTAGCCTGGTGCGCACCATGAAGCTATCGGGGAAAATCCCGTTGCCCGTGTCCTCTGTTCGAGCCCGTTACAGTGAGGCTGTCGCGTGACGCGAAAGATTGCTACACAGTAGTGCAACCGCCTCTGTTGCGCTCTTTTCTCTCGGAGCAAAGGGCACATTGAGCGCGCAGCACGATGGAGGCCCGACAGGACATTGGGCACTTGATCCAAGTTGGTGGGCAAAGGATGATGACACGTCGCGGGCACGAGAGGTGGAGTGGGATGAGGAGTCGTATGGTCCAAGTGACTTTCCTACCGACGGGGCGGGCTCAGTCTGACAATGACAACCACTACCTAGGTAGGTACCTCCAGGTAGATAGGTACCGGGAGGCTGTACGGAATATATGGTCGACGTTCCACAGCTTGAGACGACACACGCTGTCGCCCGGCGTCCAGATATGCAATGCAGGTATTTTAGTGTTGATGTGCACATGCATCAAGAGATGCAGTGTGACGTGCAGAACCGCCCTGGTTGAGTGGACGCATATCATCAATCGTCATCCAGATGCAGAGCTTCTTCTTGTCGAGTTCTGTACCTAGTATACCTACCTGTGCGGGAGATGACTGCACTGTAGACTGCTGCAGCTGGGCGGGCGGTGAGAGCGGGGATTGGGTGCATTGTTGGGCAGGCGGTCTGGACATGCACATTCTGTGCAAGCAGTCGAGGCCCACCGGCGATGTCATCACCACCGACGAGTCTCGATACTCTTCGCATTCCGCCGCCGCCCTTGGCCAGGAGCAGTTTCATGTTCTTTTTTGTCAGAAGCTGGCGAATACAGAGCAACGGACCCTGCGTACCGACAGACGTAACCCGCCCTCTCTGGTCCAGCGCCATTCCGTCACCTGTCTCACGTTGAACAGCAGCCAAGCCGATCCTGTTTTCTGCAACTTTTCTGACGCCCCCCGCCGTCCTGCTTACTGTCCTGGACCCCGACAGACGATCTCGCGCCGAAAAGCACCGTCTATACGTGTACGAAGCCCTAGTTTTCTCGCCTTCTCAACTTCTTGCAATGCGCGCCTCCCCGTCGATCAAGTGAGACGGCAGAATCGTCCACCATGCAAAACTTCCAACAGACGCGGCATGTCGCCTACCCACGCGCCAATGATGCTTACTCGTACGTATCCTCCTCACTCGGCCAACTGCACAGGCTCCTAACGGCCACGCAGAGCATCCTCCTGGCCGCGAGCAGCACTGGCACCAATACGAGATAATAGCGCCTCTCTGTCGTCCAATCTCAAGAATCATCTACGCCGGTCATTTCCGCCGCCTGCCAGCGTTGAGGACGAGGCAGAGTCGCTCGCCAAGGAACATGAAACTTCCCCATCACCAAGTACTTCTGTCGAAGAACCCCAATCCAGAGGTGAAAGAGACCAATACCCTGTCATCATGGACGTTCACGAGTATAATCCTGAGCGCCGTTTTGTCATGATGAATGACCCCCTAAAAACACCCGTCGACGACGCTCAGACAAAACAGACTACAGTCAAGCCTCAGAAGAAGAACGAAACAGAGACCAATGGTCGGCCCGAGGCATATCCTGGCAGGAGATACGAGCCTCCCAAAAACACAGAGCAGCCGAGAGCCGATAGTGCAAAGCCCGGGCTGGAGCAGTGGATGAGCAAGCAACATCTTCCTCCGCTGGAGACTGACGGACTTCCCCATCACCCCCCCGAGCACCATAGAAGCCGATCCACTGCAGCGGTTGATGCGAACCGGCCGAGCCATTTCTCTCAGCGCGCGTGCCCGCCGTCCGGAGACCAGATGCTGTCCCCGAATGTCATTCAAAGTGCATCTGGGAGCCGAGACAAAGCCCATCGCCGCCGGGGCCGATCCTCCACTTTTGACGACAGGTCGCCAACTCGACAACCGCATTTCGAGGTGACCGACCGGAACCGGGGAAGCTTGCACCACCGGCGAACGCGGACGAGCTCTACATCCCGTCCTGTTGATTTGAGTTTCGAAGCCGCTAAAGCATCAACAAGACTGTCAGGCGACTGGGCGAGTGAATCGCGCCGCTATCGGGACCAGTCGCCATCTTCTCGCAGTGTTGAGAAAGAGGGTTCAAGGACTTCGAGACGACGGCAAGGAGAGGCCGGAATCACGCCTCCCCGAACACCCCGAGAACAAAGCCGCTCATCCGATGCCTCCAAGGATACGCTCGCATATACAGGCTCACATAAACGCCCAATCGTCGTCCAAGACGGCCATCCAGTGTCTGCGAATAAGGGTGGGAGAGTTAGGTCCCGCTCGCGAGTGAGAACGATGCCCCTTCCTCCGCCGAACCAGGCAGCGGCTGCTGGGGCCGCCGCAGCGGCAGCGGCATTTGCGCCTAGGAGTTCTGCTACGTTTCCCGTGGTCAACAACGCGCAACGTCAATCAAAAGACACTAAAGTACCGTTGCCTTACCCGGACGACGACGAGCCTAATCATGTTGACTTTGGAATCGACGTTGGAGACGCTGGCTCGGCTAGAGCAGCAAGGCCTCCCCCCGTGTTAACCATGCCTGAGCCTTCACAAGTCTCGTCTTCCAGCATCGAACGATCGGCTGAGATGAGGACGCCCACTTCGCCGGCCGTCACTCCCAAGAAAACTTCCGATTCCTGGCAGATTCCGGCGTTTGACCCCGAAAAACACCGGCTGAGCACAGACCGGCCCGTTGGCTCCTATCGGCGTTACTCGGAAACCAAAGAACAGAACGGTTCGGGAGGGCTACCCGAATGTCCCCGAACAGTACCTGTTATGGGAAAGATGGATTGGCTAACGCTCCCGCGAACAAACTTCAACATTTGCCCTACGTGCTACGATAGCGTCTTCGCGAAATCCGAATTTCGAACGCACTTCCAGCCAATCCTGCGCCCGACCGATGAAGCAATAGTGTGCGACTTTGGATCCTCCCCATGGTACCGAATTGCCTGGCTCCTCACCGTGAAACATGAACGGCAGGACTTGCGACTGTTCTACCATGTGGTCAACGTGACCGCCTCATCGCGCGGTGAAGCATGCCCCGGCAGCCAGAGATCGACTCGCAACTGGCTGACGATCAAAGACCCTTATACGAGACGGCCAGTGTCCGAATTTGCGGTTTGCTATCGGTGCGCAATGATAGTGGAGGCTTTGCTGCCGAACCTGACTGGCTTGTTTGTGCCACTGAGCTCCAGGTCGGAGCCATTGAAGAAAGTCTGCGCATTGCATTTCACGCCAAAGAGGAAGCAGTTTGTGCGCTACTTTGATGCTTTAGAGACGACGTCGGACAAGGCCTTGGTAGGCAGCCAAGCGCCAGACATTGCCGACCTGGCCCAAGAGCTACGACGGCTTAGTGTCGGTCACGAGTGTCGCGAAGACAATCCCGTGCGCGACGGCTACTGGCATATGATGCAGTCCCTGCCGGAAATGACGGTGTGCGATGCTTGTTTCAACGAGGTCGTTCGACCAAGGGTTCAGGATGGGAATAGCGTCGCTCAGGGCTTCTTCACCAAGCCACAGCGATTGCCCGTTGCAACCTGTCAGCTGTACTCGCCAAGGATGCGGGAAATTTTCCACAAGGCCTGTCGACGGCGAGACCGCGAATACCTCGAAGCGAGGGTGCTGGAACGGCGGGAGATTGAAGCAGACATCTTCGAAAAGCTGCTGAAGCTCGATAAAGCACAGAGAAACGATGCTCGGTCGGAAAAACAGGTGGAAAGGCTGGTCGAAGAATGGAAAAGATGGGAATAGATTGAAGGGAAGTCTTTGGTTGAAACTGTCCTTCCCTGTGAAGCTTCTTTGGCGCATATTTTTAGACGTAACGACGAGACGAATACAGCGGCTTCCATTCCCTGACCAACGATGACGGGAGGTTGATGAGAAGTACGTACAGCGGTTTGTACCCGGTACAGAGCTTAGCAAGATGGGCCAATCATGTGCAAGCTGATGGAAGACTCCACACTCGCTTAAGCTGAGTACGTCCCGCACGCTTAGGGTCTCGCTGCCCACCGCACCGGTAGGCAAAAATTTCCACGGGGAAATTTATCGCGAGCCCGACCTGCAACCTCCACGTCCATCACCCAATTTCGACGCCGCCCGACGCCCAAGGTAAGCCCGCCGAGCCCCTTCCATGATTGACGAAACCAGTTTGAACACCAACTAAACTCAACTCTCCCTCAGGTCCAAGTCTCCCCTTCGCAATGGCTTCGCGACCTACCGTCTCCATCATTGGCAAAGATGGCGCTCCCACGGGGGCTACCCATCCCATTCCCGCCGTCTTCACCAGCCCGATCCGGCCCGACATCGTCCAGCAGGTGCACACCGGCATGGCCAAGAACAAGCGCCAGCCGTATGCCGTGAGCGAGAAGGCTGGTCACCAGACCTCTGCTGAGTCTTGGGGAACGGGTGAGTGATACTCCGCGAGGCCTGGTGGGATTGTCGGAGACCGACGCACCATGACGCGCTGCAATTTTGCAACACTTGAGAGTGCTAATCGAAGAATGAAAACAACAGGTCGTGCCGTTGCCCGTATTCCCCGTGTCTCTGGTGGTGGTACCCACCGCGCCGGTCAGGCTGCCTTTGGTAACATGTGCCGTTCTGGCCGCATGTTCGCTCCCACCAAGATCTGGCGCAAGTGGCATATCAAGATCAACCAGGGCCACAAGTATGCCGTTTCCAGACCCTCCGACACCAGCGCAAAACTGACCTGAACTCCAGGCGATACGCTACATGCTCCGCCGTAGCTGCCTCGGCCGTGCCTCCTCTGCTGATGGCCCGCGGCCACCAGGTCATGAGCGTCCCCGAGGTGCCCCTCGTCGTCGACTCGGCGCTGTTCGAGGCCGCCTCTATGGCTCGCACTGCCGCCTCCCTGGGTCTGCTCAAAGCTGTTGGCGCCGGGGCCGACGTCGACAAGGTCAAGGGCTCCAAGAAGCTCCGCGCTGGCAAGGGCAAGCTCCGTGGCCGCCGCCACCGCCAGCGTCGCGGCCCTCTCGTCGTCTACTCACCCGAGACCGACGGCAAGGAGCTAGTCAAGGGCTTCCGCAATATTCCCGGCGTCGAGACCTGCCCCGTCACCGCCCTCAACCTGCTCCAGCTGGCCCCCGGCGGCCACCTTGGCCGCTTCATCGTCTGGACCTCGGCCGCCTTCAAGGCCCTCGACGAGATCTACGGCTCCACCACCAAGCCCTCCGCCCACAAGCGCGACTTCCTCCTGCCTTCCAACGTCGTGTCCCAGGCCGACCTGACTCGCCTGATTAACAGCTCCGAAATCCAGAGCTCCCTCAACGCCCCCAAGGGTGAGGCTATCACCCGACGATCCGCCGTGCAGAAGAAGAACCCCCTGCGCAACAAGCAGGTCATGCTGCGCCTGAACCCATACGCCTCTGTGTTCTCCAAGGAGGCCTCCAATGCCCCCAAGGCCAAGGAGACCCCCAAGGCCAAGCCGGCTCCCAAGAAGAAGTAAATCAACCTGCTGGGTGTGCAGTAGGGTGTGGTGCCGAGGAGGAATGGTATTTCACGGTTTAGTTTCGAGGCGTCATGGCATCTGGAAGGTCGAGTTCCTGAATGATGAACAAGATTTGACTCTCCCTTGCGTCTTTGCATATCTCAATTTCTCATGTGCTCAATCCCGTTTCGATGTCTTGCCCTACCCCTCTAGTCCATTACTCGCCAGAAAGTACCCGCAGAGGAGCATTGCTCTATTTACCGCTCTACTCGCAACTCATCGCCTTCGGGCTCCGTAGACGTCCGGGATGTCTGAGGCTCCGCACGTCGTCCCAAACGTGTTCATCACATGGGTCGAGAGACGGGAACAGTCGCAGCGCCCTTTCGAGGCGTTGGTCAACTAGCCCCGCTTCTCTGGGTTAGGATCATATCGAAGGCCCAACTCGTCAAGGGTAGTGGCCTTGCAGCCCTGCACCTCAAATAGCCGCTTGCCCTCGAGCATCATGCTGCGTTGCCAAAAGTCCTCGTCGCTCCATCGCGGCGGCTCCTTTCCAAGATGCTTGGCTTTGACCACCCAGTCATGAAGCTCGTTGATGTAGTGATAGTCTCCGCCCGGCCGTAGGAGCTGCAGCCTTTGGCCCATTTTCTCGTGCAAGTCGCTGCTCCATCTTTGCATCTCTTTGGGGAGAGGAAGCTCAAGGCCGTTGGACCAGACGGCGGCAAGAGCAGCGGCTTGCGCCTCTGCCAGGTGCCATGGGACGGACTTGGTGGGGAGGGAGGCAAAGGCCAGGGTAGGGTGGCGGATGTAGAATAGGTGCTTGTACAGGCCGTGCACGCCCTGGCCGTTTGTGATGAGGCTGGGTCGTAGGTCCGGGAGGAAGGGGAAGCTGTAGAGGTAGCCCGTGCAAAAGACGATGGCGTCGACGTCTGTTTCTACCCTGCCATCTTTGAAACGCACGCCTCGTCGGTCCACGAGGAAGGCATCTATCTCAGGCGTTTCAGCACATGCCGTATGGGCAAGTCTCTCGGGCGGCGTGGGCGACCTGATGGATAAGAGGGTCTTTCCCTTGGACACTTTGTTGATTTGCAGAGCAATGTCAGTGCCCGACGGTCCGTTGCCGACGATGATGACTTTTTTGTTCCGGAAGGCGTCTGCTGTCCGGTACTGCTTCGCGTGGGTTATGATGGCCGGGTACGCCTCGTGGAAGGAGGCGATGTTTTGGATATGCGGAACGAAGGGCACCGAGTAGTGTCCGTTGGCGACGACCACGGCATCAAAGACGTCGTCAATGACGCGGTCGTCGACGGTGGACCGGGCGAGCAGCCGCCATCTATCCCGACCAAGGTCCGACTGGAGCGAGATGTTTGTCACCTGGAAGCCAAAGTTGACCAGCCCCCTCACGTCTTGAGCATATCTGAGCAGGTACCCTTGTATATCGTCGCGGGAGGGAAAGATGCAGGACTCTGCGGGAAAAGGCTGACCCCAAAAGCTCATCATGGTTTTGGGGATATTTGCATGGAGCTCCTCGTACATGGGAGACGGGAAGACGGGCGGCGCCTCAGGGGCCGGTGAGTGGACAGGAGCATCAGGTGGGAAGAAGGGGCTCGTCTGGGGCACGGGAACGGGACCGGGCGGGACTGGGGTGTAGTTCCAGACGCCGCCGACCTGGTGCTGCTGCTCGAAGACGGCGATGCGGTCAAAGGCGGCCTGGGCTTTGAGATAGTGGGCTGCCGCGAGGCCGCTGGGGCCGGCTCCGACAATGGCGATGGCCTTTACCTGGAAACCGGGGGGGTGGATGGAGCCCATGTTGGCGGAGGAGATGGGATCTTTATTCTGGGGAGCGATGGTCAAGAAGGGGAAGGGGACATGGCCGATGATATGCGGTCAAAAGAGCCTACGTGGATATTAAATATTTCGTCGATGAGATGGACGGCTTGGTGACTGGTGTTGTCGCCGAGCTCCACATATCTATTGGAGTGTCACAGCATGAGATAGACGGGGTAGATACTGTACGTACAGTATGCACGTATAATGGCCGCTCCTATCCGTATTTGCCCAGGTAGATAAGGTAATTAGGTATTTCAGCCAAAAGCACGCCTCGCCTTTGCTTGCTTGCTCTTGAGCCTGCGATACTAAGACGATAAGTTGCAAACTTTAAACCCCCAAAAAAGGTACCTACTAGTTAGGTAGGCAGAGGCGGGCAACATGCCTAGCTGTGGTTACTTATGCGATGCAGTCAGTCCCTACCGTACTGACTACCTACGTAATTAACTCGCAGTACGGAACTGTGTCTGGTAATAATAGCGTACAGTACCAACCTAGCTCCGGCACCGCCTTCCTCTTCGGGGAAACACGGCACCTGCCCAACTCCCAGCTAGCTTCGGTCGCGGCTTTGGTTTTGCTCGACAGCTTCGTTCACGTTGTCCAACACACGTCGCGATCTCGGCCCACCATGAGCCCCTCGGCTCTCGCCGCTAAACTCTCTCAACAGTCGCTCTGAATTCTCTCCAGCTCATGCCCACATGACCGGCGGGGTCCTCGCAACGCTGCCTTCTTACCATGGCCGACGCTCAGTCGGCCTTGGAGGTGCTTCGTCGCACAGATGCCACGCCCATTGCGCAGCTCCACCCCGACATCGACGATGCCTTGTCGCGCGTGGTAGATGGTGTCGTCACCGTTACCTGGCCGCACAGCGTCGTCACAAAGTCCATCGCCTTCATCCTCGCCGAGCACGATTTTCGACTGCGTCGTGACAAGGGACAGCTTCGCATTGAGCTCCACGGCCCAGCGGCTCAGGCCCTCGCCGAATCTACCATTGGCGGCGGCGATGAGGCTCGCATCAGCTTGGATGGAGCCCAATGGGAGAAGCACCAAGCGCCGACTCGGCTGCCCGGCGGCACCTTGGAGTGGCAGCTCAAATTCTCTAACCGCCTGCTGTTGGAGGTCCGCAGAGCCCAAGACCAAGGCAACGACTTCATACAAGTTGACGCCCCGGAAGATCAGGAGCCGCAGCCCGAGCCCAAAAGCCCCCTGGCCGACAGACTTAACCCCTCCCCACCCGATGCGCAGTCACAGCGTGACCATGCCATGCCCTTGGCGATACCGGACGTCGTCGCCACCCCATCGTCTTCGCTTCCCGCCAAAAGACCAGCCTCCTCGACCTTTGGACCGGACGAGTATGCGTCGCCTGCCTTTCTGAAACGTGCTCGGGTATCATATGGATCACTCTTCGAGGGTGGGCTCGACATGTTCGACGAAGAAAAGGAGACCAAGACCAAAGGAAAGCGGCGACCGCGTTTCAGCATGCAAAACACAACCTGGCGATACACTAGCCGATCCCCAAGCCCCGAGGCCGACACGCCATCCGATCACGAGAGCGACGTTGGGGACAGGCCAGGACGGGACGAAGAGGCGCAAGCCTCGGCAGGCACTCCCAAGGCTTCGCCACCACGACCTTCAATGGTGGACGAGGCGTGTCAAACGCAGGAAGTGTACTTCAGTCCATCACAGATGGAGGCTCAAATCTTGGCCGAGTCTCACGTACCCGGTTCTATGTTGCAGCCTGCATCGACGTCAGGACCGCCGGGACAGCGTCAAGACCAAGCTGGATTTCAGACGCCATCTAGAACACTCTTTGATCGAGGACGCGGCCAGCGCGATGTGCTTCGGATAGCTGAGGAGCCCGACATGGCATACGAGACAGCCGGCTCGCACGGTCACGACTTTGGGCTTGGGGCAGAGCAGCATGTCGGTTCAGCCAATATGCTTGGCGCGCCGCCTGTTGCAACCTCGGCCACAAGCCCAGCGGTCTTTACTGAAGGCATCTCAGCACCAGGTTATCCTCCTGCGGTATTCGACGGCAACCATCTTGACGCCACAGCCTTGAACATTGACCCCAGTCTGCAGTTCCCAGGGGCGATTCCTGTACCGGACCACGTGTACTTTGATGCGCCCCCCCCTGGACATGTTGAATGGCACGCGGAGCCGCTCGCAGCTGGACGCGCATGGGTTCCTGTCCAAGCTAGTTCACAGTCTCCGGCGGTTGCCGTGTTTGGCTCTTCACCTCTGAGAAGACAGCCGCATAGCATCAGTTCGGGATCAAGGAACTCAAACGGATCCGAGCTGGGTCCCAATCTTGCCTCTGGCAGCGGCGAGGAAGCTTTTCAGGGTGGATTTGCAGGGGAGACTGCAGAAGCGGAGACGACGGGACGCGACGACGCCGACGCCCGGGACATTCCAGGCGAAGACTATGACCTGCGGAACTACGACCGTGCAAGGGATGACGACGAGGAAGAATCCGAGGAATCCGAGCCTGGTGGCAGCGATGTGGAACAGCAAGCCATCGACCTCTCAGAGGAGGACGAGGAAGATGAGCTGCATGGTCAAGCACCGGAAACAGAGCAATACAGCGAGGCTGGATATGGCGTAGAAAGCGTGCACCGCGGTCCTGGAGCTGGTGAAGACGCGGGCTACTTGAGTTCAGACGACGAGGATGACTCGGACGACGAAGCCCAAGTATTGAATGGCTTGGAGGAAGACGATGGTGAGGCCCGATACTATGACCAAGAGGATGAAGATGGCTATGATGGACTCTATGGAGGTGAAGAGGAAGAGGAGTCTGAGGAGTACGGCAGTGCTTTCAACGCCGCGCCAAGGGCCACGGCTCCTCAGGAACCGGTGTTTATCAGTCTTCTCTCCGACTCGGAGGACGAGCAAGAGTCCCAGGCAGAACCGGGGCCGCCCAGTATTTCCCCGCCGCTGGTGAGGGACTCGATGCCACTCAATGGACCTGTCGGAGGAGTTCTTCCTGAGACTGCAAATAGTGCAGAGTTACAACGAGACAGCGAGTCCTCGGCGAACTCAAGTCTCGATGTCAACGAGGATGAGTCTCCGGGGCTGGACGCAGCTGGACGAGTGCACACGCATCAGGGTCTGGAGATGGAGCCCATGCCATCTCAACCAGCACCATCTGCATTTCTGGAGGCTTCGGAATATACCCACCAATCGGCCAGCGACAACGCAAGTGTACATGATGACTCGGAAATTGAGGAGGAGCGACAGCCTGAGGGGGATGGGCGGTACCAGGACACGGAGGTTAATGGCGAGGAACCCATTACCACTGCTGCCGCCGAGGCTGTTTCGTCAGAGCCGATGGACGTTGATGAGGAACCGGGTGACGAGGCTCCAAGCGACCAGGTACCGATCAATGAGGCGCCAGGCAATGAGGCACAGACTAGTCCACCCATGGGCGAAGACCCGCGGCCTCAAGCAGGCCAGCTGGAGGCGTTGGTTCAAGACAAGCCCGCTGACGGGGAAGCCATAGAGATTCCACTGGAGCATCAGCAAACGGCCGTGGAAATTTTTGAATCCCAGCCCCTCGAGCCCCAAGGAATTGAAGGAGAGGAGCAAGTTCTCACTGAGGCCTCGGACAGCCTCGGGCAGGACGCCCTCCCTAACGAATCATCGGAGTATCACCAAACTGACCTTCAGACAGCAGATGCAGACGTGGTGTCAGTGGTCACCGAGGTCGAGCAAGTTCATGACGAATCGTCAATCTCGGGTACCCACCCAAATGATTCCGAGGATTTGGCTACACTGGAAGCCCTGAAAGCAGCGGTTCCCGGGGGGTGCGTTGAGCAACTACCGACCCCGAGCGAGACTCAGCCCAAGGAGGATACAGCTGCGTTAGTCGATGCCGAAAACCAAGTTACTGAGGAAGGCGAGGACGATCGAGCGGCGCAGGCACAAATTATGACCGAATATCAGGAATATTATACTCCTACCAAGCAGAATACGACTCGACCCAGCCCAGGCAAGGCCCAGGACAAGGGCCAGGTCAAGGGCGGCGATCAGGAGCCAGAAGCTCTTATTACAGTCAAGTCCCTCCGGAGTCGGGGTCATCGGAGGACCAGATCCGGCGACACGAACAGCCAGTCGCACGAGGATCCAAGTGTTCTTTTGGCCAAGGCTTCTGCGTGTCGTCCCTCGGGCCCTAAGCCGGGCGCAGAGCCAAAGTCGCCAACACGTCTGCGCGTAGCCGGCAACAGGGGCGATGCGTCGGATCCGAGCCTACTCCTGGCAAAGGCGTCCGCTTCGGAACCAGCTCACCCAAAGGATCATCAGTCACCGACTACGTCACGCGCAGCAAGCGGCACAGCCGACGAGGCAGCCACGGTCATGCCATCGGCCGGAGCATCGTCTTCGTCGCCCAGGGGCAAGCGACGACACGCAACCCCGGAGGTGACTCGGGAGCTCCGCAGCAAGCCGCACGACGCCGCACGCCGCAACACTCCGGATGCCGTTGCAGAGACGATTTTGAAGTCGCCATCGGTGGCCGGATCGTTGGAAGATGAAGACGTGGCGGCAATGAAGCGAAATCTACAAAAGACGCTCCGCACCGCCTTGCCAGACTTTCTTCCTCTGCGGTCCCTGCGCTCATCGTTGAACAAAACGGTTGACATTCTGGCCATGTCTACCTTGACTCCGCCGCAGCCGCATCGTCCCAAGCACGGCCCGCGCGACTACATGCTGGAGCTGATACTCACGGACCCCTCGACGGCACCGACGAGCGTCGTCGTGGCTCACCTGTTCCGGCCACACCAGACCTCGCTGCCGGTGGTGAAGGCCGGAGACGTGGTGCTCTTACGCCGCGTGCAGGTCGTTTCGGTCAAGGGCCGCGGCTTCGGGGCAAGGGCTGGGGACACCTCGGCTTGGGCAGTCTTTGAGAAGGACGACGAGGAGATGCTGCCACAGATCAAGGGACCACCGGTGGAGGTAACGGACGCCGAGATTGAGCACGCGCAGGGGCTGAGGCGATGGTGGGCCATGCAGGGCGAAGGGGCGATGGCCAAGGTTGACAAGGCGACGCAAAAGGCGTCACAAGCCGGCAAGGGTGATGCAAGGTGAGGCCGGCCGAGATGTATATACCCACGTTCTGCGTCCGGATTATGAGGCCCAAGGTAGATCTTTGAGGGGTCCGTTGGGGTGATGCAAGGAAATTTGAGGATTCGACAAGTCAAAGGGCGTGCCAAGGCCGATCGGTGATTGACGGAACCAAGCTGAGTGGTAGGTATGGATGGTGTTGTAAGAGGCCTCTTGTTGATGCATGTGACGATGAGCATGAAAGTACGGGTGGCAGGCCAATGACATGGAGCGATGGTACCATGTTTCAGGGATGGTCGTGACAGCGCGGATGAAGCAGTGAAGACAGTGCCCAAGGTTCAGACCTGGCTGGAGAGTTTGGACTTGCTCAGGGGTGGTGAGCTCTGGATGTCCCACGGCGGAACGGGGGGATGGTCCACGGTTGAAAGGCTTGTTGTTGACGGTGGACAAGTTGCAGTTGAGAGCATGCGAAAGCGTATGCATGTGAAAGCATATGCGTGAGGCTGGTTGTTGGTGGATGGATGGCGCGACGAGGTTTCTGCACGGCAGAGAGGGTTGTATGCCAGGCCGGGTACGTGGCCACAGTTGCAGTTACGACTGCGGATACAGCTTGTCAAGGGGGTCGCGAGGCTCAACTTGGGAGGGTCGGAGAGAAAGAGGTGGTCGAGGCACGACAGAGTTGGCATTCCCCCCTTGCTCCGGGGAGAACCGGGCCAGCCGGGCCAGCCGGGCCAGTCGGGCGTCCCTGACTTGTTTCATTCCTAATTCCGCCCCTCTATCATTACTCCCATGCTGAAAGATTTCAAGCCCATGCCACATGAACCAAAGTCGACATTGCTCTCCCCTCCCCTGACCCGGACGACGTCTGGATTGTCCGAGCTGTAATAGGCAAAGAAATGGTTACCGGTCCAAAAGAGATTGGCCGAGTAGCAATCGCCATCGGCATCGTAGAGGTAGTAATGGTATGTCTCGCTGGCGGTGAACTCGAAGCGATAGCTGAAGAAGATGGTTGGTTAATGAATGATGACGAGGCGGTAGCGGCTGATGCCCGTTGTCCTCGTGACGCGGTCGGTGGTCGGCACCCAGACGCCGTGCACGCGGGGCCGAGTGACGGCCATGTCAAAGGTCTCGGCCCGCTTGGCAATGCCGCCCGTGGGTGGTGGTGGTTATGGCAGGGCGGCAGAGAGGTGGCCGAGGGCGGTGATGACGAGGGCAAAGATGGCGGTTAGCTTCATGTGTTTCCCAGCGCCAAAAGGTACCGGTCGAGACGAGCCCGGCAGAGAGGGGTCATGGAACAAGGGGTTTTGGGTAGGGTTTTACGCAAAGAGGGGAGCTTCCTCTGTCTCTCATCCTCTATATAGTCTTTTCTGCAAACCGGCCATGGCATGGACGATCACGCCCGTTACGCTTGGCGGTTAGCATGTCGAAAATACTTGGCGATGAAGATGGTTGCCCATGATATTCATCGGGTGGTAGGTGTCACGGGAAAATGAGGCCATCTACTTCGGATTAGCCCCCTGGTATCTCGTACGAGGAACGGATGCGACTTTGGGTCTGGAACTCTGGATAGGCTTGGGCCACGGATCTTGGCGCGGCAGGTCCACGGGTGGAGACGGCTTCGGGGGTCGTTAGCAGCGGAGCCGAGGCGTCATAGGCTCGGGATCCTGTTCATTAGCAGCCGGGTGAGCTGGGTGAGGAGAAGGAGGCTTGGGAGGGTCTGCCGGTGGTGGTGGTGGAGGAGGAGGAGGAGGAGGCTCTTGAGGAGAGAGTGCCGTTGTGCCGGCGCCGTGTAAGTGCGACATGCTGCGGGGGTTCAACGACTAGGACGACGATGATGGTTATGACGATGATGATGATTACAAGGCAGACTGATAACCGGCCATGGAGCCGGGACTGGTCTTATTACTATCGCTGCTTCTTTGTCCTTTTCGACATCTCCATTATTTTACTGTCTTGTTCCTGCCTGGCAAAAAGGACGGCATGGCATTCCCGAGAAGCCGTCTGACGCTGGCAAAGAGGCGCCTTTGAGAGTAGTAGTGAATGGACAAGGAAGAACAAGCAACAACAACAACAACAACAACAACAAAAGCCCAAAGGCAAGGAGGCAGTGGACGTTGTGCTCCGGCGCCCGTCGGACTGTGGAGATGGAGCGACGGGGCGTGGAAGCATGTAATGAGACGGCCGCAGTCGTGCAGGACAAGATCGGGGCGGTGATGACTGATGAGACAGCGCGGGTCATGGTCGCTTGGGGTGCCCAACACTTGACACTTGACAAGTCTCCGTCTGTCTATTGGACGTTATTTTTACTCGGGCCGCTGCTTCCTTTTTCCCTTCGTCCTTCTTGATGCCCTTTTTCATCGGGGCTATAATTCCAGTCGTCCCAACAAAAAGGACATTGGACCCTTGTTGGTCCCTGTACCTTGCAGAGCTGTCACCCGCGTGTACTTGACGCACGCACTTTGACGCCGCCCCGTGTTTTCCCGCGTCATGTCTTGGCCAAGAACAAGATGCCAAGGCTCGGGTCGTTTTTCACCTACTTCGAGGCTATTCTGCGAATGTGTTACACGGATTCCCTACTGAGCCTGTTGCAAGTGCTGTAGACAGTCTTACGGAGGATAGACAGCCATTGACGGCATTCGGGGCACTACTCGACTCTTTACCTGCATGTACTCGGTACAAGCTGTCCGCGTTTCCCCGATCCTTGCATGCGCGCCCCCCCCCCCTCTCCCCCCCCTGCAACAGTTATGAGTGCCGTGGACGGAGCTGTGACTGCCAATTGTTTGTCCGAATTTTCCCCCTTCCCCAACGTCCTCCATGGCAACGTCCTCCATGGGGTCCTGTCATCCCTCTTTTTTTATCCTCATTTCCGGCCCCCAGTGCCTCTTTTCCTGTCTGTCCATTCATCCATCCACCAACAAAGGTTGTCTCTCCGACTGGTGGGTGCATGCGCGCGCGCGTGTGTGTGTGTCGCACGAGCAGTACGGAGTACCTGGTACACACATGCCTCGAGCCCGACGGTGCACAACAACCACACCACTTCTTTCACCATCATCGTCACCATCATCGTCACCATCATCAGCTACAACCAGCAGCTGAGAAAAATAATAAATAAAATCATCACCCCTCAGGGCACCCGCTACTCGACTGCCTGCCTCCGGTAGCGGCCGCTCTGCAGACGCAGCTCAATTGCCGTCGGTTGTGGGGAGCAAAGTCGGGCCGCCATCGGAAGCAGTCCTTCTTCCTCCGCATGTACTCGGTACCGGCCCGCAACTTCGGCTCTCGCTCTTCACCATCCGTCCCGTCTGATCCCGCCCTCATCTCCTCGCACGGACGCCCTCGGTGACAGGAGTCCAAAGGGGGGCAAAAAGAGAAGAGGACAAGAAAAAAAGAAGCTTCAAGGCCCGAGGTAGTTTCTGCTTGCCGGTCCGCCTCTCTCCCTGGTCTTCACACCCCATTTGCAATGCGCCGGCACACCCTCTCGACTTGGCGCCGGCCTCTTCCTCTCCGCAATTTATTACTAACAAGTCCGTCTCTCGCCGGGCCCTCTGCCTCGACGATGGCTTCCACTCCTTCCCCTCGCTCCGACACCTCTTCTACCCGTCTGTCCGCTGCCGCCTTTGCCTCGACTTCTCCTTCCTCCCCCGCAGCACCCCCAATGGCGACTCGTCCACACGCCGCCGACAACTCCGACGCCTCCTCGACCTCATCGTCTTTAGCCTCGGCCCGCTCCTCGCACACCTCGCTATCTAGCAACCCCATGTCCTTCTCGGCCACGCAACAGGCAGTCAAAACGGCCGCCCTCGACCTCTCGGCCACGCAACAAGCAATGAAGACGGCCGCCCTAGACAAGAACCGCGGCTATGCCGAGCACCACGCCGCCGCCGACGTCCCCCCCTCGCACGTTCCCGGCCATCAGGTTCTCCGCGAGCCCCTCTGGAACAAGGGTATGTCGCCCTCTTCTCCGTCTCTCCTCATCTGCTGACCAGCCGCCGTTGCCCCAGGCCTCTCCTTCACCCCCGAGGAGCGCCTCTCCAACAACCTCACCGGCCTCCTCCCCCACGCCATGGAGAGCCTCCAGACTCAGTGTGGCAGGGCCATGAAGATGATCCAGACCAGGCACACAAACATCGACAAGTACCTCTACCTGTCCACCATCAAGGGCCAGAACACCGACCTGTTCTACCGCCTCCTCATGGACAACATCCGCGACCTCATGCCCCTCGTCTACACGCCCACCATTGGCGACGTCTGCCTGCAGTACTCGACCCTCTACACTCGCCCCGAGGCCCTGTACATCTCTATCAAGCAGCAAAAGTCGATCCGCACCATGCTCCGCAACTGGCCCTGTCCCAATCCGGAGATTTGTGTTGTCACCGACGGCTCCCGTATCCTTGGCCTCGGGGACTTGGGCGTCAACGGCGTCGGCATCTCGGTGAGTTTGACGGCCCATCCCCTGTCGTGCTACCGTCAAGCTCGCCCCAATCGCTGACGCCTCCCTCTCCTAGATTGGAAAGCTGGCGCTCTACACGGCCGCCGCTGGCATCCATCCCGACAAGACTCTGCCCATCGTCTTGGATTGCGGTACCGACAACGAGACCAACCTCAAAGACCCCCTATACCTGGGCCTGCGGCAGAAGCGTGTTTCCCAAAGCGCCCAGCAGGAGTTCATGGACGAGTTCATGGAGGCAGTCAAGGACGTCTATCCTGACATGGTGGTCCAGTTTGAGGATTTTGAGAGCCAAAAGGCCTTCAACTACCTGGACCGCTATAGAAACACGCACAAGTGCTTCAATGACGATATCCAGGGCACTGGTGCCGTCGTCCTCGGCGGGTAAGTCGGCTCCAAGCACACCCATGGGCCTTGTCCGGCCGCGTCTCCTTGTCTCCCTGCTGACCATGACTGCTAGGTACATTGGCGCCGTCAATCTCTCGGGTGTGCCCATCGAGGAGCAGCGTCTGGTCTTCATGGGCGCTGGCTCGGCCGGAGTTGGAGTCGCCAAGCAACTGGTCGAGTACTACACTCGTAGAGGTCTCTCCGAGGCTGAGGCCCGTGACAAGTTCTGGCTCGTAGACACAAAGGGCCTCGTCACCAAGGACCGTGGCGACAACCTGGCCGAGCACAAAAAGTACTTTGTGCGCACCGACAACAACGGCCGGCAGTTCCGCACCCTGGAGGAGGTCATCGAGTACGTCAAGCCCAGCGCCTTGATCGGCCTCACCGCCACCTTTGGCGTCTTCACCGAGCCAGTGGTGCGCGCTCTCAAGGCTTCGGTCGATGCGGGCGGGCCGGGCCGCCGACCCATCCTCTTCCCGCTCAGCAACCCCTTGACCAAGGCCGAGTGCACCTTTGAGCAGGCCGTGCAGTGGACTGACGGCGCCGTCATCTTCGCCTCGGGCTCTCCCTTCCAGTCGTACACGGCCAACGTCGACGCCGAGGCCGGCCCCGTCACGTACCACCCCAACCAGGGCAACAACGTGTACGTGTTCCCCGGGCTGGGGCTCGGCGCCATTCTCGCCAAGGCCTCGCGCGTCACCGACGACATGGTGTACACGGCGGCCGAGGCTCTGAGCGGGACGCTCAATGCCGATGAGATGCACAAGGGCCTCATCTACCCGAGGATCGAGCGCGTGCGGGACGCCAGCGTCATCGTGGCACGTGAAGTGATGAAGGCTGCCCGCCGGGACGGCGTTTCGGATCTGCCCGAGGCCATGTGGAATGAGTGGGAGGAGTGGGGCGATGTGGCTCTGACGACGTACATCAAGCAGCGCATCTATGATCCCATGTGCTTTGCCGACGCTAAGGGCCGTCTGTAAGGGATGCCGGCAGCGGATTTGTGTGTTTTGCCAGGCAGAAGGGACAAGTGGCAATCAAGAGGCGGAACGAAGGAAAGGAAAACCGAAGAAAGGCAAAGAGGCCGAAACGCAAGTGAGGGCACTACCCCGTCGTCACCGTGCCATACTTGGCAATACTGGATAAGGGAATGCTTCCATGGGAAGGCGTTGAACGGTTGATTGTATGCTCCGAGTTGGCTTAGAGTCTGGAGAGCGAATAATGCGGCTTGGTCTCCTGGTTACCTCTGCGTCAGGATTGCTTAGCTGGTCGTGGTTTCATATGACCAGCTGCTTGAGCGAAAATGATGGTGATGGCTGCTACCAGTGAGCAAGACTGAGCGATGTAGTGTCCCGGTGGGCGAGAAACAAGTAGCATTGCGGCCTGGTGAATGGTGAAGGCGGCAGTGTTCGATGGAGAGGGCGATGTGAGGTGGCGGCGGCGTGTATGTGGAGGCTGTTTCGGGACGGGATCAGAGAGGGCGGAACGATACAGGGCTGGTCGAAGCTGGCGATGGGAGTTGCTCAGGTCTCTGCCATGATGTTAAAATGCCCGAGGTCATGTCGTCGGATCCTCATGTGGCATGGGATGGCGTGATGCCATCTCATATACCACCTCTTCCTCGTGGTTAATCTGTCTGTACCTGGATATTAGCACTGTTGATTTGTTGCTGAAGCGGAAGCCGGGATGCCATTGAACACAAGGACTTCCGGACAATTTGACGGGCGCCGATGCAGTCGAGAATTGAAAGGGGGGAGAGCGAGTCTTGGAGGAGGACGGCTCGGAGCTAAGGTCGTAAACCGACAATTTCCGCCCGGAAGGCCGATATCTGTCGACAGGGCTCGCTGCAGGACCCCGGGCGCGTGGTATAGGGTAGCCATGTTTCGGCGGCGTGCCGAGTGGCAGTAACTTGCATTGTCAGCTTGCCTCGTGTAGAGCATGGATGGACTGTAACTTACTGGACATGCTGGTACAGTAAGCATGGGCGGAGCATGGGGAAGGCATCGGGTGTCTGGATGACGGGGTACGGGGAGGCGGCAAACACAACGGTCACGAGCGACGCTGAGACGCGGACGGGGCCGGGGGGCGTCGATGGAGAGACGCAAAGGGCCTTTCGGTGTCCGGTGGGGAGTGGCCATGGTGGTGGGGAAGCGAAAGCATGCGCGTGGAAAGAAGCAGATGGTCAGCTGCATGGATGGGATGCATGTCGATGTATGCCGTGCGTGTGCCGATGGCCATGTACGTGCTGTGCCATCGGCACACATACAGGACTTGGATCGCGGTATGCGTTGGCGGGAGGTTGCGAGTCGACCGGAGACTTGGTGACGGACTCGCCGGAGAGTCGGAGAAAGGACTCGATGGAATGCCGCGTGGTCATATCGTACGCTTGCCGGTACACACATGCGACTATATCGGGTTGCTCTGGTTGCTCTCTGATCCGCATGACATGTCCCGATTTTTGCTCTTTCTTGCCCTGGATCAATAAAGAGGACCGGATTGGGTCACGGAGGAGGCCGGGCAGGGGGACGGGGACGACTCCGCCGTGTCTACGTATAACACATAGTATCCGTCCTCGTGCATACTTACTTACACACAACAATCGATTGTTCAGAAAGTTTACAGTACAACTTACATATATATACCCCAGCGCATAAAGAAGCCACTGGGGAAAAAGGGGAAAATCTGACCACAAATGACTTTCCCCTGCTGCTGAGTGGTTGGGTGGGTGGGTGTGTGATGGATGCCCCCCTTTTGTGCGAGGGCTAGACCTGACCGATGCTCCGGGGATCGGAGCTTTCGGGGGACATGGGCTTCGACCGGTGGAAACTCGGTGCTGTGCTCAGCGATGATTATGCGGTTGTTGCCGGAGCTGTCGTGCCCTGTGCTCGGCCCGCTGGGTTGGGAGCTTGCGTTGCGCTACTTGATCTTGCCTTGCCAACTGTATCCTAAGTTGTGTACTTGGAATATGCGGGTAGTAGGACTGCGAGGAATGAAATGTCCAGGGCGAAGAGGGGGAAGGGTCCGCACTTCGAGTTGAGTTAAGCTACCAAGTATCCGTATATATATATACATTTGCACGTACAATCGGCACAGTATCAGCCCGCGCAAGAGATGAAAGGCCCGGCGACCCGGACATAACAATCAGCCAGCAGGAAGCAGGTGCAACGTGGAAGACACGAGGGGACGCCGTCCCGTGTGACGTGTTTCCGCAACCACGGTAATGTACATACATATACAATATCCAGGACGACAAGACGGCGTGAGATGAAGGACGGGAGCATGTAGAAACGGGAAAAGGTCGGGCGGCGGCGAAGACCCCTGGGCGTGTGATGGGGATGGCTACTCGTTGCTGAAGAATAGGGACATAACAGAGACGGGGGACAAGGAGATTGCACGGACAATTGTCAATCAAGGCAGAGCAATTGGCCCTGGGTAGATGAGATCGATATTGGACACATTTTTGATTTGCAACTCGCTCTCCATGACATGTAACTTTGAGATGCAGGTCGAAAGCCTTGTCCCCCCCCCTAGACTGTCGCGCTCCGAGGCGTCCGTCGGCGGGAACAGGGCTCGTTGTGGAGCGCCCGTTTACAAACAATTACGGCAACTGTAAGAGGGCGCAAGTTTCAATTGGACGGCAAGCTTCTGGGTCCGATCCACTTGCTGTCACGGGGGGGGTGCTTGGCGGCGGATGGATGGAGGGATGGATGGATAAACGGGGCTCGGACGGACGGATGGACGGCTACTCGGGGTCGTGGACGGAGATTTTCTGCTTTTCCATTTCCCTCTTTCCAGTTGAAGCCCTCATAGTCTGTACATATCTACTACATAGGACGGGACGAGGACTCTACCAATATCTAACTCGTGTCAACAGATACGGTCGACAGGCTGTCTGTTGCTGTCTCGGAGCGAGTGAATGACGGCGACGGGTATCCCGGCAGTGTAGGCAAATTGACGGCAAGTGAGGAAACGATCCCGTGATGATGAAACAACAGCAACCTGACCAAGTAAGAGAAAATCCCGCTTCCCCCCCTCACTCCCCCCCCCCAGGAGGCGATGGATGACGAGGAGAAAGCAGCGACTGGGATGGGCGACAGTGCAGTACAGGCTACCGAATCAGTGCACGCTGCAAACAGTCCAAGGTAGAGGCACGGATTACTAACGCAGTGGATGCCCGTTACCCAAGGCAGCCTGGTGGGACAAGCCTCGTGTTACGTACGGAAAACGGCGTCGGCGGAAATAGCCAAGCCTGCACCGCGCACACAAGTAGATGGTGGCCATTATTCCATGTCAATTCGAGGCCAGCTTTATTGTTGAATGCCTCTCTCTTTCTTGGACGCCAGGATTGGCAACTCCCGAGCCCAGAGTTTCGATTGCCACGTGATGCAGGCCTCGAGGTACAGTACCCAGGCCCAGCGCCGCACCAGGCCTAGACCGGCATCGGCAGGCGCATGAACCTCGATACAGCACGGGCATGTTCAGTATGTATGTACATGCACATACTGAGGTCCGGAATGCGGAAATAGCCAGACTTGTTTTCCCAACTCCCTCGTTTCTTACACCTTCGCCCATGTTATTGCCGCCAATCGCATGCGCCTCACCAAGGCTGGGGTCCCCTTTCCAGCCCGCTGTCGCCGCTGCCGCTGCCGCTGCCGCTGCCGCCGCCGCCGCCGCCGCCGCCGCCTCGTCCCCCATGCCCCCCTCCATCGTCTGCTTTAGGCTCGTGGTCCTGGTCCGCCGCCGCCGCCGCCGTGTTGGCCCCACCCTCGCTCCCCATCCCCCACTCCGTGATGCCCCACCTCGAACGGCCCTCTGGTCGTCGATGAGGCCAAGCGCCGAGGGCCAGTCCCCTGCGGCACCTCCATCGGCTCCATCAAACATGACCTCACCTTACTACCTACTACCTACGTATGTACATACATGCAGCCGTACCCACGTTCTTACTCTCTCCACGATACCAACCATCCGTGTAAAATAAATCTACAGCCCACCCCCTTTGCTTCTACCCTCCCCCCTCCCCTCCTCCCTCCGCCCCCCTCCATCTTTTCCTTCGAGTAATCCACCCCCGGATTTTGCTCCCCTTCTCCGTTTCCGTTCCGCACTTTTGCTTTGGTTCCGTCGTCCTTTTTTTACTCTTGTCTTGTGTGCTCGACTGCAAGACCCTCTTCTCTCATCCTACCGTCCTTGAATCGCGTTTGAGCTTAGGAAGCTTCCCATGCTTGGTCTTACAGCCTCTCCGCGCTCGAAGCCATTGGCATCGCTCTTTCCCAGCCGACCCTGCGTGTGAATGACGACGACGAAGAGCCGTTTTGTCTTGCGCCGACTCGAGAGCTGTCCACCAATGAGCACGGCAACCTCTACGCGCGGTGCCCTCTTCACCACAGCCAGCGCCGTCGACACTCGTCGTCGAGTTGCCTTGTTGATCCTCCACTAGAGGCGGGAGTCGTGAAAGGCGAGACCAAAAGACACGGGACACGACCGGAAACGAGACTCGGCTCCCGTTCCCAAGCTTCCCATCTGGACCAAGACGCTCTTTCATTCTCCCATTGGCGACCAACACACCATGGCGACTGAGGCTGTCATCGAGGCGGCCAGCGGCGGCTCGTCGCCAAACACAAGCGACAGGACCATCGGTGTCAAGCGAGCGTCGATGGCGGGCGACGGCGGCGACGGCCCTGCGCACAAGGTGACCAAGCGCCGGGCTGCGCGGGCCTGCGTGTCGTGCCGAGCGCGCAAGGTGCGCTGCGACGTGGTCGAGGGAGCGCCGTGCGGAAACTGCCGTTGGGACAATGTCGAGGTACGTTTGCGGCTGCTGCTGCTGCTCCACTGGCAGGCATGCGGACAGAGATGCTACATACTCGGCCACCGGGCCGATTCGTGCACCCCCGGTTCTTCGAGGAGCCGGCCCCCAGTCTTCATCCCTTTTTCGAGTCTTTGATATACGGCTCGTTTGCAGCATGAACTGACATGTTCCTCTCCCTCCAGTGCATCGTGCAAGAGAGCCGTCGGCGAAAGTAAGTTATCCCCAAAGCCTGTCCCGGACCCCGGAGCCGCCGGAAGCAACGCCGCATCCGTCGCTTGGTCCGTCCTGCAGCCTGCACAATCCCGGTGGGGGGGGGGCGAAGCACAGCGGCAGCAGATGACACACGAAGCCCAATTAAGAAATTGATTGAGGAACAATAAAAGGACAAGGGAAAGGGGAAAAGAATACAGGACAAATGTTACCGATGCCGAGCCAAAGAGCGTTGCACTGACGCAAAGTTTGCTCTGCAGGAAGAATCTTATTACGGCAAGTGCCGCCGGCGGCGGGTCAGCCGAGGCACAGCAGCAGCAACAGCGGCAACAGCATCAGCAGCATCAGCAACAGCAGCAGCAGCAACAGCAGTTGCGATGCAGAGTGACGTCTTCGACAACGGCGACGAACCCATCATCATACAAAGCCGCGACTGCCACTGGAGGAGGCAGCAACAGCAGCAGCAATAGCAACAGCAACAGCAACAACAACAACAGCAGCGGCGACAGCAGCTACGGCTTCGGCCACGGCAGCACCAACGGCACGGGCAACAATGGCCCCGTCCCATCGCCGACGACGGCCGCCGCCTTGGCCGGCGACTCCAACGGCCACGTTCCGCACATGATTTGTGAGTGTTTTCTCTCTCTCCCACTTGCCACAGCTCCGGCGGTCACCATTCTCCGGGTGTGTCCGATTTCTCCTTATTTGCCCTAGGCGAGGCCAGGTCGCACTCGCCATCCCTGGCCCTCCTCCCCCTCCGCGTCCATCCTCCACTATTCCCCTCTCCGAGGAGTCCAGCAGCGTGATGCAGACAATGGGGGTGGGGGACCCCCGGCCGGCCCTGGGATTGGGCGGTGCTCGACGTCACGCGCCTCACCTCCATGTCACCCCGGGGCCGCTTTCACATGCCAAAAACGCAGGCGGAGGAGCATCCTTCAGCTCCTCGTCCAAACAGTGAATGCTTACCGCATCTCTAGATCAACGCACCGTCGGCTATCGTCATGACCCTGGCCTGTTCCCTCGGGCCCTCTCGGCCGACAACACCAACGCCTGGAACCCCAGCCTCGCCAACCCTGCCGACCTCTTTGGCAGCGGCCGCACCGCCCAGTTCCTCAGCTCCCTCGAGTTCCCCGATGCCGGCGCCCAGCTGCCGGGCTTCATCCGCCCTCTGCCCGCCAAGATCGCCCCCGAGGACGTCCGCTACCTCTATGCCAAGGGCGCCCTGACCCTGCCTGGCGTTGCGCTGCAAAACGCCCTGTTGCAGGTTTACGTCGAATATGTCCACCCCTACATGCCGCTCATGGACCTCCACGACTTCCTCGGCGTCGTCGCCCGCCGTGACGGCCTCGATGGCCAGACCAGCCTCTTCCTCTACCAGGCCGTCATGTTCTCGGCCACGGCTTTTGTCGACATCAAGTACCTGCGCGAGGCCGGCTATGTCTCGCGCAAGGCTGCCAGGAAGGCATTTTTCCAAAAGACCAGGGTAAATCGCCTATGTCCCCCCCCCCCTCCTCCCCCTTCCGGAACAAGACCCTGATGGCCTTGCAGCTGCTCTACGACTTTGACTACGAGTCGGATCGCCTCGTCCTCGTCCAGGGGCTCATGCTCATGACGTACTGGTACGAGACGCCCGACGATCAAAAGGACACCTGGCACTGGATGGGCGTTGCCATCTCGCTCGCCCACACCATTGGCCTGCACCGCAACCCCGAGACGACGTCCATGTCAGTCCCCAAGCAGCGGCTGTGGAAGCGCATCTGGTGGTCATGCTTCATGCGCGACCGCCTCATCGCCCTCGGCATGCGCCGCCCCACGCGCATCAAGGACGAGGACTTTGACGTGCCCATGCTTGTCGAGAGCGACTTTGAGATCCAGGCGCTGCCCAACTCCAACTCGGTCATCCCGGCCGAATGCACCCTCATGCGAGACGTGGCCATGCAGCGCGAGCTGGCCGTCTTGTGCATCACAAAGGCCCGGCTGTGCATCTGCATCAGCCACATGCTCATGGCCCAGTACTCGGTCCTCATCCGCGACAAGATGAAGCCCGAGAACACGACAAACAGCACCATGATGCTCTTCCCCAACAAGCAGCCCGACAACGTCGAGGGCCTCCACGCCGTCAACCTCGAGCTCTGCGCCTGGGCCGAGTCCCTGCCGGCCTGCTGCCAGTACCGGCCGCTCACCCCCCTCGACGTCAAGGACGGCCGCTCCACCATTGCCGTCCAGCGCACCCTGCTGCACATGGTCTACCACACGACCGTCTCGGCCCTCCACCGGCCACAGTTTCTGCCCTCGTCGCCCCTGCAGGCCCCCATTACGTCGCGCCAGGCCCAGGACATGTCGCGCCTGCGGGTCCGCGACGCCGCGTCGCAGATTACCTGCATGGCGACGCAGCTGCACCACCTACGGCTGGAGCGCTTCCTGCCGACCACGGGCGTCACCGTTATCCTGCCGGCCATGATCATCCACCTGCTCGAGATGAAGAACCCGGTGCCGCAGGAACGGGAGCGAGCGACGCGTGGCTTTCGGCAGTGCATGCGCGTCATGGAGAAGCTGCGCGAAATTTACGCCGCCGCCGACTACGCCTCGGGCTTCCTCGATGCGGCCCTGAGAAAGGCGGCCATTGACATCAACACGGGCCAGTCGACGCTCGCCATGATGAAGCAGGCGGCGCCGGCCGAGTTCAGCGTGCAGACGCCGCCGCCGGACAACGTGCCGTACATGACGGCGTCGGAGTCGCTCTTTAACGAGAAGCTGAAGCAGCCGGCCAGGCAGGCGATGCTGCCGCCCAAGACAGTCAACGCGGCGGCGCTGGAGCTGTCGGCCAACTCGCCGCCGCACACCGACTTTGACTCGGCGGGAGTGACGCCGAGCGCCAGCGGCGGGTCTGACGTGGTGGCGGCCGAGATGGACACGATGGACCTCGACTTCATGCAGGGCCACGACGAGTTTGACTGGAACGCGGTGGCGGGCACCGACTTTGACGTGGACCAGTGGCTGCAGTTCCCGCCCGAGGGCGTCAACGAAGCCGGCTTCGGGCTTGAGGGCGACGAGGCCGAGAGCAAGGCCATGGCGCAGGTGCTCAACCTCGAGCAGCTTGCCGGCGACGAAGTGATGCTACCGGCGGAGCCGGGCAATGCAGGCGTCGGGGCGACGGCGCAGGCCTGAGGGATGCTCGACTTGGTGACGCCTTGTATGATTGTACACACCTACATGTAAGGGAGGGGCTCGTTGGGGCCCCCTTTTGTCTCTGCTTTGAAATACAGGGTTGGACGGAGGTTCCGGTGCCGGGCTGGCGCAACGTGGTGTGGCGTTGGATGATGCATTGGATGGGGAGAAAAAAAAAGGGTGACGGGACAGGAAACGAACGGCCTCTATTTCTGAATGAGAGACGACGAGAGTGTTTGCTTTTTGCGAATGGACGGTGGATCTGAGACATGAGAAGCTGCGATGCTTGTAATTGGACGGGGGTACGGAGTAAAGCAGTTGAAGAGAGGCGTTTGGAGAGCATCTGTGTGCTTGTAATGAGTGTGGAGAGACGGCGACTGAAGACTGAAAGCATCAGTGAGGTGTTGGACGCTAACCGAAGCTGCTTTGCCTGGCTTGGGATGTTGCGATTCCCGTTGGCAGTGGTGTTTATGGAGGAGCCGAAGAGGAATGGGGGGTGGTGGGCCTCGAGAATCTGGAGTAGGAATGCAGCGCGTAAAGTGCCTAGAACGTGCCCTACTCCGTACTCCGTACAGCTACCGAGGATAATTAATAGTAGGCAGGCGACTGATGGAGGTGGGTGTTGGCAAAGAAGCTGATCGGCAACGCGGGCCAACCTGGTTGTCTGCATGCACCCGCCCACACGTACATGACGAGCAAGGATGCGTGAATGTATACCCGAGATGGCTACGAATGCCACCGTCAAGAATGAAGTCACTCGACGCTCGGCCACGGATGCGCTACTGTAAGGTACGCCCACCCCACGAATAGAGAGAGCCGTTGGCTACCTGGGTAGGTACAGATGTGGCACTGTAGAGACGGCTCCATGTGGTTCGAGCTTCCCATCTCTTGCCCCAAAGCGTCAACAATAACATGGTTTAATTACTGATTCGTTTACCGACCCTGTCCCATCGGCGTGTCCTGTCTCTGGCTTGCTTTTTGTCGCCGTCTTTGGCCTTTGGTTTTTTGCTTTTGCGCTGCATAGCGCTCAGTAGTACCTCTGGCCGGAGCGTCGTTTTTCCTCCGTCGTAGTAAGCAAAGCAAGCAAGCGTCCCAGCCTCCCTCGTTTCCGCCTTGGGCTCCCTTGTCCCCTCCCAACGCCCCTCGCCATTGGGCCCCAGCGCCCTGCCCAGCTGGCTTTAGCGGGCTCCGCTGTCCTCTGTGCGTTTGTGTGTCTTGCGTCTTTGCTGCTAGCTTGCTGCTGCTGCTGCTGCTGCTGCTGCTACTGCTGCTGCCGCTGCTGCCAGCCCCGGGGAAGAGAGAGTGCGTCTCATACTTCTCTCCCGCCTCTCTCTCTCTCCCTCTTCTCACGCTCTCTTTCTTTTCTCCCTTTCTTCTTCCCTTCCCTTCCTTCCCTTCCTTCCCTTCCTTCCCTTGTTACCCTTCTTTGACGTGCTATCCTTGTTTGGCTTGACAACGTCTCTCGTCGCTGTTCCTCTTGCCTTTATTCTCCTCGCACTTTGGGCGTCAATCCCTTCGTCGTCGGCCACGGGAACAAGGACATCGCGATACTCTCTTGCTGAACATCTCGCGCACCTGCCCCCCCCACCCCCGCTACTATGTGCATCGTCATCATCATCTCCAGCCGCCTAGTCGTCACGACCTTTTCGCCAGGGCCATGAGGAGAAGACCATGTCTCTAGAGCCCTGGCCCCGTGACTGACTTTAGCTTCCCGCTCCCACCGACGACGACGACAAACACCACGACAACAACCGCCGACGCGACGACGACGACCAACACCATGGCGGACCCGCCGCTTCGCCTCGCCCGGCCCAAGCCCAAGCGCCTGGCCCTCATCGCATCCAACCACCCACCCGCCCGCCATCGCATCGCCGATGACCTGCTGGCCAACCTCGCCCCTTCCACCGTCGTCGAGGCCTTGGCCTCCCCCACGGGAGCCCTCAGGGCCTGCCTCGACGCTGCCTCGGCCCCGGACCGAGACTTCGTCATGAGGTCCGCCCTCGCCTCTCAGCGCGTCTGGGAATGGCTCGCCGAGCTGGAAGACTGGGCTTGGCCCGCCGAGCCGGGCCCCGCGGGCTTTGAGAACCCCAAGCCGTGGCGGACCGAGGGCGACGACGACTACATGGGCAGCCTGTCTGCCGGGGACGTGGCGAGATATGCATGGAGGATTGACGAGATACACGACCACATGGAGGAATTGGCCGTCGACGACATCAAAAGCCATGTCCTGGCCAACCACATCGTGCCCCTTTCGAGACCAAGCACTCCCATGCCGAACTCGAGCCGCCTTTCTTCCTCATCACGATCCTCATCCTGCTACAACAAAATGGACGACTTGACGGCCGTCACCACCGCCATTGTTCTCCAGACCCTCCCCGACCTAACCCGCCTATCGTGCCTGCTGCGCATCTGGTCTAACCGCCTCCGAGTTCTGCAGCGCATCCCGTCTTTACTGCACGCCGTGGACGACGCAGAGGGCCGTCTCAACTCGGCATGGGCCGCTACTGCTCCGCCCTCATCCAGCGGAGGGCCACACTCAAGGATGGCCGAGGCGTCGCAGCAGCCGCCTCCGAATCGTCAAGACTTTGAAGTCATGAAGCACCTGCTCGCCGCCAAGGTCGCCGAGCCAGGGCCCATACTCGATGGCATGCTGGACTGCTTGGAAGGCATGCCGGATACCCTCCCGGATTCCTACATCAACCGCGTGGAGGCGGTGGAGAGGGACTACAGCGAATGGGTGGCCGTCTGCGAGAGAAGGATGCGAGAGAGCCAGTGGGCTACCTCCACCCGGATGCAATCCAGCTCTCGGTCCACATCTCCTTCCCAAGACCACGGCAGCGAGATGGGCTTCCGGCCACAGTCCAGTGGCTTGCCCGAGCTGCACGTCGATGACGCCGTCACTCTGCCTGTACTGCCCAAGGACAAGGATGCTAGAAGGGCCGAGGAGCACAACGAGGAAATACCGACAGAGTGGGAGAGTTCCAGCCCGTGCAATCGGAACGCCGGTGACGAGTCACCTACAGCCTCCAGCTCCTATGGCTCGACCGTCTCAGGCTCCCCGAGCCGGCGCACGCCGTCTGGTCGACGATCCGTCGAGTATGGCGTGGACGACCGGGCGCGTGTGACGTCTTCTCAGAGCGACGCGCCCAGTCTCATCACCGACGACGGCGAAGCGTCAACCGTCCGCGGGTCCAAGTCCGAGACCGGCGAGGATTCGGTCCACAGCTCGCCCTGCTCCGATCGCGCCATGACCCCCGTCGAGGAGATGGAGGAACCGGAGCTGCCGCGACTGCGGGAGAGCGCCAGTCGGGCCAGTCTTAGCTCGCAAGCCTCGACGCTGATATTTGGAGGGTCGAGCCATTTCAGCGCCCTCTCGAGCGACCTCCCGGAGATGTCTGCGTCGCCCACGGGACTCGCGAACCGCATCCGCCACGCACGACACTTTGACGACAGTCCGCCCCGGACGCCGCCGCGGTTCCCCAAAAGCGATTCTGTGGAGCTGTCGGCGGACCTTCTCGACAGCCTTGTCGCGTCCCCTCCGGACGGGGATGCGTCCATGTTCTTCAAGTCGCCCGCCGATCAGTCGTTCGTAGATGCCTTTGATGACTCCATGTCAATGACAGGCTCCCTGACGCAGGGGGAGAGCGGGGGCGACCGGCAACTGGAGCAGCAGATAAGCGAAATCATCGAGTCTATACCCGCCAAGATCAAGCTGTTTTCCGAACCAACACCCCTCAACCTGAACCCCCCGGACATCCGGCTCCCGCGGCTCCGGAGGAAGCCATCCAGGGAACCGTTCAGGAGGAGCGCATCCAACCTTTCCGTCGTGTCCTCGCGCGCCGGCACCCCCTCGTTCACCCTGTCGCCAGCCAAGCATCCTCGCCCACGACAGAAGCGAGCGCAGCAGGAAATCAAAGTCTACCATCTTGCGCGGTCGACAGGCGAGCCTCCCATCAAGCTTTTTGTTCGATGCGTGGGCGAGCACGGCGAGCGCGTCATGGTGCGCGTCGGGGGCGGTTGGGCCGACCTCAGCGAGTATCTGAAGGAGTATGTCAGCCACCACGGGCGCCGGTCTGCGGGCACGGACAAGGCAAAGGTCGAGCTCCGCGACATCCCGCGGGCATCCGCCGGCTTCGCGCCCAACGTCGGGTCCAGCCCGTCGCGACCGGGCTCCGCCGCCGCCGAGGGCTCGCCGGTGACGCCGCTCCACATGCACAAGGCGCGCAGGACCATTGCCAACACCGAGGCCCTGAGACTGCGCCCCAGACCCATGACCCCCGCGAGCGCCAGCGGCGCGGCTGACAACGCCCCCCCGCCGCCGTCTTCCGAGGACTCGGCGCGGTCGCGGTCGAGCTCGCGGCTCAGCTGGTACGAGGACGACGGCTCGTTCCTTGGGCTGGCGGGGCCGACGGGGAAGAAGGTGGAGATGAGCGAGGAGAACAGGGCCTGGGTCGAGAGCGTCAAGGAAAAGGTGCGCCTGGCCAGCGGCGAGCGCAGGGGCTCGCTGCCCGGCGAGAGGAGCCGGTTCGGCGAGCTGGGCAAGGTGGGCGGCACCAAGCGGCTGTTTCGCCAGGCCGACGACAGGAGCTGGAGATGACGAGGGGTCAAGGGCCAGTCAGCCCGGGGCAGGAACTGACTGTCTTGCCATGGGACGCTGTCACAAACTACTACCACTGCGACTACCATCACTTCTACTACGACGACGACTACTACTGCACATTTCTTACACGGGGAGCCAGGCGAGCAACGGGATATCCAGGGGCATTTGGGGCGTTTTTTTTCTCGTTCTTCTTTCATCGTTGCCATCATTATCATTGGGCGGGAGTTGTACTTGGGACGGTTTCCTGGGCACACCTCACGCTTACGCAGGTCTTGGGTCTTGGGACGCAGCGCATCATCGCGCGGGATGCGTTTGGGTTTGTTGGGCGAATCATGTATATAGAAATAGTCAGCTGTTTTAGCCAAACAGGGTCTCAGGATCCAGAAGAACAAGATTTTCTTGCCTTTTTCAATTTGCCCCCATATCCAACTCGACATTGTCAGGACCGACTGCGATAAAAAAAAAACTCCATATCCATCTAGTACATGTGCGTGTCCCCGCCATATCCATACCCACCCCCCTCCCGCTTTAATAATTTCCTTTGAGAGAGCACGGCGGCTCATTTCATGCCCGTGGATAGAGTCCATGTCCACTAGAGCTCATCTGTCTGGCCGCAGGCGCCCTGCTGCCACATCTTGACGGAGCGCACCGTCATGCCGCGCTCGTCACCCTCGCCCCAGGTGGGAAGCCAGTCCCTGGCAGCGTCCCAAAATGTCCACTGAGCGTTTTTGGCAGAGTCGATCCACGGCTTGCCACCGACATGGTCCCTTTCAAAGGGGAAAAAGGACGCGAGTCCCGTGTCAGCCAGCGAATACTCTCTCCTCAACTTCCTTCTCCAGACAAAGAAGAGAGAAAAGGGTGGGCGGTTTGGGGGCATAGGGAATACTTACAAGAACCAGCCGTTCCGTGAACCAACGGCAACGCTGAGGATGAGGTAGAACCTCTGGTCAAAGGGGGCGTTGCCCGTGGTGGAGTTGCTCGTGGCCCAGGGGTTGGCGAGCAGTGTCTGGTTCTCGGCCATCTGGGCGAAGCGGCCGAGGTCGTAGAGGGGACGGTCCGGGCGGAAGGCAGTGAACTGAATCTGGCGAACGCGCGAGTCGATGTAGAAGTAGATGTATCGGGGGGTCCACTGGATGCCAAAGGTGTGGAAGGCCGACGAGTAGTCGCCGCGACGAATCTTTTTGGCATTCGTGGTTTTCCAGTACGCGTTCGTCTCGGCGGTCGGGCCTGGTGGGGTTCAGGGGGTGGTATTGTCAGTGATATGGGAGCAAGACCCGTGAGACTCTTGATGGGGCAGAGCTGATGCGGGAGAGACGATTTGAGGGAGGAGAAGGTACCAAGCGTCATGAAATGGAAGATAGGCCGGGGCATTGCTTACCCCAGTGCAAGGTGCCGTAATAGTAGTTTCGGCCGCCCTCGGGATAGTTGCGCGAGTTGCCGCGCGATTCCATGATGTCGATTTCGCCGCTGCGAGGCCAGGGGCCGTAAAGGGAGTCTTCAGGCATCATCCCTGAAGTTTCGAGAAACGAGGCGGAAAAGGTCGGTCTACGATCAGCCCAGGCTCCCCAGAATGGTCGCGCGCAGGTGACTTACAGATGGCGGGCCAGATCCAGTCACCCTTCGGCAGCTTAGCAACGACCTCGATCTTGCCATAGCGGATGTTTTTGCGGCCCTTTGTGGAAAGGCGGGCGGAGCGGACAGGCGGGATCATCTTGCCCTCTGTCGGGTCGGAGTGGGCGATGCACGAGGTGTTGCGGCGGCTGGTGCAGCTGCCATCGCGGAGGAGGTCGAGGGTATGGTTGGCAAAGAGCTGGTCCGTCGTGATGGGCGTCGTCTCGTTGGTCAGCGTGGGCACAATGTGCAGGCCCTGGGCGTCGACGTAGGCGTTTTTCGGGTCCGTCGTCGTCCAGTCAAAGGAGCCGATGCCAAAGCCATCGAGCTGCACCTCGTGAGACCAGATGTCCGAGTTGAGGGTATCGAAGCGGTCCTCGTACACGAGACAGTACTGTAAGGTCGAGCATGTCAGCTTCTTTCCACCGCTTTTTGGATTTGCAAGGTAGCGAAGAAAAGGGGCGTCGTCGTACGGGCAGATTTCTGTACGGCATGACCATGAAGAAGCTGATGACGCCGGCGCCGATGAAGCCCAGGAGGATCAAGCCGCCGACTATGAGGTTGTTCCACTTGGTCTTGTTGACGGCGGCATCGGCCAGCCAGGGCTTCTCGTACGGGCCGCGCAAGCGGAAGCTTCGGAACTTGCGCTTGGGACCATCATCAGCAGATGCACGCGGCGGCAGCGATGTTGTGGACGGCAGATGGAGAGATGAAGCAGACGATGAAACTGCAGGCGCAGCGGTGGCTCTGGCCTTAAGGTGCGTGGGCGAGCCACTGTCGCCTTTTACTCTGTCCTGTGTTTCGAGGACCATGGCTTGCCTCTACTGGCTTGTTGGGCGAGGAGGCATGGAAGGATGTCAAGGCAGACGAAGGAGGAGAGAAAAGCGGAAGATGGAGGAGGGAGGAGGGGAGGAGGGGAAAAGGAGGAGCCAGCAGAGGAAGGAACGACGGAGAAGAATACCTAAAGGGCAGGTATGAAGTACGATGAGGTCAAAGGTGAGCACTACCTAGTTGACCGTTTCCAATGCGCATCTTTGCCGAACAAAACACTTGTCGTACGAGTGCTTGGTGATTATGGCCGTGGCGGAAGAGAGGGAAGAAGCCACTCCCTATGCCCCCCCGGCCTCTCGCCACGTCCTTGTTGGCGATGATCATGAATTGCTATCTCTGACCGAGCACAACAGGCCGTCACGAGTCGATATGGAAGCTCAACAACTTTCAAAACTGCTGGGAGCTTTCCCATCAGACGAGCAGGGGGCGGGAAAGGGCACAATGAGAAACATAGGCCTGCAATCGTCAACGTGACAAGGCTCCATCACCAGCCAAAACAGGCCAATATTGCAACGCTGGGTGGTGAGGCCCTTGCTCGGCTCCGACCTGGAGCTGCAGCTTGACGACGGTGGAGGCCATCGATGGCGCGAGCTGAAGATTGATGGCATTTCCGCCGGGGAGAAGCGACGGCTCATGTCGATGCAGCTGTATCGGAGAGCCTGTCATTGTGAGGGAGAGACTGGTCGTCTGCATGAGATATCGCGCATCCAGGCTCCCTTGTCTCCTTGGGACAGCCACAGGGGATGCGTCCTCTTCGGCTGAGGTCTCTCCCGCTCTGTCGCATAGGCATGATGCATCCCGGCTGCACCCATGCCTGCCGATTGCTGTGCGCATCGGGGCTCGTGGGCCTTTGGAAATCTGTTCATCTCGCGCTCCTGTCCGTAACCGTCGGTACTCTGTCTGCTATGCAGGGTCAATAATCGAGTCGTTATCCGCCCAGCACAACGCAAAGGTGGTGGGTGATGCGCGGTCAAGACGTTGCTCTGCGATGCGAAGGAGAAATAGAGAGAGCGAAACAGAGATAGAGAGAGTGAAACAAAGATAGAAAGAAAGGGAGAGGGTGTGTGGCGAGATGCCGACAAAAGAGCCACGCAGGAGCTGTGCCAGGCCCCGGAAGCCCCCAAGCGAGACAAAGCTCGTGCCATCGGACTTTTTGCGCGCCGGAGTTCGTGTTCGTTTATCTCGGCTGCCATTAGCATGGACAAGGAAAAGTCCGCCTCGCGGGTGCTTTATCAAAGTCAAACTGGATGGATGGGTGGATGGATGGATGGATTAGAGGTGTGCAGTTACCTCCCTAATGCGGGCTGCGCTGTAGGGAGGTGAGCAGCCGCTGAAGGGCGCAGCAAGGACTTTCTTTAGCGCTCGATAGCGGCACAGGGTCCCGGCATGCCGCGCCGCACCCTGGAGGCAAGCCACACCTTGTTTCCCCTCTCTCTCTTGCCCTGCTCCCTCCTTCAACGACGAACTAAGAGTTTTCCATCCCGCTTCACACCCTCCCACGGCTGATTTCCTGGGCCATCTGCCGGATCGACTCGGCCCGCGGACCTCATCGTCCGAACATAGAGCCGGAGGGGCACTGCATGGAAAAAGGAACAACGCCAATGTGGGCTGTCAATGCCCCTGAACGGCTTCGTGCATCGCCCCCCAATGAGCTCGCCCTTCAAACCGCCTCTCTCTACTCTCCCTCCAGCCTCCGGCCTCCTCGGTCGCGATAGGCACAGCCGTGGGCGGTGCGCCGACAGCGGCATGCGACATGGCAGCTACCGGCCTGTTCATCCATTGTGAGCCTGGCTCTGGACGCTCCAGGGTGCCTTGCACTGCCATGGACGCAACAGGCCATCCTTCTCAGACTCCTCCATGGCGCCAATGCCTGCAGTCGTATGCCGTGAGGCTGTCTCGCCGCGCCATCACCAAGCCGTGTCGCTCGCTCCCCCGTTGACCCGCGTCTCCAACAGGGACAAACGAACGACTTGCATGCCGACAAGGCTTCTTTCAGCTGGCAATCTCCGCCGTGCATGTCGACCCTCTTGACCCTCATCGCCGATGGCTTTCCGTTCTTTTATCTATCCTCGACCTCAAGAGGGGCGCCCCGAGACGCAAAGTTCGACTATCCATGGTCGGCCCTTGCTGCCGCAGACTTTGTCCGAACAGAGGTGTGGCATCCCTTCGAATCCGCGGGCCGCCCCAGTCTGCTGCAGCAGTAACATCGACTACATGCATCTCAGGCACAGGGGCCTCTAGCGGATGCGACGATGCGGCTTGCTGCTGTTGATACTCTTCCAGGGGCTGCTCCGTCGCCTGTATGCGTGGCCTCAGACGGATTTGCCGTGAGCGGCATTGCCGGACTTCACCACTCTGGCCGTCCGCCTCTGAGAGTCGTCGTGATAGGAGCAGGAGCAGCCCTCAGCTAATGGCGTTCCACTATCGCGAGATAGGGCCTGGATAGGAGCAGAGGAACCTGCAAGGCTTGCGCCCTTGTCGTCCAAACGACAGCTGAACACTGGGATTGGAACAGTCCCGGGGTGGGGTCGAGACTGGTCGAGGAGACCATGCCTTGTCCATGTCCGGCGGCAACGACGAGATACAGGCTCGGCCCGCCTCGAGCTCCCGCCCCCCCTTCAGAACATAAGTCAGTCGGCAATTCGCCGATGCGACCTCTCGTTCGCCAAACCGCTAGCTCCATCCATCCATCCGGTTCGAACCTCGCGCCACAAGGCTTGATTAAGCAGCCCCCGCCGTCAGACCCTGGAGCCCGGACTGTTGTCCGTTGGCAGGCCCAAACTACCTCTCCATCTATCCGTCTATGACTGCGGTGGCATGTTGACCTGAGCTTTATTACTTCCGAGGGGCTCTGAAGGGCGTGGAGTCGACCTCCGGCGGCTTTCCTGCTTGCGGAATTGGATATTTATCGCGGCCATATCGCTACCTTCCCCGGCACGAGAGAGGCGTTCAACGTTCTTCAAGATGGAGTCAGCTCCTTCGTCCTCAGTTCACGGCTTTGCGCCTCTCCCGAGGAATAGCTCATTCGCGGGCATCTCGACGGCGTCCAGCGAATCCAACGGAAGCCGGACGCCGCCGATCACTCCGCGCACCGGCAGCTATGACGATGGTTTTCGATACCGGACGGCAAGTCAAACCCCTTCTGAAAGAAGGGAAGCTTGTCTCTGACCAAACAGCAGATGGTGAGCTATCTCTACAACAGAGCCATCGCCAGCGGCTGGATGGCCCCAGAGTCCGTCCGCAACCACGATGACTGTTTGGGAGTTTTGCTGCGGCGTTCGAGGGGGAATTATGTCACCGCGCCGAGCCCGGCTCATCACATGCTCCTCGAGGCGGTCGTCAAGCTGAATCTCGCCGTGGCCGTTACACTACGTCCTCAGATGCTCGATGGCATCCTGAAGGCTCTGGCCCCTGGGCAGACGGAGCTGCGTTTCAAAGGAGGGTCGCAGATTCAGATCATTGACTCGCTGGGGTCTGCACACTCGTCGAGCGTCAAGAAATTCCAGTATGCGTGCGTCTGCCGTCAGGAGCGGCTCGTTCTTGTCTGGCATGACGACTTGCGAAACATTGTCCCGGTGGCGACGCAGATGGAAGAGAAACTACTCTCTCTGGTAAGTATGCGCTGGGCCTCGTCTGCGATGCCGACTGACGATCCAAGGTATGGGGAGAGGGCAAGCTGCCATTTAGCATTCTTCAGATGCCCAGCAATGCTCCCTCGACCATGTCTTCCGGCATTTCCAGCCCCAACGGCACCGTCACGCCGGCTCTGGAAAAGGCCACCGCCCAAGTGCACATCAGCGAGAGCGTCGAGGAGCTGGAAAAGGACCCGGCCTTTGATCGCCCTGAGTCCGTGGCCAGACCGGTCGCCCGCGCTTCGGCATTTTTCATCGGTCTCGCCATGTGCCTCGCCATTTGCCTCATCTTCGGTGTCTATATTGGCCAGCTGATTAGCGAGTGCCTACTGGACCACTCGTGGACGCGTTTGGCCCTCGTCGCCCCGATACCGCTGTTGATGTGTGTCAGCTTGTTCTTCTTCCAGGTCGTCTTCACCAACCTCTTCCAGATGTTCGGCCCCATCGGCGGCGTCAACACCAACTCAAGGTATTACTCGTGTCATAAGCCGTGCCTGCGCCGCGCCTATGCGGACGGTTTCATGCCCCCAAAAATCACGATCCAGATGCCAGTCTACAAGGAGGGCATGGAGTCGGTCATCATCCCCACGGTCCGCAGCCTCCAGGCGGCCGTTTCTTACTACGAATCCCACGGGGGCTCGGCCAACATATTCATCAACGACGACGGCCTGCGGGCCGGCCTTTCGGAGGAAGACGTGCAGAAGCGTCGCGACTTTTATCATGACAACAACATTGGCTGGGTCGCTCGGCCCAAGCACAACGGCGAGGAAGCCTTTGTCCGCATGGGAAAGTTCAAAAAGGCGTCCAACATGAACTTTGCCCTCAACACCTCTCAGAAAGTCGAGGCCCACCTTCAGGAGGCGATCGACGCCAAGCTTGCTTCTGGCGGATCCGATTTGATAGACGAATCTGAGGAGGCGGCCCTGTACGAGGCGGCCCTGTGTCGTGTTCTTGAGGAAAATCCGCTGGTCTGGGCAGAGGGCGACATCCGCGTCGGCGAGATAATCCTCCTCGTCGACTCGGACACCCGCGTGGTAAGTCACACTGCTCACGTCGTCTATCCCTTGACCATTCGCCTTTGTCGAGCGGCTCCACTTCACGGCACCTTTGCTCATTCGATGTAGCCCGTCAACTCCCTCCTCTACGGCGCTGCCGAAATGTACCTGTCACCCGAGACGGGCATCGTCCAGCACTCGACCGGCGTCATGCAGGTCTCGCGCGACTACTTTGAAAACGGCATCACCTTCTTCACCAACCTGGTGTACACCTCCATCCGCTTCTCGATTGGTTCGGGCGAGGTCGCCCCGTTTGTCGGCCACAACGCGTTCCTGCGATGGCAAGGTACGCCGCTTCCCCCGTTCACTTCTTTCCCATGGGTCTAATGCACGCGGAAGAAGCGATTTGCTAACCCACGGCCTAGCGGTCCAAGACGTGTGCGTCAAGAGTGACGCCGACTATGTCCCTTACTGGTCCGAGCACCACGTGTCTGAGGACTTTGACATGGCTCTCCGCCTACAGATGAAGGGCAACACCATTCGCGTGGCCAGCTATCACAACGACGAGTTCAAAGAAGGAGTCTCTCTCACCATCTACGACGAAATCACACGGTGGCAAAAGTACGCCTACGGCGTCAGCGAGATGATCTTCCATCCCTTCCACCGCTGGATGTTCAAGGGCCCCTTTACACCCCTCTTCTACACGTACCTGCGCTCCAATATCATGCTCTCCTCCAAAATCTCCATCATGGCCTACATGTGCTCCTACTATGCCCTCGGGAGCGCCCTGCCGTTATCCGTCATGAACTACTTCATCGTCGGCTGGTTTCGCGACAACCTCGCCTCCTGCTACCTCACGTCTTGGAATGTCTTCCTATCGCTCGTCGTCGTCTTCAACGCTTCGAGCCCCGTCGCCCTCGCCATCTTCCGCTACCGCACCGGCGAGCGCTCCCTGCTCGGCTCGCTCGTCGAGAACTACAAGTGGACGCCCATGATGACCGTCTTCTTCGGCGGGATATCCTACCACATCAGCATCGCCTTGCTCGCCCACCTCTTGCACATCGACATGGAGTGGGGCGCCACCGCCAAGGAGAAGGAGGACAGCAACTTTTTCCAAGAGATGCCGCGCATCTTCAAGACTTTCAAGTACATGTACCTCATCATCTTTCTCCTCGTCGGCGCCATGGTCTATCTCGGGGCCTTTGCGCCCCCGGACTGGGCCATTTCCGACTTTTCCGTCATCATACCCATGGCCATCAACCTTGGCTTCCACGCCCTGGTCCCGCTCGTTTTGAACCCGAGCTTGATGGTCTTCAACTACTGATTTCCTTCTCTTCGGCGGGCCCCTCCCGCGTCTGGATCCTTTGTGAGAATGGCTCGCCCTGGCAACCTATGGTGGATGACGTCTTGGGCGGGGCCGTTGAGCGATGTTCTCCTGCTTGATTGCGATGCGGCGCTTGAGATATATGAGAGCGGCTGGAGCGGGTAGGAGAAGAAAGGTTGGTTCGCGAGAATGGGAGTGCACTGGGTCGCGGGCCCTCTACTAATTCTCATCTAATGACAGTACACCACGTCGCCGCCTGAGGAGATTGCTAATTTTCAACGTGGAAGTGAGATTGCACTCAAGATAGACTTGTCCTTGTGCTCAGCCATTGATTTGAGGCACAGACAAAGCGAATGAAAGCACACGAGTTTTAATTCCCAATTTAGGCCGTCGCACAGAGCACATGCAGTGGTCTTCACCTGTTTTGGATTCGTTCCCGCCCAACCCACCTACCATGCAAGATCTAGATATGAAAGAGAGAGAAAATACCAAAAGAAGCCGTCAGCTAGTCGTCCAGGTCGGCGCTGGCGTAGAGGTTGCGGCGCTTCTTGTCCTTGCCGTTCCTGGCGCTGCCCTTGAAGTGCTTCTTGCTCGACACCACCTGCACCTCCTTGGGGTCCAGCCCGTTTTCCAGCGCCACCATGGTCCTGGCCTTGCGGCCGCTCAGGAGCTTGCCCGCGGCGGCGTCGGCGCTGCCTTGCTCAGTGTATTTGTGGTTGAAGGGCTGGCTGAGGTGGCCCTGGGTGCTCTTGGGGGCGAAGAAGCGCGCGTCCAGGCGCTCCGTCTTGGGGCCGGCGGGGAGGGCCACCGTGTCGGACACGTCGACGGCCGGCTCGTCGTCGTCGTCGTCGTCGAGGGATAGGTACTGCGCAGCGGCGACGAGGGCGGCGCGGCGCTTCTCGGGGAGATGGTACTCGTCATAGAGCTCGCTGTTGAAGGCCCTTGAGTCCTCGATGCCCGGGGGCGGGCGAACGAAGAGGAGCTTGCCGTTGACGTAGTCCTTGAGGATGTACCGCGCGGCTCGCGACTCGTCGGGCTGGCCCAGGCCCTGCGTCTTGAAGCCGCGTGCCATGGCGTAGGCGCGGAGAAGCTCCTCGGCGGTCGGGATCCCCGTGCCGCCCTCCTCCAGCGGCCTTGTCTTGATGCGGATACCGTAGATTGCCTCGAGGAAGCGCTGCGGGATGCGCTGCGTCACGAGCCCGACGGGCCCCGTGGACTCGCGCATCTGGTCAATGGGCAGCACGCCGTTGCAGACCAGGTCGGCCTTTGTGAAAGCGAAGTTGGGGAACACGAGACCGGGGCAGTCGCATAGGATGACGCGGTCGCTGAGGTGGATGGTCTGGAAGTGCTTTGTCTTTCCCGGCGTCGACGAGACCGACACCTTTTTGGCTCCAATCAGGGCGTTGATGGTTGACGACTTTCCGACGTTGGGATAGCCAACTAATCCAACCTGCAGCTTGTGATCGGCCCCTGAAATACACGTCAGTAGAGGTTTCGGGGTTTTCGCACGCGGCAGCGTCACGTACCTGCGTCTTCGGGGGCGTGCTGGAGGAATATGTCTTCCAGTTCCTCGACAGTGAGGATCTGAGTGTCTTCATCCCCGTCGCCCGCCTCCACGCCTCCGGGGCCCTTGTTCCCCTCTTCGTCTGACGACGACTCGTCCGCGACAGGCTGTTTACCGGCCCTCACTGACGACAACGGCCGAGGGTCCTCGTCCGACTCTTCTTCCTGTTCTCTCAGTTCGTTCAACTCCTTGGCGATTTGTGCCGAGAAAAACTTGTATGCGATGCCGGCCTGCTTGAGATGCTTTGCCCAGGCCTTCCGTTGCCTCAGCGTCATCATGTCGGCCTTGTTGATGAGGAGCAGGTTTTCTTTTTTCGGATCGACAGCCTTGACGTATGTTTCCAGGTCATCCGACCGGAAGAGCAGCGGATTCCTCGCGTCGACAATCTGGACGACAAGGTCGGACCGCTCAATGACACGCCAGAGCTGCCTCCAGACTTCAATGTTCCGCTCAAATGGCGTCATGAGGAGGTCATTATTCTCCTGCAGCTCGGCCAGTCCCCTTCTCCAGTTCAGGAAGCTCTCGCGCTCCTTGACATCCAGCTCCTGCGGCGTTGTGGAGGCATCCCACTGCGGCCTCCTCGGCACCGTCAACCGCGCCTTGTGCATGCGGTGCTTGCCCAACACAGATCTCTCCTCGTGCGCAGACAGGAGATAGGGGTTCCTCTGGTCGGTGTGGATGATTTTGACGTTGTTCATCTTTTCCGCGGTGAAGTCGGTGCCTGCCAGCGCGGCAGTGGCCAGGAACTCGTCGAGCGCGCCCTGCTCGGTGACGGAGCGCATCTTGACCCACGCGGCATCCTGCTTCTCGTTGACGAGATACTGCTCGCCCGTGGCGTGGTTTGTCCTGGTAATGGCAGACGTCTTCTTCCTGTCCGAGCCCTTGCCCTTGCCGAACCGGTCGTTCATGAGGGCATTTCCGAGCCCGACGCTCTTTTTGGACTTTGCTAGAACCATGGTGAAGGCTACTGTCCGGATTTGAGGATCGAGTAGAGTAAGAAGGATCTCGTCCTTGGCTGGAATGTCAACTGGGTTTGATGAGTGAGGAAGGGAACCGGATTTTGCCCCTCATTGGCGTCGAGGACGGCGCATCGCCAGCAGCTGAATAATGCGTCACCGTGGAGGGGCAAATTTTCAACGCCCGAGTCTCATGATGATACCCGCACTGTACCGATGACCAATTTTATGCCGCCAAACATAGTGCTATCTTTGTTAGCACAGTCACTATCAAGTGCCCGATTTTTGCGACCGCAGTCTGCGCCCAAAGCCCAATACTTTCCTCCGCCTCTTGCAGACCGTCCAACTCGCCGCTCCCGCACGCTGCATTGCCAAGATGCCTCGAGGAAAGTGGATGTAAGTCGCATTACTCTTCCCGATGTCTGCCGCATGTGCTAACCTCACCAAGCGACAAGAAAACCGCCCAGCATTTCACGCTGGTGCACCGCCCTCAGAATGACCCTCTCATCCACGACGAGAATGCGCCGTCCATGGTGTTGAATCCTACCCAGCCAAGCGCCGGCTCGTCGAAAGTGCGGCGTCTCGATGACTTGGAATCTGAACTTGGTTCCGATGCGGCCAGCATCCGAGCGAACGAGGGCGAGGCGGCGTCGCACGGCGTTTACTTTGACGATACCGAGTATGACTACATGCAACATCTCCGGGACCTCAACTCGGGCGGTGGAGAGGTCGTTTTCATCGAGGCAAACACCTCCAGTAATAAAGGAAAGGGGAAACAGAAGGAGTCGCTCGAGGAGGCGTTGAAGAAGATGGATCTCGAGCAAAAGTCAGGCGACGTGCTTGATCAGGAGATGCTCCCCTCCAAGAACCTGACGAGGGTGACCTATGAGGCCCAACAGGATGTCCCAGACTCCATCAGAGGATTCCAGCCTGACATGGACCTACGCCTACGAGAAGTGCTCGAGGCATTGGACGACGATGCGTTTGTCGACGACGACGACGACGTCTTCCAGGAGCTCGCAAAAGACGGACGGGAGCTCGACGACTTTGAATTCGACGAAGCGGTTTACAACGACGAATACGACGACGAAGATGGCTGGGAGTCGGACGACACAGCGAAGCCGATAAAGGAGTACAGAGAAAATATACCAGAACTGGTGAGGACAGGCGAGCAGCCCGAGCAAGGACCGTCGCAAGACTGGCTGGAGGACTTTAAGCAGTTCAAGAAAGAACAAAAGACGGGCCGCGCACCCGTCGCGCCCTCGCAATCTGAGATGCAGTCGACTTGGACGAGCACGACAAACGGAGGCAGGCGCAAGAAACGCAAGGGAGCCCTGACGGACGCCTCTAGCTACTCCATGACCTCGTCGTCTCTCGTACGCACTGAGCAGATGACCTTGCTAGACGCGCGGTTTGACAGAATCGAGGAGAAGTACAACGAAGACGAGGACGATGAGGTGGGCTCCGTGTCGGCCGTATCGACGGCCTCGAGCGTGGCGGGGCCGGTCCGGAGTGACTTTGATGGCATCCTGGACGACTTCCTGGGTAATTATACCAAGCCAGGCAAACGTACATCCAAAAAGTCCAAGGCCCAGACGGGGCTGGAGCAGCTGGAGGAGATTCGGAGAGAGCTGGGTCCAGCGCGCATCCGCGGGCGGTAGGGATTGCGACTGCAAGAAGGTGTTAGGATACTGCTGCATGGGCGTTGAGCACTGATTTAGCCGCGGACCCCCTTGTTAGCATTGCACACGCAGACATGAATGAAAACCGAGGGTCTGGTGGCTCTCTGGGCAAGGCCAGCCAAGTTATGATATGTGTTGCATAATGCACATGAATTTGCTGCATAGATATCACTTATATCGCGTGTTATGGCGCTCATAGGCCTACGGATGATGGCGCGCTGGGTCACGTGAGCGCTGCGTCGCGACATGCCATTGAAGCTGTCCCAACTCCGTCAAGCTCTCCCAGCCAGGCACTTCTTGTGCTGAATCAACCCACCCCAGCCACTTCCCCTCGACAGCAACCGGCCACCGAGACGCCTTCCCCATGCCCTAGCACACCGCTTGGGTGGATGCGACGCCTGTTGCATCGTCAAGGCAAATGTTTTCGACACTCTCCGGAGCGGCGCGCGCGTCGGCGTCGGCCGCCAACGGTTTCGGCAGCCGCGAGCCCAATGCATTTGGCCAAGATGGTGCGAGCGCCGGGAGCCTGCAAAGGAAAAACAAGCGGAGGCCACGCCACTCGGATGCGAACCAAAACGACGGCGACCGCGGAGTTAACCCGTTCAGCCCCAAGAACGCGGATCGCGGCGACGGCGGCAGGCAGAATTCGAAACGGGGCGGCCCAGAGAAGAAAGGCCCGGACGGCAGCAACCGCTCGAGGCATCGCCTCGCTCCAAAGTGGCAAGCTCTTCAGGATGTCACAGGTCCAGACGAGTCCCTACAAAGCTACAGCTCTACTGACGAATCGTCCCCCCCTCCCTTGAGAATGACGCCCCCCCGATCCGACGACCCTTTTGCGAAGCGCATTTACGACAAGCTTCGCAAGGATGGAATCTCCCCGCCGCAATGGCCTGACAAGCCCGGGGACGCCAACAGCTCGTACGAAATGACGCAGTTCCGAGAACTTCACGAGGTATATCGACGCAAAGCCCGGGCATCCCTCACGAGGGCTGGCTTGATTGACGATCCCGAAAAGCGCAAGCGGCTGAGCGACGCCATCGAATTCAAGGGAGTCTGCGAGGACATGTGTCCCGAGTTTGAGAAGATCACCCGCATCACCGAGCATGATGTCAACAAGCCGGAAAGAGACCGCTCCACGGGCGTCACGCGTGTGCATATGATGGTCAAGAAACTGGCCCGCTCTGCTGCTGGTCAAGAAGCTCCTCTGCCCATGGACGTTCGCTCAGTTTCTGCCCTCCGACGTTCGCTCGACTACCTGATTGACGTGGTCCTGCGCCGCGACGAAAACCTCTCTTCCGTCCACCCCTTTCTCTGGGACCGCACGAGGGCCATTCGACGCGACTTTGCCTTTTTCTCTTCCATGACGGAACAGGAAATCAAGACTCAGGTCTATGTCCTCGAAAATATTACCCGGTTTCACGTCACGTCTCTCCACCTCTTATCCCGACCCGACCAAGAGGAGGACAATTTTGTGGAACAGCAAGAGCTTGAACAGCTTGGAAAGACGCTCCTCTCGCTGCGAGACCTCTACGACGACTGCAATGAGCAGGGTATCCAGTGCCAAAATGAGGCCGAATTTCGAGCATACTACCTTCTCTTCCACGGCCGCGATCCAAGCATCCTTGAAACCTTGCAGCGACAGTGGAAGCCGGACCTGTGGCGCGACTCGGATGACGTGAGGACGGCTGTGTCTTTGGTCGAAGCTCTGCAGAGCACCCAAGAGTTCATCGGGTCGAGGAAAGAAGGCGACGCCGGCCCGCTGCTTGCCGCCTCAGGCGCTCAGCTGTCCTACTTCCGCATCGTCGAGGACGCCAATGTTTCGTACACCATGGCTTGCTTTGCAGAATGCCACTTTCCGCACCTTCGGCGGTCAATACTGGCAACTGTGAAGCGTGCTCTAGCCAGGCCCAAAAACCCGGTCCAGGACGTAACGACTGCAGCACTCAACGAGTTCCTCCGGTTCGACACTGTCGAAGAAGCCGTCCAATTTGCCCAGCTGCACCGCTTGGACTTTACGCCCGAAGAGCTGAACCCTACGAACAGGGGTAGCCAGTCCCTCATGTTGACTGATCGAACCCCGTTACCCCACGTCAGGTTGAACCATCAGTTCTCCCAGAGTTTGGTTGAGAGGAAGAGAGGCCAGGCGCCCCTTCCGAGTCTCATCCACTCCACCGTGTTTGAAAACACGAGTCTTCCACAAGATGCGCGCAATGGAGTTAAGAACGAAGGCAGCCTCTTTGTGCCAGAAGACCAGGAGCCTGAGGTGGAACCGTCGTCAGAGAATCCACCTACGGAGCTGGGCGGTTCCTCGAACGCAGGAGCATCCGCACAAACACCGCCATCTTCCTCACTCAAGTCGCGCAAAGTTTCTCCTCCCAAACTCCCATTTGTAATCGAATCAGGTACGTGCCTTTGGGCGGAAGAGAATAGCGGGATGCTGTCAAGCCATGGAAAGTCACTCATTGCTAAATCGATGCTAGACACAGACGATGATGATGCGCCGAATGGTTCGGCCACTCCCCGGCCGCAACAGCAAAGCAATCCATTCGCGGTAAAACCAAATCCCTTTGGCGGCTCAGCGTCTGGGTCTGCTGCAACTCCCAAAGCCCCGTCCAAGCTTCCAACGTTTGAGGAGGTCAAGGCCATGGATGCCGGCAATTTCTTATCCAATATGCCGAAGCCTAGGCGCACCGGTGCCTTCAATCAACCTGGTGGCGGCGGAGGGTCATCTGATGGCTCGCAATCCGCCAAGCCAAACCCCTTTGCCTCGCGTTTGCAGCTCCCTGGTCTGTCTGGCGAGAACAAGTCGGCCATGGCAGGTGCACCAAAGCCAAACCCGTTTGCCTCTCTGTCTGGATCCAGTACCGGCGGAAATACAACGACAGGGAACACGGCAGAGGCAAAGACGAACCCCTTTGCCGGAGCAGTTCAACTCGCCAGTAATGCAACGACGAATGGGAATACAGTGTCGGGAAATGCGTTGCTCATGAAGCCGAATCCGTTCGGCCCCGTGTCTGAGTCTAGCGGTAGCCAGGCGCCTCAAGCCTCAAGCCTCGGCTTGGGCTCGGGTCAAGCCAAGCCAAACCCATTCGCATCACTCTCTTCGCCTGGAAGCAGCGCAGCGATACCACCGGCGAATGCTCCTTCGGCATTGTCTGGAGTACCCAGTGGTAGCAAACCCGCTGAGCCTCTTGCACCAGCTGCGCTTGGCCAGCCCAATGGTGCAGGGGCGATCCCCGGGTTTGGACCGGCCCTGGGTGGGCAGAACGCATCGCCGCAGATCGCCACGCCGTCAGCAGTCACCATTCACGGTCAAACCAATGTGCTCGGCGTTCCCGCTGCGGCTTCACCGATGCCTTTCGGGACGTCGCCTACCGCCATCTCGTCGGCAAGCCAACCCACAACGATTGAACCACAGGGCACGGCAAATGACAGTCTTGCAGTGCAGTCGCCCATTGCCGCCGTCGGCGGCGAGCAAATCCAGCAATTCGCGACCTCCGAGAGTGTTCCGCCACTCACCGCCGTGTCAGGAGTGCCTCCAGTTTCTCTAGGCGGGAAGGGAACTGATGCGGCCACCACACCAGCCGCCCATCCCCTATCAGCAGAGGCCGCAGAGCCTGTCCCTGCCCCTCCGCCGCGAAACTTGCTTGGCGATCTCAACAGGTGGTATGTTAAGGGGGACAACGGGCTCGTCGAAGATTTCATAATCGATTCCATCAGTCGGATCACCAAGGATGCCTTCGACACATTCGAACAGGAAGCAGAGGAGCAGCAACGCCTCGAAGAAGAAGAGCGCGTCAATGCAGAAGTTGAGACGTTTCGAGTCTACAACCTACGCTTGAAATTCTTTTACCGCTGGAAACGAAACGCCAGGGAGAAACGCCTGCGTGAGGTGAGACGAAAGGGCCGAGAGGAGATGCGAGCATTTTACGCAGCGCGACGTGCCGCCGAGCGCGACGCAAAAAAGGCGACGGCCGACGCGGAAGAGCGTCGAACCGGGTCAGCCGCTCCGAACAGACCAGAGGAATTTATGAACATGGTCAAGTCGAAGAGAACGAGCAATCGCGAGGCAAGGGTATCTTTGCTCGCCAGCGGGGTTTTGTCCGGCATAGCCCAGGAACGAGAGGCGGCCAAGATGATCGTCAACGGCGGCTCCATATCGTCAGACTGCTCGCAGTCAATCAGCAGCCAGTCACTTGAGCTTTCTCTAGCCCCAGCCAAGGAGGGCCCCAAGACGCGCGCATTACGAAAACTTTACTTTGGCCAGCCCGAGAGGTTTCGACGCTCACTGCCGTCCATGTCGAGTAACAGAGACACCCCGGATGACACGAATCGTCCCAGCAACGCGTCGTCGCGCTGGAGGCTGAAGGCCATGGGGATCGTGCAGCTACCCGACGGCACAGCCGTGCCCGAGTCTTTGGCGAATGAAATGGCATCCAAGATGCCTCGGCATCCACGATCGGCGGCGTCATGGACAGCTCGACGGGTCTCGGCCACTGACGCAATCGAGGCCGGGTTACAACGCTTCATACCATCATCAACCACGCGGGATGGGTCAAGCATGAGCGCCGCCGAGAGCAGTCCGCCGACCAACAAGAGGAAGAAGCCTTCGGGCCAAGATAAAGACATCCCGATGAGCGGCAGTGCGGAGGGAAGCGCCAATAAGCGAATCATGAGCTCCACGGAGAAGGCCCGCCTGGAACCCGCAGCGGAGACGTCGCTGATGAACAAGAGGAAGCGGTCCGCAAGCGACGACAACGAGGAGACGAGAGAGAATGGCGAGACGGAGGGAAACTCGCACAAGCGAATCATGAGCGATGCCGAGAAGATCCGAACGGAGCTCAGAGCCCTCCGGGCCGAGCTGGAGGAAGGGACCGAATGGTTCAGGGCTCAGTACCAAAGGTTTCGAAGCGAATCCGAGACGGGAACACCCTGGTACGATGACAGCATGTAGCCGGCGTTGGGGGATGCATTTGCCCAGCGGGGCGACTATGATTTTTTCTTGCCGCTTGGCAGAAAGCGAAACCTTTTGTTGCCCTTTCTTTTTGAAGCGGCCCTTTTTGTGTTTGATAGTTACGGGCTCGTCAGATACCCCACAGAGTTGGATGGCAAAGTGCGGCAGCGGTTGGGTGGAAGGAAGCTGGCTCCTACGAGGTGGCCTCTTTGAGCGGTCGAGATTCCAGCCTCGCCCTCCTTTTGTTTGCCTGAGCCTTGTGTGCGCGAGACAGGGAAATGGGGGTGGAAGTAGGGAGGCACAGAGAAAGCGCGTGTGTGTATTTAGGATTGAGAGTTTCTGAAGATGAGAGAAGCCTGCGCGGGCTTGGACGCAGCAGAGGAAATACAGACTGCTTGTCGTCACTAATGTGGCGTCTGATGAGACATGCGCACATCCGAGCCCAAGTCAGACAGAAGGGATACTGGACTGTTTCTCCTCCCGGCCACGTCGAATCATTTAGACCAGCATGTAGCATCTTGTTCGCCAGACTCCAGACTTTGGGGGGGACATGACGATGCCCTCTAGACATACGGGCAGCTATCCAGATCGAGCAGAGACACAAAGGCGTTTGACTGCCCACACGGCGTTGGATGGCCTTGCCTCCTCGAGCCAATAACAGCTTTTCTTATCTTCTTTCAACACCAAAAAAACGCCAAGTTCCAGAGCCAAAGGAAAAAATGAACATATGATACAGCGTCCGCGTATCCACACAAATAACAGGGAATGCCCTCCCCCTTGTCCAGCCGCTACGCCGCCGCCATGAACCCGGACCCTCAGTCGCTGTCGTCGTCGTCCGCCGCCTCTCCCTTGGCCGACTTCTTGGCCGCCTTGGCCGCCTTCTTCTCAGCCTTCCGTCGTTTGCGCTCCGCCTTTTCGTCGGGCGTCTCGCCCTCGTGCTTCTTCCGCTTCTTCTTGTCGCCGTCCTCGGTGGCGGGCGTCTCGGGCTTTGAGATGTCCATCTTGGTTACGCTCGAGTCCTCGGTCTGCTTCTTGGGAGTGCTGACGACGGCAGCGGCAGCGGCAACGGCAGAGTCGTCGGCCGCGCTGTAGTCCTTGTACTCTGAGGACCACTTGGCTGGGGTGGCATCGTTGGCCCGGCCAAACTTGTCCAGCTTGCCGCTGGCCTTGAGCTTCTTCTTCTCCTGGGCCACAGGGCCGAGACCCCATCGTCTTGGGTACAGGTCGCGCTCCATGATGCATCGCTTGACCTTGGCAACAACGCCATGGTCGCACGTCGACATCTCCACGGTGGACATCTGGGCGATGCCCAGCGCAATGGCCTCTCCCTTGGTGGTCATCAAGACGACCTCCTCGTGATGCTCAATGGCAGCCTCTAAATATCTTCGTCAGTCACCGTCTCCGCAGAGAATTGCAAAGGAAAGGGGAGTGCGAACCGTAGCGCAAAAGGCCGGGAAGCATGAGCTTGGCACCGTAGCACACGGCGTTGACGGCGCTGTCCTTGACGACCAGTCGCTTGTACGTGGTCAAGAGAGTCTCAAGCGGGGAGATGACCTTGCGCAGGTAGGTCTCGTCACGCGTGTTGTCCATTGTCCACTGCGCGTCGAGCACGTCGTGCAGGGTGACAAGCTGCTTGGACTCGTCCATGGCACCGCTTCGCACACGTCGCAGCTCCTGCATGTGGGCGCCGACGCCGAGCAGCAGGCCCAAATGGACGCAGAGGGTCCGGATGTAGGTGCCGGCCTCGCAGCTGACCCAGAAGACGCCGAGGTGGCGGTCGTTGTCGAACTCGATGAGCTTGCTCTCGTGAATGGTACGGATACGGAGCTGTCGCTTGACGGCCGAGATGAGGGGAGGACGCTGGAAGAGGGCGCCGGTGAGGGTCTCCAGGGCGCGGGCAAACTGCGCCTGGCCACCGGGCACCTTGTCGTGGAGGCGGATGATGCAGACGTACTCCTTGCCGGCGCCCTGCTGCGACTTGACAAGGCGGGTCGCGCGATCGATGCAGACAATCAGGCAGCCGGTGACCTTGGGGTCGAGGGTACCGCTGTGGCCGGTCTTTTCGACACTGTTTTTGGAGCGCGAGAGCGTCAGGGACTGCCGTGGCTTGGTGAAGAAGAAGGTCTACAGGCAGGGACACGTACCGGAGGATGCGCTTGACCCAAGCGACGACCTCGTGGCTGGACGGGTTGGAGGGCTTGTCGAGGTTGATGACGCCAGAGCTAATGTACGACTTGAGGTCGCGCTTCAACGGAGCGCTTCCATTGGGGATCGGGGTGAAATGTCCCGTCCGCACGAGCACTGGTATGCGGTAGAGAGAAAGAAGCCGTCAGCACAAACACATCCAGCCACGATCCCCAAACGGCAGCCAAAGAGCTGATACTGAGACATTGGGCACTCACGCCTGTCGTAGTTTTTGAGGAGCAGCGGCCACGAGCTCGTATCAAGGGCTGGAGTCACAGCCTGAGGCTTGATGCTGTACTCCTCGTCCCCCTTCTTCTTGACAATGTCCATTGTCATCTTGTGCAAAGGGACAAAGTCGTGCAAAATTTACCCGGGGCTTTGCGGGAAGAAGTATGCGCTCGTGTGGGAGAGAGTAGACGAGAGCAATTCTCGCCGGCTTGAGGTGATGAGAATATTCGCTTCCTGCCCGGTATTTGGAGGTGGGAAAGCTTTTTTTTTTCAGTCCCCCAAAAAGTCGGCTTCGTGTGGGGTCCTGAGGCTTTGCGGTGCTGTGGCGCCAGCAGCGAGCTAGTCCGGCCCGGGCTAGGGAATCGTTGAGCTCGCCAGCCACGCTGCATGCACCGCCACAGACAAGCTTTGGTTCTTCTCCATGTCCAGGATCGAGTCCTCCAGCTCGTCTGTCTCGACCATCCGTCCGCATATTTCATTTGTGCTACCAAGTATAACTGCATTATTCCGTTTGTAAACAACAAAAGCCAACCACATAAACCCAGGTCCAAAAGCACGTCCTTGCCTGTTCGGCACAAGGACAGAGAGCGAGGCACACAACTCCTAAACACCACGCAGATTATCATGGGATTCATCAGCGGCCCGATCCGCCCGCGGTAGCCCGCACGTTCCGCACAAAGCCATTATTCGTCAGTCATGATTGCCCACAGTCCATCTCAGATGGCACTGCCGGAATTGGCGTCGGCCTCGCTCAAGGCGTACTGCCTCGGCAGGCTGTTGCTGGTCCTCCCGAAGCCGGGGTGGCAGAGCACCGGCGCCTCGGTCCTCGGGACTCCTGCGTCTTCCCTGGGTCTGCTGCTTCCGGCGCTGTCGACCTGATGCATTTCGTAGGCTTCTTGCCTGACCTTTCCCTTACCCTCTGACGGCGACGCCGTGCTCTGTGCACCGGCACCGTCGTCGTCGCCGAGCGCAACGCCAATATCTTGGGTGATGCCGAGTGCGGCCAGGGGCATATGCGTGCTCGGACTGTTACGAGCGCTGACGGGGCTATTGTACTGGCTCGAGTAGGGCGAAAAATATCTCGGATAAGCATTCTCGGTGCTGACAGTCATGGGCGAGTCGTCCCATCCTCGCAAGGGCTGTTGGCTAACAGGCGTGTCGTCCCATCCTCTGGACGGCCTTGGCTGGCTCATGGGCGCATCCGGCTTCTCCCCCTGCCCGTTGGGTGCGGGCCATCCCCTCTGCACGTACTTGGCCTCGAGCCTTCGCAGGTAGGCCCTTCTCCTGCGTTTGCCGTTGAGGACGATGGCGCATCCAAGAATCGTGAGAAGGAGCACGAGACCGCCGACAGCAATGCCCACCTTGGCGCTCAAGTTGAGGGGCCCTTGGTCGAACCAGTTGGGGTCGACGGCGACCGTTGGTGATGGGGCCGTGACGTTGACGTAGTCTGAGGAGAATACGTTGCCTTCTAGGCCGAGGCCGATGCCGGGCGCTGGGCGCTGTTCACAGCCAGCCTCAAGAACTGTGACAACTGCGACGAGGAGCGTGTCAGCAACCGAAGGCGAGAGCACGGCAAGGGCCCGTGGGGGGTCGGATGAGGTGCCTCACAGTTTGCGAGGTGGAAGCTTTCCGCTGCCTGCAGGCATTCCGTGCACCCCCTGTAGTCGACGTTTATATCCATGGGCCACCGCTGGCAGTACTCGTAGCTCTTGTACGTTGACGACAGATTCTTGTACTCGATTGCGTTGAGAAAGGGTCCACAAGCCTTGCTGGTAATGCACGGGTTGTTGACGAGATTCTCGTTGATGGGTACGCCAAACAGGCAGTACGATACGGCGTATCGCAGGTTGTCTGGGGAAATGGTCAGGGGCGCACAGGGAGGGGTCGCAGCAACAGGCCGCATCCCGGGCGGTCACGGAACATACAAAGCACGGACTGGACGTCGCTCTGGTTGTTGTGGAAGTAGCCGCTTCCCATCTCGCACTCGACGCAGCCCTGGAAGAGCTGGGCGGCGGCGCCCGAGGGGCCGGCCTCGTCGCAAACGATGTCTGCGGTTGAGGTCGAGTCAAGGACATTGCCGCAGCTGGTCGAGCACGGTGAGCCGGGAGTGACGAGGATGGCGTGGGCGGCGGGCAGGGCGACGGCGAGCGTCGTGGACAGGCGCAACATGGCGGCAGAGGGCCTGGTTGAGGGTGATGAATGGGACGTGGCTAGCATTGAGCTGGGGGATGAAGGGTGAAGAAGCAACCGAGATGACGACGAGCTGTTGCATGCCCCTCGGCGGCGTGACGGACGGTGAGGGTTGCGGAGAGGTTATACATGCATACATCTGTTGCCGGAGACGGCCGACAAGGGGTGTGTGATGGGGTTGCGGCTGGACGGAGTAGCGTCGTGGTGCCCGTTGAACAAGGAGGATGAGGGAGGAGGGGGGGGGGGGTCAGACGGAAGAGAGAGAGAGACAGAGAGAGAGAGATGTTCGCTTATCACAGAGGTGCCTGCCCGCTGGCTGTGTACTTGACGCGGTATAGGACGATGTATGGCCACGCATGTATCCGTCGTAGTCAGCGGCCCATAACGTTATTACAGCACTCAACGGCACTCAACGGCACTCAACGGCACCCAACTTACATCGGTGCTGGAGCTTGCTTGGCAAGGAGCAAGGGGCCCCGAGTTGGCACATCACATATTACACCACTGTATGTACACACACGGAGAGGTACCTATAGGCATACACGCCTACTACCTTAGTACCTTGTTAGGTACCTAGTTAGGATAGGTAGCATGGCAAAAGACGACCGCGTGCCTACAGTAGTGCCCATCTTCAAGGCCAAAGCGGCCCGAGCCCCGACAAGGTCATCGGCGAGAGAGTGCTTGCTTCCAATGCGGTTGGCTCGTCCGTCGGCCGCTAACGAGGTGCGTCGCTCCAATCAGCCATCCTCAACGCTTGCATTCGTCACTTCCGGGCGCTTAATGCCAACGCCACATTGATGAGTTCCCGTCCCGACTCCAATTTTCCCCGCATCCTTCCAGCCTTTCTGTGCCGTGCAGCAGACTGTAGGCCTGGTAAAGCAAAAGTCTCCCTATATCAGCCGTCACCTAAGAATCCTCGCCGTGTCATGTGGTTGGTGCCGTGTCCCTGTTCCACTCCTCGCTCGCACCGCATGGCAGCAACAACCGCATCCGACAGCGTTGCCTCGACATGCACCATCAAAGCACTGGGCGCCAGATTGGCCTCACTGATTGGGTCGCACGGCCAGTTGCCATGCGGGGTCGTGATGCTTCCCTCTCCCCAACGGCCAGCCCGTGAGTGCCCCATCAGGAATTGGAGTGCCCATCAGTTTGCTCAGGGGTCTCAGTGGCAGCATCAACGTTTGTTTTCCCACACTGGGCCATCACTTTCGAGTGACCAAATTGAGCACAAGCAGTCTGGAACCACTTCTTTCAAGAGCCTGTATCTAGTAGCCGCCGTGTGAAACCCTATCGCTCCAAATTGGGCCACGAGCCTTCACATGGGCACTGCTGGGTGGCTCAGATATCATGTCTCCGCGGGGTCAGGGGCCAGACCGGACGGACAGTCCATGTTCAGACCTCCAAATCATTCAGTTTTGTGGAGCAGGACGACCGCTCCAACATCTCTGATGCCACGCTCATGGGATTTTCAGGAAGACCCGGGTGCGGCAAACTGTAACATGAGTTACGAATCGCCAGCCAAAGGCGTTGGTGTGTTGGTGTCGCCCGTGTCTGGAGGGTCCAGTAGGATTGCTCCTCGACGCCGACTCCCAACGGTGTGAACCAGGGATGGCTGTCGCCTACCATTCTTTGGTTCCTGCCTTTTTCCATCACTGGGTGGAACATCTGTGAAGAGGCTTTGTGCTGGAGACGGTGACTGCTTCAGCCGCGTGTTGGCTGAAGCTACAGTATCGTCTCACAACTCTGATCAAGAGCTTTCTTGACCTGGCTTTGCTGAGCGAGTCGATGAGAATGGGCGTTCTGCATCGCTAGATTACCTCGACGGCAAAGTACCGTGTTGCCCGCATTCCTACGGTCCGTACGGATTGGGATGACTGACTGGGCCCAAGTTCCCTCCGGCTGAAGAGCTGTCTGAGGGTTCTGACCTTGCCGGTTCCCCGTTTGGTGGCTCAGAGCCCGGTTTTGGCTGATAAATCAACTTTGCGTAGGGAGAGCTGTCAGTGTCCACAACCAGCAGCTCCTTGTCACATCGACCAAGCAGTGCGTAGACCTTGACCTCGCCGTCCTGGATACCAATAACGGCACTTGTTCCAGCGAAGATGACGTCGCCTTCTATGCCACAGCGGTTGCAGAAGACGACTATAATCTCTTCCTGGTTCTCGGAGCGAATGAGGGGCTCAAGCCGGGTGACCCAATAGGCCAGGGTGTCCATGTCTGGCTCATTAGGTTTGCGTGTGAACAGCTGTTGGTCCTCCCTGGTCATCCATGCCATGGAGACAATAACCAGGTTGGACTCGACCTCGAGTATATGAAAGGCAAACTCAAAAGCATGCCAGGGTGCCTCAAACTTGTACGGGCTGCAAAGCGTCAGCCAACCGAGTTCGCGCTGAATGAGCGACGGCCACGTCATACTTGAGGTCCATGCCTGTGATGCATTGCAACGTAAGTATAATGAATGCGAGAGGAGGAAACAGGGCCCATATGTTGGTTGGTGTGCTTACATATGCCGATGGAGGTGTTTCCCAAACCGGGGATAAAGCCGTCGTAGAAACCACCATCGCCCTCGAGAGCCCACGTCTCGTCAGTGTAGTAGAGAAAAGACTTGCGATAGTTGGCAATGGTCTCGCCTTCCTGGTTGACGACGATGGCCGAGTTGTAGTACTCGGGGCCGGTGGGCCACTTGGGAGAGACATCGACCTTTTCCGGATAGCCAGCCAAGACGACGCAGTTGTACTTGAGCGCAGTCGTTCGAGCCCACAGCGATGTGATGCCGGAGCCCGAGGGCTCGAGGAAGGGGGCGATTTCCTGGAGCGACTTGAAGTTGTATCCTGTTGCCGCGTCAGAAGCGAGACGCCGGCGAGTGGATCCCAACGTACCGGTAAAGGCCATTTCGGGCAGGACGAGGAGGTCGAGATCGAGGTCTTCGGGATTTGCCCTGGACAGGACGGCATCGGCGCGGTGGAGATTGTTGTCCACGTCGCCAACCTGGGGCGCAAACTGCAAGCACGCAATCTTCATGGTGACGGGCTGTTGATCGCTTTTATGCAGACAGAACCAACAGCATATATTCAACCCGGGGTAGCTGGCGGGGATGGAGACGGGGGGAAATGGCGCGTTGGGCTTTCCAGGGCGACGAGGTGGCGGTCACGGGTGAGTCCTCGAGTGGGGGTACCTAGGAATGCCGTAAGTACATTGCGAGGTTACAGCACAGGATGCCCTGCCTCTCGCGGCCAGCGGCCAACAGCCAACCGGCATGCTCGATTACGCGCTCGACAAAGGGGGGACCCGCTCGCGATGCTTCTCATGCACGACGGACCTGCGGAAACCGTGGTCGATGGTGTGGACCGTCGGGACCCTCAGTAGGCGCGCTGGCGGTTATCGACAGCGGAGAGAGCATTGCTGACCTCCACCTCCACGGCTCCCTGACGCCTCCCTGACGCCTCCCTCTCCGCGATACCACTCTACACGCGGCGCGCGGCGCTTCATCGCCTGCCGCTTCCGCCGCTGGCAGATCCCTCCCCGCGCGGCACCGCTATGGCTCATTGGCCCAGCCTTGCAGGGAACTGGCGTCTAAGAGCCCGCCTCTCCAGTCCGGCCCAATGAAGCAGGCCCTTGGTCTTCGATGCCCCGCCAGAATGCTACGCCAGAGGCTGATGCTCCCATACGTCTGGCCGTGTCGGGTGCAAGCAAGAGGCTGAAACGGGCCAAGAGGGCCCTCCGTGGCCCAAGGGATGCTGGCCAAGCCTGCACGCCCTGCTGCGTCCCGTCTGCCCATCCCGCCGACGGCGTCGCACAGGTTGCGTTGGCCCGACACCATATAACATCGCCGCTGCTGCTCTGCAGGCCGGGGCCATGGGGCAAACGTTGAACTCGCCCGGTCGAGCGATTCTGGACCCGGCCTTGCCTCCCGCTGGCGGACTGAGAGCAGCAGGTTCATCGCCATGCGACAGATGTTGGCCGACTTTGCTGCGGACGCCTGCTTCGCCTCAATACATTGCGTTTAATAATCAGCATGGCCCAGTTTGTTCTTTTGTTTGTCCTCTGCCGTGTCGTCGTCGCCCTCCAGGTGACCCCGGGCTCCCCCTGTGCTGCATACTGCCTGGATTCACTCGAGGGAAACGACTTCAAAGCATCGGATTCAACGACCAACCCGGCAGACGTTAGCTGCAGAGACGCCAACTATGTGACGACGGACAGCGGCATCAAGTTTAGGGAATGCGTAGACTGCCTGCAGACGAGCACCAAATTTGCAGAGGGGGAGTCCGATGTCAAGTGGTACATCTGTGAGTTCTCCTTGAGCCTTTGGCACTTGGCCGGGACTGACAGCTCGTCATGGCTAGACAATCTGCGATATGCCATCAGCGCCTGTCTCTTTTCCTCGCCTGCGGCGCCGCCCAACAAGACGGCCGACTCGCCATGTGGCGTAGACAAGGCGTGTCGGCCTCTCAAGGGAGCTCTGACGAGTGACGACCTACAGCCGGCTCCGCAAACTTCGCAGGACTACTGCACTGCCGACCACGGTGCCTTCAAAAGGTCGAACCTGTCGCCCTGTACCAAGTGCCTTCGGGCTACCGAGGGCGAGGCGTACCTCTCGAATTGTGCGTCGCTCCTCACTCACATCCCGCAGCTTTGGCTCCAACTGACCCGTCTCAGTCCTGGTTGCCCTCGAGGCCGGTTGCGCCCAAAACCCGGCTGATGGCCAAGTTTTGGGCCTGAGCAGCAGCCTCTTCACCGCAGATGCCGTCAGCGCCGTCAACCCTCCGACCAGCAATCAGGACGACAAAAAGGGGCAGCCCGGCCTCACGGGCAGTGCCATCGCCGGCATCGTCATTGGCGTCGTCCTCCTTTTTGTATTTGCCGCCGCCCTGTTTATTGTATACTGGCGTCGCCAGGAAGCTTTGGATAGCGAGGATAGCGACGACGAGGCCAAGGGGCTCCCAGGTCCCAATTACCCGCACCTACCCGGCAGCAACACGGGAACAACCCGAGTGTTTCGTCGAGGTGATGCTGGACAGGCCTTCGGTGGGAAAGCGTCGCACTTTACTTCGTCTGGCGAATACTACGACCACATGCGTGCGCAAGGCCAATCCGGCCGAACCGTATACGCATCGGATTTTACCATCAATGCACCAGGCTCCCACAGCGCGATACCTACGCATTACGCATACATTCCAGGGACGAGCTCGCGCGCGGCGAGCCGAGCAAGCCCGGGCCGGGTGCCGTCACCACCTGCCTCCATCAACCGCCCCGAGAAGACCAACAGACCAGACACGTTCGCCATTCAGGCCTATCTCACCGCAGCAGAAGACTCGAGCCGGCTCGCTGCTTCGTCAGCCCCTCCCGCTCCGAGGCCCAAGGCGCCGGCTGCTCACGGCTTCAGAATTCCTCTTGCGTCTTTGCCGAAACTGGGGATACCGAAAAAGCCCATGCTTCGGCACAGGGCAGCAGAGACGCCGACGCCCGGCGGGCTGCACCGGGGGGTCGAACTGCAAATATCAGAACCAGTCATGGGAGACGACAGCAGGTTCAGCGAGCCAGCCACGGTGAACACGGCAGCGAAACAGCAAAAGGCCGGGCACTGCGAGGACGGGTACGTCGAGGTGCCCCTACGAAGTGGCAAGAGTACCCTATATGGGTTTTGAGGGAACTGGGCAAGCGGGAGATGATGTGGCATTCCTCGGCTAGGAGAAGGGGTTCGGGGCACTTTCAAATCAAGCAAGGCAGGGAAGGGAGTTTTGGAAGAGTTGGAGGCTCTTGGTTGTTGCAAGCTGATTCCGCTAATGATGCCCTTGGGAGCATCAATGGACTTTTACTCCACTCCTCTTCCACCCTATTCCCCTCCTGTCTTGCTTGTGGCGTTGGGTCCAACATCAGGAAGGTCGGTCGAGTTGTTGACGTGGTTCCATCCAAACCAGGCAGTGCGAGACTTGTCGTGGCTAGGGGACAGTATAAGCGGGGGAAGGTGCAGGAGATCTGCATGAGTCGCCGCCGACACCAGACGCACGAGGCCGGGGAAGGGCAGGGGCCGACGAGAGGGGAGCAATATGCCGAGGGGTTGGAGATGCGGCCGAGCTTACTTGAAGAGGGTCAAGATGCCTGCGTCCTCGTCGGCGCGGTAGCCCCACGAGGCAGTAAAGTTGCTGCCGACGCAGGGCTGGTTGCTAAATGAAGCCTCGTGGGCGTGGTCGGGGACGTGGACCAGCATGTAGCACCACTCCGGCTCGCAGCCTTGGCTGGTGATGTGGAAGCCTAGCCATACTCTATTGTCGGCCGGTATTTCTACATGGAGTAATAAATGAAGGAGAAGAGGTGTGTTAATGGATGTATTCACGTCTGTGCTCTTGCTGCTATATGAAACACTGAATCGACGGGATATGCGGAGGCAAAGTGGGCGGGCTTGCCTCGAAACACTTCCTTGAGCGTCCAATTCGGGGCGCCATCTAGCGGCTGCTTCTCGGCCGAGGCAGGAGAGACGAAGGAGCTTAGTCGCCGGCCGATGGAGATGGACAGGCAGAGATGCGGCAGGGAGCCGAGGCAGAGGGCGGCGAGAAGCTTCATCAGGGCTATATGGTGAATTTGACGTGTACTTTGTCCTTGGTTCTGGCCTACTGTTTGGTCAAGGGACGTGCATTTATTATAGAAGGTCCAGAAACGATTCGCCTCTCGTCATCGTGGCCATGGCTTAAGACCAAGGGCCACGGCGGCGGCACCATTGCCGTTGCACGACACGGCCTAATGGCAAACGATTGTTGCTTTGAGCGGGCAAGAGGGAGCGGCAGAGGAACGAGACGCAAGCGAATTCACCGGTGGGCATGTCATGGACGGCCAAGCAACGCGGGTGCTACACGAGCTGCCACCGACAAGCAAACCCGTCACGACCCTGACCTGTCGGGCGAGCTTGTTGGCGAAGCCGGAGACTCGTTGTCCAGGGATGCAAGGTCGCACGCGGTCATGAGCCCGCCGTGTCGTTGCTCGTGGACCCGGGGATTGTACGTGGGGATCCGACCGTTGGGACTTGTCTAGAGACTGGCAAACTGGGAGAAGCGATTCGTCAAAACCCAGTTTCTTCTTGGCATGGTCGAGCGTGAAAATCCAGACAATGGCATCATGTGAGCTTGGGACGGAAACTCGGCTGTATAGGCGGCTGGCGTCGAGGTCACGTGGTCACCCACACTAGAGCAGCTAGTCCAGGGTCCCGCCGCAGCTCCAGCACCAACAGGCCTATGACCCCCCGCAATGCAACGACATCGCGAGATCGTCAATGACATCGCCGCCTCGGTGCGCGCCCTGTTCGACCGCGGCGAGCCGTACCGCATCGCCCATGGCTCCACCAACAGCACCCGCCCGCGGCCGGGCAGGGCCCAGGCCGCCTTTGTCGACATCAGCGCCCTCTCGCACGTGGTCGCCGTCGACGCCGCAGCCCGCACCGCCCTCGTCGAGGCCAACGTCCCCATGGACCGCCTGGTCGAGGCCACCCTGCGCCACGGCCTCGTGCCCCCCGTCGTCATGGAGTTCCCCGGCATCACCGCCGGCGGCGGCTTTGCCGGCACCGCGGGCGAGAGCAGCTCCTTCCGCCACGGCTTCTTCGACGAGTGTGTCAACTTTGTCGAGATGGTCCTCGGCAACGGCGACGTGGTGCGCGCCGCGCCCGACGAGCGTCCCGATCTCTTCCGCGGCGCCGCGGGCGCTCTGGGCACCCTCGGCATCGTCACCATGATGGAGCTGCGCCTCGTCGAGGCCAAGCGCTGGGTCAAGACGACGTACCACCGCACCACCGCCGTCGCCCACACCCTCGCCAAGCTCCGCGCCGAGACCGGCGACCCGGCCAACCACTACGTCGACGGCATCCTCTTCTCCCCCAACCACGGCGTAGTCGTCTCCGGCTCCATGACCGACGACAAGCCGGCCGACGTCGCCCCGCAAACCTTTAGCAGGGCCAAGGACCCGTGGTTCTACCTCCACGCCCGCGCCAAGACGGAGCACCCGTCGACCACGGCCACCGACTACATCCCCCTCGCAGAGTACCTCTTCCGTTACGACCGCGGTGGCTTCTGGGTCGGCGAGGGCGCCTTTTCCATCTTCAAGCTCCCTTTCAACCGCTTCTTCCGCTGGCTCCTCGACGACCTCCTGCACACACGCATGCTCTACCGCGCGCGCCACGCCAGCGGCACCGCCTCGTCCTCTTTCGTAATTCAGGACCTCGCCCTGCCCTACGCCACGGCCGGTGAGTTTGTCGACTACACGGCCAGCAACTTCGGCATCTGGCCCCTTTGGCTGTGTCCCCTCAAGCACACACTCTTGCCCACCTTTCACCCCAACACGGGCGCGACCGAGGAGCCCACGACTACTACTACTACCACGTCTACAGCCTCCACTTGCACCGGCTCTTATTCCACCGCGGCGCCCTCTCCCACCGCGGCGCCCGACCAAGTGGTCAGCATTGGCCTCTGGGGCTGGGGTCCCCTTGAGCACGACGCCTTCGTCGCGGCCAACCGCGCCCTCGAGAACAAGCTGGCGCAACTGGGCGGGCGCAAGTGGCTCTACGCGCAGACCTTTTACTCCGAGGACGAGTTCTGGGGCGTCTACGCCGGCTTCCGCGGCCTGTACACGGCCCTGCGCGAAAAGTACCACGCCACCACGCTGCCGACCATGTACGACAAGGTGTGCCCCGAAGCACGCCGGCAGCCCCGCCGCCGGTCGCCGGCGTGGCTTGCCATCACGCGGCCCGTCAAGGGCGTGTATGGCATCTGGAAGGGCATCTTGAGCGGTGACCATAAAATGCACCGAAATGCCGAGTGGAAGTACGTGGCGGACAGCTCGCCAAGGGGCGCCGAGAAGGCTCATCAAGCATAAAGATGGCCGCGGGGGCATCTCTTCAGGGTTGATGCCTCGAGCGGTATTTATCCCGAGACGACAAGCAAAGATCTGTCAGTATAGAGAGAAGCGAGAGCCAAGGTGGAGGCCAGACATTTACCCTCAATTGCATCGACGAGAAAACACTGGCCGGCACTGCTATCTACTTAATACATATACCGGGCCCTCCCTGACAAGAGCCTAGCAAACGTTCCATCTGCTTCACCACTAAAACAATCTCCGCGAACTCACTTCTCTCCTGGCTCCATTCTCCATTCTTCTCTTTCACCCCATGTTCCTAGCCAGGCAGCGAAACAAGCCCCCAAGTCCTGCGAGTCGTGCCGTCAGATTTCTCCAGTCTTTTCATACATATAATCCGTGCCAAACACATCGACTAGCTGCCGTGGGGCTAGATCTGCCACGTCTGCCGTCCAGACCCAACGGCAGCGGCCGACGTCGTGGATCGTGGTCCTCCAGCCCTGCCACTGCGCGCCGGCCCATCCAAAGCCCCTCCTCGCAAGGCTCTCGTCGGGCACCACACGATGTCGTGCGTATCTCGTGAATACGGATCCCGCCCTGGGCAGGTCGAGCTATAGGTGGCGTCCCATTACCCTATCTACCCATCTTTTATTTGCTAGACGTGGTCGTGCTGCCTGCCGGGCCCAAACAAAACGGACATCTTGTCGTCCGTAATGTCCGATGTGATCTCACATGTTCTCGCCCATTTACCCAACCGTCTCTCCTCCTCCGCCGTCCTGTCCCATCGTGTTGTTCCAGCTTGACAAGAACCTCTCCGATTAAACACCTCTCGCTCACCTTTTTTTCCTCGAACAACAAGTCATATAACCCTCCCGGCATCACGAGGTTGACGAAACGTTGTCGTCTTCGATACAGGCGACGGCACAAAAACTCCGTGCTACTACTGCCTCTATGCCAGACAGGCGCAGTGGAGAGAGTGAATAAGAGACGGCACTTTCCAGTCTCTTTTTGCTGGAGCTGGAGGTATACACATGGTTCGTCGTCGTCCAGATGTATGTGCCGCCCCTTGAGCTGGATCCTTGCCGTCTCCTTGCTCGTACACGGCATTCGAGCAGAGGGCAGAGTCATGGCTCAGCCAAGCGAAGACACAAGGCCCAGCCCCGCCGCCCTCGGCGAGGTTCCTGGGGAAATAATACTCACTCCCCGGTCCTCCCGCTTCGTCAACTGCTCCCGATAACTCGTGGACGGGCGTCCGCTATGCCAAGAGGGATTCCGATCTCAAGTCTCTGCGGAGCGTATAGGACGACCTCTTCGCATGCCAGGGGCACGGGAGAATACTAGCAATCATGTGCCTTTCGAGCCTGGCGCTGGGGTGTACATGTTCGTCCGCAACATGTATAGCAAGGACAGGCAGGGCCGGTTCTTTTCGGAATACTTCGTGCGATTTATAAACAGCCGTTCATCGTGCAGGTTGTGACTGAAGGCGGCTTTTCGTGTTAGGGACACCAAACCAAAAATGTTTACTTTAGAGACCAACGGTCAGGGCCAAGATTGAATATTTATTCCTTTCTATAAGCAAACTCCCTTGTGCTGCAACGACTTAGAGTACATGATGCCCTTGCGCTTCAACCCAGACGACGCCCAGGGCCTCTAGTGCGCCAAGAGTCTGGCAGAGGCCCTCTCGAGGCACCGGTGCCTTGCCCGGATGCGTGGTCTGCTGTCTGAATGCCAGCCGCTGCCGCCACGCTTGTCTGCATCGTCCCGGCAGCCCGCAGCACCGTGGTCAAGAAGGCGGGCGTGGGGATGAGGTTCCTGCCCCCGCCGTACTCGGGCCAGACTCGCGTGAGAAACTCGTACAAGTGGGCGGCGAGTAAGCCCTGGATCTGCAGAATCATGTTCATGACACCGCCGGGGAAGAGCAGGTTGAAGAGGATCATGGCGTAGGGAGTCAGCTGTGCGGGGATGCTGATGAACATGTAGCTGACTTTGCCTCCCCGCTGGTCCTGGGTCACGGTATAGCACATGGCGAGGATCAGTGCCTGGAGGAAGGTGACGAAGCCGAAGTTGGTGAAGTAGTTGATGGTCTGAAGCCGACGTCAGCCTCCAAACTCTCGTCTACGGCGCGTCACACAAAGCTGGGGAGCTTGGGGGGGAGAAATGTAGGGAGCTAAAAAAAAACCACCCGAGTGAATAGAGTCTCACACGAGCCATCCATAAGACATCCCACCATGCCTACACCGCAGACCAGCCCTTGCGAATGACGGGCTGGGCCGAAGTGTAGGGGTAATCTTCCTCAGTTCCAGGAACCGTGATAGTAGTAGAGGCATAGCACTATCCGGGCAGATATATGAGGGGTATTTTGTGCGGTTGATCAAGGTGCCAAAATGGCCAGAGGCAAGGGCAAGCGCAGGCAGGCAAGGCAACAGTCGGAAGCTTACCATGATTGTTCCGCCGACGAATATGAGGTACCAGGCCAGGTCCTCCCGCCGGGAAAATCGAGGATTGCCAACCTCGAGCTGGCTCAAGTACGAGTAGAGGAAGTATGTGTCAAACAGCAGGCCCAGCGCGGGTCCTGTGAGCAGAAACGCCGTGCCGAAGCGCCATATCTGGGGCGGAATCATCCACAGGAAGCGCGGGTAGAAGACGAACCACCAGCCCGGAAGCAGCCCGACATGGACGCCAACAGACAGGACAAAGGCGGCCGTCGCGACAGTCCTGCGAAGCAAAGCATCAGTCGAGGCATCCTCGAGCGAGAACAGGAGCCATGCTCACCTGGACAACGGTGGCAGCTGCCAGTAACTCTCGAGCGATAGGTCCGCCATGACGGGCAACGGTTTTGCTGCTCAGAAGAGGCCACGAAGCGAACGGCTGTGTACAAGTGTTTGACGCAGCTACGTTTGACGGGCGAAACGACAAGCAGAAGCCCCAAGGTAGTAGCTTCAACGGCAAGTTGAGACTAGCGCACCACAGGCGACGACACCAGGCAGCGAGACTGGCGTGGTCTCGGATGGTGCTGTCGTGTCATCTTCGGGTCCAGCCACGCGGTTTTGGGAAAGGAAGAATTCTGTCGTTCTCGGTTAGCTGGGCAGATATTTCTTGTAGCTCCGGCACGACTCCGTTATTCCACTAAGGGGGGGTTAGGTGTCCTTATATCGGGGTACGGAGTACATCGTACTGTGGGGCGTGTTGCTTCTCTGCTCGTTGAAGGCTGCCTACCCTGTACACACCCTGGCCTGGCTTCACCTTCACCATGGCAGGAAGACGAGGCGTTGAGATGGGACGATCTTGGCTTGTAGATCTCAGCATTAGCTTCACTCTCCGAGGCTCGCTTTAAGTATCCATATCAGGATGTGAAGAGCAAAAGGTTGGGCTTGGGTCAATCAAATAACAACGTCAATATGCGGCCCCTCTCTTGACCATCACTCTGCCTCACCACCCACTCAATCTTAGACGACGCATCATCACCAAGCGCGAGGCGCACGCCAACATGCGCATCCACGACGGGCTGAAAAGCGACGAGGCAGACAACGCCGCCTGGGAAGCTGGCAAAGGCGCCATCATCGGGGCCGCAAAATGGGGCGCCGGAGCGGCCGTGCTAGGCGCCATCGGTTACGTCTGGTCGCCCATATACCGCGCAACCACGATCCAGTTCAAAGTGTGAGGCTGCGTCCCCGTCCATGCCCGCGCGCTGCTCATCCTTGCCCGCAGATACATTCAGATGTCCGGCATGGTGCTCGGGGGCATGATTGAGGCGGACTGGCGGTTGAGGCAGTATGAGTACCAGATGAGGATGCAGAGGCGTTGGCTCCGCGAAAAGGCAAAGTGGGATCGGTACGAAGCAGAATTCTCCAACAAGAATGACAAATAAGGCCTTTGATGATAAAGCATCTTCCATTCTCTACCTACCTGGCATCAATCATCACCGTTGTCGAGCAACGCGTAAAGTCAACGGCACATTCCCACCACACGACGCCTCACAGTAGATGGTTCACCGCCTGGAAAAGGACATTTCCGACTCCGACGCCCCCAAAACATGATGCAGCAAACAGTGTCCCGTTTTCGAGCTCCCGCCTCATTTCGCTGGCGCAACGAACCGCTTCGGATCCATGTTGATCTTGCACAGGCGGGCAACGCAGCCGCTCAGCTGCAGAAGCGTCTGGACGCCCTCCAAGATCTTCATGTGCGTGAAGCCAATCTCCTTGATGAACTCAAGCTTGGAATGCTCGCTCAAGGTCGGGATCGTCTTGGTCACCCGGAACATGGTGCTGATGATGTCGTGGCTCGAGTAGCCCAGGCCCCACAGCTCCCGCAGAATGTCGAGCGCCGAGTCGACGCTGCCCTCGTAGCATGCCTTGAGCATGGCCTGCACCTTGATGGGATGCGGCGAGTCGACCACCTTGAAGACGTTGTCGCCCGACACGAAGCCAAAGCCGGCGTAGGTGGACTGCAGGTTGTTGATGGCCTGCCGCATGTCGCCCTCGGCGCTGAAGACGAGAGCCGCGAGGCCGTCGTCGCTGTACTCGACCTTTTCCGCCTCAATGATCTGCATCAACCGCTTGACGACTTGCGCATCGGTGAGCTTGGCGTACCGGAGGATGGCGCATCGGGACTGAAGAGGCTCGATGATCTTGTTGGACTGGTTGCAGGCAAAGGCGAATCGCGTAGTGTTGGAGTAGATTTCCATGGTCCGCCGAAGCGCTTGCTGCGCGCCCGACGTCATGCTGTCGGCTTCGTCGAGGATGACGAGCTTGTGCCTGCCCGGCGGCAGCGTCACCTTTTTCTGCGCAAAGCCCTTGATTCGGTTGCGGACGACATCGATGCCTGGAGTCGAGAGTGAGCAGGATATCGTCGAGATGGCCTTGGGGTCTCGGCCTTACCGCGCTCGTCGCTGGCGTTGAGCTCCAAGACGGCCTCCTTGTACGACCCGCCCAGCAGCTGCCGAGCCAGACACAGCACACTCGTCGTCTTTCCTATGCCCGGCATGCCCGAGATGATGACATGGGGCATGTTTCCTTCTCTGGATATGATCTTGAGGCGCTCAATCGTTTCCGTGTTGCCGACGACGTCGTCGAGAAAGACGGGGCGGTACTTTTCCACCCTGGGCGAGCTGTCAGCTCTTGTCCTCTGCTTCATGCCGGCATCTCTCACCATGGCAGCTCGTGGTTCGGCGAGCCATTGGAGGAGGCGGCTTTGGATGCCGCGGTCGAGGACTCGCCCTTTTCCTCAGCTCTTGCGGGGGGCATTTTCGACGTGGTTTCGCTGATGGTATTTCGAAAATCACTTTACGCGACCTCGAGAGACGCGTCTTGGTGGGCGGAGTGGCCCGTGCACTGTACCGGGTACAAGGCGCCCCACCGCCCTGGCTTATCGCGGGTCCCAAATTCTTTTGCTTCCTCAATTCTGCAATCTTCTACCAAAACGAACCGACCCGACGCGGAATCCCGCCCACAACTAAAGACAGCGCGCGCATTGTCCCCGAAAAGCTCAAATCAACTCCCCAGAGCTAAGACAACTCCACCGCCGGCGCAATGGGTGTCGCCAAAAAAACCAGAAAGTTTGGGCAGGTGAGCAAGACTTATCGATAAGCGCCGGAATGACCCTGATCCTCTGGACTCGCAGGTCAAGCGCATGATCGGACAGCGCGACGCCAGACTCAAGGCCAACAAGGAAAAGGCCGAGCTCGAGGCCAAGGCCAAGGCCAAGAAGCAGACGCCCAGCGGCGAGCTCGTCCGCGAGGCCCCCCAGATGCCCAGCAACATGTTCTTCCAGCACAACACGGCCCTCGTGCCCCCATACAACGTCCTCGTCGACACAAATTTCCTCAGCCACACAGTCCAGCGCAAGCTCTCGCTCCTCGAGTCCATGATGGACTGCCTGTACGCAAAGTGCAACCCCATCATCACCTCGTGCTGCATGGCCGAGCTCGAGAAGCTCGGCCCCAAGTACCGCCTGGCCTTGCGCGTCGCCAGGGACGAGCGCTGGCAGCGCCTCGAGTGCGACCACAAGGGCGTATATGCCGACGACTGCCTCGTCGACAGGGTCACCAAGAACCGCATCTACATTGTCGGCACAAACGACAAGGCCCTGAAGCAGCGGTTACGCAAGATTCCCGGTGTCCCGCTCATGAGCGTCGCGAGGGGGAAATATGTCATTGAGAGGCTGCCGGGGGCTCCGGATTCATAGAGGAGCTGGGCCACGGAGACGTTGTTCTGGAATCAGCTGTGGCGACGGCCTTTACTTCCTTTTAACAGCTCGTCATGGTATGGAGTTGGGGTATATAAGGCGCTGATGATGGCAGTATTATGCCCAAGTTATAGAACTAGGGTCTTTGGGACTTACTAAGTAGGGCAGCTAAGGATTGGATTGCCGTCTGTAACCGTACATCGTCGACGTCTCCACGTTAACGGTTCCGCCAAGGCATCAAAAACCTTCTTACATTGCTCCCACGTTCTGCCCGGCTCACATGCGGCCGACCTTTAATTCAGCAACGGGCCAATTCGGAAACATCATCCGATGGAAGCCTCGCGCCCCCATTCCGCGCTCGACCCCAGCCCAGGCGACGACCCATCTCCCTCCCACCCAGCGCAGCGCCAGAGACGCATCCGCGCGCTGCTCTCGTGCGGACCCTGCCGCGCCTCAAAGCTCAAATGCGACCGCGTGCAGCCCTGCGGCCAGTGCGCCCGAAGGGACCGCCTCGACCTGTGCGTGTACGCGCCCAAGCCCGCCGCCAGGAAGACCAAGCCGCCGCCAAGGGGGATGTCGTCGCGGCTGCAGCGCCTCGAGGGCATGGTACGCAGCATCATGGACGCGGGCGGGCCCGGCGCCAGCGGCGAGAGTGAGGCCCGGGAGCGGGACGGCCAGGGGAGCGAGGCGCCGCCGCCGGTCAGGGGCCATGTCGTGAGGGGGACGACGTACGTGGGCGCGACGCATTGCATGGCTATGCTCGAGGATGTGCGTTGGTAACCCCTACTCTGTGTGGAGCGAGACCCCTTTGCCAACTGATGGGTGTTTGGCTGACAGGGCATGTAGATTGAGGATCTAAAGTCATATTTTGCCGATGCCGAGGATGACAACGATGATGGAAACTCTCCCCCGGATGACGAGCTCCTCGACGCACCAGAGATGCTGATCTGGTCAAGGACAGGACCAGCAAGCAGGGACGAGCTGCTCGCCCAGCTGCCGGAACGCCAGGTGGCCGATCGACTCATCACGAGATACTTTGCGTCCATGAGCCCTTCCCAACGTACAATGCCCGACACAAGGCATGTCTACGCAGAGACTAACGGCGCGCAGATGTCATCCACCGTCCGACCTTTGCGAGAGCCGTAAGCCACCGCCCGCCTTCCTTGTGCTCCGGGGGAACGGCCTGGCCGCAGCAGCATCATGCCAGGCACCGCACGACCAAAACTGACAAGCCTCCATCCAGTACGCCCGCTTCTGGCAAGACGCCTCGTCTGCCTCGCTGCACTGGATCGCCCAGCTCTTCATGGTCCTCGCCCTCGGCGTCCTCTTCAACAGCTTCTCGGCGCCCCACGAGGTCGAGACCGACTCCCCGGCTCCCATCCACGAGTGCATCAGGCGATACCGCTCCTGCGCCGGCTGGGCCCTCATCTGGGGCAAGTACACGCAGCCCACGGCCGCCACCCTCCCGGCCTTTTTGCTCTACGTCGAGGCCCACTTCCTCCTCAACCGCGCCGGCCAGATGAACTGTTACGTGCTGTCGGGCGTGTGCATCCGCCTCATGCTCAAGATGGGCCTGCACCGGGACCCGGCCAAGCTGACGGGCATCTCGCCGTTTGAGGGCGAGATGAGGCGCCGGATGTGGAACATGGCCATCCAGATCGAGTCGCTTGTCGCCTTCCACATGGGCCTGCCGAGCATGCTCCAGGGCGTCGAGACGGACACGGCCATGCCGCGGAACCTGCAAGACGACGACTTCGACGAGGACTCGACTGCACTGCCTGCCGGACGGCCCTGGACCGACTACACGCACATGACGTACCCGATCCACAAGACGAGGATCCTCCGCGTCTTTGGCCGAATTGCGCGGCAAGCGCACGCTCTCACCCCCCCGAGCTACGCCGAGGTCATGGAGCTGGACCGCCTCTTGCAGGAGGCGTGGGGAGAGCTGCCGACCTACATGCAAGCGCGGCCGCTGGACGAGTGCGTGGGTGATGCTCCGACTCTCATCATGCAGCGCTTCGGCCTCGCCGCCCTCTTCGACAAGTGCCGCTGCGTCCTCCACCGACGCTACCTGGCGGAGCCGGTCCCGAACCACGAGCACGACTATTCTCGGCAACAGTGCTTGGAGGGTGCCATGACGCTGCTCGGTAACCAGTACACCATCTGGAAAGCATGCAGGCCGGGCAACGTGCTGAGCCACAACGGGTGGTTCGTGTCCTCGCTAGCCATACACGACTACTTGCTCGCTGCCATCATTGTCTACCTCGTCATCCAGAGCATGGAGCACTCCTCGGGCCGGGACGACTGGATGGGCCGGCAGGGCGTGTCTCTGACGAGGGAGGGGCTGACAAGCATGATCAGGCGGTCGCACGCCGTCTGGTCCGCGGCGGCCACGGATAGCGGGGAACTGAGGAAGACGGCCGATACCTTGGCCATCATATTGACCAAGTTGGGGTCGCCAGTCGACACCAACGCGGCCGTCGCGGGGACCACGTTGAGTCCGTCAACAGTCGGCTCCGGCTACGAAGTGTCCGTGAACTGGCCCTCGGTGATATCAAAGCCATCGACCATGGCTTCGAGTAACGGGTCGGGGCTTCTGTCTAGTCTCGGGCTCGACTATGAGACGAATCGGTCTGGAATTGGTTCAGGATGGCAGTTGGTTAACGAAACAGCTGGGTCCGGACTGACCCCGAACCACTCCTTGGGAATGGACTCGACTGGAGAAGTCATGCCGAGCACGCTGGACTTCGATGCGTCCTGGATGTCGGCAGACAGCATGGATTGGGTAGGTGCACCTTGTGCAACCGAAACCAGAGCTGGTTCCCCATGGAGGCACTGTTCGCTGACACCGATGCCAGCGTTATCTCGACATCTCCCTGGCACACAGTCACACGGCCGGTACGACGACGGGGTCCGGGCCGACCTGGATCGAGAGATTGCCATTGGACGACCTGGAGGCCATGGGTCCGGCGACATGGCATCACTGTCCGCCCGGGGACGGCAGGCCGCATCAGCAGGGCTAGCCCAGTTGATAATTGATTCCGTGATTCGGAGGAGAGGGCCATCCTCCCCCGGAGCCGAGGACCAAATGTTCGTGACGGGCGATGGTCTCTATCTGCAGGAGTCAGGGGCTCGGGAAAATCGCACGGCGCCCAGGTCGACTCCTGGATTGCGTCTTTGGGGGCCCTTTTTCGTTGTTCCTGTTTTGCCAGCTTTCTCGGAAAAGTCGCCGTGGCTGGATTGCCGCTTATCTTTACCCCCTCCCTCGCCCTGCAGCTGAAACAACCCCGGCGATCTACGTGACATGCCGTAGATGTCGGTGAGAGGTGAGAGGTCAACCGGGGCCGGCCTGCATCGTGAACACGGTTCGTGATACAAGACAGAAGATGGCATCATTTCGCACCAGTTGCGGGTCGGCCGGGCTGCCCTGCCCTTCTGTTATCGGGCCAGTCCCACACGACGGCTCTCATCTCGAACGGGTAGGTCGGACAGAGCGGGCAGCGGGCAGCGACGCGAGGCCGCTTCGTGGCAGGCGGAGGAGGCGCAGGAGGAGAACCGACCGAAACAGGTGCGAGAACCGGAGCCAACCAACCGCCCGCGCCCGCGTCGTAAAAGGTCCGACGCTTTGCTTTTGGCTGTGCCTAGGGACCGGCCGGCGGGGAGGATCCCGATGGACCATTCCACCCGCCCCCGCATGCCTTTCCCCGCAAACCTCTGTTGCAGTGTTGCAGTTGGTATGTACCAAGGAGGCCGTCGTGAGTCCCGCGGTGTTGCATGTACATACAGTATGCATAAATGTTTTGGAAGACTGACCAAGGACACGCGGGCGAGTGGAGAAGTTTATTTCCTCTCCCCAACACCATCACCAGGTCGTTTACAGGCCCGCGGACATGCTCAGGCACTCCTACCGTACCGTAGCGTAGCGTAGGTAGTCAGACTACCCTGGTAGGTGGCGTGGGTGCAGGCGACGGCGCATAGCTTAAAGCATCTACTAAGAGCAAGTAGATACGCACAGATGATAAGTGCCCTCGTCGTGGCCTGCTTGGCCTCGGGCCATCGGCTGATAACAGCCGACCACGCCATGTCTTGGCAGTTCATGATTCAAACACACCCAGAACCATGATGGTTCTACGAGCCCCCAAAGCCGACCCTCTGTTGTCATAGAGCGTTGCGAGCATGATATAACAACATGCCATTGTACATACGTGCATGTACGGCACGTTGGGTCTGTGCCGTGACGATGCATGTGGATGGACAGAACTACACTTGCAAGTCGCTGGTACGTCGCAAGTTGAATGATAAGGTTCCCCGGAAACTAAGCCAAATCAAATAGACACATCAGACTTGGCGTGCTGGCCCCGGGCCGTCGGTTCCCTTGCGGGAAGCCAAGCATCCAGACGGTTGATGCTGGATACAGTGCGGATTGCCTCGACTGCCCGTAGACGGGCCAGGAGGGGAAGAGAGGCAACGTCCGACAGCCATCGACATCGCCTTAGCAAACCTTGGCCTGCTGCAACGGGGCTTTTTTCCTACCCTCAGCTCATCCGCCAGCAGTGTCTCACGGGTCGGAGGAGTGAGAACAAGGCAAGGTGGTGGGGACCGAAGAAGAAACGTCGAGATCCTTCCGTTGAGATGCCGCCAAGACGCAACATGACAGTGCGAGAGGGGAAAATACGACGGGGCACAGAGCGAGACGCAGAGAGAAGCGTTTGGCTCGACTGTAACGGCAACAGCCCCCCACTCAACACAAATCGAAGGCGCCCTGTGTGCTGTGTTTGATGGATGGGCTCGCGAGAACGAAGAATGGCAGAGAAGGGGGCTGGGTGCGCGGCCCGGCATGCACGCCCCTTGGAGGCGCGAAAGCGAGGAAAAAAGAACCAACAGGCGGTGCAAAGTCTGGTGACCATTTCCAGCGCCACGAGCCGTCCCGAGCCGGGACGTGATTTGGCGGAGAGGCCAAACGGCGGCCGCTCTTGCTAAGGGCAATGAGAAATAGATTCGGCCCAACGATTCCTGACTGGCGAGAGCGAGCCAAACTGTTACCTAATCCCAACGCTATTTTCGCCCGGGGCTTGAGCCCGGTCGAATCATGACGACGCGTACTGGGCGGCAAGAGCCTCTCGATCATCGTGTCTCGAGATTGGCGTGCCTCTTCCATCTTCAAGTCAGGTGAGCGGGGTCTCGGCCCGGGCGATTGTTGCCCGTTGGTTGAGGGAGCCATGTGGTGGCGCAACGTGCCGAGTACGAGCAGCAGACGCAGGCGTGGACAGAAAGGCGGCGAGTTGCAAAGCACAACACTTATTCAAGGCATGGTTGAACAGGTCGACGCGGATGGATAAGGACGATGGATGGACAAGGATGATGGACCAGTGGCGGGTGCTCCGAGGTGCAAAGACAAAGGAAGAGAGGCCTCGAGTTCGCATGCATAACGATAACGTAATGCCCGCATGTCCGGAGGAAAAAGAAAAGGAAAATCAAACAAGGGCAACGGAATAGGGCCAACACGTCCCGATACGGGCACGAGGCCGCCATGGGTGTCCTGCCAGATGCTCGCAGCTTGGCCGGGTTCGTCGAAGCGCGTGACCGGGCCCCGATAAGAGGCTTCCCAACGTGGCAGCTGGGATGAGTTTGACACACGGCCTTGATGCTCGCTGCGGCTCCTCGCCCAGTCAAGAAGCCGGCGGCTCGGAGCAGGCGCTGGAGCCTGGAGGCCCCGCGGAGTTGGCAAAGTCGCGGTGTGGTGGCAGGGCGGTTCGGAAAGACGGACGCCAATCGCTTGTCGGGCGATTTGGATGCCTCACGGCCGTCACCCGATGCCTAGTCCATCCACCACCACCTCCTCGACGATGATTCGGTATGAGGCGGGCCACAGGGGAGGTACTTCGAGAACGAGGGCCAGTAGGTACTCGGGAGATCAGCAAGCGGACGGACTGCTAGTACAAAATCAACGACTGGCAAAGGAACGAGTCGGCGTGCGTCGATGCAAGCCTCCGCATGCGGGCCGGGGGGGGGCGAATGGGGGGCATGTTGGTGATGTTGGTGGGGCGTGTGTGTTCCTTTCGCAAGGAACCCGAACTGATAAGGCCCGACGGGCACGAGACCACACGTGCCCATGTCTGAGAGTAAGCATGGAAGCACCGGCCACGATTGTCGTCAAAGCTGTTTCGGGGGCGTTGTCGACTGGTGGGGCCCTGGCCTGACGTCGAGTGTGCCTTGCAGTTGCCTGCCATCAGACTTTTCCGCCCCGATAAGAAGCTCCAGGTTCCTGACATGTCCCCGTTACCTGGAGTCCCTCCGCTGTCCTCCACAGCGTCTCCGGTACTGAGTACAGTCAGTGCCTGCCCTCGTCCAAACAGCGATTACCTGAGGTATACGACCCCAAAGTATCGAGTACTCAGACAGGCAAAAGCAACTTGTGGTCACGTCGCCCAGCGTTAGCCAGTGTCTTGGGTACTGGCTATCTTGCAGGCGGGTACTCGCTGCTGTCGAATTGTAGATCCAAGCTTAACGCCCCCCCGCCTAGGGGGGTGCTATCAAAGGCAGGCGTCTCGTCGACCGTTCTTGGAGACTCACTCTCTCTGCACGTTCGTCGCCCGTCCCCCTTTTTTCTTCTGCTATTTACTTGAACCCCCCCCCTTCCTTCTGTCGCCTCACCGATCTCGACCGTCTTTGTCTTGCGACCATCCAGCGCTCTGACTCGGGCGTTGGCCATAGCTGGCGTTTCTGCCCCGTCTCGCTTCAACCTGCGCCGTCGTGCCTCGCCGAACCCGGCCTCGCCTCTCCGCCGCTGCTCATCTCGCCGCGTGATTGACCTCTGTTGCTTCTGCCGAGCTCGACGACTACGCGCGAAGTCGCTGCTGGCTCTTCGGCCCGTGGATGGGATCCCGACTTGGAGATTCCGATCCGCGACCCTTCCCCGCCCTCCAAAAGTCAAATCTGCCTTTGGGCGGACCTTCGCAAGCTTGCCCGACTCCGACAGGCATCGCACCTGTCCGCGATTTCCGCCCTCTCACCGATTCCAGGCGAGACACAACCAAGCCATCCGTCGCCGGCGACGAGGCCACATACACGGCACCCCCGCTCGCTACACATCTGCTGTGCGCCCACGCCGTGCTGCTGGCATTGGCTGGCCGCCTGTCCCGCCCGTCTCGTCTCCTCCCTCTCAACATTCCCGTCCTCTCGTCGCTGGCCCTCCCCCCGCCGCTGGCCCCACTGCCCTCCGTCTGTTTTTACGTACTTATAATCCGCACGCTCCGCTCCTGTTTCATGAGCTGAATTACCGGCCCCGTTGCCCTGGCCCTCTCCCAACCACTGCGCGTCCACTTTTGCTCATCGCAGGCGGGCTGTCGTGCAACAACCACGGCGGCTTCGCCTGTCACGCAAAGCCAGCCCTTTGTCCCCCTCTTCTGGTCCCGAACCCCCGACTGCCGAGCCATGCCCGCTCAAATCTCGGGCTCCATGACGGGAAGCATCCCCATTCGCATCGCCGATGACCACACCAACGGCTACCGCAAGCAGCACAAGCACTCGCGATCCTCCTACTCGGAGTCGTCTCCGCTCGCCGGCTCGAGGAACAATTCTCTGACTTTCCGCCCTCCAAAGAGGGCCATGCCGTCCCCCAACAAGACCATCGCCGTCATCAACGCCAGTGGCCGCCAGGCCGCCTCCCTCATCCGCGTCGCCACCGCCGTCGGCTACCGCGTCCGCGCCCAACTCCGGAATCTCGAAGGCGTCGTGGCCACGGAAGTGTCGACGAACCCCAACGTTACCGTCATTGTCGGCGAACTCTACACAAGGCACGAGCCCACGGAAGCCAACAAGGACGTGACTCAAAATGGGCCCATCTCGGGCGTCGGCGTCAACCACGAACTCATCTCCAACCTCTTTCTGGGTGCCCAGCTTGCCTTTGTGAACACTACCTTTTACGGCGACGAGCTTCAGATTGGCATGGCTCTAGCAGACGCGGCCAAGATGGCCGGCGTCCAGCATTACGTCTACTCGTCCATGCCCGACCATGCCGCGTACAATAAGGACTGGCCATCGCTGCCGCTGTGGGCGGCCAAGCACAAGGTGGAGGAACATGTCAGAGCACTGAAGCTCCCCGCCACGTTCGTCTATACGGGCATCTACAACAACAACTTCACCTCATTGCTGTACCCCCTTTTCTGCATGGAACTTCAGCAGGACGGGTCCTTTGTTTGGCAAGCACCCTTTCACGGCGACGCCAAGCTCCCCTGGCTAGACGCCGAGCACGACGTCGGCCCCGCCATCCTGCAAATCTTCAAGGACGGCGTTGCAAAGTGGAAAGGGGAACGGGTCGCCCTGGCCTACGAGTATCTCACCCCGAAGGAGGCATGCCAGCTCTTCTCTCGAGGGGTGGGTCGGCCTGTGCACTACGTCAGGGGTCCCATCGAGACCAAGGTGCGCATCCCGACAGGATACCGAGAACAGCTCGAGGCCCTGGAGAAGCTGTTTAGGGTGGATGAGGCCGACCCGGCCAAGCAGCCGCCCTATTTTGGCGATCCCAAGCTCGAGGCCAGCTGCCCCGGCGAGGCGCTGGAGCTGTGGGAAGGTCCTCGGGGGTTGGAGGAGTACGCGCGGGAAATGTTCCCGCTGGAGGAGGAGGCCAACGGGCTGAACTGGATGCTCGTGGAAGAGGACGATCACGATGACAAGGTCAACGCCACGGCGGCCTCGGTGGAGCAGCTCAGGATCAACGACTACGACGAGCGCGACGGCGAGGGCTTGGACGGCTCCGACGACGAGGATGAGGGACTGGTCATGAGGGGTCTGAAGCGAGACGAGGAACAGTGGCTCGCGTGATGGTGTTGCTACCCGTGCCACGCCCCACTTTATTTGGAATTCGCAAGCTCCCACCTCCTAAAGTTGGTGCTCACCACCAGTATCCCCACACCACCGGAATACCCAGAATTTCGACTCCCCGACTTCAGCATCCCTATATCTTAACCAATTCACGATCTCGTCGATAGCCGAAATGGAAGCACGTGTACAAAACGCTCTTCGATATATTGAACATTTTTCTGGTGCCAAAGTGGCAACCGTAGCGCGAGAATTCGGTGTAACACGTGATCGATTGCGATACCGTCTTCAAGGCCGACCTCCTAAAACTGGCCAGCGAGCTAGAAATACGAGGCTTTCCGAACCAGAAGAGAAGGCCTATGTCGCTATATCGATCGTTTGGATAATATAAACCTTGCGGTACGCGTCGAGTTCGTTACTGACGCGGCAAACTGTATCTTGCGCGAGCGGTCTAGCCAGCGCGACGCTCCTACCGTGGGGCCAAACTGGACTTCTCGCTTCTTAAAGCGTCACGGCTACTTCAAAAGCGCCAAAAGGCTTCAAGCAGAGCGCCAAGTCTCCGAGAATCTTACACGAGTTAACCAGTATTTCCAGCATCTTCGGCAGGTTATCCAAGACAATGGTATACCTCCTGAGGATATCTGGAATATGGACGAGACTGGTTTTCGCATCGGGGTTGGAAAAGACCAGCTGATTGTGACAAAACGGAGGAGAGCTCATTATTTTGGCATTCCTGAGAATAGGGAATCCGCTACTGCGATCGAAGCTATCTCGGCGAATGGGGAGGTTGTTCCGGCTTTTTTGATACTCGCTGGCCAGATGCACATGGCTTCATGGTATCAAATACCTGAGCTAGATCCTGACACAGTTATTCGACCCACGCCTACTGGTTACTCAAACGACGTGATTAGTCTGGAGTGGCTCCAGCATTTTGACAAGCACTCGGAAAAAAGCTCAAGAAGCTCGAAGCGACTTCTAATTCTTGATGGTCATGGCTCTCACCATACCAGGCAGTTCATTGAATACTGCGACAACCACAATATTATTCCCTTCGGCATGCCGCCTAATCTCACGCATGCACTTCAGCCTTTGGACGTTGTCGTTTTCCAGCCCCTAAAGCACTATCACGCCAAGGCTTTAGATGTCATGGTTCGAGATGGCCTCGTCAACATAACCAAGCTTGAGTTTCTCTCCTGCATTCAACAAGTACGATTGCATGCTTTCAAGGAGAGTACTATACGCTCCGCATTTCGCAAGACAGGAATCTTCCCATTCAATCCACAAGTAGTACTTCAATGTTTGGAAGCTCGTCAAGCCACGACACCCACACCTCCTCCCAATTCAGGACCACACTCCTCACCTTTCGAGACACCATTGACTCTACGACAAATAAACAAGGTAGCGGACAAATTAGATCTCGTCCTTGAAGACGATAAAGCCTGGATCCCGACTTTTCTCACGATCTCAGTCGATTTATTCGAGGATCGCTATCTCTGGCGACTGAGCTCGTGCAGACTAAAAGGGACTTGGGACGAACCAAAATGGCGGAGCGGATCCAAAAACAACGTAAGGCTATGAAGAATATACAGTTACAATCAGGAGGAGTATTGTCAGTGGCCCAAGGACGGAAATGGTGCAACAAAGGGAGATGATCAGATTGCTAAAGCAAGGAAGGTAGTAGAAGACGCGGAGAAAAGGCGCATAACGCACGCAAGCGATGGTTTGAGGAAGCAGCAAAAAGGCACGCCAATGGAGGTTCAGGAAGGTTAGAACGAGTGGAAGTACGCGATTCTGAGCGTGGTACGCGGTGGTTGAAGCGATTCTAGGTCGGGGAGTCGAAATTCTGGGTATTCCGGTGGTGTGGGGATACTGGTGGTGAGCACCAACTTTAGGAGGTGGGAGCTTGCGAATTCCAAATAAAGTGGGGCGTGGCACGGGTAGTACCTCGAGCCCCCTGTCTGTCTTGCGGGGTAGGATGCATGGGACGGACACGAGGCGAGGGAGGCGTTACACGAGCCACACGTCGTCTCCCGTATCCTGCCGGCTTGGCGAAGGGGAATGAATGGGGGACGCATGCGTGCATGGCATTTTTGGATTTGACCTTAGCGGGGACCTTGGAGTTTGAGCCGGCGGGGAAAAGATGAGGGGAAAAGTAAAAGAATGGGATTGCTATTTGAGAGAAACCAAAGTCACTGCTGATTGTTTGCGGCAATGTACCGTCTGGCTCACGAGTCACCAAGCCACCAAGGGCCTTGGAAACATTGTGGATAGAGCGCGTACTCTGCAGGATAGGTAGGTAAAGAAGGTCAAAGGGGGGAGGTACAAAGTACTAACTAGTATATAAAAGAAACGACGGAATGTGTCTGGGAGCGTTGGATTTGACGACTGCATTGCTGTGCGTATGTCGCCGGACGGAGCTGAGGACTGGCTTCATGGCGTGCAAGCCGTTTTCTGCTGGCTGCATAAAAATCTTGGACATCGATTGGGAAGAGGAGCTGAAGAGGAGCTCTGTGCGAGATGGCGTGATGATCAGCGATGGATTGGGCGTAAAGACAAGCCATGGGCGATGCTTGAGTAATGCAGCTCTTGAGGACGGACCTCTGGATGCTTAGTCGCGCAAGAAGCATTTTGCTCCCGGGGCCTAAAGCTTGAGTCGCCTTGTTTCGAAACGAAGAAGCGGTATCGGAGGGAGCAAGGAAAGGACGGAATACGCAGGCCTTGGGGGTCGTACAAGGTCGGGGTTGGCGCCTTCACTCGCGCAAGGCGGTTTGGCCGCGATTCCATCGAGTTGTCAAGTCGGAGATGCCACCATCTGGGATGCAGATGTCGGCAGACATGGCCTCGGCGAGCGCTTCAGAAAGTTGGGCATGGAGCAAGCAAGATGGCAAGCAGGACGGCAAGCAAGATGGCACGCGAGGTCAAAACTCGATGGATGAAAGGGGAGTCAGCCTGAACAAGCGAAGCAAGGCGTGCCTTGATGAGGCAGCAGAGGAGCAGCAGAGGAGAAACAGGTGAGCGGCCGAGGCGCGGAAGCAGTCTGGGGTAAAGACTGAGCCACGTCTCATCAAGCGGTAGCATCGACCGTGGAACGCGCCGAAGTTGTTCGAGAAGAAGCGAAGAAAGAACAAGAATAGAGCGGCCCCAGGAGGAAAGAAATGCGACGAGGTCTCTGTGGGGAAATGACAGGGCTCGACACAGAGTTTGGCTCCACAAGGAGACACAAGGGAGGCAAAAGGGAGGGAGGGAGAGAGGGAGGCGGTCAGACACGGTTCCGGTCCCTTCTGCGACGATGACGGGGTTCGCTGGGCTACAGCACACGGGGATGGCCTCGTTGGTATCGATGCATCTCGTCTCTTCTTTCTCTGGTCGATGGCCTTCCTTTTTTGCATTGGAGACGTTTCGAGGCCATGGAAGGAGCGGTGCAGGCCTGCTGCATGCAGGTCCCGTGGTTGCTGACTGTCCGTCCCCAGGGCCTTTTCCTTTTCCCTTTTCCCTTTTCTCTTTTCCCTTTCCTTTTTTCATCTTCATGCTGGACGGACCGCAGTGACGATCTCCCTTGGCGGTAAGTTGCCCCGTAGCGATGGACTGAGTCGCGGTGATGAAAACTTTGTTTATTAAACGCCCGAGCATGCATGGGGCTGTCCTGGGAAGTTGCTCAGGATCAGCACGAGGGCAGCCAACCCCTGATGGGTTCGTCGGCGGAAACACGCCAGGCGGACACTGTCGAGCAGCGTCCCTTTCTGGCCAGAGATGAATATCCGAACAGAAGGCCTGCTCCAGGAGTCATGCCAAGAGCGCTTTGGCCGTGCGGCTGACGGAGCGCTCGGACGGCCAAACGGGTTTGAACAAGGTCGACACCCATCAAGCGCCCGACCATGGGGCACAAGAAACACCAGAGCCTCCATCCTTTGCTGCCTGTCTTCTGGCCTGAACTCCCGACACGCTGCGTGCGAGGCCATGGCGGCTGCTGTCGACGATACTGCCGCGCTGGTCTGACCCACCCGACGCCAGGGCCGCCTGTCCGGTCTGCCGTCAACTGCCTGGCGTTGCTCCCCCGTCTTGTTTGGGTGTTTGGGGAGCTTTGGCGGTGGAGGGAAAAGAAGGAGATGATGGACGGGGTGATAAAAGGGCCTTTGGCCCGCGCGTTTGGTTGGACCAAGACATCAAGCCCACCTCTCTTTTCTCTCTATCCCATTGCTTTCCATTCTCTTCAACCGTCCGAGCAAGCTCTCGCGTGTGTTCTAACTATCATTTCTCTTCTTTCCGGCTAGCCCGACCATCTACCCCCCCCCTTCTTTCCCCCTTTTTCGACCATGCGCCAATCCGCCCTCATTGCCGTCGTGGGCGTTGTCCTCGAGATGGCCTCGGCTGCGCCCACCCCCGGCATCCTCGGCGCCCTTCTGGGTTTTGGCGGCGGTGGTGGTAACAAGGCCGGAGCCGGACCGGCGGCGGCGGGGGGCCAGCAGCCCGACGCCAACACGGGCACGCAGGGCGGTACCAGCAGCGCAAATGCGGCTCAGGGCGGTGCAACCGGCGGAAACCTGGCCGGCAACACGGGAGCGACCGGGGTCGGAAGCAACACTGCCGCCGGAGGTCTGCAGCAGCAGCCGCTGTCGGTGCAGGACATTGCCAACGCGCGCGACCAGTGGCAGGATGACACCAGGACCGTGTCCAACTTCCTGTCGACGGCCGAGTCCATGGACCCGCAGACGATGCAGCAGGCGGCGAGCACGGCGCTGGCCGCCGAAAAGGACGAGCTGACGCACAAGGCGGTGCTGGACCAGCAGTTCAACAACGGCGGTGCAAACTCGGACCCGGCCGTGAGCCAGGCCGACCAGGTGCTCGACAAGCAGGGCACATTTCAGTTTGTCGTCAACGGCCTGCAGCGTCTCGCGGACACGGGCGCCTCCATGTCACCCCAGCAGGTCTCGGCCGAGGTCGCGTCCATGAACCAGGACCGCTGCCCCTTTGTCCTGCCGTCCATCGACACGTACCTCAACGCGGCCTCGAACGCTGTGCGAGACGGCACGAATGCAAAGGCTATTCGGCCCAACAACTGCCCCGGCAACACGGCCCAGGCTACCGGTCCGGTTGGTGGTCCTGCGGCCGGGCCGCCTCTCAACACCCAGGGTGTAAACAACCAGGGAAGCAACCAGCAGGGAAGCAACCAGCAAGGAAGCAATCAGCAGACAGGCACCCAGCAGGGAGGCAGCCAGACAGGCAACCAGCAGTCGGGCGACCAGCAGTCGGGCAGCCAGCAGTCGGGCAGCCAGACAGGCAGCCAGATAAGCAATCAGCAGTCAGGCAACCAGCAGTCAGGCAACCAGCAGTCAGGCATCCAGACAGGCACCCAGCAGGGAAGCAACCAGGCAGACAGCCAGCAGTCAGGCAACCAGCAGGGAGGCAGCCGGACAGGCAGCCAGCAGTCAGGCAGCCAGACGGCCAGCCAGCAGTCAGGCGGCCAGCAGTCAGGCAGCCAGCAGTCAGGCACCCAGGAGGGAGGCACCCAGGAGGGAGGCACCCAGACGGGCAACCAGCAGACGGGCAACCAGCACGGGGGGAACCAGCAGGGGAGCAGCCAGCAGACGGGCAACCAGTCAGGCATTCAGAGCGGTAACCTGGGCAGTGCCCAAACCGGAGCCCGAAATGGCGGCGGTTCTCTTGCCGGTACGCAAGCTGGGACTCTGACTGGGACTCAGACCGGTAGTACCAAAGCCAATGGTGCCAAGACCGACGGTGGCCAAGCCGACAGCTCTCAATCCAATACTCAGCCTGGTGCCAAATCTGGTGGTGCTCAAGCTGAGACGCAAGCTGAGACTCAGGCTGGCACCGGAACCACTGGCGCCGAGGCCAGCGGTGGCCAGGCCGGTGGCCAAACCAATGGCCAAGCCGGCGGCCGTGGGGGAAGCAACAACAATGACGACGACGACGACAACTGAAGCATGTAATCCGGAGAACCCCGCCCCTGTCTCGGCCGAAGAGGGGATCCGTCGCCGGCAGACGGAGCTCGGCCGTCTTTCGATTCTTGCTCCTCTACTTATTAATTTCGCCGCCAAAGCCACCGTTCGTCCCGTCTTCCGCGCCCCGTCCCACCCTCTTCTACTTCTTACTCTCCATCTCTATTCTCGTGCCCCAAGGCGTCGAAACTTGCTGCGTCGGGGGGGCTATCCTCGGGCAGCTGGACTCACGACCACAAACCCTCCCCCACTTACACGCGCGCTTCTCATTCCACTCTTTTGGCTGCTTCCACTGGCCCCCCGCCCTCGCGTCCTCAACCCTGGTTTTTTTTTTTTTACTTACCACATATCATATATTGTTTTACGCGCATCTGGCTTTCCCTTGATTCCATTGTATAAATAGGCGCCACTTTTGCTTGCTGTCTTTCTTCGACTGGGCATTGTTTCGCTCCCAGAAAAGGGGGCTCGCCATAGCTAGGGAGGGGCATCGTGCTCGCTGCGCTCTCCTCCGGATAGGGACGTGGCTTGCCAAGAAAAGCATGCTAAGTTTCAACTTTCTGTTCCACCATTGGCTTGGGAACAGGCCTCGTGCTGTTTACAGTGAATCTACTCAACGTGAACGGACCCCTCGAAGCTATCCAGGCGGAGGGGCTCGAATCCCGCCTCACCTTTGGGTGACAAGTAGGAAGGCAGGCTACTCTGGACGCTGTTCCTTCTTAATCCCACATTATAGCACACAGACGAAGTAAGCAGCGCGGACTATCTTCGTGTCGTTTCAGTCCTGCCAGAGTCCTGTAACCCTGGAACCCTGGGTGTTTCTACTACCTCAATATGCCACGGCGCATGGCTGAGAGCTCGTCTTTCCCTTGGACCTCACTGTTTCTAGCAAGAAGCATTGTGCATCGACAGGCTATGCCGTATGTACATCTATATCGACTCTACCCCAGTATTACCCGTACACCGAGATTATATGACGGAGCCCTGTCGCCCCCTAGACACACCCCGACAAGTCGTCTTGAAACTCCAGTGCCGCCAAACCCCGGCCACCAACCGTGTGATGACCAAACCCGCCGGCGTTCAAGGCCGTCGCTTGGCCCATCTCCCCCTTGGCATCCTTGGACATCCTCCACCCTCGCCTCAGATCTTCCCCTTGAACAAGTTGAGAATCATCTCGCGGCCCGTGATGCGCGTCGTCTTCCACAGCGTCGGCAGGTCCAGCGTGCTCGACAGGCCGTCGGCGAAGCCAAAGAAGAGCATGGGCGGGATCCACCCGCGCGCGTACTCGAGCGCGAAGCAGCCCTCGGGCATCTTGTACTGCTTGACGTCGCCGCGCCGCAGATGGTGCACGCTGCCCTGCGGGTACACCTCGGCCTCGTACTCGCCCGGCACGTAGGCCAGTTGCGTGCCCGACAGGATGTGGAAGTAGTCGTCGGCCGTGTGGCGACCCGTGTGGCCTTCGGTGCCGACGGCGGTGCCTGTGAGGCGTCAGCGGTCATGCTCCCAGGGATGCTCGGGGGTCGGCGGGCTTGCGCACCGAAGACGATGAGGTATTCGGTGATGCCTGGCCATTCAATCCGTCAGTCGGCCCCCTTTCCACGCCTGAGCGGAGGAGGGAATGGCCCCTCTACACTAGTCAATGGACGGTCAAAGACGGAGGCGCCGGCTCACTGGCATGAATAATGTACATGGCGCCCATGGCACCGCCGGCATTGTTGAAGACCCAGTCCTCCTCGAGGTTGACGTGGGCGGGGGCCTTGTCCTTCAGCTCCGACACAATATACTGCACCACGCCCTTTGTGTTGTTCCCGTGCTGGGCGATTCCGCGCTTGGCCAGGTCCTGCAGGTGGTCCAGCTCAAAGATGTAGAACTTGTCCAGGTGCTGCTCCGCCAGGTACACGACCGACGAGAGCAGGCCGGTGAGGAGCGCCAAGACGACAAGGAGGCGGCCCATGCCGCCGGTCGGCTGCTGCTGAGGCATGGCGATGGAGGGACGAGCGGCGGGAGCGAAACACGGTGAACCCAGGCAAGGGGCTTCGACAAGCTGTACTGTAGGTATTGAATGTTACGGATTGTATGCGACGTCAGGTCCGTAGCGTCGCGATGGAGCAGGACCCTGGGCTTTCTGCCGCCCTTCACCGCACGGACCTGCGAGCTTCCGGGTGGGCTCATAATCGGACCGGCGTTCGGATTGCCCCGGGCCACTCTAATTGGCCTCCGTCCCGCCCCCCTGTCAAGCCTCTGGTTCTCAATGCTTCATGCCGCCGAGGTCGGTGCATAGCTGTGTCAAGCAGTAAAAATAACATCCTTCAAATTCCAGCGTCCCTGAAGCTGAAGAGACAGCCAGAAAATCAGACAACGCCGGTTGCTCCTCTAGAAATCATCTTCAGGCAGTATAGTAGATGCCTCGCTCTCGCCTCCGTCCGCCCTTTTCTCCCTTTGCCGGGGCCTCCTGGTATTCCTACATACAAATGTTACACCCGATTGCTTCCTTTGGTCCGCGTCATCCTAATCCACGTCCGATTCTCCCATGACCTCGGTCTTGTCGCCATCATCGGCGTCATCGTCGGCCCGTCCCTCTTCATCCGCCACGGCTATCTGGTCTGCGTCCTCTGCATCTGCTTCCACGTCGTCCATTGTGACATCGCCCATCGTAACGTCACCCATTGTGATGTCGCCACTTGCATCTCCGTTGGCCTTGCTCGCCTCGGCGTCGGCGTAGGCATGTTCGCCTCCCTCTGCGTCCCCGTCATCGCCGTTCTCGGCTGTCTCGCCATTCGGCCTCGGCTTCTTAATCGGTGCAATGACTCCCAGCTCGGTCTCGTGTCCCTTCCAGCGTGCCAGCCTCCTAGTTGAGCGCCGCAGGGCCGCGGCGTACGAGCTGACCTCTTCGCCAAAATCGTCGTCCTCAGTGGTCATGAGGCACAGACCGCCGAGCCCCTTCTCCCGAAACGGCCCAGACCCCTTGTCGCTGTTGGGGGGCAGGTTGCGCGGTGTGTCTTCGTCGCCATCGCTGTCTTCAAACCCGTCCTCCTGAGCCTGCAATCTTCGATAGGCCCGGAAGATGGCGCCGTCTTGCCGCCGGAGCTTGCGGCTTTTGTGGTGACGTTTGCGTAGGCCGCGGTCGAGGATATACTCGACTCGCTCGTTGCGGTTCCGCTCGACGGCAAGCTGGTGCGCAGTGGGAGGACGGGGTTTCCTTGAAACGACGCCCTCGGACCCGTGACGCGCTGGCGAAGAGCCCTCAAAGATTTGGTACTTAAGTGGCAAACCGCGACGGCCAGAAGCGCCACTTCGGGCTAGCGCCTTGGGAGGCGGCGTAGATCTCGTACTATCCATGTCCGATTCGTGTTTTGAGGGCCTGATACGCGGCAGAATGGCTGGACCGTCTTCGCTGAGCGGTGCGCGCAGCTTCCCCCGCTTCGACTCTCGCTCGTTGAGGTAGGCCTGGTCCATCTCTAGGATCTTTGCGCGCGTCTTTTGCTTCTCGCGACCAAACTCTGTTTCCTCTGGCGTGTCGACGTTCTCGGCTATCTTTTGCTCGTCCGTCAGCAGCTCCAGCTCGGGAACGCCCTGATTGGCGACGTCCAGGCCGTAATCCACGCCAGGACCAAACGGATTCTCATCGCAGCCTTCCTCGGTGAAGTCGGATTCCAGGTAAAACCACATGAGCCACAAGAAGGCCTTCGCCCGGGACTCGCTCGAGTAGTTCGTCTTCATTATGAGGTCGTGGAACTCGTGGTTGAGGGGAAAATGCAGTTCGGCAATCTTTTGCGCGCCGCTGCACATGACAAATATTAGGTTCACTGGGTTCGTCCGAGGGGGGTTGTCCATCTTCTTGATCTTGTCCAATGAGTTGGGCTCTTCCCGGTCCTCCGCACCGCCTTTCAAGATGGACTTAAGTCGAGGCGCGTCCTGCAGCTGCTTGTAGGCATGGGGGTCTTGGTGTGCCTGCAAGGATGGAATGGCATGATAAGTTCGAAGCTGTGCACGCATCTCGGGGAAGACTGGCAAAAGTCAGCCATGCGCGCTCTCGATGCGACCAAGGGCGAGCGAGAAAAACGGGCAAGAAATTGAAGAGGAGGAGAGTGGCTTACAGTTGAGGGTGGTATTCATCCTGCCAACGTTGACCAAAAGGCATACCATGGCCATACCCTTGGCGGCCTCTCTATCGCTCAATAGTTTGTCTCGAAGCACCTTGCTGGTCTTGCTACTTCGCGACATGGTGTCGATGTAGAGGTCGGCAAAGGTCTGCATACCTATGCCATCCGGGTCGTAGGTGTTGGTGAAGACCTTTTGCTCGTTGTCAAACACGGCCCTCAGGAAGTCGTACTGGATGTCCTCGCGCCACAGAGGTTCGCCGTCTTCCTTTTTCAAGTGCCTTATCTTGCCAATATTCTGCTGACCGTTGGCATCTTTACTCTGCGACCCTTTGCTTTTACTCCGATGTGGCTTGTCGGGGTTGTCCTCGGCCATTCGGGTATCTTCATCTTCTGAGCCAGCGCGGGAAACGAAGGACTTGCCGTCCGGGGCGGCGGGAGAGCTGGGTGGCTCGATGTCTGAAGTCGCAGCGACCGAGTTGGGCGAGGCTGCCATGATGCTCTCGGTCGGGGAGTCTCGAGGGAGAGGGTTGGTGGCGGGTGTCGTCGTTGGCGATAGAGGGGTCGGTCGGTATTCAGCAGTGCATGATGAGGGTGACGATGATGACCAAGGATAAAAGTTCTCGGGGCTCACGATGCGGCGATGAGGGCTTGAGGGATGATGCGGATGAGGTAATTGGCGATGGCCCCAACAAGGTGGGAAAAAAGAGGGAGGGACGAAGCCGCCGATCTGCTAGTAAGCATGCGGTTGGCCAAGCGAGGAGCTATTGTGCCTGGACAGCAGCTGCAGGGAGTCGCTGAGGCGCATTGCGAGGGACCCGACGCTAGAAAGCCAAGTACCTATTCAAGTACCTGACCGGGACTTGAGCGCTACTGCATGCGGGGTGTTCGCCGGCAGTGTACCTTGGAGGACCAACGCAGGTACACGAAGCGGTGGGGTTTTCCAAGGTGAGTCGCGACGGAAAAGCTCTATGCCGCCCGTCGCCCCGTCGCCCCGTCCACCAGCCTCTACTAGTAGGTGCATCGTGAATTGCTTCTTACCGCAAACGTCAACAAGTCCAACAGGCCGCCAGCTCCACGGCCAGTCTGGCCAGCGTCGAGGAGCCACTAACCCACAGTATATGACAGATATCTGGCCGGCTCAAGTTGTGCGTTTACCTTCACGCGGTGTCCCGCTGTTTTTTCCCTTGTCCCGCCCCCTTTCAGGCCGAGTTCAGAGACCTGAGGCGCCGTTCATTCCACATTCCCTGAAGACTGCCCTGCTAACAACCTCCCCAGATAAGGCGGCTACTCATCTCCAGCATCTTCAACTCCTGACGCGCCTCGAGACATTCGTTCGACATGTCCACGCCAGTCAGGTCGACGCGCGCAGACGTGTCGCCCATCCCCGATAGCCCCGGCACCTGGAGACACCCCCGCCTCAACGAAATCACGAGACGGCGCAATGCGACGACCTTTTCCGAGAAGAATGTGCGGCGGATAGCCTACAACGTGATTGCCCTGTTGATCATGTGGTCGTTTCAGCTGCTTGCAAGGCTCAAGGTGGATCCACAGACGTATGGCCAGGCCTCGCCGCTTCAAGCCCCTCGGGTGGACGTTTGCTGACCCCAACAACGCCAGGTTTTCCAGCACCTTTCGCTACTATCTGGGCTGGACTTGGTTCGCCTTGCAGCTGCTTCCCTTTATCCAGATCGGCCTCGCCTGCCTGCCCCTTGTCCGCGCGCAAGACGATCTCTCCGACATACCTTTGACGGCGACGCAACGGAAGCTGCTGGGCCTTGCTCCATCTTCCGCCCCGCCGACCCCCGAAGCCAGGTTTAGCACGCCTCCACGATACTCGCGCACACCGTCAATTGCGGGCTCCGTGGGCAGCAGAGCAAGCTACAACAGCTCTCCCTTATCCGGGCGCGGGAGTCCGGCTCTCCAAGGCTCCGTGGGAGGCTCCCCCTCGCCCTTTTCATCCTCGGGTAGCCCCCTGTTGCAAAGGAGCGTCGGCGGTCTCGCGCAAAACCGTAGATCGTCTTTCGGATCGTCGAGTCCCTTTGGCGCGAGCTCGTCTGCCAACTTGTTCTCCGAAACTGGCTCGCCGAGCCCGTCGACCGGGAAGCGGACAAGCGTGGGGCTGAATAGCAAGTGGCTCTATGAAAGGGGCAGGCGAGCCTCGGGAAGTACATGGCTTCACTGATGGTGGAGTGCACGAGCTCAGCACTGGGAAAGGAATGGAGCATCAGAAGCAAGGCAGAGACGCACATTTGGTACGTAGGTGCGGCGGAACGAATTGCAGCTTGTTGGTAAGATGGTTGATGGATGTCTGGGCGTATGGCGTAACGGAACATGGTGGCTCTCCTGGCATTGGTAAATATCATGGCGTACTGTGTTTTCCCGCGTGCGTGCCGAAATGGCTGGTGAATGCTACGATTGACCTCGTGATGGCCTCGTTCAACAAAGCCATACCACAAGATGTAAAGAAGCCAAGCCGTCGCGAAGAGCAAAAGCAAACCCTAACAAGACGGTCAGGACGCAAAAAAACAAATGACATGCGCGAACCGGGACTCGAACCCGGGTCGCATGCTTGGGAAGCATGCATGCTAACCTCTACACTATCCGCGCGATGGTGATGTAATGGTGTCTGGATTAAACACTATATACATATCACCGTTATTGCGGGCCTCTGTCTAAGAGCAGAAGGACCAGTGACCTACACCTCGTAACGTAGGTACCTATTATGAATAGGAGACTGCCGTTTTGCTCCCTTGAGAGCCGGATTATGTAAGGAGCGGATCAGCATCGGAGAAAGTAAGTGGCTTGTTTAAGTGCTTGGAAGCTCGGTTGCCAAGGATATATCCTCTCCTTTCTGAGCCCAAGACACACAAGGGAAGATGGACTGATTGTGAATGAGTTCAACGATGCAAAACATGCATATTCAAAGATTGCCATTTGAGAGAACTGTCAATATAAATCTCGTGGCCTGAATGCTATAGCTCTCCGCAGTGGTTGGACAATTAATCGACAGCCCCCACCGCGCTTCGCCAGTCCTACCTAACAGCCCCTCCAAGCTCAATATAACTGACCCTCCTCCATCTCAACGCACCCAAACCCTCGCTTCCAGCACGCCTCTCCACCACCACCACCGCAAGCCGAGCCCTCAGCCTCGCACCCACCATGGCGAGCAAGGTCGACCGCATCGTCGCTCGTCTACGGGAGAAAACCACCGACGGCGACTACTACGAGGCGCAGCAGCAGACGCGGGTCGCCGCCTCGCGCTACATCAAGGCGCAAAACTGGCCCGCCGCCATCGACATCCTCGCCAGCGTCGCGCAGGCGTTGCTCGCGGCCGGCCAGGGCGGCAGCGGCGGCGACCTGTGCGTCATGCTTGTCGACGTCTACAGGCAGGCCGAGCTCGCGCCCGACTCGGCCGCAAAGGGCAGGCTGCTGACGTGCTTGCGCCTCTTTGATGCCCAGGAGCCCACGAGGAAGAAGTTTATCGGCGAGATGATTGGGTACGATGAGCCTTGCCTTGCCTGCTCTGTATCTGCGAAATCAGAGGGTGCTGACGTGCGTGCTGGCCTTTAGCTGGTCGGCCAAGTTTGGAGAGTACCCGGCCGGCGACCCGGAGCTGCACCACGTTGCCGGATCGCTATACGCCGAGGAGCACGAGACGTACGAGGCCGAGAAACACTTGCTGCTGGGGACTAAGGACTCTCCTGCGGTCCTCGCCAAGATGGAATACGAGTGGTATAAAGAGGGAGACGCCCACCTAGCGCCACACTTTGCCGCCAGAGCCATACTCGGCTACCTCCTTGTCGGCAACGTCCGCGCAGCCAACACCTGCTACCGCCTCTTCACCAGCTCCCTCAGTAACGAGAACACCGGGCTTGGCGTGCAAGACGTCTCGAGCGCTCACTGTGACATCCGAGTCTTCCCCAGCCTGCCCCTCGTCAACTTCCTCGGCCTGCTTCTCCTGGCCATCCAACGCGGGGCGCCCGAGGTGTATAAGGGCCTCGTGGCCAAGTACGCCACCCAGATCAACGAGACTGAAGTGTGGGCCGAGTCGCTCGAGATGATTGCCGAGCTGTATTTCGGCATCTCGAGGCCGCGGCAGAGCAACCCGCTGATGGACATGATGAGCGGCTTGTTGGGCGGGGGCGGCGCGCCGCAGCAGCCCCAGAGGCGAAAGTTGCGTAGCGCGGAAGCTCCAGCTCCTGCAGGGCTGGATTAGGGCTGGGCAAAGGCTTGTAAAAGGGACGCACCAAGGATACCATGCAAAACCATTACGTAGCGGGCGTTTCGTAGGCAACAAAGTCATCCTCGAGTCTGCTCTTCTGGCTCAAACATCCAATTGTCGTCGGCCAGGGCACTGACTTTGGCGCGGAGGTCGGCGCGGACGGCCTCGAGCAGCTCTTTGTTGCCCCGGTCAGCGCCAAAAGGTTCCGGTCGGGAGGCGTCGAGGCGGCTTTACCTTCCGGCTGGTCTGGCACAGAGCTGTGGTTGATGGCGTGGTGCTTGACTGCTTCCGCCAGGCGCTGCCTTTCCTCTAAATCCGGACGCGTAAGTCTCTTGTCAGAGCGAGGACTTGAGATCATACTCTCGGTCTCGTGCCGGTCCTCGGCCTGCTCGTCGTGCTCGTCGACGGTCGGGGTGGGCGGATCGCCCAGCTCGATCTCGCCCTGCTGGTTGCGGACGACAATCTCGGACGTGTCGGACAGGACATCGACGTCGAGGCGCAGCGTGTCGGCCGAGTTCGAGGAGCTGGCGGTCGGGCGGCGGGTCAGCTGGCCGCGAAACAAGTTTGCTCGAGCGGCTGCCGCGACCGAGACTCTGGCTCGCGAGGCGCCCGAGTCGGCGCGTCGAGGCCGCTCGCTCATGGCAAGACTGTTGGTGCTTGAACGTCGGTGAGCCGTGACGGGAGGGTGTTGAAGTTGGAATATATTCCTATTTTACTGCAGTCCACAGGGCATGTTTACTATCTGCCATAATTAGCCTCGACCTACGAATACAGGCTGCAGCAGCAGCTGGGTGACGGTTGCTGGTGGGGCAGCTCAACTCCTAGTCGCTGGCTAGTGGCAGCCGTTGCTGTGACCCAAGGTCGGAGAGCCCCAGAACCCTGCGAACCCCGCCAAGCCGGACAACGGACGTTTCCGCCGGCCGGACAAGACGTTGCACGGAAGATGACATGCTCTATTTATTTCTTCCTCTTGAAGGCATGATGCTAGAGAGCACTGTATTTCATCCAGAAAGCGTTGGGTGTGACGAGTAGCATGTCTTCGATTCGAACATACTCTTAGACTTCAGTAAACAATCAGCGACCAGAAGTCCAACAATGAGCACACAATCAGGTCGATCCGTCACCCCCCGGTCAAGTGCTACAATCTTCGGCTCCTCCAAGGCCTCGTGGTTCAAAAATGTAAAAAAGGGGAATCCCAACTTGAGTTTGCTACTAGCATACACTCGGCTGCACACCTCGCTGACAACCCGGATTCATATTGCCAGGTTGTACGAATACTCATCCTCCATATTCTGGCTTACCCAGAGAACAACAGAGCTGCAGACGGCGTCAGTGTCTGTTCACGCCCCATGAGCGGAGTGGCAAGTACCTGAAGCCGACGAGCGCATTGCTGACGATATTCTCAATGCCCATGCCCAGCGCGGGCATGGCAACGCCCGGGACGACAAACTTGAGGACGAAAACGGTGACACCGCCGGCCATTCCTCCGGCGAGGGCGGCAAAGCCCAGGAAGAGCACCACGCGCGCCTTCCACGCGACGCCGGAGCCGCTGTAGCTAAAGGAATCGGCGCTGAGGCGCTGCTTCTCGACCGAGTTGATGATTAGCATGCCGAGGCTGGAGAAGAGGAGCGGGAGCCAGTCGACGAATTTGATGTGGACGTTGGAGCCGTTTCGGGCGGACTTGGACCAGACGGCGGAGTCGAGCATGACGTAGAAGGCGACGGAGAACTGTATCAGGGAGAGTCGTCAGCAGGGGTTGCGCTCGACACCGAGCAAGCAGAGCAGGCGCCATCGTGTGCAAGGCCACAGGACGACACGACGCGGCGGGCCTGGTTGAGACGTACCAGAGCTCCGGCTCCGTACACGCCAGCGCTGCGGGCCCAGGCGCTGTTGAGCCACTCGGGTCTCCTAAACTTCCAGAGACGCTCGTCCTCCATGCTTGATGCTCTGATTTCGACCGGCGAATGTGAGGTTGGGACGAAGCAGCTAGAGGGCGATGGCGCCGAATCGCGGGAGGTCGCGGGCAGGTCGATGGCGGGCAGGGGAGATCGGGCAGCAGCTCCGAGGCTGGCTGTCATCGGTTCGACGTTGGTCGATGGTGGAGCTTCCGAGTCACGTGACCGTTTTGTCTCTGTAATCCGTACCCAGCATGAGCTGCTAACATAATTAAGGTAGGTACGGAGTCAAGTACGAGTACGTACTTAGATACATTGGGAAGTGAGCCCAGCCACGGGGAGCACGGCCACGGCGCGGCCCCCTCCTTGTGGCTGCGGCGTTGTTTCTGACACGGTACGAGGTACTGTACGTCTTACGCGTGCACTTCATGACTTGGAATGAAAACGAGCTGACGAGTACCGTATGTACATGCACAAAGACGTTCATGCAAATTGCTGTCATGTGCAGCATGCTGTGATGGGCGACGGGCCGCCCTGGTGGCGCCTGCAGAGAAGTCCGGGTGAGGGTTTTTGAGCGTCACAGCGCTATGATAGGTGGGCGCCCCAACGCTGTGCCCCGCAACGCGCTGTGCCCCCCAATGGCCCCCCAATGGGACCATTCACCCAAGGCTAAGCCCTCAGCCGTGGGATCGTGCAGCTGTTTCCATGACACCCGTGTTTACATACACATACACGAAGCAAACTTTGAAAACGTGAGCACTCACATGCTTGCGTACGAGTTCTGGGCGTGCACAGCTCCCTTTCTTTGCCCAGCTGGCTGTTTGAAGAGCCCAACGGGATTTTCGTTGGTCGCCTCATGACTAACCAGGGCGGGCTCTGTCGTCTGCCGACAAGACTTACTCTCGAGGCTCCGGTAGTCACCAGCCATTGCACGCGGTGTCTGTTCTTTTCCAAGCGCCTGCTAACCTCGGCCCAGGCCACGTTTGGACTAGACAGCCTCGCCCCTTTGCAACTGGATGCTAATAGATGGAGTATTGAGCATGTGTGCATGTACATGAAGGTACTTGCCGGTTTTTGGCATCGGCTCGGCTCCAGACCATGACCAAGAGTATCAGACCCCGGCTCATTTGCTGCAGTACCTTGCCTTTCCAAGTATCGAAGTGGGCCAGATACTTGCACCCTGCAGATCCCCCTCCGTTTTTCGCGCCATGAACCCGCCTTGCCCAGGTTCCCTTCCAAGTGGCTACTCCGCAAGGTACCGGCGCCCTGCTGCTGCCTCCTCGCGGTCGCCCCGTACCCTCTTTCTGACTTCGTCGTCGCGCGACGTTTTACCCTCCTCCTTTCCTCTCCTCTCCTCTCTTCTCTCCTCTCCTCTCCTCTCTCGCCCCTCATCCTTCACGGTTATACGCCATGTCTTCCTCACCGTGACCCAGCATCACTCGCGACCGCATTCTTCTTGACTTGCCCATCTCGTGGCGTATGTCTTCGCATCCTTTTCCGCTGCCCCGGCGCTTCCTCTCCCACCCCTCCCAGCCGACTCCTCGAACGCTCCCACGCTCCACCGGGAGCCAACATCTCAGCCACCCCCGTCCATCCCTTTAGCGCTCGACGCTCACCTCTGCCCTCCTCTCGACGCGACTGTCTCGATCGAAGCGACCTTTCCCCCGGATATTCTCTCGCTTCTCGCCTGTATTACTTGCACGCTGGCGACAAACCACCGCGACCATGCAGCCGACCGGATTCCTGTCGTGGTCGGCCTTTGTCCTGTCGACTCTGGGCTTCGTCACCATCTTCTCCGCCCCGGTCATGGCTCAGGCAGGCGGCAACTCGCGAACCCCGAGCCCTCGGCCCGCGGGCACACCTATCCGTTCCAACGCCCCGAGTCCTTCCAGAAGCGATAGGCAGGTTGCGACGCCTACGACGACTGCCGACGACAGCACTAGCACCACCGACGACAACACCAGTACCACCGGCACAGATCGAGTCACTGACTTTCCCACTCTAACCAGGGGCGGCGCTATCCCAACGTATCCCCCTCCCAGCGTCCCGCCCACCAAGAACGCCCCCTTTATGCAGCACTCCAACCTGCCGGATGGTACCGTCTTTATTGCCGTCGGAGCCATCCTCGGCGCCTTTGGGCTCGCCATTCTTCTCTGGCGCAGCATCGTCAGCCTTCTCCTTCACCGATCCGTCAAGCGGGCCGCCATGGCGCAGCACACCACCAATAGCAAGGCTGGCTTTCCTGCGCCGCCTGCGCCCTTCTACAAGTATACCGATCAGGATTCGAGCATGTCGCTGGCCCCCGGAGCTGGCCCAGCGGCTGGTCGCGGTGTTCGGCGCACCAACCGGGGCCCTATTCCTTCTGCGACGCCCAGTCACTCGAACCTCTTCTTCTCGCCCACGGCAATCAGCACCGCTGGCCCTCGCGCTTCTACCTATTTGCCATCGGGCTTCTACGCCTCCGGCGCCGGCTCCCCTGCCGGAAATCAGACCAACACGATTGGCTTGCAAAACCTCCGCCCGGACTCCCGAGGGCAGTACACGAATGCGTCTCGTCACACGCTGAGCGGGTCACCTCCTGATTCGCCTCAGTACCTCATGCGAAGGGACGCCAACAACATGAGCACCAGCTCCCTTCATCTCAACACCGCGGCGCCAGGTCAGCGAGCACCTAGTGCGTATCTCGAGGATCTCTTGGCCGACGACCCCGGCGCTCTGCCGCCGCCGCACATGCCCCTTCCGAATGGCCCGAGCGGTACGAGCCCGGGAAGTAGAGCAAACAGCCTACACAACCGGATGTGAGCGGCCGTCCGGATGCTAGGCCATGAAACGGGCCAGCCTTGATGGTACTCGGTCTTGGATAGGCCTTTCTTTTCTTTTTGCAGATTTTCTCTTGCCGAGCTCAGGCTCCGGATTCTTTCATACAATGGCGTCAAGGGCTTGCATGTGGTTTTGCGGGCGAGACGTGCGAGCGAAGTCGATATTGCGCAAGGCCAAGCCTTTTCGCTTCGCAACTAATCTGAACCCTGGACGACCTGGTGGCGGCGAGGCGTCGGACAGCAGCAGGCGGTAAAGACGGAGGGACGGCTGGTGGTTGGACAATGTACCAAGGATGGGCCGAGACGGAGGCGGAAAGACTGGGCACGGCATTAGAGGGCGGTACACGCATTACGTTGGGTCGAGCGTGTTGCCTCCAACTCCCGTGTGTATATCTAGACGTCTCGGCAGTTGAATTTGTACAAATATTCCTTGCATCATGGTCAGTCAACCCGCGTGTATGCTTTTTACCTTGCCAGTACGATAGCGAGAGCCACTGATACAAGCGGAGAAGTTTGGTGACGAAGATAAAAACTGCTTTCAGTAATATTATTATCTAGTGGAGTACCAATTACGCATACTCGTTTACTTCGTAGAGCTGTGTACGATGAAGACTGGGTCAAGAGAGGTCTAAGGGTATTAAACACATCCAAGCACGCGCTCCTCTCATCCTTCCAATTTGTTTCCACCTCGCCTCCATACCTGAGGTGGTTCTTGGCACCTCTGGGGGCATGTCGTCCTCAGGGAGCCTTGCCCACGGCGGCTGTTTGGCGGCCCGAGACGGCGTTGCTGGCGGCCTCGAGGTCGGCGAGGCGGATGCCGCTGCGGTCGCACATGGCGCGAAAGATGCCGTTGCGGTGCCACAGGGCGCGCGGCGAGTCGAGCTCGGCGATGCGGCCGGCGTCCATGACGCAGATGCGGTCGTAGGCGATGATTGTGCGCAAGCGGTGGGCGATGCACAGCAGCGTCTTGCCGCGAAAGGCCGTGGCCATGGTGCGCTGGACCTTGTCGTCCGTCTCCATGTCGACGGACGAGGTGGCCTCGTCGCAGACGATGATTTGCGAGCCGCGGACGAGGGCGCGGGCCAGGGCCATGAGCTGGCGCTGGCCGAGGGAGAAGTTGAGGCCGTCTTCCTCGACGGCGCTGTCGAGGTGGATGCGCGGGGATGGGGAAGAGGAGGATGTCGAGGTGTCAGGGGAGGAGGAGGAGGAGGTAGAAGGGGGCAGGGGAGCGGCGGCCTCGGCGGCGGACGGGTCGGCGGGGACGAGATCGGCCTGGCGCAGGGCGGACCAGAGCTCGAGGTCCGAGTGCTCGCCAAAGGGGTCGAGGTTGCTGCGGACGGTGCCGCGGAAGAGGGTCGGGTCCTGGGGGATGATGGCGAGGCGGGAGCGCAGGTCGTGCAGGCCGACGGTGGCAATGTCGAGGCCGTCGATGGTGATGGAGCCGGCCGAGATCTCGACGAGGCGGAAGAGGGCGCTGACGATGGAGCTCTTGCCGGCGCCGGTGCGGCCGACGATGCCGACGCGCTCGCCGGCGGCGACGTGCATGGACAGGCCGCGGAGGACGAGGGGCAGGTCGTGGCGGTAGCGCATCTCGACGGCGTCGAAGGCGATGGCGCCGCGGTCGGGCCACTCGGGCCGGACGTCGACGGTGTGGGCGGGAGCCTCCTCGTCGAGCTCGGTGCCGTAGTAGCGCAGGCGCTCGACGGCGTTCATGCCGTTCTCGACCTCGGCCAGCTGGCGGATGGAGAACTGCAGCATCTGGACAATGGCGAGGATGTAGCTGAGGACCAGGCCGCTGATGGAGGGGTCGACGTTGAAGCGCGAAGTGACGACGAGGATGGCGACGGTGAAGACGAGGGCGTTGCCGACCATGTCGAGGCGCAGCGACAGCCAGCGCTGGTTGGCAAAGGTCAGGTAGTAGGCGGCGTTCATGTCGTCGACGGCGGCGCGCAGGTCGGCGACGAAGCGCGGGCGCAGGCCATAGGCGCGGATGGAGGCGACGCCGCTGAGGCCCTCGGCGAAGCGGGCGAAGACGGTGGAGCGCAGGACCGACTCGAAGCGCTTGACCTCGCGGGCCGAGGCGCGGTAGTAGGAGGCGGCGACGACGAAGAGCAGGTACAGCGGGACGAGGGCGACGGCGAACCAGTGGAAGAAGGCGACGATGAGGGCGAAGACGGCCGTGACCATGGCCAGGGTGAAGTAGAACATGCGGAAGGCGTCCGTCAGGTTGTTGTCCATGACGTCGACGTCGCGCGAGAAGCGGTTGGTGATGCGGCCGAGCGGCGTCGTGTCGAAGAAGGCCATGGGCGCGCGCAGCACCCGCGTCACCGCCTGGCGCAGCATGACGCGCGACGCCCGCGTGCCCAGGATGGACAGCAGCAGGGAGAAGAGGAACATGAGCAGCGCCTGCGCGGCCCCGAGCCCGGCGTAGATGCCCATGTACTGGCCCGTCGACAGGCCGAAGCGGTCCGACGTCCAGTACGACAGCCACAGGCTGGTCATGATGTTGGCCGCCTGCGACAGCACGAGCGTGACGAAGACCAGCGGCGCGTTGAGCAGCGAGCCCGACGCGCGGACGTAGGCGCCGTACACGGACCACGGCACGCTGGCCTCGGCCTTTTCCTCCTGCTGCATCAGCGCCGCGCCCTTCTTGGCCCGCCTCCGCGTCTTGGTCTTCGTGCCCCCCTCGGCCTCGGTCTCGATCTCGTCGTCGTCGTCGTCGTCGTCCGTCTGCTTCGTCTTCTTCTCCTCTCCGGCCCCCGTCTCCATCAGCGCCCGGAACCCCTTGTGCTCCCGCATCAGCTCGTCAAACGTGCCGACGGCCACGATGCCGCCGCCCTCCATCCACACGATGCGGTCGCAGCGCGCCAGCACCCACAGCTGGTGCGTCGCCAGCACGCGGCACTTGTCGCCCAGCAGGCCGAGGATGGCCTCGTCGAAGATGTGCCGCCCGACGTGCGCGTCGACGGCGCTGAGCGGGTCGTCCATGAGCACAATGTCGGCGTCGAAGTAGATGGCCCGCGCAATGTTGAGCCGCTGCTTCTGCCCGCCCGAGATGGTGATGCCGCGCTCGCCGATTTCCGTCTGGTCGCCGTTGGGCAGCATGTCGAGGTCGGCCTCGAGGGCGCATCTGCAGACGACGGTCAGCCTTGATCTCGTCCTCCCCTTGGTCCACCGTACTCACGCCTCGATGACCCTCCGGTACCAGCGCCTGTCCATGTCCTTGCCAAAGGTAATGTTGTTCTGCAGCGTCGTGTTCTGGATCCAGGCATACTGCGGACAAAACGCCCGCGACGCCCCAAACACGACGTCGCCCTTTGTCTTGCGCATGTCGCCCGCCAGCGCCGCCAGCAGCGAGCTCTTGCCGCTGCCCACGGATCCGATGACGGCGATGAGCTCGTTGCGCCCGGCCTGCAGGTCAAGGCCCTGCAGCTTGAAGGGCTCCCGTCGCTCCTCGGGCCCGTCCTTTGTCTCTGCGGGCTTGTCCGACGACGCCTTGTTGCCCGCGGCCAGTGTCCCGACGTTGGGGTCTTGCGACGGCGTCTTCTCCCACGTAAAGGCGGCGCCGCGCAGCTCGATGGCGTGCGGGCTCTCGAGGTCCACGACGGCGTCCTCGTCCTTTTCCTCCTCGGTGAGAAACTGCTCGATGCGATACAGCGAGGACCAGGCGTCGGTGACCTGGCCCAGGACCAGGGGCAGCAGGTTGAGCGGGATGCGCAGGCCGTTGAACAGGGCCAGCGAGGAGAAGACCTGGGCCGGCGACAGGTCGTGATGCGACAGCGAGTAGACGATAAAGGACAGCATCGAGGCAAAGATGGGCAGCGACATGCTGACGGCGTTGATGGCGTTGCGGATGGCCAGCAGCACCTGGATGGCGTGAATCTCGCGCGCACGGAACTGGCCCAGCCGGTCGAGAAAGGCCCTTTCCCAGCCAAAGAACTTGACGAAGCGCACCGACTGCAAGATCTCCTGCGTCAGCGAGACGCGCTGGTCGGTGATCTTGTTGATGGCCTCGCGGCGGCGGAACAGGCTGCGGATGGCGCGCGTCAGGGCCGGCACGCCCAGCACCAGCAGCGCGAAGCCGGCGAGCGCGCTGTACGTCAGGTTGACGAGGAGCAGCACGAGGGTGATGAGGCAGAGGATGGGCGCCGTCCAGATCATGTGGAAAAGGGCCGAGGCTTGGTCGACGCGGTACGTGTCGACGCTCATGAGGTTGACGATGCGCCCGTTGGCCCAGCCGATGCCGGGGGCATCTTTGGCGTTCTTCTTGGCGTCCTTGTCCTTCTTCTTCTTCTTTTCCTCTGTCTGGCCTGGTTTCTCGCCCGTCGCAGCATCACCGTCGGCATCACCATCACCACCACCAGCCTGCGCCTCTCCTCCCCCAACACCGCCGGCACGCGCGCGTCCCGAAATAACCATGGCCTTTTCGTAAATCATGCCGATGAGGACCGCCCGGCTCTGCCCGCCCATCATCATGCCGCGGTAGATGAAGTGGCTCACGCACACGCTCTGCACGATCTGCATGGCCGTGATGCCGACGGCGAGCCCGACGCCGCGACCGATGGGCGGCGGCGGCCGCTGCTCGACGCTGGCGCGGTAGGCGTCGGCGGCGAACTGGATGAGGAAGCGCAGGGTAAAGGGCGCAATGACCTGGGGCAGGGTGCCGAGCAGCGCGAAGAGGCCGCCGAGCCAGAACTCGAGCGTGAAGCTGTCGTGGAGCGCCCAGAAGAGCGGATGCTTGTCGCCGGCCGAGACGCGGCGCCGGAAGGCCTCGCGCACCCGCGCCGTCATGGGCTCGACGGCCCGGTCCGGGTTGACGGTCCAGATGTCGCCGGGTTGGAGCCGGCGCTTGTAGCCTGTCTGAGAGGTGTCAGTCTACATGCTCTCTTGGCGCCAATTGTCCAATGCCTTGCATAGACGGTCCAACGGTCTCGCGCCACCAAACGTGGACGCAGAGTATAAGTGTGTGTATGGAGTGTAGGTGTCCAAATATCGAGCGAGAGACAGACAGAGACTCACCGTCATGAGGGGCGTCATCCACTGAAACGTCAACCTGCTCAGGAAACTCGCCCCGTGCTCTCGAGACACGATGCGCTCCTCTGGAACCTCGGGGATCCGGCCCCATCGCAGCGGATTCACCCGCTGGCGCCACGTCCTCGAGCCCTGCTCCTCGGCTCCGGTCCGGGACCTTGTCGCGGCCATTGTCGTCGCCACGCTCGTGTCTGTCGCATAGCTCTTTGTCGCCGCGAGGCCGGTGCCGCGGCTCAGCTCGGCGGCTCCGTCGCCGCCGTCTCGGACTTGCTTCTTCTCGTTGGCGGCGGCCTCGTCCGTGTCGACGTGTGGAGAGATGGCATCGTGGGTTGTTGTGTCGTCGACCGTGACAGCTACCAGGCCGTCCTCCGGTGCCCGCAACTCCTTGCTCTCGGGAGGGTCTGCCATGACGAACAGGGAAGAGGGAAGGAACGAGGTGCCTCGTGGGCTCCGAGGACGATTCGATGTTTAATTATAAAGTACAAGACCAACGGTGAACACCGATGTCCCGGTGCGTGGCGAATGGAGTCGTCTGCGCACAGGCAACCGAGCGGGACAGTAGTGGACCACGGACCAACAGCGACGGCATTGGGGGTTCCGGCAAGAGCATATCACCAAAGAGGACGAGGTGTGTGTGATGCTGGGGTCATGTCATCAAGACCGGCGTTGGGCGTCTCCCCGAGTGTGAGCCAGAGCGACCATGATGCCCGTTTTAATGCTGCCTCTGTGCTACCATGTAGATGCGACGACAAGACCGGGTCCGGCGGTGACAAGCAAAACCACAAAAAAACAAGAACCTGCACCACCAGCAAGCCCACTAGAGCAGCAGGTCGGACGCCCGATGCTCCGACGCCACTCCCACGCAGCAAAGGGCGAGGGACGGCAGAGGAGGAGCAAACACAAACGACCCCCTGGTCGCGGCGGACAACTGAACTTGCCAGCTGCAGGCGGACTCCACTCCGCCCGCCATGTTCTTCAACGCCTACTAATACTTTGCAAGCCCCTTGATTGTTGATTGTTCAGCACGGCACGGTTTGCCTTGTGGTGCGGAGAAGGAGAGTTGGACGGTTGTGGGGTTTCGAGAGCGTAACGGCTGGGGAGCGAATGGCATCGAGGCCATGACTGTACAGGAAGGGCGAAGGGCCCGAGTCGGAGTTTGATTATTATTCACAAACGCATGGGGGAGGGGGGTCCGGGATTTGCGTCGAGGCCGGGTAAGCCGGCAACGTGATTCAACCCCCCTCGCGTCACGCCCGACTCTGATGAGCCTGTCCTGTCTTATCCGCACAACGTACTTCGTACTGTACACCAAAGCATCCGTCCAGCGCAACGTCGGCTCTTAACCTCGAATTCTCCCATGGTAGTCCGCGGTCCAGCTGCCTTTGCATGAAGCAGTCAGTGACGGCTGCTTCTTCTCTTCCTCCTCCGCACCCGGGCAACCTAAAGATGACGGCGCTTGAAACATTTCGACGCCTCATCGGTAAAATCATCGGCGCACGAACCCTTGTGCCGTTAAACAAAGCACTAGTGCCTGCTGCCTACATGTCGGTCTTTGTCGGGCCCCTAACTCCATGCGGGGCCCGAGCTCAGCCGGATCGGGGCCGGGATTGCCGAGTCGGCAGCGACGGGCGCCAGTTGCGGAGACGCGGAGTGCGGAGCTTTGGATGCCCCGCTTAAGTCCGCTTGGGTATTACTCCGTACTGTACGGAACGTACATAGTCTAATGATGAGTAAGCAAAGCAGACCGGGTAAATCCATGCGAATGCTTGTCGATAAGGGCGTATCGTGTGCAGCCTCTGAGGGACAATCTGCAGGCTCTGCCGTAGCCTTGCCTCCGAGAACCCATCACGCCGCCTCTCCACCCCCCGCGCACCACCATGGCGGTCGACGACGTCCCCTCCGTCGCCATCCCCGGCGAGCCCCTCGGCCCCGTCTCCAAGTACGCCCCCGGCCCGGGCACGCATGTCTTCGAGGGCAACGTCGTCTCGTCCCTCCTGGGTAGCGTCACCGTCGAGCAGCCGGCCAAGGCGCCCGGCCCCGCCAAGCGGCTCAACAAGCTCACGGCGCCCGAGGGCGGTGACCTGGCCACCGTGTCCGTGGCGAGGCACGGCCGCCGGCGCGAGGTGCTGCCCGACGTCAACAACGTGGTGCTGGCCCGCGTGGTGCGCCTCATGCCCAAGCAGGCCATTGTGGTGATCCAGCAGGTCGGCGATACGGTGCTGCAGACGGAGTGGCAGGGCGTCATTCGCGTGCAGGACGTCAGGGCCACGGAAAAGGACAAGGCCAGGATCCACGACTCGTTCAAGCCGGGAGACATTGTGCGGGCCCAGGTGGTAGGTTTGCTCCTTCTCCTCTCCTCATACTTGTGTGTCTTTGCGTCGCTTGGCAATGTCGGTTGCGCTGGATGATGCGAGGCAAAAGCTGACGCTGGCAAAACCTAGATTTCCCTCGGCGACCAGGCCAATTACTACCTGTCGACGGCGGCCAATGAGCTGGGCGTCATCATGGCCACGAGCGAAGCCGGCAACGACATGGTGCCGGTCAGCTGGAAGGAGTACAAAGACCCTGAGACGGGTCTAGGCGAGCCGAGAAAGGTGGCCAAGCCGAGCTGAGGAGAGGGAATTGAATCCGAGGTCGAGCAGGCCTGTTAGGCTCAAAGTGCGCGCATTTGGGCCGCTGAAAAGGAGCCTGGGGTCGACAAGAACTGCCCGGTTGCTGCTACTTCGTCAGACTGACACGAACGCCAGTACAGCGGCAGAGACGCACCGCTACCATGGAGGGAATGGCGACTCTGCGCGATGGCGGTCGTCTGTGAGAAGAGACGGCTGGTTGACTTCTTGAGGGGTTCTTGAGGGGCGCAGCGCAGTGTGTGCTGGAGATTGGCTGCCACGAGTCGCCAGCAGACAGGGGACATCTGGTTAGCACATGGTACCTTGGCGTGCAAGGTGCCGTGCATGACCCCCAATGTACTGTACTGTACTCGGTGGCGTCACGTAGATCTCCCGCGTTCCCCTGCAGATTCGGGGCAATGGATCGATGGACGATGCTCAGGGTCTCCTTGTGCCGTGTCACCTGTCATTGTGCATTCGAAGCTGTCATGCCGGTTGCACTGAGCCTGCGGCACAGACGTCGACACTGTCGAGCCGGCCAATCACATGAAAGCTGGCATGTGAACCCGCTGTTCGAAACGGAACCCCGGCGGGGGCGAGGCCCACTGGAACGCTTTTGTTTCTTCAGGGGATGCAAGGTCCCCGGGTCAGCCCTCCTTGAGGGTTCGTGCGCGATGCTTAAACCGACTGTGTTTTGACTGGTGACAAGAATAGACGGAAATTTGAATTTACATCTTCTTCTTTGTCCCCCACCTATGTATCTATTTGAGTTGTTTCGGGAAGCTTCTTGTTGCTTTGTTTAGTATTGGCGGCTGATTGATTAGCGGCATTGAATGCCCGCCCGGCCGGTGCCTCGGAGGCCTGAACGCTCTCCATTCCACGCGTCATAGTGGAGCCAATCGCCATCAGTCACAGGGCCTCTCCACTGTCGTCAAGTTGTGCAGGTACAGTACTACAGTACTGTGCATGCATGCCTACCGCACAGAACAGGACAGTGTAGCGCATTGTCTTCTCGCGCCCGCCAGGCCCTTAACTATCAGTGCTCTATTCTTGGTTGCCGCTGCCTTCTCTCACCATCTACAGCGTAAGATGGACCCTTCTTGAAGCTGCGGCGCACACGCAAAGTACCTACCATGTCTCTCCCATTGTACAGAATACCTCAGACCTTGCAACTTGTACCGTAGGTCAAGGTCATTCCGGACCAGGCCCCGCCCCAAGTGTCCACCAGTGGCGGTACCGCCGCCGAACCGCTTGCGCTCCTATCCCGGCCAGGTATCTAGGTACGTGTCGGGTACCGGACGTGAACACAAACAAGTCGGCGCATGCCATCCATCCATCCATGCCTCGACGCATGAACTGGGCACCGCCACTCTTTTTCTTGGTCACTCTCTCCCTCTCTTATTGCCTCGTTTCTCACTCTGCCTGTCTGCTGAGTCGTCTGAGGCTGATGGACAAAAACCCCCGTCTTCTCGGGCCCGACACGCGCATCCGCCAGACCAACAAGCCCGCCCTCGTCATCACCACCATCAGCCTCGCCGCCGCCGCCACGTGAAGAAAAAAAAAAGGGCCCTCCGCCCGCCGCCGCCGCATCTCCTCCGCAACCTGCAACCAAACGAGGGAAAGACAAACACGGCGCGGCCATGTCCTCGACCGCCGTCCTGACCATGGCCACGGCTCAGCTCCCCGCATCGACGACGGCGCCGAGGACCGCGACCATGACGGCGTGCTGCCCCGGCTGCGGCTACGGCCGGTCGTCGTCGGCCACCGAGTCGTCGGAGCTGCTGCTCGCCCAGTCCCGCATCCACGACCTCGAGTCCCAGGTCCGCCACCTCAACCAAAAGGCCGCCGCCGCCGCCGACCGCTGGGCCGCCTACGAGGCCGAGCTATCCAAGCTGCGCGCCCAACAGACGGCCCCGCGAGCCCCGTCGTCCCTCGCCCAACCGCAGCACCAGCTCGATCCCGCCTCGGCCGCCCCGAGCCCCACGCGCACCTCGTTCCTCCAGTCCGCCCCGGGCCGCATCTCGGCTCTCCTCTACCCGCGCAAGTCGACGCCCAACCTGCGCTCCGACACCCCGCCTCTGCCTTCCAGCGCCACCACCAACAACACCACCGAGGACCTGCTCGAGGCCTTGACACGCGAGAAGACACTGCGCCGCGAGGCAGAGGGCCGCCTCAGCGCCACCAGCAAGGAGGTCGAGGAGCTGAGTGCGAGCCTCTTTGAGCAGGCAAACGAGATGGTGGCCGACGAGCGCCGTGCCCGTGCCCGCCTCGAGCAGCGCGTCGGCGAGCTCGAGAAGCGCGACACGGATAAGCGGAGGCAGCTTGAGAGGCTCGAGGTGGCCATGCAGAGGATCGAAAAGGCTAGGAGCCTGCTGGACGACAAGTAATGCAAGCGTCACTCCTTTCTATCCGCTAGGAAATGAAAGGTCTGCACGTCAAGCACAGAGAGGGAAGCACACGCCAAGCCAGCCACCATTGGAAAGGGCGCCAGGGGCAGCTGGGGAGCAAAGACAGTCTTGAAAGCCATGAGAACGTCGCTTCCCCCGCTTCTTCCCTCTGGCCAAGGGCTGCACGCACGGGTCGACCGTCCACGATGGTCGTGTGCGCGCCTCGCGCCGATGCAACTCGGGATGGGAGACTTAATCATACGTCTTGACGTCGCTCCCGACCACCGCGAGTCGCATACAAGGCCCGTCGAGGGCAGCTACCGTGGTGTATACCGAGCCCGGCACCATGCACCAAGGAATTGGGCCATGAGTTCACGATAGACAGCTACTACCTAGCCAGCTTCACGATATCGTAAATAATACGTGGACTTTAGTGTCCTTGACACCATCAAGTTGGCCCATTCCTCTATCGTAGCCGCCTTCGATGCGTATTTCCAGAGCCTTGTCTGTCTCCCCTTTTCCACTTTGAGTGCAAGCATGACGAGGCTCGCCGCGGGTGTGCCTCCGGCCCCCCATGGTGTCGATTCCAAATTAGAATCGAAAATGAAAAGCATAAGAAGACTCGATATAACGCAGAACCTTGACGCCCCTCCTTCAACGCCCTTTTCTCCTTTTGTAGCTCCCTGCCTCAGCCTCGTCCTAGGCAGTGCCGGTAAACTCGGCGCCTCTCACGTCTGCGGCGGTCGATTAATCCTCGATGCCATTCCGCTCTTTTTCGGCTTCAGATCGGCCTGGCTTGTTGATTGACTCGTCGTTAGCCGTCGCCGGCACTTTGCGCGGCGTCGATTGGGCCCCTTCTTGGGCGGGAGAACGCTTGCGCTTCTCGGCCTGAGGCGAGCTTGGGTTGGCCCGGGGCAAGCTGGGCGACTTTTGCTCATGCTTCTTGGGCGTCGGCGAATCTTCCGAGACCTGCTTGGGCTTGGTGGTGGCCGGGGTTCCAGGCCAATGGCCCTCAGGCTCGCCGTTCCAGCGCGCAAGCATGTTGGCCACCTTGGGCCCCCAGACATCTTCGCCCTTGGTCAGGTCGTCAAAGTCGAGCGTGTTGATGCCCCCGACGGTAAAGTCGCTCTGGCGAACGCGACACAGCTCGGCCATGATGCCGGCCGACTCGAGCTTGGCCCCCAGGTCGTGGCAGAAGCTGCGCACGTAGTAGCCCGACGTCACCGTCAGCCGGATTTTGCAGGCCGGGGGGCCCTCGTCGGTCCACGGAGGGGGCGTGTCCTGGTCCGGAGACGGAGGCACGAGGTTGGACCCCTTGGTCGAGTACCCGGGCGGGGGGAGTGAGCCAAGGGCGCCCGACATCAAGGCCTGCGGGGGACTCTGTCTCCGCCTCTTTGGCACGTCGGTGATGAGCTCGTCCTGTCTCGCCTCAAACTTGCGCTTGAACGACTCATGCGCTGCCATTGCTTGGTCGTCTTCCTCCTTTTCTTCAGGAGTCAGCTGTTTGGACGTCTCCTGCAGCTTCTTAACCCGCCAGACTTGCTCGGCAAGTTTGCGCTCGGCCGCCTCGGCCTCCTCGGTGGGCCAGCGGTGGTTGTGCGTGCCGGGCTCGTACCACTCGACGAGCTCGACCTCGAGGGCGTCGACGTCCCTGGCCGCAATCTCGCGGGGGATGGCCTTTCCCTCGCGCGCGTACTCGTAGAGCGGCTTGCCGTTCATCTTGAGGGCCGAGTAGAGCGGGGGGACTTGGGTCTGCTTGCCCCTAAAGCTGGCAAGTTCCTTGAGGACCATTTCCTTGGTGATGTGGTCGTAGGGCCGCTTGTTGATGATGCGACCCACGCGGTCGTACGTGTCGGTGCTGGCGCCAAAGACGACGGTCGTCTCGTACGTCTTTGTGCAGTCGAGGAACTGGGGCAGCATCTTGGTGGCGGATCCGATGCCGACGATGAGCACACCGGTGGCCAGGGGATCTAAGGTGCCTCCGTGACCCATCTTGACCTGGTTGCTTCTTTTGACCTCTCTGCGGCGCTTGAATTGCCCCTTGGACTCCTTGAGGCGCTGCGACTTGGTGGCTTCGATCATGGGCTTGAAGAAGGTCGACGGGTTGAAGTGGTACTGGCACTCGCGGATGATCTGCGCCGAGCTCTGGCCGCAGGGTTTATTGATGGCTGCGACGAAGCAAGCAAGTCAGCAACGCTAATTCGAGCGTCGCAGCGGGAGAAGGGATCGTGCGCGCATACCAAAGACGCCATCGCGGACGACTTCGGAGGCCATCCTCAACACGCGAGCACTTGGTCGCATGCGAACTTTGCCGAGGGAGGAGGCGCCTGCCGATGCGCGAAGACGAGGACTAACGGTAGTGGGTTTGTTGTGCGCCTGTATCAACTTGAAGTGGTCCTCATGAGGGAGAAGCGGCGCAGCGCGAAAAGGAGCGGACTGCAAGTCGGAAGGATGAGGATATGTAAAAGGCTCTTTCTTGGTGGTGCAGAAAAAAACCTCCAGGGACCTCTAGCTGGGGGGGCCAGGAGTCGTTGGACTGGGGTAGTGGTTCAATAGGTACCTAGGTATAGACTGGCCAATAAGTACGGAGTACAAGAGGTGCGCCGGCGGAATGGGCTAGTATATGTACATAGGTATCTGAGTATGTACCTGTAGGGTTTACCGCATACTGTGTTTGTGCCTAGCTAGGTAGGTAGGTACCTTCGCGCCCCGGGCGGGGCTAAAAACAGGGGCTGAGTGACTGTCACACGCGCTATAACTGTTTTCCCAATCGGCAGTCTTGCAACTATGGTGCACACATAATAGCGTTGCCGGAAAAATAGTCATCAAGCGTTAACAATCATAAGCTAAGAGACTTTTAGGGGCGTATAATAGATATATAAGTAAAAGAGTTATATAGGCATATAGCTCGTTATATAAGGTAAAACAATTTTAGCTTCTTAAAGCAAAAGAAAGAGCTACCGCCACTTATAGAAGCGGGCGAGCAGCTTCCGACCACACACTCCGGGCGGGCGGTGTTGCGAGGTCCGTCGGGCAAACGTGCATGTGTGCGAAGAAGCTTGGCTACCTAAGTGTCTAGTTGCTGACTAACACTGAGTTGACTAATCAAGCTACCATTCAGTGGGCTAGTGGTTAGTCCGATAATCTACCGCCATTTCGGCAGGCAGTTTAAGGCGCAGGCGGGCAATAAAGGCACGAAATAGAGATGAAGAAAACCCGTCACAGCTAGAGATTAAACACATAATTATAGACATAGGCACGAGCTAACACTGCTATACGCACCTATCACGGGCAGTCGCCCCGGCCCCTGTTCTCAAGTCCGCCCGGGGCGCGAAGGTACAGTTGTCAAGCCGACTAAAGCCCGCATCCGAGTACAGTGAGAAAGCGGCTTACCTAAACTACCCACCCAGCGAAGGTGGACCCACGTGGAGGGTATCAGCTACCTAGGTACGTACTGTACAGTATCCGTACTCCGTATCCGTAAAACAGTACATGTCGCGCTCCACGGGCTGCTTTTTAGGTCGAGGGTCCCCAGCCTGTAATGCCCGCCCCGCCAGCCAGCTGTCTGCAAAGTATCCTCGGGTTTGGCGCCGCGACCCACGCGTACTGCACAGCAGCCGGCAAAGCAAGACCAGTCCTTTCTGGCCGCGTCGCGCCGCCAACTCAAACGCACCTACCACCGTCATCTTCACTTCCATTTTCACCACCACCCGCATACGCATTGCTCTCACTCCCTCTTGCAGCAAACTTGTCTCTCCCTCCCAGTGCTCCATTCGACAGCAGACCCTCTTCGACGCGTGCCCCCACAGCAGCCGCCACACTGATCCCCTCGGCCCATCCTCATCGTCGCTTTTCATGATCCCACGGCTCGCCGCTGTAGCCGGATCATGGTAGGGCGCAGGCGCCGTGCGTCAACGTCGAGCGTCGACAGCGTCGACGACAGCCAGATCCGATGGCGCCAGGAAGCCTCGGTCGTGCGCTCCGTGCCAAAGGACGTGCTTTCCGACGACTGGCCCATCTTTGAGCTGCGCGATGCCGTCGTCCTCCATGGCGACGGCCACACGCTCGAAAATGCCCTCCATGTAGGCATCAGGGGCCCCTACATTGTCAGAGGCCATCTCGTCATCGACGACCCGTCGCAAAAGTCTCGCTGTGAGTTCGGACCGCCTCTCCCTCACGCGCCTCTTGGTCCCTAATCCTTTCTTTCCCCGCCAGTGATCATGCGAGTCCGCAAGTCGATTCCCCTCGAAATCCGCCAATGCGTCTCATATTCCATCGGCGAGTCGCCGGATGGGAGCCCCCTCATCTGGGTCTCGGGCCGAGGCGGCTGGTACGAGATTAATCCCTCGCCCGCCTACCGCTCCATCTACCGCAAGATGTGCGAGGCCACCACGCTCTACTACAACATGGTCGACATATACAACTCGAGGCGCGCCCCCAAAAGGTCAAAGAAGCAGAAGCAGTCTAGCTTGATGGATGAGCTCGCCAGCATCTTCCTCCAATACGCTGCCCGCGTCGGTGACGGGTGCACCTTTGACGAGGTTATTGCGCGCTGCAGCGAGCACGCCGGATTCTTCATCTGCCAGTTCGCTCAGCAGGAGAGCCTCATCGATTGGATTCCCACTGCCTTCTACAGGTGGCTCACCACGGAGCACGCAGTACGTCTCAACCCTAACCAATGCCCTCAAACGAACCTGCCCGCTGACCTGAAAAAGGAGCTTGTCCAAAAAATAGAAGACTCGATGAAGAACCCTCGCAAGCTGTGTCCCATGCCCTCTGCCGAGGCCCTGAGCCCTATGCCGCGAGAAAGTGCCTCGACACCTCTCCCCAAGAGCAGTAGTGTGGAAGCGGCTATGTCCAGGCAAAGCTCACGAGTGGCCAGCTCACGCGTCCCCTCGGCTGCCGCGAACGTTGCCCCTGAGCTCAAGCCTCGCTCTGTTCCGCCACCCCCAAAGCAGTCTCCGAGGCAGACCACACAGCCGGAGAGCGCCGCGGCTGGTGACGACGAGTCGCCCTTCGACTCAGTCTTCAACGCCATGGAAATGGCCTACGATGCGCTGATTGATACAAAGAAAGGGTTGGCGACAACTTCGGTTCTCAACAAGATCTACTTCACTTACAGCTTCCCCCAATACCGAGACGGCACCGTTGGCTCCTTCAAGATTCCCGTCCAGGAAGTCTTGCACTACAACGCATCGGCGCTCCTGGAAAACCTAGAAAAATCCAAATATGAGAGCCATGAGATTTATGCTTTCCTCGAGCAGCTCTCAACCGCAGAGTTACGACTCGTGGTTTTCAAGCCCTCAGACTTTCCCGTCAAGCTTGTGCCTCGAAAGCGCATGGTCCGCCAGTCCAAAAAGGACATCCAGCCTTCTCCAGCGACTGTCGCCCCCGTCACCACCCGTGGCAGGGGGGGGCCGGATGGCGCCGGGTCAGCCGACGTGGCAGCCGCAGGACGGGGCAAGAGCCTCAAGCGTGAGGGCCGACGCACTGGCAGGAAGAGCTTCCTCCGACCGGCCGTCACGAACAAGAAACGACCGCATTCACAGCTGGAAAGCGATTCCGAGGCAGAGGCAGAGGCACCGGGACTGGGGAATTCTCACTATTTCTCGGACGGCGACGACGCCATGGAGGACGCGCCCGATGTGGAAACACCGCAGGATGGAGACACTCCGGACAGTGGCCGGCCCGCGCTACATCAAGAGACGCCCATCAAGATTGTGATACGCGCCGAGAAGATCCCCTCGACCACGCCGCAGGGGCCCGACAACACGTGGACCTGCGACCAGGAGGGCTGCGGCTATATAGTCCGCGGGGGCGACGACGAAGAGTGCCAGGCTCGGATTCGCGAACACTTCGACGATCACGAGCAGCAGCTCGAGAGGGTCAGCCTCGCCGTCACGGAGAGTCGCGGCCACCTGCCCATCAAGTACGCATACTTCCCCCCCTTTCTCATCCTCGTGCTCCTTGAATCGCATGTCCCTTTGCCCCCAACCGCTGCCCCAGCCGTTGCCACAGCCGTGAGCACGCGCGCACGCACCCGCCCTTCCCCTCCTGCCAGCAGCAACGTGGCACCATGTCCCTCTCCACTGCCGCTTCGCAGCAGAAGCAGAAGCAGCAGCTTGAGCAGGGACGTACCGCCGCCTGATCTAAGTAGATCGGCGCGAGAGGGCTTCCACGACCTCGTGCAGCAGTTTCGGCGGCGCCCACGGCCCGTCTGGGACAGAATCAATCTAACGTGCCTGCAGTCACTTGCTCGAGAAGATCAAGCGCATGGGCGAGAAGGCGTCGGAGGGCCCACAGCAGACGATGGACGGCCTCCTGGTTCCGCAGCCGATCAAACGGAAACTGATAGTGTGACCCTGGCGGGCGATTGAGTCCCCCTTTTCGCGGTCTTGGCCGTGTTGGAAAAACTGACCATCTCCCCTTGCGCTGCTAGACAGCCCTGCGCGTGCGTATGGCACCATCGCCCTCGCTCTGGAAAGAATGAACACACGGCAAGGGGCGGGAGTTGGCATGGCATGTTCACTTTGCTTTGCTTTGGCGTTGGGATCGAAGACTGCCATCGACCGGAGGGAAACGGTACGGCATGGCAGTGGGTTTTGCTTTTTATTGCTGCGCCGTTTCGTCTGGCTCTTTGATTCGCGATACTATGCGTCGGCATCCAGACGCGGACTCGGAAGTGGACACGCGCCACGGACTGAATGCCGCCGGCTTGCAGGGCACCCAATGTTCGAGGCAGCGAATGAATACTCCCGACTGACCGGGCGCCAAACTGCCGGTATTGCGGTCAGCCAGCCTTGCATTCTTCACATTCTCAATATGTCCTTGTGTGTCCTGCGACCAGGCTCGAGGTCACCGTACTCTTTCCCTTGCCCAAATCACCTCATTGATTGACGGCGGAAGCCTCGGGGGTCCGTCATCCAGCTGTGCCTTTTACTGTACATGTCCGCCCTCCACGCAGCCGTTTTCCGTCCCACACTTCAAGAACGCTGGGAAGAAGATGTAGAAGCGGCCAGACCGTAGCTCAGAGAGGGCATAGGCCGCAATGCTTATACCGCTGCCGCTCTCTAGCCCTCTACAGCCTTCACGTCCATGGGGACTTCCCTAGCCTTGGTGGCCTCGAGAACAAACGCCTCCTCAATCGCCGCCATGCGCTGAAAGACCCTGAGCCAGCGCTGGCCCCAGCGTCGAACCAGGGCTTCCTTCTCGCTCGACCCGTCACCCGTCTCCATCACCTCGTCCTTGCTGCCGCCCGCCCAGCTGACGAGGGCGTCGTTGGCGGCGCGGAAGAGTTCCCGCATGGCCAGAATCTCCTTTTCGCGGGTCTCGTCGTCGGCGTCGGCAGAGGTCAGCACCTGGCGAAGCCGACCGCTGACCTTGGCGACGGTGTTGCAAACGAGCTCGAAGATGTGCGACTGTCCGAGGGACTCGCCTCCGTTGGTGCCGTTGGCGGGCGTGCTGGCGACCAGGGTCCAGTCTACAATGGAAAAGGGGGTGAGTATCGAGTAGTTGAGCAGCTTCTCGAGGATGGACAACGCGACGCCGGGGTGCGCGTGCCAGTAGCTCATGACCGCCGCAATGATCTGGACCCGGGCGGCGGGCGATGCGGAGCCGGCATCGACGAGCTTTCCCTTGGTTCTATCAATGCAGGCTAGCACGTGGCTGAGCGACTTGGACCCGACCCAGCAGACAGCCGTCATGAAGACGTCTGTGCTGGTCACGACAGGGTCGAGTGCACGCTCGGCAGCCTGGGCCTGGATGCCGTCGATGACGGCCTGCAACTCCTCATCAGGAGCCTTTCGCCTAAGGAGCGCGCCAATCTCTTGGCCTTCTTTCGCAAAAGGAGTGTCTGTCACGTTGAGCTCCGCATTAGTGGCACCGACGCATCGTCAGGGGGATAAGAAACCCACCAGGATCGTCGAATTTATAGTCCGGCACGTCCTTTTCCTTTTCGGGGCCGACGAGAGGCTGATACGGCTCAGGTAGTGTCTTCTGGATTCTTTGCGCGAAGCTGAGTCGCACTTCCTTGTCCAGCGCACCCAGCAAGAGCCATTTGCGAGGGTGAAGATCGGGCAGCTGCGTGTCGTCGACCCATTCGGCCCACTTCCAGGTGAATCCAAAGTTGCTCAAGTGGTGCGAAAACCAGTCGAGGAAACGGTAGTTGAGCTCCAGATCCATCTGCGGGCCGTTTCGATATAGATATCTTATAGCTCTGCCGAGGCTGGGTGCAATGGCCGCAGGGGCAAGTTTGCAAGCTTCTGTGAGCACGGAGTGATAGTAGACTACCTTGCGCTCAGGCTTGGGCAGCAGGAAAAGTTGGGAGAAGACGGTGTCGATGGCGACGTCTTCTGGCTTCCACGTGGCGCGGCTATCGGGGAAGTTGCGCAGCTCGTCAAAGGGTGTTGCTCGCTTGACAAAGGTGCCGTCGGCAAAGTAGCAGTCGAGATCCATCAGGTACCGAGCCACGGCGTTTCGGTTGAAGTCGAGGATGTTGATGGTGTCGACGAGACCATCTCGGATCAGTGATGCGGCAATGTCGCTTGCTCCGGGGACAGATTCAATGTCCTGGTCGGCAAAGACGGAGAAGAAGACCTCGGGGAAGAGCGGCCTTGGCCCAGCAACGACGGTCTTGGGGACGGTGATGACGGGCAACGCGTGCTTGGGGGCGTTTGCAAGCTTATCCTGAGCCTCAATTTCCTCCAGGGGCAGCTGCCAGGGGCGGGGCAGACAGGCAAGCTCCCAGTTGTTGGCAGCCTCGGCCTGGAGCTGCTTCTGCAACAGCATGCACAGGTTACGAGAAGCAGCGGGGCTCTCTTGGGAGCCCTCGGGGTGGAAAGGGTCAACCAGGGCTTGCAGGGCGTGCGGCTCGGAGGCGATGATGTCAGTCTTGTCCATCAGGTCAGCCGCCTTTTGCTGAAACTGGCCTGGAGCCGCGGCCATTGCGTATGGGATGGTCAAGAGGATCATCTTGACTATTTCCGTACCGATCGTCTGTGATGAAGTCAGCGGGGTGTTCGTGGGCTGGGCGTTGAGCAGATGACGGACATCGTCTGAGCTTGCCGTCTGGAGGTCAGCAGCGCGGCTGAACAGCTCTTCCAGGAGGGGAAAGACGCCATCTCCCTCCAAGCACGACTGCAGGCAGGCCAAGAACTTGAGGAGAAGCTTGACCTGTCGCCAGTCGCCGAGGGCGAGGTTGTTGTCGATTGCCTGGGCGAGGCGCACGAGGACGACGTCGACAATGTCGGGCTTGAGCGTGTTCTCGACGAGGACGACGGCAGCCACAAAGGGGGTTTTCAGCGGCTGCTCGACAGCCAGCTGCAAAGCAAGGTTGACAAAGGTGTCGCGCAGCTGTTCATCCTCGTGGTTGTCGCTCAGCATACCAGCGATGGACTGCACCTCGGCACCCCACTGGCGCAGGGGAGAATCGGCGAGACTGAGGAGCTGCCGGCGTAGGCGAACGGGAACCGGGGCCGAGTCGACTCGTCTGCGCTGCTGTCGGCGATCGTAGTGGTCATCGTCGTCTGGGGGGCGGAACTAGGATAAGCTCCTGGTCGCGTTTGATGGAGGTTGGCTGGGCGCTGCGCGACCTACCTTTGTATCTTCGCTTGCGGTTGTTGTAGCCCCCATGAGGACGCTTGTCGTAGTCCGCCATGGTGGGATAGGCTCAATCGCAGGGGGGGCGAGGGTGTGCGAGATTCAGTGGGGAGACTCGAGGAACGAGGTCTAGCAAGAGCGCGATCGAGGAAGATGATGGATGCAAGGAAATGCGACTTGGCTCGCTGCGTGCATTTAACTAATTAGGTAAAGTTAAGCTTCTGGTCATCGCTTAGTCAGCAGCTGCCATGAATACCCGCGCAGGAACTTAATCCCTTGATTGCCTAAACAAGGTCTAGGGTAGGTGAAACTACAAGTACAAGCCACCTTCATGTCTTCGTCTATGTAAGGGGCTACGCCCCGATGTGTAGATCTGGCATGGCCAGACTAGTCACGTGCGAGCGCCACGGACACGACTCCTAAAGGGAGCGATGTAGACACGTCTCCCCTTTACACTCTTTGTAGCTCAATTTACATCAATTACGCCCAGCACCTGTGCTAACAGTGCTGACCCTGTAACATATTGAGCTACCAGTTAACAAAAGACAGGACAGACAGAAGGACAGACAGCAGGACAGACAGCAGGACAGACAGCAGGACAGACAGCAGGACAGACAGCAGGACAGTCAGCAGGACAGACAGCAAGACAGGCGATAGGCTAAACGACGAGACGGACGATCGATCGGACGACGAGACGGACGAACAAGATGGAGGACAATAGTAGTTATGCAGGGCACCGCGACCGGCGGCGCAACGAGCCGATGGAGGGAAGGAGCAAGAGCTCTTGCAGATCTTATCTGGGATCGCGGGAGACGAAGAACTGCGGAAGATGTTCACCGGGCTAGCCTAGCAGCGCCACCGTTGACACCCAGCCCGGGGTGCTCAGTACCCCGGCGATCTTACCCGTCGAACCGAGGCCGGAAGCAGCCCAGGAAATGGACCGTGGCAAGAAGCGCAAGCCGATGACTTGGCCGAAGTGGAACGGTCAACCCGAGTCCTTCCACTTCTACCTCGACCGTCTGGTATTTAAGTACAATACCGACGAAGAGGAGGGCCTAAACGGCAATAACAACGTCGTGTGGTACGAGATCCTGCAGACCTTGCCGGATCAGATGATGAGGAGAGTCGAGGGTTTTTGGAGGCAAGAGAGCGCGAAGGGCAACCCAGACCCCCGGAAATTCTTCTCGCACCTAGCCCAGACGTTCGGCAGCGTGCAGCAGACAGAGAGGGCGCAGGACAGGCTGCGCACCTCATTCAACGAGACAGCCAAGAGTTTGGGAAGTTCCTCCTGAATTCGAGGAAACATTGACCAAAGCGGGCGGCGCGAGCTGGGATAATGCTTCCAAGCTCGCATGGCTACGGAACTCGATCTCTCCTGCTCTCCGTGAGCAACTAGTCCCGGTTATCATGCCGAAGGACTACAACGAGTACATCCAACGTCTACACCCGATTGCTTGGGCGTTCGAGCACACCGCGAAGTTTAAGGCGTTGCAGAGGAAGCAGGGCTCCGCGGGCAACGTGACCAAGGGCAGGCATCAGGCATCGGCAACATCCAGGTCGCCGGTAACGACAACACCCCGGCACCGTCAGCAACGTTACCCGCCGAGCAGAACGCACGTGACGCACGCGACCATGACGGCGACGTAATAATGACGGTTACACGCACTCAGGGCAGGGTCAGAGAGGACGGGCGAACGGCCAGGGTCAAGTGGAACGAGCAAGACGGTTCGCTTCCAGCCTAGGTCAGGACGGAAGCAACGGGCGAGGTGGGTATCCGAGGACGAACGGAATAAACGCCGTGACGAGGGTCGTTGTCTCCGCTGCGGCGACAACACCCATTTCATTGCCGCTTGCCCCTACTCGCCAGGACAGGACCCTAGCCGGTCGAGGGATGTAAAAGTCCGCACCGCTAGGATCATGCCCTTGCTGGAAGATGATGGTAACGACTCTAGTGAGGAAGAGTCAGGACTTAGCGAGACCCCATCCCTCTCGGGAAATGCGTAGCCTCGAAACAAAGACGGGTCTCGAGGCCAAAGAACGGAGCAGTGGCAAAAGAAGAGAAGTTCTCAGGAAAAATGGAAGTTGGTCCTACAATAATTCGAAGCATTATCAATAGGACCAATCTCTTCTCCTCACTCGTAGACGAGGGATGCCAGTGCTACGCCGCGGTTGACGAAGAAGTCGTCGAAAAGTTGGAAGTTCCTATAGTGGAAATAGCACCGCGAGCTATTACAGGAGCATCAGGGGCAATGGAAGGAGCAACGATTAGGGGCCTCGTATGGCTATCAATGGAGGTCAACGGCCACATACAGACGATCTGTGCCTACGTGGTGCCCCGATTGGAATTCCCCCTAATCCTAGGAAAACCCTGGTTATGCCACACAAAGTCGTACTCAGTGCCCCACGAGAAACGACTATGGCATGAACCTACACAAGACTGGGTAGATCACCTCGGGGAAGGAGAATATTCTGCGAAAGCCAAGGAGTTCGAAGAAGCAAAGCACGTACTAGCCAGTACCTTTGTGGGTTACTTTGAAAGGATCCGCAAGCAGGAAGGAAGAGAGGCAGCTGCCACGGCGATTTTCGCTATCAGCATGAAGGATATCGAAAGGGCGTTATCACCAAAGAAACCCATGTCAGAAGCAGAGCTACGCCGAACGATACCCCAGCGGTTCCACGATTTACTGCCTCTATTTATGAAGAAGGAAGCTGATAAGCTGAATCCTCATAAGCCAGGCATAGACCACGAAATCAGAATCAAGGAGGACCCGAATGGCCAGCAGTTACCACTACCGTATGGAGCACTATACGGTATGTCACGAGAGGAACTCCTGGTTCTTAAGAAGACTCTACGAGACCTAGTGGATAAAGGATTTATCCGTGCAAGCAGTTCAGAAGCAGCAGCTCCAGTCCTGTTTGTGAGGAAACCAGGTGGCGGGCTGCGATTCTGTTGTGACTACAGAGCGTTGAACGCAATCACTAAGTCGGACCGTTACCCCTTCCTCTAATAGGGACACACTTCGCAACCTAAAAGATGCGAAGTGGTTCACTAAGGTCGACGTGGTACAAGCGTTCCATAAAGTACGGGTTGCAGAAGGAGACGAGTGGAAGACAGCGTTCCGCACCCGGTACGGTCTCTTCGAATGGATGGTTACCCCGTTCGGGCTAAGTGGCGCGCCAGCAACCTTCCAGCGGTATATTAACGGTATCCTACGAGACTACCTCGACGAGTTCGCCTCTGCTTATATGGACGATATACTTATCTATTCGAGCGGGAGCAGAGAAGACCATTTCCGGAAGGTACGGTTAGTTTTAGAACGCCTCGCCGAGCATGGACTACACCTAGACCCGGAGAAATGCGAATTTGGAGTCAAGCGGATTAAGTACCTAGGATTCATTATTCACGCAGGAATTGGCATTCAGGCAGATCCCGACAAGATACGAGCAATAGTCGAGTGGGCAGTCCCCGTTACCCAGAAGGGGTGCGCAGTTTTCTAGGATTCGTTAACTACTACCGGATATTTATACCGCAAGCCTCGGAAATAACTGCACCCTAACAGCACTAACAGGAGAGGGACTAAGTTCAAGTGGACGGACGAGCACGATATGGCGTTCCAGACACTAAAGACGCTATTTACGAACGCCCCTATTCTTACTCAATGGGATTTCGAGAGGCCAACCTTCGTAGAAGCAGACTGTAGCGGCTGGGCGCTTGGGGGCACACTTACGCAGGAAGTCGACGGACAACGCAAGCCAGTAGCGTTCCACTCGCAGAAGCTATCACCGGCTGAGCGCAACTACCCAATCCATGATAAGGAAATGCTCGCTATTATTCGTTGTCTCGAACAATGGTCAGCCGAGCTACGAAGCTGTGATAACTTCGTTATCCTTACCGACCATAAGAACCTCGAGTATTTCATGACGCGCCAACAGCTCTCGGAAAGGCAGGCACGTTGGGCTGAATATCTCTCGCGTTTTAACTTCCAGCTCCAGTACCGTCCGGGACGGAAGCAGTGGTGCCAGACGCGCTCTCGCCGCGAACAGGACCGACCAAACGAAGCGGATCACGAAGCACGAGATATGCAGCTTATTCCAGAAGCAGCCCTACGTACCTACGTCGGAGTAACGTCGACTCAAGCGGGAGAAGGCGAAGAAGAACACACGGTTTTCCACGACCCAGAGCTACAACAATTATGGCAGCAAACGGCAAACCAGGATCCAGTCTTTACAAGCGTTTATAACGCGGTACGAAACGGATCTCGGTCCTCGACCCCAAGCTTAAGCTGAAGGTACAAGTCGCCGAGTGCTTTATTGATCCTCGGGGGCACCTACGACTACGTGGCCGCTTATGGGTGCCAGGCGCACCGATCACGACAGAAGCAGCAGCCAAGGCAGCACCGCTAGAGCAGGAGTCGCTAAACGAATTACGGGGCTCCTTAATCCAGAAGGTTCATGACTCCCATGTAGTAGGCCACCCGGGACGGGAAGGGACGATAGAAGCCGTATCCAGGGACTTCTACTGGCCGCTAATGCAACAGCATATCCGACGTTTCTTGCGTAACTGCGATGTCTGCGGCCGTACGAAGATATGGCGCGAGCATAAAGGGGTCTACTTAGACCGCTACCCGTACCGGACCGCTTCTTCCGCCAGATACAGATGGACTTTATTACGGACCTCCCTTGCGAACGGTAACCGCTGCCTCTGGGTTATCAAGGACCGGCTAAGTAAGGAAGTTATACTCGAACCGATGCCAACGATGGAAGCGGAAGCATGTGCAGAGCGTTTTCTATGGTGCTTCGCCCGCTACCACTGGTGGCCCGACGCTATAACGAGCGATAGGGGCTCGAATTGGGTAGGCCGCTTTTGGAGGCACATGTGCAAGTTACTGGGGATCGACCAGCAGCTAAGCACGGCGTACCACCCCCAAACCGACGGAGGCCCTGAGAGGATGAACCAAGAAGTACAGGCATACCTCCGCGCCGTGATTAACCAGAACCAGAACGACTGGGATAAGTGGGTTCCCGCGGCTCAGATGGCGTTAAACGGTCGGGTCAATACCTCTATAGGGATGTCCCCATTCTTCGCTATACACGGCTATGAGCCGAAGTCACCAGTTCCCCTCGTTACGGAAGCATATGCGGAAGAGTATCCTCAGCATTCGCCAGAAACCAGGGCAAAGAAATTTGTTACCAAACTACAACAGATTACGGACCTCTGCCAAGCATCAATGGCGACAGCTACGCAGCAACAAGAACGCTTCGCTAACAGACGACGGAACGCGGCAGAACGCTTCGAAGTAGGCGATAAGGTTTGGCTTGACTTACGGAACTACGCGTCAGAGCGACCTAAGAAGAAGTTCGACTGGCTGCACGCTAAGTATACGATAAGCAAGGTACTCGACCCGTACACGGTTGAACTAGCAGACCTCCCGAGGGGCTGCTATAATAGGTTCCACGTCGACCAACTCCGGAGAGCGGGGACGGACCCAATGCCTGGTCAGCAACGCACAGACGCTCAACCCCATCTATCCAAGTAGACGGGAGGCTCACCAAGTAGTAGAGGAAATACTATGCGCTAGGTGGAAGAGAACCGGCCGCGGCCGTAGGCGGAAGTCCTTGTACGCTGGCAAGGTTGGCAAGACCCGACCTGGACCTCTTTAGACAATATGCAACAGACAGCGGCCTTGGATAAGTACGAACAGAGATACGGCCCGGCTCTCGAAAACGATGGACCATACCAGCACCGACGAGTGGCAACGGAAGCACAGCCGGCCCAAATCCAGGGGCAAGTCGAAGGAATACAACCACAGCTGCAGATACAGGGCAAGAGAATACGCGGACCACTACGGGCTAGGACTAATGGCGACGCCCCGTCGATAGTAACGGCACCAGACCCTATAGACGACGGCCCTACGATCGTTGTAGAGGGGACCAGGAACAGGAAAAAGGGCACCAGCGCCAGAGAGGAGTAGGGGGCTAATGTAAGGGGCTACGCCCCGATGTGTAGATCTGGCATGGCCAGACTAGTCACGTGCGAGCGCCACGGACACGACTCCTAAAGGGAGCGATGTAGACACGTCTCCCCTTTACACTCTTTGTAGCTCAATTTACATCAATTACGCCCAGCACCTGTGCTAACAGTGCTGACCCCGTAACAGTCTAACCCGAATCTTGGCACTCACTGGAGGCATAATCATGTTCAACAGGGCTTTCTTCTCCTGCGTCTTCCCCACGCACTCCACCTCATAGTTCTGCACGATGTACGCAAGCGCCTGTTTCATCAGCTGCGAGGCAAACCACCTCCCCGGACACGCGTGTTTGCCGAAGCCGTACGTGAGAAACGACGAGCTCACGTCGACACTCCGCTTCTGCCCGGCAGCCTGGCGACCCGCGCCGTCTGGACTCTCAAAGTCTCGTGAGAAGCGGAAGGCATCATAGCGCAGCGGGTCGTCGTAGTAGCTGGCATCGCGATGGATGGCCTGCGACGGAATTCCCAGCCGCACGCCGGGCGGGATCTTGATGTCGCTGCCGAGATCGAGCGCTTGGCCTGGACCGACGATGCGCGGCAGTGAGATGATGCCGAAGCAGGATATGCGCATCGACTCCCTCACGGCAGAGTCGACCCGGAACAGCTTGTCGATGGCTTTGCCCGTCACCAAGCCGTCCAGCTCCGCGGCCACGCCGTCGCACTCTCTCCGGAGACCAGCCACAAAGTCGTCCCTGGATTCGCTGCCATGGAGGTCGAGCACGCAGTTTGTGAATGCATAACTGGTCGTGTAGATGGACACCAGGTTCAGGATCAGAAGCCGCTGCGCTATGCCCGCCGGCTCCATCTGGCCGGGCCCGACCTTGGCACACCTCTCCACCATCCATTGAAGGGCGTCATCCTACAGGTGTCAGGGTCAGAAACACGAGGGAACGAGAGTCCAGCATCACTCACCGGCATCTTCTCGCCCGCCTTGCCGCCGTCCCACCTCCTGAGCCTCTCTTCAACCAGGGGCACGAGCACCCTCTTGCAGCCGGCGAGATATCTCTTGGCAGGCAGCGCTATCAACGGTCCCAACGCCGGTCTCGTGCACTTGGGCATGGCTGTTATCAAGGCTGACCCCATGTAGACGGCATTCGCATACAGCCGTGACTGTTCCAGCAGCGTCTCGTTTCGACACAGCGGCAGGCCCACGTAGGCGCGGTTGACTGCTCGCGCAACGGCTCTGCTCAACGTGTCCCAGGCGCCAACCGTCGTCCAGTTCTGCGAGTCGGCTCCCCAGCAGTCTCGAAACGCCGCATCAAGCTCCTCCGCCGTGCCAGCCGCGAAGAAGCCGACATCCTTGGTCATGTGCTTTCTGACAATGTCGAAGTGGATGCTGTTCTCGTACAGCTCCCTATCTCCAATCATGTACTTGGGCTGTATGGACTCGCTCTGCGCCTCCGCGGCAATGACGTGCTTCTCCGACTTGTTGAGCACGTGCAACTGGGATGGCGGCAGTGCGACGATGGCGCCGACTCCTGTGCTTGGCAGGGCAAAGGGTATGTCTCGCTTCTTGCAGAATTTGTTGTAGCCCTCGGTTGCCATGTCTGCAGAGGCCGTGATGGAGCGAAAGGCAGCAAGCGACCATGGAAAAAAGACTCCGGACGAGACGCCGGCGGTTGGAAACGACGCCCAGAACTCGGCTTGCTTGCTCGGCTTGGAGAGACGGAGGGTTGCGAGAGCCCAAAGGCCGACGACGAACAAGAGCAACTCTACGGCCATTGCTTCGGCCATGGTGTCGAGGCACTTGACGAGAAGGCAAGACATGAAGACAGCTCGAGTCGTGAATTTGGCTCTTGAGTATCATTATCTCGCATGCCTGTCTATACGACTTGGACTTTTCCTACTCGGCTTTATACACCGTCGATGGCAACGCCGTTTCATGACGCCGAAACCCCAGACACGACTTACACGAAAGGAACCTGCTCCTCCGCCGGGCGGCGCCAGGCTCGGAGTAAGCTGACGGGGATGACCCCCCAGGGGTGTGTGTAAAAGGCCAAGGCGGTATCGGGCCGCATCCTTAAGGATTGCAGGAGAATCAGGGCTGCCACCTGCAAGGGTTCTTGATCGGGAAACCTCTCACAAGAATGCCGGCGGGGGCGAGAAGGCAACGTCAAGGTAAAGAGTGGCTGCCCGCCCGGCAGACTGAAGGCAGGGTCAAGTCAGATTCCTCGGCATTTGGGCCTCCACCACTCGATCCTTTCCTCCGCACGTCTTGTCTCTGTGACTGTCGTCCACTGTCCCTCTCGTCGCCCCTTTCCAGAGCAGCAGCCTCGCCATGTCCAGCCCTGGCGGTCCAGCGGCCGGCGGCCCTCCGGCGTTCCCTCCTCCGGAACACCCAGAGGATCCGGGTCGCGGGCCCATGATATTGGGCACCACCTGGACGCTGACGTTTCTGTGCATCGTCTTCATCTCTGCCCGGCTCTTGGTCCGTGTAAAGGTGATTCGCGCTGTGAGCGCCGATGACTGGTTCATGCTCGCTGCCGGGGTATGTAGGCGATGTTGTCCACGGCCTGCTTGATGGCGATTTGCCGGGCAGATGCAGAGGTGAAGAGACAAATGCAGGCAAAGGCGGCTGACGGCCGAGGACTAGATGCTCCAAGTCACCTTCCAAGCATGCGTCACCCGAGCATACCTCTGGGGCTTCGGAAAGCACGACAAGGACCTGACGTTTGATCCGCAGATCATCAACATCCTCAAGTGGGTTTGGATCTCGACGACGCCCGCCATCCTCGTCTCCATCCTGGCGAGAATATCGGCCGCCATTCTTCTCATACGCATCTTTGGGAACAAGAAGTGGCTCAAGTGGTTCCTCGTCGTCTTCACCACTCTGCAGAGCATCGTGGCCGGCCTGGTCATCATCTTTGTATGGGCTCAAGTCTCGCCCGTCGAAGGGCTTTGGAATCCTCTTCTGCCGGCTCGGCGGTGGAATCCCAGCATCCAACAAAACACGGCCTATCTTGGACAATGTGAGTCTGGTTGCTTGCGCCTTGCGTCTCGGTGGCTGACGACGGCAACGGTTGCCCATCAGCCCTGTTTACCTTTTCCGACCTGACGTACGTCCTGTTCCCCATCATGATCATCTTCAAGCTCAACATGCCCCTGCGCCGCAAGCTGGGCCTCGCCGGGCTGATGGCAGCGTCTCTGTTCACAATGGTGGCCTCCATCATGAAGACGGTCACGTCGCAGGCGTCGAGCGCCAGCGAGGGCGACTTGCAGTACCGCGGCACCATGGCCATCTTCTGGTCGGCCTTTGAGCAGTCCTTTGTCATTATCATGACCTGCATCCCGCCGCTACGCTCCGCAAAGCAGCTGTTCAAGCGCCGTGACGGGGCCGCAGGCAGCAGCGCAATGGGCCTTGCGCGGCTTGGCAGGAGCTATCGCTCGTCGAAACTGGACTCGGATCGGTCGCGGAAGCCAAGCTTTCTCGACGAGGGGGAGCAGGCGCTCAGAGACACCAGCGTGCCGTATGGCAGGGCGGGAAGCAGGGGTCCAAGCAGCCAGAGCCTTGAGACGGGGAACATTCGCCGCACCGATCAGTACGCCGTCGCGTATAGTGGCAAGGCAGAGCCGCGGGAAGACGTATAGCTCTCGGTTCGGGACTTTTGGTGACGGGGGGGGGCGAGCTCGTGGCGAGTGCGCAAGGGGTGCTCAAGGCTGGGACGCGATGGATATTCAGGGGATCACGGCGGAGAGCAATGAAGCAGAAGCGTATGGATTAATGGAAGTTGAATAAAGCAGACAGAGTTCCTTGGCCATGCGTCTCGAGACTCCAGGGGCTTGTCCAAGCTTCAACCGATGCCAACACACATCCCCTGGCGAGTCTATTTCGAGAGCCCACATCAAGGCAGACGCACGTCCATGACGGTCTCATAGCCCAGCGGATTGTACGTATACGTCTTGACCAGCGTCAGGCCCACGTCTTCCAAGAGACTGCGCCACTGCGCTTCGGTGCGCTCCATGGAGGCAAAGGCCGAGAGCATGGTCAGATCCATGGCGGCAGCGTACGCATCGACGCCGACCTCGGGCAGCACCATCTCGTCGAGGAGCATGATGGAGTCCGACGCCATGGCCGACTTTGTGTTTTGGAGCAAGCGGCGGACCTTGTGGTCTGGGTGGTTGTGCAGCACGCCGCGGGAGAAGTAGAACTTGGCGCCTGGTGTTTCAAGACACGGCGTGTTAGCAGAAGAGACGGACCAAGGGCAAGGGGGAGAGGACCTTTGACGGGCTGCGGCTCGAAGAAATCATGCACCGTGTTCTCCACGCCCGGCGTCGGCAGCGCCTTTGCGATGGAGTGCGCCAGGTCCTGCAGAACCACGCGGCCCGGCAGGTCGGGATACCGGCCCCTGAACTCGGCGCACTGGTGTCCGATGCCGCCGCCAATGTTGACATAGACGGGCCGCTGCGGATCCCAGTCCCGGGCCTCCTGGCCGACGGGATAGACGCTCAGCCAGGACAAGTCGGGCCCGCGCCGCAGGGCCATGTAGTCGTTGAAGTATCGCAGGTTATCCGGGTGGTCCTCGAACCAGGCAAAGCCGTGCCGGGTCGTGTTCCACGCGTCCTGGAACACGGTGTGCATCTCGTCGTCGGGGTTCCGGTACGATGTCTTGTGGAGGAACGAGGGCAGGGCTTGGTACTGAGGCCCGATGGTCTCGAAGCTGAGTCGACATGAGTAGATGCTGGAATAGCGCGATGCCGCATGAGTATACGCCTCGAAGCGTGGCCTACCTACCAATGCGAGACGCCTGCCTCTGCCGCCCTGTCCGCGAGGTTCTTGGTGACGTTGTTGGCCTGATACTCGGCCTTGGCCGTCTCCCGGACCGCCCCGATGGACGCGAGATATCTCAGGTATCGACCTGTCGAGCCGTCAGCGATGGTCCGGGAATCCGCTTTCCGCTTCAAGATGTACTCATGAGCAGCGTCTCCGCGCCGGTTCTCGCTGCAACCTGCTCCACCGTCAAGGGCCCGTCGGCGGCGGCGAGGTATTTGAAGATGCCCAGGTCGAAACCAATCTTGGCAGCGGCGGTTTGGAGAAGCTGCAACGGGTCAGCCGTTGCCCGAAACCAAGGTCCGTGGCATGATGGGCCGAGGGCATGGGTCTCTCTCACGAGGTAGCCGTATCTGTGAACCGTGTCGTTGACGTCTTCCAGCGAGTAAGCCAGCTCGTGCACCGAGACCATGAGCTGCCGACGGGTGCCCGCATCAGCCATCGAGGCAAAGTGCTTGATTTGAGCGAGAGCCGACTCCATCTTTACGAGGTTTGCAACGGACTACGGTGTTCAGACCGATCAAGGTTGGTGTATATGAAGAAGCCGAGGAGGGCATTCATCTCAAGTTCTCAACCACGGAGCCCGGGGATTATATAGATATTCACCGAGGCGCGATCCGTCGTCGACGTGGCACTGTCCAATCAGAGCTCCAGCTACGATGCCAGTCCGTTGTGCCGTGTTTCGAGGCTGGCAGCTCGCAGTTGGAATTTGGGTTGCCGACTGTGTAAAGCGAAGCAGCCTCGGGATGGCAAAGGCTGTGTTTTTCAACTCGCACTCTTGCCAAGCTCAAACAACCGGGATAGGATCAAGTTGCCAATCGCAATACATCAGCCAAATCAGAAGCTCGGTCCCTTCTCCAGACGCTGCATATACAGAGTTACAGACGAGCCTCCTGAACACCAAGCTTCGTGGTTCCAACCGAGCACTCGACTCCTCGAGCAGGATACCTCCATCCAAGTCGTTTGAAAAAGCCGTGGCAGCCGAGAGGCATCCGTCGAGTGTCCTCTACTGGGCGGGACGCTTCGCCGCGGCATCCTCTCCCAAGCGGAACACATATTCAGGATTCCAGATGGCCCAGCCCAGGTGGTTGCACTGGTTGGACACAGGGTACATGTCTCGGGAGCACGCTGGGGTGAATCTAGTAGGCGTCTAGGCGAAGCATGCGAGGCGGAATCTCGCGGAGCATTACATATATGCAGCTGGGCGAGGCGCTCTTGGGGTCCAGAGACAAGGCGTAGATGGCGTGGCCCCGTGAAGTGAATTTATGCAGGCCCCCGAGGTGGCGTTCCATGTCGCGTCTGCTAAGGCAACAGCAACATGACACTGGACAGGAGTCACAGGACCAACAGGCCCCCAGGCAGCCCAACGAGGTCCAACAAGGCCCTCGGGAAACACAGCAGCAGTTGCATATGTGATATATGCAGCTCGACCCCGCAAGCTCGTCCAATGGCATCGTCTCCGACTCTACGCAACCAGTGCCAACCACCATGGCAGTCATGGCACCAAGTCACCAACCACCGACCGACTCGGCGGTCCCGTCAGCAGCCCTCCCGTGTCAGACGTTTTGTCCCCCAACGACGCCATCTCGCCGACCGGGGACCTTGTATGTATGTTGCGCTGCGTTGTACGGATATTACACGATCCGTCGTTACGACCAATCGATTGGGGGCCAAAGGATGCTGTTGGCTCTGCTGCCTGCCCCCTTTCATATTACGACCTCTTTGGCAGACCAAGCTTTCCCGTGACACGGCTCACAGACGAGACGGAGCTTTCTCGGCAGAGTCCTTGGGTGGAAAGGTTGGTGAAACAGAGAGGAGGGGGGGGAGGCTTCGGGCCCGTGAATATAGCCTCGCCCTCGTCGTCGTCTTGTTCAGCCTCACCCACGAGCAACAGCACCAGACATCATGGAGGTGCTCAGCCAGCTGTCCTGGCAGCACGTCGCTGGCACCATCGTCGTGTACCTTGCAAGCCTCGCCTTCTACCGCCTGTTTCTGCATCCGCTCGCCAAGTTCCCCGGCCCGCGGCTCGCCGCTGTCTCGCGCTGGTACGAGGCCTACTATGACGTTGTTTGCAATGGCAAGTACACGTTTAAGATAGAGGAAATGCACAAGAAATACGGTCAGTTGTCTGCGTCTTTCCTTGTCTCGGCTGGCCATGTCAATATTGCCTCATCTCATCCAGTAACTGATGTGAATCGCCCGACAAGGCCCCATCATCCGCATCAGCCCCTTCGAGCTCCATGTCAGCGCCCCTGCCTTCTTCGAGAAGCTCTACAACCACGACGGCCCATGGAACAAGTACGCCTGGGCCTACGACGCCTTCTCCGCCAAGCCGTCGACAATCTGCACCATCGAGCACGACGTCCACAGGCAGCGTCGCGCCCCGCTCAGCGCCTTCTTCTCAAAGGCCAACGTCGCCGCCAAGCAGGAAATCATCCGCCGGCGGACGGCCCAGCTCTGCGGCCGCATCGCCGAGTTTGCCGGCGACAGGACCGCCGCCGTCAACCTCGGCACTGCCATGAGCGCCTTTGCCCGCGACGTGGCCATCGAGTTCATCCTCGGCAAGCGCTACAACAACCTGGAGAGCAAGGACTTTAGCGCTGCCTTTACAAACGTCCTCCAGGGCGCCGGCGCCGTCTGGCGAATCACCAAGCATGTCCGCTGGTTCGGTCCCTTTATGAAGTCTCTGCCTCCTTCGCTGGTTGCCAAGCTGGGAGACGAGGGTCCAAAGGGCTTCTTTGCCTTTCTCAAGGTGAGCCCTTCTCCACCACTCGCCGTCCAACTGTCCTCTGACTCGGCTCAACAGGACACCATGACGCTGACCAGAGACACCATCTCGTCCTCGACGAGGTCTGCCGTCTCGGCGTCGGAAAAACTGGCTGCCCCTGCTCCGGCAAACCCTCCTCCTCCCGACGGCGCGGCTCCCCACACCGTCATCCACGAGATACTCAATTCCAGCCTGCCGGCAGAGGAAAAGTCTGGAGCCCGCATCAACGACGAGGTCGGCACCGTCAGCGGAGCCGCGTTCGAGACGACGGCCCAGTCCCTGCGCCTGATCGTCTACTACGTATACAGCGACCCCGACATCCTCAGCCGGCTGCGGGCTGAGCTCCGCTCCGCCACCGACGACGGCGCCGGAAGCCTGAGCCTGGCTGCCCTCGAGAAGCTGCCCTATCTCACCGCCGTCTTGATGGAGGGCCTGCGCCTGAGCCCGGGGCTTGCCACGCGCACGGCGCGCGTCGCCCCGAACCGGGAACTGGTGTACGGCCAGTGGCGCATCCCCGCGGGCACGCCCGTCGGCATGACCACCATGTTGATGCACAGGGACGAGCAGCTGTATCCCGAACCCAAGCGGTTCAGTCCTGACCGCTGGGTGGATATGGAAGTGCGCAGAAAGGCACACAAGACGTACGCTCCCTTCGCCAGGGGCACGCGCATCTGCCTCGGCATGCAGTAAGTCGAGCCTTTGACCCGCCTCCCAACCCGTCTCGACTGACAAGGTCTTGCTACCTCCTAGTCTTGCGTGGGCCGAGCTGTACATGGTCGTTGCTTCGCTCGTGCAACGTTTCGACTTCGAGTTTGACGGCGCAGGCCCCAAGGACGTTGAGCCTGTGAGTGATCAGTTTACCATTGGGACCGAGGACCAGTCCGGCATCAAGGCCTTTGTTACGCTGTATAACGGTTGATAGACTTGGTCCTTGTCCACAATAGCATAGTCTGTTGCAGGATGCTGCCTACATGTAGATGCGTGAATAACTACTGAGCTCTCACTCCTTCTGAGACTATAAGTTACATGTTCATCGTCACTCCGTGCCGTCCCAGCAGACATCAATGATTCCCAAAGCCGAGCCTGGTGGTTCCGCCACGTGCCTCAGCCTGAACCTCGGATCTGCCTGGGTAAGCAAAGCGGTCCACTCGCCCACGCTTCTCTCTCGCGAGTTGAAGAGAGCGCCCATACTCAAGTCCACCGCTCTGCGTTGACGAGCGTCACCGGTCAGCCCAACATGACGAGAGAGACGGGCCTCGAGATAGACGCACCTCAAGTTCCTTTCCTTCCACACTGCAACCGCTCCTGGCTCCGGCATCAGCGTCTCATGGATGACGATGCGCGCGCCCAGCCTCAGCGCGGGAATCTGCGCCCTGAGCAGACGAATGCAGTACTCGTCGGCCCAGTTATGCAGGACCAGCCGGAAGAGATACACATCAGCCTCGACGCCCTGCGGCTCGAAGAAGTCGTGGGCGACGAAACGGACGCGGCCCTTGAGCTCCTCGGGCACCCTAGCATCGGCGCCTGCCACAACCTTACCCAGGTCCTGGACGACGACGTCGAGGCTCCTGAAGCGGCGTGCCAGCTCGAGGGCGACGTGGCCTTGCGATCCGCCAATGTCGACGACCGTGGCTGGGCCCAGCGAGGCCCAGTCGTAGTTGTCGATGATGTAGTCTATTTCGTATCCTGGGCTGTCTGCTATGGCCTTCATGGCGCTGGCAAAGCGAGCGCCGCGGGCCGGATCTGCGTCGATGACGCTGTAGATGGAGTCGGTTGTGTTGTTCGCCAGAGCGAAGCCCTGGGTGTCATTCCCGACAAGGGGCCTCGGTTAGCTCCGCAACGGCAGCATCGTCGAGCTCCCCCTTACCGTTTGGTTTGGCTCGCCGGAGCCCGGCCATCGCTGCAGGGCATCCACCATCTAGAGAGTCTTGTCATGCGCCGCCGGCCTTGATGGTTGGCGACGGGGACACTTGGTCAGGGGGCTTACCTTGACCGAGGCCGGCCATATCTCGTCGCTCCCACAGCCGATCCAGTCATTGAAGTGCGGCATCATCAGCAGCCTGGACGAGCTCGTGTGAGCCACGACGTCGGGCTCCGGCTCCCGAAAGACGCGCATCGTCATTGCGTGGCGGAGGAGGCGGCGGAGCGTCCGCACGTCCAGCCCCGTCTCGTCGGCGATGTGGTCAAACGAGGCGCGACCCCGTGCCGGGACCATGGCGGCAATGCCGAGGCGGCTGATGGCCTGGAAGCTCACCATGTTGTTGTGCTGGTCCCGTCAGCCTCGTGCCGCCGGCCCGAGTCGAGCATCTGCGGGATGTGTCTACCGCGGCGTGCTTGAAGAGCAGCGCCCAGGGCTCGAGGAGCAGGTCGTGCAGCTCGGCCGTGGCATCGAGCACCGCGTCCTGCACGTCGTGTGCCTCGTTGGGGAGCCTGTTGTTTGTGGCTTCTTCGTCGAACGAGGGCGACGCAAGGCCCCGGTCCGAGAGCATCTGCTGGAGCTTGGCAACGGAAGTGCTGATGGTGGCGGCGAGCTCGACGATGCGCGAGGCGGTGCCATTGGAAGAAGCCATGCTGCTCAGGGCTGCTCAGGGGTTGTGAGCCGTTAGGTCCTGGTGGTGATCAGATGGGTGTGCTCGGCTGGGCTCGGACAGTGTAGAGGATGGGCGACAGCACATGGATGTACAACCAGCATCTCTCTGCCTTTATCTTGCGCTGAAGGGGCCTTGTCCGGCTCCTGCGCTCACCCGGTACAGCCCGAGGGCGTTGTCCGGACTTGAGGGAGCTTACGACTTGCTGTAATACCCCAGTCTGCCTCCCTCATCCACGCCTTGATATTATCATATTACGCGCACTCCCAGCATGGCCCGTATAGCCCCGTGGCCCGCATAGCCCCGTGGCCCGCATAACCCCGTGGCCCGTAATCCCGTATATCCTCAACACGGCCGCCATGGCCGTTACAGCCTCGCCTCGACGTGCACGCCCAGCAGCGCCGTCGACGATCCTGGGCCCTTTGTCCGCGCAGTCCCACCTTTCGCAGCTCGTGCAGCTGAACCCGGTCTGAGATATCTCGGCGCCCCCAATTATACGAAGCATGTACAGTACAGCAAATCTGGCCACGGCCGGACGTGACACGGCAGCAATCTATCGCCCCCAGCCCAAGGCGCGACCCCTTATTCGCGGCACGGAAACGGCCCTCTCGGCCTATGATGTCGGAGAGATGCCGCGGTTCGAATAAGGCGCGTGCGAACATGCACCAACCCCGTGGCCCCGTGTCTCAGACATCGTCGAGCACTTACATGTTGATGCCGTTGGTCAGCATGTGGCACAAAGCCGACACTCGGCATCCTCGACCTGGAGATGACGCCCAACAGGAATAGAATAGTCTGTTGCAAGATGTGTGCCCTCGTCCTCCCCATTGTACATGTGCTACCCATCTCGACATCGTCTTCATTGCACTTGCTCTCTGAAGCATCGCCCCTTTGGCTCTGTTCCTATACTGACACTGAAATGGGCTATACTGACACTGAAATGGGCTATACTGACACTGAAATGGGCCCATCGTCAGTTGTCGCTGGTTCAAGAAACACACCGGCGGACTTGCCCGTGAGAGAGTCGACCCCCTCGTCGTCTCCGTCCACCAAGCCACTTGAAGCCGTCTCACCCAGCCTGGAAGCTGGGAAGAGTCTCCAGGATGTTCTTCGAGACGTGGCGGCCTCGAGGCCACGGCGAGGCATGATTCTCTACCCCCCGGGGAACACTTCAGCTCCCATCGAGGTCGAGTACAGCACCCTGCTCACACAGGCAACGAGGAATAGCCATATTGTCCGCTCCATCAAAGGTTTCAGGGCGGGCAAGCCGGTGCTGCTCCGTCTAGATGACCACTGGGACACAATCCTCTGGTTCTGGGCCATTCTGCTCGCCAGCGGCCTCCCGGTGCCGTCACCCCCTTTCAGCAATGTTGTCGGGCAACGCCGGAGACATATCGAGAGTCTGGCCACGCTCCTGGAGTCACCGATACGCATCACCCGAGCCAAGTCTCTGGCCCTTTTTGATATACCCCATGGCATGCAACTCTACTCCATCGAGTCGCTGCTCCAGCATGCCCGTCCACCGCCTGCAGATTCAACCGCGTTGCGTGACAGCGGCAGCAACAATGTGAACAACGGCCCGGCCATGTTGATGCTGACGTCCGGGAGCACTGGCAACGCAAAGGCCGTGAAGTTGAGCCACAGACAGATACTCGCAGCCTCCGCGGCCAAGGCCTCTGTGCGCCGACTTCCCCCGGACCGGCCCTTTCTGAACTGGATCGGACTTGACCATGTGGCGAGCCTGGTGGAAATCCACATACAGGCCTTATACCTTGGCCTTGACCAGGTTCATGTTCACGCCGCCGACATGACGCCGTCGCCGACGGTGTTTCTCGACCTTGTAAGCCGCCATCGAGTTTCGCGCTCCTTCGCGCCCAACTTCTTCCTGGCCAAGCTCGTCTCTGCTACACAAGAGGAAACGACGCCGCCAACGAGTCCGAGGTGGGACTTGCGAGACCTGGTCATTCTAGCCTCCGGGGGAGAAGCAAACGACACTCTGGTGTGCCGGGCAGCAGCCTCCTTGCTCGCACGGCACGGTGCTCCTCCCAACGTCATCACACCGGGGTTCGGGATGACAGAGACGTGTGCCGGGGCGATATTCAACCTCGACTGTCCCGTATATGACGTCGAGCACAAACATGCATTCACGTCGGTGGGGGAGTGCATCAAGGGCGTCGAGATGCGCGTCACCATCCCGGCTCGGAACGGCGAGGTGGTGCTGGCTTCGTGCGGCCAGCCCGGTGACCTCCAAGTCCGCGGCCCGGTCGTCTTCGACGGCTACTATCGCAACGAGGAAGCCACCGCCGAGGCATTCACGTCGGACGCCTGGTTCCGGACCGGCGACCGGGCCATGGTTGACTCCCAGGGCAATCTCACCATGATGAGCAGGGCCAAGGACGTCGTCAATATCAACGGCGTCAAGGTAAACTCGGCCGACATCCAGGTATGTCTCGACCAGAGCGTGGGCCGGCGGGTCAAGTACGTCGTCGGCTTCCCATCCCGGGCGGCACATGCGCACACGGAGCAGGTCACGGTTGCCTACGTGCCGAACGAGTCGCCGCTGCCGGCCCAGGTTGCTGTAGATGTCACCGGCAGCATCGTCGAGGCCTGTCTCCTCTGTACCGGCTCGAGGCCTGTAGTCTTCTCTCTCGACGACGAGTCACTGCTCCCGAGGACGACCCTCGGGAAGTTGTCGAGAGCCAAGATGCGGGCGCTGTTCGAAGACGGTCTCTTCTCGCAAAGCGTCGACAGCCATAGTCTCCTCATACAGAACTTTAGACTGCAGCACTTGAGCCATCCCAGCAGCGAAGCAGAGGCCAGCCTCGTGGCCGATTTCGCCAGCACGCTGAATCTCCCGCCGGACGTCATCGGGGTGGACACGCCCGTCTTCGACATAGGCCTCACCTCGATGGACCTGATGCGGCTCAAGCACCGCATCGACTGTCGTCTGCGCATGAGCGTCCCCGTCGTCGTGCTCATGAAGAACCCTACGGCACGGTCCCTGGCTCGTGCTCTCGACGGCCTGTGCCTCGAGCCCGCCGTTGCGTATGACCCGCTTGTCCCTCTGCGAAGCAGCGGCAGCAAGACACCGCTGTGGCTTATCCATCCCGGCGTGGGCGAGGTGCTTGTCTTTGTCGGGCTCGCGCAACAGCTTGCCGACGACGACCGCCCAGTCTATGCGCTGCGAGCGCGCGGTTTCGAGCCGGGCCAGCCTCGTTTCGGCTCCATTGCCGAAGCCGTCGAGGTATACCGGGCCACGATCCGACGGCGGCAGCCCAAGGGTCCTTACGCCATTGCCGGCTACAGCTACGGCTCGATACTGGCCTTCGAGGTGGCCAAGCGGCTGGAGGGCGAAGACGGAGCGCCGGTCCCCTTCCTGGGAAGCTTCAACCTGCCTCCGCACATCAAGCCTCGCATGCGCCAGCTGAACTGGAACCTGTGCCTGCTTCACCTGGCGCATTTCCTAGGCCTCGTGACGGAGGAGCGCGCCGACAGCCTCGAGGACCGATTCGGCCGTCGTCTCCGCGCCGACGCAATAGCACAGCTGCTGAGCATGGCACACAAGCAACGCATGACGGAGCTCGGGCTCAACGAGGCCAACTTGGTGAGCTGGGCTGACCTGGCATTTGGGCTGCAGAGCATGGCCGTCGACTACGAGCCGCACGGCGAGGTTGGCGCAATGGACGTGTTCCACGCTGCGCCGCTCAGGGCAGCCGCCAAGTCCCGGGAAGACTGGATGGAGAATCACCTGAGGAAATGGGCCGACTTTTGCAGAGCCGAGCCCAGGTTCCACGAGGTCCAGGGCGCGCACTACACCATGATTGGGCCTGATCACGTAGCCAGTTTTTCAAAGGCACTCAAGGCTGCCTTGAGTTCCAGGGGGGTGTAGCTTGTGTCCAACTCCAAGCAAAGGTGAGGTCCCGGTCAACACGTACATAATAGTCTAGTGTCTTCTATGGTGACGGTGTCGTTCAGCTAGAGTATCGGCCATGCGAAGCATCTGTTAAGTGACTGATTCATGGTGTAAGGAAGGGTACCTGAATTCGCCTTGGTCAAGGGCCCCGATACATTCAGACATGGCCGACGTAGAGGCAGCAAACGCGACAATGGACAAGATAAGTCTAGAGCTCCCTTGTTCGGAGCGCAAATCATCATCAAATGTAAGGTTACCTGGGACTAGGCTGTGTCACCCTAAGAATACCGTGAGTAGGGTTGGGGTTTTGCAAGTCTCACCGGGCTGCTTGGCTTCCATCTTGCTTGAATATACAGCATTGCAGGGACTTTACACGGAGCGCAGCGAGGAACCCGAACAAATCACCGACGAAAGCGACGAGACGGCTGCACTTTCGTTCGCCTTGACCGTTTTCGACCTCTAAATCGGAAGAAGACGGTGAATTTAAGAACTCTGCCCTTCCCTTCACCCGCCTCCAGGACCAGGCGCGGACCGTCGTACCCAAGACATATGCTGCCAGACAGACGTAGAGCATCTCTTGTATCCGGGACGTGCAACCGCACAGACCAGGCGGCGCCGGAGGCTTTCCCAGCAGTGGCGCTTTCCATCTTCCTCCTCCCCGGACATGTCCATCGACGAGCCCCCGCCTGGGTACTGATATTGCGAGGCGTGATGCGTCGAGACTCAGGAGCCATTCGCAAGTCAGCGACGCACCTCGAGGAGAGCTAAGCGCGGTAGATTATGTGCTGAGTAAGAGGAGCCCTATTCTATGACGTTTCTAATATCTAACAGTTGTCCTTGAATTTTGAAGTCGAACCATGCGTGGTTCAACTTATATCCAGTCCAGCGGACAGTATAGGAAACATCTTCCCAACTATGCAATAGTCATCTATCGTACCCCTTTGTCTCCATCATGGCCAAGTTGAAGGCATCGCCTGCCCTCAACTCGCAATCCGCGCCCTGATTCCTGAGCTCCTGAGACGGACCGGTCCACTGCCCCCCCCCCAGACGTCATCTTTTGCCACCAAGAACAGCATAAGCATTCCCGATACCCTCTGGCAAGGAGGCTCTGAAAAGAGGCCGGCCGTTTTAGCTTCGAGAGGACAAGCCGTCGCTGGAGCCGACGCTGATCATCAAGTCTGCATCGTCTAAACACGGAGCATCTCGTCACCCTCCTTTCTCTCCAAATCAAAGCCGTCCAAATTTCGCGTTCCTTGTCGTCCTTTGTTCTTTTCCCTTTCTTTCCGCGTCCGCGAGCAGATGGCCCGCCTCTCCTGACTGCCTCCACTGGGGCACCGCTCCCCAGCAATTTACCGCCGTCGCTCTCCTCAAGCCGCTCCCCGCCGCTGATCGATCCAAACCAGGGGTAACCATTGCTAACATATATCTAGCGCCGTCGACATTTTCTCGTGACAACATGGACGTGCCTGATCGTCGTAGCGCAAAGCGTCGTCGTTCCACCTCGGCAGGCACAGCATTACCACTGCATGTCTTGATACGCAAACACACGAAACGAGAAAGAAAAGTGAAAGCCAGCCGTCTCATGCATCGAAACATGGTCTAAGAACGCGATTTCCTCGGCCATGCAGCAGAGCATGCCCCCACGGCAATTGCTGGCTGCACCCTTTCAACCCCTCCCACCCTGGCCACAGGTCCACGTCGTCAGGACCCAGAAACTGCGCCATCTCACTCCCAGCATGACGAGTGTCCAACACTCTTCCCAGCCCAGCCACGCAATCCCAAACTCTCTCGCTGTCGCTCTCTTGCACGCACGCGGATACCCCATGGATCAGTCTATCACCATGTGCAGCCGAGCGCAAGAGCACGTGTGCTTGTCCCACTTTGACGCCATGAGCCTCGAGGCTACTTTTCCCTCACCGACCGCTGTCCTGGTTTGTGTATCGAAGCCCATGTCCCCTAGCATCTTCCATTAAGACTCAGTGTCGGGAGTCAATTGGACAGATCGCTTCTGGGTCCGCCAAGTGCCTTCAAGGGTAAATCATTGTTCCGTCCTCAATTTTCGTCTGAGAATCGCGGCAGTCAGTCTAGTTTTGCCATCATTTCTTGCTTCGTCATCGGGGTGAAGTTTTCAATGTCCAGACCGCGCGATGCCAGCCCTGGCCTCACGTGGTGAGGGACCAACTGCTGGTTCAGATTGGGTGCAATGGAGAGCTCTGCTTGCCCGTCAGCCGTGGCCACTTTGCGGTAGTCCGCCGTAGCCAAGGGATGCACTTACCGTGGCGAGTAAAGTTGAAGAGATCTGGCAGGTCACGAAGCTGGCCAGAGCCGTGTCTCGAGTCGGGCAACTTGGTGCTCGGGTCGCGAAGCTCGTCGAAGAACGGGTGCACCATGGCATCAATGGCGGATTGTCTCTCCGTCGGCGTGTACTCGAGGAGTCGAGCAATGAGGTCAATGGCGTTGGCATCGGCCTTCCGGAACACCTTGCTAAAAGGATGAGGCTTGATCTGCGGGAACTTGTGCTCCATGTAGTTGGGGTTCATGGTTCGGATCTGCTCTCGCGTCGGCGTACCAAGCACCTTGATGATCTCCACTAATTGATCGATGCCGGACTCGCCGGGAAACAGCGGTTGCCCAAGCATGAGCTCGGCCATGACACAGCCAGTTGACCAAACATCTGCCAACCAGTCAGCGCAAACAACGGGCAGGGGCGTGGTGGTGCCTCTCACCAATCTTGGTTGTGTAGTTTGTCGCGCCGAAAATGAGCTCGGGCGCACGATAGTACCGAGAGCAGATGTACGAGACGTTGGGCTCGTTCTCCACCAAGATCTTTGCACTGCCAAAGTCACAAAGCTTCAGGATCCCGCTGTTCGGGTCGAGGAGAAGGTTTTGGGGCTTGATGTCGCGATGGCAGATGCCTTGAGAGTGTATGTAGGCCAGGGCGCGAAAGAGCTGGTAAATGTACAGCTTGACCTCGAGAATGGGCATCGTCGTCTTCATCTTGTTGAAGAACCGCGAAGCTCGATAGACGGTCTCGGGAACAAACTCTTGAACCAGGTTGAGGTAAACTTCGTCTTTCTGTAACATGGTCAGCACGGGGCGGCGGAGAGCCAGGGCCGGGAGGTGCACGCACACGTTCGCCGTTGGAGTAGTAGAATGCTTTCAGTTGGACAATATTGGGGTGTCTGACGATGCGCATGATCTGCAGCTCACGGTTCTATTTCATCTTGGGTTAGAGATCCGAGGACGCGGCTTCCGGACGCAACGGGGTCAAGGGTCGATGCACACCTTGAATCTCTTGTCCTGTAGTACGCGCTTGATAGCTGCATCCTCCCCCGATGGCGAGAGCTTTGTTTGGAAGACGACGCCGAAGGATCCGTTGCCAACAATCTTGCATTGCGTGTATTGTAGATCTCGGGTCTCGCCGGTGACTCCATCCTGCACCTTTTCGCGAATCACCTCTGGACGCGAATGGGGTTAGCCACGCGACCACGGCGTGAGGCGCCAGGCAGAGTGAGGGGGGAACCCACCTCCCATCCTCAGACTATTGAAGGCATTTGGCCGATGAGACGACATGCTGGGTGGCGTTCTGACAAGGCCAGACAGCTGATTCTACCGTGTGTGGTTGGGAGAGGAAGACCGTCGACAGTTTGCAGGTGAGGGGTATCAATCCCGGGCTTTTAGCGCGGGCCGTGGCGGGCAACAAGGTCGAGGCGACGGTGGAACGGGGTGCGATGCGTGGAGATGCGGCAGGCCACTAGAGCTGCAGCTGCCAATGAAGGCGTCGATGGCGACCACGGACAAGGGGGCCGTCGCTCGGGGGTTTGCCTTTTGGGTCGAAGAGACAAATCGCGCCAGACGAGGCAGCGGCAACGTTCGCGAGACCAAAACGTGGGGCGACTGTCGGATGCAGCTGAGATGCGGCGTCAGTTCTGGCGACCGAGGAATGACGGGCGTTGGCGGATGCAAAATCACCAACAGAAATTGAGGGGGAGGGATTGCAAAGGATGAGGGAAAATGGCAACGGCGAAAGTGTTTGCGAGGTGGTGTTTTTGGCAACGCAGCCTCAGGCTTTGGAGGGGCGAGGTGCGGGGCGGGGCTGGAGAACGGGAGCGACAGCGGGCGGAGACAGTTCAAGGTTATAAGGGAAGGGGAGGAAAGAGAGGGGGGGCTGCTGCTGCTGCTGCTGCAGGCAATGATGATGCCGATGGATGTAGAGTAGACTGAAGGCGGCAGCACGGGCGAAGAACAAGAGCGAGAGTCGAAGCAGTGCGCTGCAGGATGCACCATGCATGCATCAAGCAGCCAGAGATGAAAATGCCTCCCGTAGTCAAGGGCAAGTCAGGTACATGCGGCGGCTGCGGAAGCACCAGCAGGCCACGGGAGAGCAGAGGAAGCGCGGGTAGGAATGGGAAGACGGTCCATAGGGAAGATGAGGATGTAGGAGGTAGGTAAGGTGGGTTGCCTGAAGCATTGAGTAGCACCGAACGCTGCTTTGCACAGAGGCTGGTAGGGGGTGGCCCCGAGGGAGGGGGTTGTCTCGTGACAAGGTGACGGGGCGGCAAATGTTCGTCAAGAGACGGGTAGACAGAAATGTGTGTATGCGCGCGCGCGCAGTCCCAGGCTCGCACTGCTCGCCGTCAAGAGGACAAAGGGAGAAGCAGGCGATTGCAGGCAGGAGGAGCTTACTCACGTTGTATCAAGGTCCACGAGGCAATCGTCTGCGCAGTCTCGAGCTTTCCGCGGGAGGAGGAGCTGGGGACAGAGCCAAAGGGTCGCCTGCGCGGCAGTCGGCTGTCAGCAACAGCAGCACACGTGCTCAGGTCGAGCCAAGGCTACCTCAAGGCAGGCAATCAAGAAGGATATAGACGCGGCGGCTTCGTGCAGCAAACGGCCAGGGCGTCGCGGCGGCCAGTGCAGCGAGCACCAACGGCGTAATGTAGACAAGGTTCGTCGTCGACTCGGCTGCGCAAGGGGGCAGCGTCTACGGCGATGACTTTCGGTTGGGGGCGACGACAGGGCGGCCCGACGCTGCGCTGCTCTGCGAGGATGGCGCTGGCGAGGCGATGGGATCGGAGAGGAAGGGGGGATCAAAGGAGAGATGGGGGAGGCGACCGGGGCTGAGGGGTTGGTTGGCTGGTAGGTTAGGTTGGAGTCGTAGTGGTGGTGGTGGTGCTGGGTGGTGGTGGTGGACGAGGAGGACGACGCCGCGGACGGGGCGAGGGGAAAAGGCAGCGTCCAGCAGGGCCCGTCAGTGCGCGTGTGGGCGGCGAGGGTACCTCTCCGTACCGTACCTTTGTGCTGAGCCCACCATGTTAATATGCGGGGCGGGGCGCTGCTTCAATTGTAGCCACGCGCGCACCTCTGGTCGCCCAGCGCAGCGGGAAAGGGGGATTGCTCAATTCATGGGTTTGCAGGTGGACACGGCTGTATAATACACGGCGTCTGGTAGGCTCACAGAGTGCAAAGGGCCCGGTTGCCGTTCGGGCGTGACGGCCGGTCAGCGCCCCAAAGGCCCCTCTGGAGGACTCGCTCCAGATTCCACCCCCGCTCGTGAAATCAGCCTTGGGAGCTCGCGAAACAGACTTGTAGCAATGTGCTCGCCCCATCTACAGTACACATCACTTGACGTTGTTGTTTGCGCAGAGAAACAACAGGGGTGTTGTTTGACGGTGCACAGCAAGACTGCACAGCAAAAGGAGCGGGGCAAGACAGGACACTCAAGGAGGATCCTTTCGAACCAGACTTGAATACATGGCAAAGAGAACGAATGGGAGGCAACTGCCCAAGCCTTGCTGTCTACCCAAGACAATGGGCAGATGCGGAGATGAAGAGGGAAAACATTGGCAAGTGCACGGCGGGGTGCAAAGTATCGGATACAGGCGGCGAGGTGAACGAGGTTGAGGTGCAGATTCAGGAACCTGACCCTTGGAACGGCCACCCTGGTCAACGGGCAGATAAAGATGCACGTATGTACAACGGGTCCCGGCAACGGCGAGCATCGCAGAGTAGGTACATACATGCACTGACGGGGTGGTAGCGAGGTCAAGAGTGTAGGCATACCTGCGGCTACTAGAAGATATGTCCAAGTGCTCTGTATGTGCATGTGAGTTGCTTTGCTTGGCTGTGGATTCAACAACAGTCGCACAAAAGACACACAAGGGTCTACTACAGAAACACCACCAAGTGAGAATTGATTCAACCAAGCATGGGCGTTCGGCATGTCTCTCTACCTGGCACCAGACGCAGAGCTGCACCGTACATGGGTCCGGGGAGCTACTGTACGGCGATGCACTGTATGTACAGGCCGGGCGCTGGTTGGCCGCGACAGCGCCCTAGCCGAAAGGATCCATCCAGGGTCCACAGTGTTGGACTTGCAAAGAGCTCATGTGCTCTTGGTTTTTCGAGACGGATAGCTGGCGCTAGCTCTTTACGGAGCACAATCAATCCAATGCTTTTTTTGGGTGAAAGGGCGGGCGGCTTGGGTGAGAATGGGCTGCTGTTTGCCTGGGTCGTTGAGACGTCTGTTGGTCATGGAAATGACAAGCCCAGCTTTCACATGCCGCAGCCGATCAAACTTGTTTCCACCCTCTGTGTGTACTGACTGTACCTACATGCCACTGTGGTACACAGAAGGAGTGAAGAGGCACATGGATGCTCGCCAAGACTTTCCTCCCTGTACCTACAGTAGTGCTGTATCTCGCGGCGACTGCTGTCGTTTCAGACTGCTCGACCACTAGGTAGTTGCTGAGAAGAGAGATGCATCCATACCGTGGCCGGTGAAGCCTCGCTGCAGAGGTACTGTACAGTACACAATACCGCGACGATCGATACTGGGCCTCGATGCCGCGGCCAGCGCTTTGGTCAGCAGCACGGGCAGGCTCAGCAGCCCACATGGCCGCAGCAGCTTCCCGCCCGTCATGTCACCTGACGGGCTGCAGGGGTCTCCCGTCGTGACCCAGGCCCAACTGTTTCCAAGCCCGGCGCGTCAGACACGCAGCTCCGGATGACTGGCGCATGACATGGGTGTGCCGACATTGCAGATTCTCACCCACCTCGCATCTGTCGCCGGCAAACTGCTCTCAACACTGTACCGAGTGTCGGGAACCTGGAAAGATGTCTACCAGCAGTGAGTGGCCTTTGCCAGTCGACGGCCCCGAGTCGGCAAGTAGCGTGTACGGAGCACTCGGTGCTCGTCTCAACGACGCTGAGGCTCAGAATGTACGCATGCGTCGACTTCAAGGCCATCCGCACATTACGGTGTAGGTACTCGGCAGGTAGCGGTTTCCAGCCATGCCGGGCTACATCCAGTGACGAGGGGCGGTGCCGTTGAGCCAACATCTAAAAACAGATGAAAATATCCCGGCAACTTCCAGGTTCGGGGCACAGTGGTGAGGTCTGGCCTAACTCGATCAGGGCCTTGCCGAACAGAGCTGCGGGAACGGTAGCTCCCACCACGAAGCACTTCGCCTCGTAGAGCCGTGCCGGACGGGGCGGATTCACGCACTGGTCGGCGGGTCGTAGATGGAAGAGACAAGCCTTTGGGTTGTCGGAGCCCTACAAGTGCACAGATAGGCGAGCGCGCGCAAGGGGGCTTGGGGTATCTGTATTGAGGGCGCGTGTAGCGAGTACTTGCACATGCACCCATGACCGCACTGCGAGAGGCCCAGTGGATGCGGTGAGCCCAGGTAGACGATACTGCACCTACAGCAAAGCGCAGCGGTGCAGGCAAGAGACCAATCAATTCTTTTAGTCTCCGTCTGTCTTCCAGCACATGCCGGGCCTCATCTCCCACGGAGTAATCTTGCCGCCGAGATCTACGACGAGATAGACATTGGTAATGTCCGAAGTGCGTCTACTCTATCGTCAGCGAGCTCGATTCGCGTCGATCTCTATTTCCTGCACGCCCAGGCGAATGCTTGTCCATTCGGCAAAGTGCCGTGCCATTGTGCTTGTAGAGTATGTACCTCTGTACAGTACATACAGTATTTTGCAGCCTGCACAGTACAGTTCTCGTTTTGCGTCTTCTTGTCCCGACGGCATTGGTGACGCAGACTGGTGGTCGGAGACGCCACGAGGACGGGCATCATCCCAGCACGCTACCCGCGAGTGCGGGGCGGGTTACGAACTGGACGAGACTCTGCGGAGCATATGCTCTATTGGGGGACCGATGAGATCACCAGTCTGGTAAGTTGCAGAGTTGCTGGATTGCTGAGCTCTGCAGGGCTGCAAATGCCGCATAACCAAAGTTTCATGGCTCTTCGAGGTCATCGAGGTCAAGTCAATTGCTGGAAAGACGGCGTTTGATCCGCAATCTGGCTTACTCGCCAAACAAACAAAACACTCTCGACTCTCACCCACGGCGAACGCAAAAATGTTGTGTGTGCCGATGTTGTGCTCCCAGGTACTCCGTACTTGGCACCGAGTACAAAAAAGACGTGTACCCAACTTTATTATTATCCCCCCCCGTGACAGAAATTATCGCTCTCCACCCTCCGCCTGCTTCCTTGCCTCTGGCTGGCTAGCCGCGAATGGAGTCGTCGACAGGGGGGTGTGGGCGCCTATCGCGTGCGGGCTAGCGAGCCCCTGTCGGCTGGTCACGTTGGGCCTCGACGTCATGGGCGCGACGTCATCTGCGTATTAATCATTTAGAGTCTGCACGGTACAGCGGGGAGCATCGAAAATGACGGTGCACGGCACACACAATCTCAAGTCCATGCTGTAATTACTGGGTGCTGTACTGGGTACGGTGCATTCATGCCTGTGCAGGCAAAAAGACGAGGTAGAAGGAGCCGTGATGCCGCCGCCCATGAAAGGCTGTCCAGACACCCACCACCACCCAGGTATGCATGTATTCGCACACGCGGCACACGGCCGACGGTCGCACGGCTTTGCCTTCGGTGCAGGGATGACGGGTGCGTGGTGGCACGCGGCTCTTGCAAAGTCATACCCGGATGCTTGCATCAGTGGAATGCGGCGAGGTCCCATGACCCTCCCCATGCGGCGCTAACGACCCATTTTAGGTTCTGCTCGTACGAGACACTGAATGCATCCCGTGCAGAGGGCGAGTGACGATGGAGTCGACAAGCAACAGCAGAGGGACCAATGGGCTTGGTCAATTGGACTGCACCGTACGTAACATGGCGCTCAGCTTGCTCGCTTTGCACCGATACTCCGGAACCCCGTGACCTGCCGATTGCTATTATCTATTCGCTGGTTGGTCTTGGTGCTTGCCTGGACGGGGTACATACCGTACAAATGCTCGGAACGGTGCCTGGGGGCCAGGTGCACGATGAGAGAGCCAAGACTTGTTTCGGCATCGACGCGCTATCGCAGCTTAGCCCCTAAAATGCCCCTCATGGCGCGGCACGGGAGCCCTGTCCAACTGCCGCACTTTAACCGCTTGTACCCACTGTTGGTGCTGCTTACCTGCGCCAGCGCTCAGGCCTGCAGCCAGTTGGCTGGCTGGGCGCTAGTGCTCTGTAGTGGATGCGGGAATAAGACTTCGTCGACAACCTTGACTTCACCTCTCTCGCAGCTCACATCAGCACTTCGTTCCTACTGGTCTTGCCCGCCCTGCCTGTGGCAAACGCTGGCCCCATCACCAATTGGACACAGGCTCACGGCAACGCCTCCCAATCCCTCCATGTCGCGCCCGTTGGCCTCATGCAGCTGCATGTCAACTCGTCACGGCCTCTCGGAGAAGGCCTGACACACCCGGCGTGCACGGAGAATCGCCAGCATGCACGAGGATGCGAGTGATGGCCTGGTCCCTGAGGCTCCATCCATCCTCGAGTTTCCCCATCGTCATTGGATCTGCTCTCGCTCAGCCATGCCGGCCCGCGCTCCACAGACTCTTGCTTAGCTCAGATCGGCCACGCAGACCCGAGCCTGTCATGGGCCAGAGGCGTCTGCCGTGTGCTGTTGATGCTACGCCAGGCTACTTCCAGGCCTAGGGGCACAAACTGCCATGGCCCGCCACATGAAGCAGACATTGCAGGGCGAGCCGTTCCCGTGACCGCTTCCGGATATCTACCTGACACTTCTGTGCCCGAAACTTCTTCGACGACGTTGTCACGCGTCCAGGACATGTCGCTTACTTCCTCCCGCTCGAGAACTGCGACTGCTCACCCCGTACGTTACTCCGGCTGTTCCCTTTCATGTTTACTCCGCCATGCTCACGAGCCGGAGCCTGGCAGGGCCTTGCTTGACCACCGCCAGCCAGCACTGCGGCCCTCCCTGAGAAGACGACAAGGAAATACTCACCATGGATATCTTGCCGGCGAGAAGCGCTTCGCCGAGCGAACAAGCTGTAAGTGCCGCCTGCTCGCTGCGGCGTATGGTCATGTGAGATGACGCGAGTAGAGGGCATGTAGTCGACGACAGCCGTCTTTGGGAGTTTAAAGTCGGCTCGTGTTTTCCGGCTCCATGGCTTGCTGGCACACGTGAACAGGACCGAACTCCGAGAGGGCCAAGGCTGTTAACCGCCGACCTGGCCAGACACCGTGTGCGACTTCTGGTGTGTTTCGGCGCTCGTTACACGATGGGGACTTGTCACCAGGGGCCCATGCCATCGCTCCAAGGAGACCGGTGGACAGCATCCAACTACGCGGGCCAGGTATTCTGAACGCCGTGTTCTTTGTGTCTCCCACCCAAGGCTGATGCCCAGGGTCGCCCGCCGACCAAGACTGGCTCAGGATCCTGGCTCATTCGTGATCACAGAGTTCCACACCACTTGGACTTTCTGCATGCGCCGCTACTCGGCGTCCAACGACACTCCGCTGCCTGAATGCAGTCCATCTCGTCGCCACCACTGAATTCTGTCCCATGGCTCACAGCACAGCATCCTTGCTCTTGCGGCGCAACCTGTTTTCGCGGAGCAGCTCTCCAAAGTTTGCGCGAGTCCACTGCTGGACGGCGATGAAACCGCTCGGCCTGTGTGCAGCGGCAAGCGATCGGCCATTTCGCGTCCTGGGCCCTCCAAGGGGGCTCTCGCAGCCAACATGCGGACGATGCCGTTCCTAGTAGCCATGCCCGTCGTGGCATTACCGAGCAGTCGCCCAACAGATGCTGTGCGACTGCTACCTCGTCCCTTGGGTATTGTGCAGCATCTCCGTTCGCCAGAATGCCCATTCTTGCTCCCCTCACCCTCTTAGTCTCGGCAGTTGTCGACCTCGGGGGCCCAGCGGCAGCTACCCGAAGCGAGTGATGGGGGACTGATGAGACACGCTGGAAACCAGGACCGTGGGGCGGCGATGGCCCAGCTGCCAGCCAGCCTTTGCTGCTCCTCTCGGGGATCCTCGCTTGCTGCTGCGATTGCTTCTCCGGCCGTTGTGGTACGCTGCCTTGCAGTGAGAGTGTGATGTGTGGTGGCATGGACATGGTGAGGCATGTGTCGTCGTGGGCCTGGAGGGATTGGCATCTGTAGCTCTACCAACCGCGACATACGTGGCTTAGCTATTATGTGTCCAGATCTCGTCCAGTCTAGGTCAACAAGAGATTTCCCAGGCATCCCCTGGACCCCTGAAAGTTTGTACGCAGGCAAACTCCCGCCGCATCGGGCCCTCAGATCCAACTAAACCCAGCCTCAAAACACCCAAATGTCCAGGCCCGCCTCCAAATCAGGCGCCTAGAAACTGTCATCGTCTACCAGACAACATTGGCTGCCCTGGCCTTTCCCACCCCTCCATCTAACCCTATCCCTGCCCAGGCCCCAGGAGCCCCCTCTTGTTGCCTCCCCCCCCAGGCCTGTCTGTCTGGTTGGGTAACCGACCTCTCGCGGGGCGGGCGCAACTCCTCCCTCTCTGTCCGTATCCGGCCGAATGCATGCTGCGTGGCTGAGATCATACGCACACATTGGGCGCCCGACGACCCAAGTCTCTTGCCGTACGCAGTCTTCAGCGGGCGCCGGGCAGGGAGGAGAGGGGGGTGGGCAGCGTTGGTGACGCCCAGTGTCAGTGTGTGTGTGTGTGTGTGTATTCGTACATTCCCATTATTTCTTCTTTCAGGGGCGAGACGTGCTGGCGCAATGGCCCCTGCAAGGCGTCTCCCGGGAGTATCCAACTGCATGTCGTCCATGTCCTCCTGTATGTGAACATTTCTAGCCTCTAGACTTTACTACACCAAAGGCTCTTTGGCATATCCCGCCGTCGTTCCCTGTCGACCTGAATCGAACAGGGTCCCTTTGCTGAGCTTGCTTGCCTTTGATGCTCGCATGTACATGTACGGCGACGAGCTCGCGCCTCCCCCAAGTGGACTCGTATGTGTCTGGATTCGTTACCACTACATACAATACTGTACGTGTACACGTGCGTGGCTCGGCCGTTGCGGTTATTCTGATAGGACACGCACCGACGGACTGGTTACACAGGCATGCTGCACGGAGCAAGACAGCGTCGTCGAGCAAATTACGTCCCCTACACCCATCCTAATCCTCGTCATCCACCTTATCCGCAACCATGTCCTTGGCCGTGTTGATGACCTTCTCCGGGGGGCGCTCCACGGGCACCGCCGGGCTGCTCATGCCACCGGGGATCGGGCTCATCTGGCCACTGCTGGGATTGCTGCCGCTGCCGCTGGCCTTTGTACTGGTCGAGGCGCCAGTCAGAGGGAACTTGATGTCGTCGGGAGAGCCGGGCAGCAGGCTTGGGTCCAGGCCGGGAATGTGGATGCGCTTGGCCTCGTTCTGGTACGCGGCGGGGATGATCTCGATGATCTCGTCGCGCGGAAACCTAAGAAGCGGAATCTCCATGGTCGAGCAGTGCATCAGGTACGCATAAAGGACGCGGAGGACCGATTCGTGGGCGATGATGAGGAGGTCGTTCTGCTCCCGCTCGAGCTCGAGAATGATTGGCTCCAGCCGGACGGCAAGATCGTGGTAAGACTGGCCAGTCAAGCTTGTCAGTCAACAAGGCAGGCAATGCGGCGACTAAGAATCGTACCTCTGCACGTGGATACCTATGGTGGTAGGGGTCCAGCTCATGCTTTTCCACCTCCTCGGGGTATATCTGCCGGATGACACGCTCCGACATCTTTTCGCAGACACCAGGGTTGATCTGGCTCATCTGCGACCGCTGGCGAACCTTGTATCCTCTTTCCCCCAGGTAGTCTGCTGTCTGGACGGTCCGCCGGCGCGTCGAAGTCCACACGGTCAGGGCCCGCAGGGGAGACTGGGTGCCCCCCTTTGCCTCCTTTTCTGCCTGTTCCTGTTGGCGGTGCTTCAACAGCGTCTCGGACATCTTCTCAGTGTAAATCTTGCCCTGCTCGGAGAGTGGCGCGTCTGCCTTGTACGAATCTTCCTCCTCGGTGGTTCCCGCCCGGACGAAGAAGGTGGTGCGCGACTTGATGTGCAAGTTGGTGAGGTAAAAGACTATTCGGTGGGAGAGGTAGTTGAAGCTGACGTTGTTGTAGAAGAATTTGGCTCCAGCATTGATCATTCTAATGTAGTTGAGCTCGCCCTCGTTCATCGTCTCAAACATGGGGATTCTCATGTCGATGCGCTTCAGGTACAGGTCGGCCGCTTCATCGGGGTCCATGCCAGCAAACTGGTGATGCGGGTGAGCCATGGAGGAAGAGAAACCGCCGGGCCACGAGAAGAGCAAAGAGGCACTCACATCTGGAGACGATATCTTGACGTTTCTTGCGTTCTCACGGAGAATACGCACGTCGTTGACGTACGACTCGATGAAGAGTGTCTACTCGCAAAGTCAGTGGGTTGCGGTACTTGTCGCGAACCCTGGCCGACACTTACTTGAACGTCGTGCTTGGCCAATTCCTTGGCCAAGGCCCGCCGCCCACTTGCCGTCGGATTGACCGCGTCGTAGATGGCGACCTGGCCGTTCTCATGATTGAGCCAGGCATAGATGTCCTCGCGGCACCTCTTGAGGATCTTTTGCCGCAATATGACGGAAGCCGGAGAGGCGTTTGGGAAGAAGTAATCCTCAGGGACCGAGCCTTCGGGGCCAACAGTGGCACGTCGGTAGTCGCCCAGGTGAAAGATGCGCGTCTTGACACCCAGCCATTGCAGGTATCTCGCAAGCGAGACACAGATGTGACTGAAAAGGTGAGTGACAGCGCGGACAGCGACAGGGCACGGCGAACTCACGTCTTGCCCCGTGCTGGAGGGCCTACCATGGCAATGGCTATGCGCCCGGAGTGAAACAGTCGGCCAGACATGGTGCTATAAAGCTGGGCCGGAGCCAAGTCGTGGTCCTCGACGACATCGTGAATGCCGTCAATAAACGTTGAGCTCCGGCGACGATATCGAGGAGCATTTGCCGCTATTTCGGCGGTCCTGTTGAAGTCAGTCCCAGTCTCGTATCCATTTCCTGGGGTTCACAGTTGGCGATACAGGGGCCAAGGCAGGCAGGCGTGCGCTGCTGATTTGAGCAGAGCCAGGGAATCGCTTACAGTAGTGTGTCCATGTTGTTGGTGTCAGCGAGCCAAGGCTTCTTTTGACGGCCTTGTCGAACAGCTGCGGGGGACGCCCTGTAATGCAGACGAGGCCCGACGCACGCACTTGAGGGGAGCGATTTGGATCTTGATATGGTCCTGGCTCTCAAAGGCGGGTCCTCTCCCGACTGAAGCCGGGCCTTCCTCCGCCTACAGCGACCGGAGTTGGTGCGGTATGGGAATACACTCTGATGAATATCACGACGGAGTTCTGGAGGAAGGCGGCCGTGAAGCAGGCCGAGTCTCAAGGCTCTTTAGGCTGGCGTTGAGGCCCGAGAAGGTCGGAGAAGGCGATTGAGGGTGGGGGAGACCAAGGTTTCCAGGAGGACAAGACTGAGACGGCCGAAAAGATGCGACAGGATGCGGCAACGTGCGGTAATGAGAGGGTAAATTCGATATCTCCAGGGCAAGATCAGAAGCGGACGGTGACGGTAGGTTGCGAGATATGTAGATAGCGACTCCTGCACACCAAACAAAGGTGCGCTTACCAGACAGTACAAGATACTTACCCAGAAACTCGGCACGGAACATCCCCCCTCCGTCAATGCCCCGGACTGCTAAAGTTCCTCGCGCCAAATCGGAGAAGCTCTTCTTCGCCTCGGGCTTCTGATGAAAATTGTTCTCTGACCTCATATACCACCACCCCTCTCACCCGCACCCTCGCCAACCACCCATTCCATCGCGGCTGCAGGCGCATTGGGCCGGACCAGTTTGCGACTCAAGGCTTCGCCATAGCCTTGCCAATCGTTTGCTGCCCCGTCCTTCCTCCACGTCTTCAACTCGCTCCAACTCAGAGGCGGAGCCGGGACGAATCCCACGAGCCGTCGCCATGGCCGCCTCTGCCATGGACTCGCTATGCTCCATCCTCTTCTCCAACCCCATCGCCGCCACGATAGGAGACGTCGTCAACTCCTTCTCGGAGCGCAGAGCCAAGCTCGGCCTCGCCAACCCCGGCACCATCGAGAGCCTCTCCAAGGAGGTGCAGCGCGATGTCTTCCTCAACAACCACATGTTCACCGGGGTCCGCGCCGACCTGACAAAGGTCTTCAGCATGGCCCCCCTATTCCAGGTGTCGCATCAGTTCGCAATGGGCGAACGCATCAACCCTTACACCTTTGCCGCCATGTACGGAACTGGCAGGGTAGGCCGTGCTCTTCTCTGCGGCTCCCCCAGTCTTGCTGACGCCCGTCCCCCCAGGTCTTTTGTCAGGGCAACGTAGACAACGAGGGCTCTCTGTCGGGACGGTTCAACTTTCGGTGGACGGATAAGCTCGTGTCCAAGTCGCAGCTCTCCATCTCTCCCGGCGGCCAGGACATGGCGCAATTCGAGCACGAATACACCGGCAATGACTTTAGCGCCTCCCTCAAGATGCTGAATCCCTCGTTTCTCGAGGGTGGAGTCACAGGAATCTACATCGGAAGCTATCTGCAATCCGTCACGCCTCGCCTCGCCCTCGGCCTCGAGACCCTCTGGCAACGTCCCGCACTCACCCAAGGTCCCGAATGTGCCGTCTCATACTGCGCTCGCTACAAGGCCCAGGACTGGGTCGCCACCGCTCAGCTGCAGGCTGCCATGGGGACCGTCACCACCTCGTACTGGAGACGGCTCTCGGATAAGGTTCAGGCTGGTGTTGATCTGAACCTCGGCCTCGTCCCATCTCCCGGCGGTGTCATGGGCGGCGGCCTGCAGAAAGAAGGCGTGGCGACCATTGGCGCCAAATACGACTTCCGCATGTCCACGTTCCGGGCCCAGGTCGATTCCAAGGGCAAGCTGAGTTGCTTGTTAGAGAAGCGAGTTGCTCCCCCGGTCATGATGACCTTTGCCGCCGACATCGACCATTTTACAGTTGGTCGCCTCCCGCTTCCCTCGTGGCTCGACTTAGACTGACCGCAGCCAACAGCAACAAGCCAAGCTCGGCCTGGGCGTCTCCATCGAGGCCGCGCCCGAGGAGCTACAAGACCAGCAAGAGGTCATGGGCGCGCAGACACCCCCCAACATCCCCTTCTAGGCCTCCACTCGGCCTGTGGTGATGGCATCCCCGGCTTCAACCCGACTCACGCACGATCAATGAGACGGAAGAATCCTATGTAGCCCGAATCTCTGACTGGCGGAAGCACGAACCTCCAACTTTATCTCACTCGATGTCTTAGTACCCCCCCCCCCGAAATCCCCATTTTGGTGATGGCTTCCGATTCCTTGTCTGTCTCGGCGCGGCGCGGCGCGGTCTCTGCATCGAAAAGAAAGACGATAGACGCCCGTGGATTACTTCTCTCATCTGTCAAGAAAAAAACCACCCCTCAGCAAAGAAGAGGAGAGGAAGAAAAAAGAACACTGGATGCCATACTTTCTCAACCAGAGGTTTTGGCGTACAGCGCTGTTGAAAAACTCACCATGTGTACATTATATATCTCGAGAGAGGAGGGCCCTCGCAGGAGCAGTTGTGTGGGCATAGGAAGGCTTTTTGTGTGTTTCTTCTCGTTCCTGTCACTCCGCCTCTCTCCCTCCCTCTCTCTCTCCTTCTCTTCTCTTTTAGGTACCCATGGAAGGGTGAGGCTATGAAGCGAGAAGAGTCGCGGTGCCTGCCGAAAGAAGAACTTGGTGAGGGATGCGTGCGATCTACGATGGCCAGAGAGAGCGGCCTGGCTGGACATGTTGTAGACGGCAATGGAAGAAAGCATTTTCAAATGCCCTGCAAGCCCCGATGACCATACGACTCGTCACAAGAGTCTTCAGTCAGTGTGAGCGATCCATGAGCCTGGTGCAGAAGTGGTCATCGTCACCACCTTCATTAACCAGTGCACATCGATATGGCTGCAGGAGTGTAGCAACGGTATTCACTACCAGGTATCATCTATCGTAGACCAATCTCAGCCCACGGTCCTCGGAACAGCTGTTCTCGATCCAGTAACAGCGCACCGTCCCGTCTTGTTGCTTCCTCTCCCTTCGACGCCGTGGTATCATCAAAGTCCAATGCAAGCGGAGCGTATCCCACGTAGTCCACATAAAACCCGTGCAAAACCCCCTCTTTCCACTCCGGCCATTCAATGGTCTTCTGCGCCGGCGCTACCCATGTGCTTTGAGGAGAAACAACACAAAAATCAAATCAAAAGACCACCGAATGTCTTGACCAAGAGCTGAGACAAAAACAAGCAGACCCAATGCTACTTTCCACTTGGTCGATTCAACGAGGCGCTGAGCTTGGTCCACGCGCGTTACATGATGGAACACTCTCGCTCCGGCTGCGAGCCATTCGACTTGTGCTTCGTCTTGTCCTTGGACTTGCCGCGCTTGTGCTTCGACGGAGTAGCCTGTGGCTGAGCGGGTGACTTCTCGCCCTCCAGAGGAGACTCGGGCGCCTTGCCGGGAGTGTCCAAATTCGGTGCTCCAGCAGAGCCTGCGGTCGAGATGGTCAACCCATTGGGCTCCGCTAACGGCTCCTTGCTGGTTTTCATGAGGCCGCCCAGGCGCGTCATGGAAAAGCTGAGGCGACCTTCGCCCGACTGACTGGCTGAGCGGCTTTGCCTTCCCAGAGCGAAGCGACTTGCGGCCCTGGACAGCCTCGACGCAGTGGACTCATCGTTGGGGCTGATGACTGGCGAGCTGGCGTCTGGGGTGATGGCTGGCGTCACCGCTTCCGAGTCTGTACAAACAACGCTCGGGCGACGCGATTCCCCAGGCGTGGACCCCGTCGTATTCCAGCCTGTCCAATTGCTGTCGAAAATGGGTCGAGGCGGACGCTCTGCTTCAGAAGACAGCCGAATACTAGGCGGTTTGCTTTGAATGGGCGTCTCCGCCACCAACGTCTCATCTCGATGGTGCCCGGCATGTCGGCCGTAACTGTTCAAGTCTCCGTCGCACAAAGATCCGGAGGATGTCATCTCGAAACTTTTCTTTGACTCGTCGTAGGACGGCGGCTCCGTCTCTGTCCCCGCAGTCGACGGACACGTCATGTCAACCATCGGCACTACCTGGTAGAAGAGCAGATAGGGCATCTCCTCCTTTAGCGACCGCTTGATGTCGTCGACAAAGACGACACGGTTCTTGGTTTCCAAGTCGTCGAATCGTACCCACTGTGCCTCTTCGTAGTCGGGAGGGGGGTCGAAGTTATGCCTCCGGTTGTCTGTCAGCAGCTTTGGCGCCACTCTGGCAAAGGCGATGTAATGACCGCTTTGCACAGAGTCGCCCCGGTGGCACACGACAGACTGCAGCACGAGTTTATACTCGGTACTCAGCCCGTTTTCTTCCTCCAGCTCCGGCCCACTGGCGAGCATGAAATGCGGCAAGCGCAGGCTGTCGGGAATATCGATGAACGTGTTGATACGTTGAGGCCGCCCCGACTCGTTCATCGCATACCGCTTCAGGCATATGCCGACAATTGGTCTCTGGTCAAAGTTCATGGCGACCTCTGTGTCGTTTTTGGGCTCAGTATTTGTGAGTGCGTGCCAAGCTGAGAGCAGAGTTAGGGACATGCCAAAGAGAGACCAGTCATACACAATCTACTCACGAATCAATCGAAAGAACTGCCAGGCGGGGATCGTAACGGCCTTGATCACACTGGAGCCTTTTCGCCTGGCTTTCTGCAGGCTTGAGACGTCTCCGGCCGGCCGGCCCTGCTCGTCCACCAAGACACGTCGTATGACGCCGGTAGATTTTCCCCGGCTCGGGGGGCGTCTCTGGGAACCACTGGCTTTCTCATGATCGCTTTCGCTCAAAACACCATTCTGTTGGGGGATGCCGCCCGTGGTGGCCGTACCGTTTGGCAGGCGCGAGCTGGTGTCTTCCCTTGCGTCTTCAAACGCTGCAATCGACGGCGGCATCTCGGTTGGTGAAGTCGTCATCGATGTTGGCGTCGCAGCTTCGTCATCTTTGATGAGTCGAATGGTGTCATGGTGCTTGAGCCCGGGCCGTTGGTCCGATCCCTTATCATCCACGGTCGATTTCTTGGCCTCCTCGCTATCCCGCAGCACATCGACGCGGGCGTTGAAGTACTCCTCCAGGCAGTCTTCAAGCTTCACACCTTTGCCTTCGGGATCGGGGGGGACCGCCAGATTGAGCAGGCGCTCAAAGACTACTTTGTGGTCGTCCTTTTCCTTCTTGCCCTGGTGAAACAGGTCGACCTGCAGGGAGAGCAGGGGAAGCTGCAGAGTCTCTGTAAGGAAAACGAATGCTTCGGATGTGTCCTGCTGCTCCAGCAGTCGGGCGTCGGGCCATCCGCAGTCACCCAGGGCATCTTGGATCAGTTTGGTCTGGACTTGATCAGCATAATGGCTCATGTAGACAGGCTGGTGTTCTTACCAGATCCGTGTGAATCAGCTTGCCGGATCGCAACATGTTGACCCACATGCGCAATAGGTTGACCAGCTTGTATCTGGGGTCCTCCAAGGGAAATTCGTTGCTGAGCATGCACTCAAAGGCATCCAGTTTGGAAAACATGGCGAAGAGCAGGGCATCGAGGTAGCAGGTGACGGCTTCGCGGTTCTCGGCGCCGAGGAGGGCGATGCTTGGATCGTGGGAGACGACGATGCCGGCCTGGGCTTTTTGTTCCAAGGCAATGAACTCGGCCGCTCTGGTCGGGTCGCCGTCTGCGAATCTGGTGGCCATGATGTCTCGAACGTGGTCGGTGGAAACGTTTGTGATGTTGAGCTGCTCGAGGCGTCGCTGGATCTCTTCGATCTGGCTTTTGGGGTCAGCGGCAGGCGCACGAAGAGTGGGAGAGGACACTGCGCCGTAGGTAGCCGCACCTTGGTTGCCTCCAGCTCGGCCTCGTGCTTGGAACTTTGTCTTGAACCGTCCATCTTGAACATGGCTCTGAAGGCCTCGGCGGAGAGTGGGCGGGACTGCAGAGAGGGAGGTCAGTGACTGGCGACTTTGAGTTTGGAGAGGGAGAAAGCGAAGCTTGGGTCAAAAGTCAAGACCAGGCAGGGCCCGGTGCGCAATACAGGCTGATGAGTGCAAGTTACCTTTGTCTCCTTGGTCCCGGCAGGAACCGACTTGCTGCGTCGGTGGGAGGCATTCTTGTCGCGCAGGCTCAGGAACTTGATCGGGAACTCCTTCATGGTACTGATGCGGCGGTCGAAGGGAAACAGACTCAGGCGGAGCAGAGCCTCGCAGGGTACAGCTCGGGCAGAAGCCGCATGCCAATGCCCATTCTCAGGACCGGAGAGCTTCGAGGACGGCGACGGTGAGTCGTCGGCTGCGGGGAGGCAGTGGCGAGGAGCGTCGAATGAAACCGGACGAGACGAGGCGTGAGCGGATGACGAGTCCCGCGGGAGAGGGAGAGAAAATAAAGACAAGGGATGGCGGCGGGTATCGTATTATTGTTGTAGGGTTCGCCGAGGTAGAGACGGCGGGGAGACGGGCATGGCTTTATGAGAGCAACTGGCGTCTTGGAAGCAGACAGGGATGGCTTGGAGCCAATGTACAGTAGGTGCTCCGTTAGGCAAGAGCCCTTTTTTTTTTACTCTCGTCGTGGCTCTTGTTAGAGTTGCAGGTTGCTTGGGCTGCCTACCTTAGGTAGTGCGTCGAGGGCGGGACGGTTCGGTACCTGGGCTACCCCTGGGGATACGCATGCACCGGGTGAGATTACGCGGCGGCCGAGGTACCGATGGCCTGCCTGAAGTAAATTTCGTCTCCACCAAGGCTTGACTTTGGCTGGCGGGGGGTGGATCCTTGTTCTGGTCCGCCCGGCGCTGCGGAGCGACGTCTAGCGATGGATGACTTTAGCCTGTTCTGGAGCCGACTCAATAATAAATAAGGTACGGGCAGATGGAGGCATTGGAGGCAACCTGCTAGCTAATAAGTGCCCTCTTGGAAAGGTAGGTACGGCGAGATGAGGACGCGGCGAATCCATTGCCAGTATCAAGGATCAAGGTCGACTCCAAGTCCTCACGAGTCTGTGCAGTGGCAGCCTCATACTACACAGAAGCTAAAGCCAAGCCTGCAGATGTCTTTACTCTTACATGGACACTCATGCCATCATCGGGCTCGGGTAGCGCAACTCAAGATGAAATAACCATACAGTAGCAACTTGGGACTGTCAACTGGCGCCGTCTCTCGGGGCAATGCGGACGGACGTTTGTTGAGAGTTTGCGAGTCGGTCCGTCAACGTCCTCGTCCTCGACGCGCTGCAGGAAGGAAGACCGAGGCAACGAGGGCATGAGTTGCTCGCACTCCATCAGCATTGGCGATCGATCCCCTGCTCGTGTGTGCTCGTGTGTGCGTACTCGTACGGCGGCTGCTTGATCATCAAGCAGGGTCCGTCCGTGGCATAATTGCCGACTACTAATAATAACTGGCCCTTGCCCAGCTGTCCTTGTTTTTCAGGGTCCTGCGCGACGTCGCGCCCATCCCCGACAGGGACGAGCCAGCGAGGACCCTCGGGTCTCGGTCTTGTTTCGTCACAAGCGAGCCAAAGGCTAACTATCCGTTCATCGCCCGGTCGTTCGTGGTCAGTCAAAAATACTTGTGCACAGTATGTACCATGAGCTGGTCATTGAGCTCAACAACATGGCACCACTAGCGGTGTTCGGTGGCCGTGTACTACCGTACCGAAAGCCGCGTTCCTGATCGCTCCCGCTGTACACTAGTAGGCTCACTAGCAGGCAAGACACCGACTGCCTTTCTCCACAGGGCTACCGTGGGCAGCTGACAGGTACCTCACTAAGGTAAGGTACCTTTGGTACTACCAGTAGGCTCCCCCTCCGCACTCTCAAAGTACCGAGTACTCCGTACGGAGCCCGGAGCATCAGATGCAGAGTGCACCGCCACAATGGCCCGCCCCCCAGGTCAGTCGGTTCACAGGGATAAGCCACCCGCAAGCCACCCGCCAAAAGTCGCACATTGAAATTTGTCGTCGGCCGAGCAGGCGCCTCTACAGGAGCTCGCCTGACCAGTTTCAACAATGGCTGGTGTTCGTGACGGAGCTCGCTTGGCGAGGGCCCTGTGCCGCAATAAACTCCCCGTACCAATGCTTCAATGCGCCAGGAGATGGGCTTCGACCGGCGCAAGCAGCACGAATCAGCTGGCCGACCTCGAATCCACAACCACCTTCACAGCACCTGCACCTGATCAGAACGTGACCGAGGCTTTCCATGCCTCGCAGAGGTCGAGGGACAGTGAGCACAAGCTTCCGGGAAACAGGTACGCTCTCTCCGGCCTCTGCGGATCAAGGCGTCATGCTTATCGTGCCCAAGATACCAGTACCATCCTCCCAAATACTACCGCGGCCCTCTACACCCCGTGCAGATGCCTCCGTCGTCCGATCCCACCGCCCGAGACTTTGTCCCTGGTCCGTTCAGCTTCCCACGGCTGAAGCACACATACGACAGCACAATTGCGCCCGATCTGTTGACCCTCACCTACACGCACGTCCCGCCCGGGACCCCCCCCAGCGAGTCGCAAAAGGGCACTCTAAGGGAATGGGATGACTCTTCCCCCTACCACAAGAACCGCCCGCGTCGTGGGCCCCGTGGAGGCGGCTCGTCGAGGCTGGGCATACTCGAGCGCAAAATCACTTGGACCAACATTCCCGAGATCGAGGCCGTCACCATCAACTCTTTCGCCCCTATGGCCTCGCAGAACAAGGAGTATCTTCACGTCGCACTGGCGGTGGTGCAAGCCATCACGGGCAGGCATGCAAACACAACCACCATCAGGCGCAGCGTGATCCAGTGGGGCATCAAGAAGGGCGACAAGGCAGGTGCCAAGGTGACGTTGCGCGGCGCCGCGGCGTACGAATTTGTCGACAAGCTTGTGACGCTAGTACTCCCCAAGATCAAGGACTGGCCTGGCATCAAGGCCAGCACGGGAGACAGCGCGGGAAATCTGGCCTTTGGCATGGAGCCCGCGTGGATGGCGTATTTCCCAGAGATGGAAAACAACTATGACGTGGGTTTCCACATACACCAAGTGAAAGTCCCCGTACTGGACGCCTGGGACTGACTTTGAAATACAGATGTACCCCCCGAAGCTGATGCCCGGCTGTCACATCTTCATCCACACGACCGGCACGTCTGACAGGCAAGGACGCCTTCTGATGGAGGCACTAGGGTTCCCGTTCTACGGCGAGGTTACTCACTAAGGGGCATGCACCGGGCGGACGGGCGGAGAGGTAGAGAGGTGGTGACCAAGACTTGATGTGAGTTCCGTCATGATGCGGCTCAAGCCGTGTATAAACAGCTGTAAATTAAAAAAGAGGCTACATGTGATGGCAGTTCAGAGATGACTACACTTTGAATGAACCCAGGATGCCCATCCTCTTGCCCAGAGGAACCCAACCGACATGAACAACGCCTCAACTCCGCCCAATGCTGTCGCGTAGAAGTCTTAAGGCGAGCAAGAATCGAGTCAGGCAGCACGAGTCTGTTCCCGAAGGGCATTCATGACGTGGTCGACAGCCTCCATATCCATGGCGTCGATCTTTGCTGTAGGTTGACCACGGCTGGTCAACTCCTCGGTGCAGGCGTCCATGGCGGGCTGGTAATTGCGACAAGCCGAGCTGAGCGCATACACGGCCTTTCTCCGCACATCCTCCTTCTCCTCGCCTCTGACGGCCATGGCGACGAGGGCAGGCAGACCACCGACAGCCAGGAGCCTCTCCTGAGTGCGCTCGTTGTTCTGGACGGCGGTGCCGATGCACCAGGCGGCCATTTTGCGCAGTTCGCTCTCGTCGGCGTCGAGCTGGGCGAGTAGCGGGGTCCACAGGCCAAGGTTGGCAATGTTGTTTGCGTTGTCGAGGCCCTCGATGAGCTGCTCAAAGTTGTCAAAGGCGATAAGCTTGTCCTGGACAGAGACTTGGTCCGAGAGCGGGGCCGTGATGATTTCCATCGACGCCTTCATCAGGTCGGCGTCTGAAGGCCCGCCCATGAGGGCGGCCATGACGTCGGGGGTCAGGTTGGTGGTGTGCGCGGGTTGCTGCTGCTGCTGTGCTGATGAGTCGCCTCCAGGGGTGTCGGCCGAGTTTTCAATGCCCCAGCGGAGGAGGTCGTTGAGTCCTTTGTTTTCCATGGCCGCGTTGATGCCTGATAGGCTTGAAGCTTGTTTTTCCTTCCTTGTAGCTTTCTTGGCCTTTTTTCTTTTGTTTTCGATCGGACGTGGTTCTGTGTGGAAAAAATGCTTGGAGTTGTTTCTGAGTTTAAGCTCTTGATTTCGTCTTGATCAAAGGTATGTATATAGAGTTGCTGCCAGTGAGATGTTGCTAATTTTTTCCTCCGTACGAAGGAGAGATGTAGTCAATCATGAGGTTCTCTCGATCCTTCTAGACACTTCACCAACTCTCCAAGCCCAAGAGAGACTAGCGTGACCAAGGACCTCCGCTCGCTGACAGGACGCGCCTACAGTACGGCGCACACTGTAAGACACTGTAATGACGGCGGCATCTTCGTCATGATGCGAAGTGGATAGGCAGGTAATATCTTTATAAAGATTCTTCATTTGATGTAAACAGCATCATGCGCAAGATGAGATTGTTACACTGCCATGGAGACGCTAGTTTTCTGTCGCTCAAGCATCTCTTGTACTCCGCCATCAAGGCAAGATAGCGAGCTACGGACCTTGGGAAGCTGTCTGAAGGATCAATCTAGAGGCGTCACTGCAGACGTCGACGGCTGTATGCCTTCGATGAACACCCGGGGAATAGACTGCTCATCAAACACGCGAGGGCGAGAGGTGAGGCTGGCCTGGATATCGGGGAGACGGAAACAAGCTCGACCGGCAGGATCAAGTACTCCAGTGTCCAAGACTTCCTGTCACCGGCGAGTCTTGGGCATTGATGCCATTCCAGAGACTGCAGGCGGCTTGGTTCAGAGATGGCCAAAACCTACACCTCGGGCGTTGCGCGTACGAGCAATGCTTTTCGGAAGGCTGGTGACGACCCCCCCTTTTTAGAGCCCAAGAATCCATTCCTCATGTGCCAGAGAGCGGCGAGCTGCTTGTAGATTCTCCACATTTTGCTTATTGCAAGTGGCCGCCTGAAGCATGATCGCACGCTTCCTCAGCCTCATGGGGTGTCGAGAGGAGCCGAGTGATGGATAGTTGCCTACGGATGACGACGCTCAGAGGTTTCAGAGCAGTTCTTCATGTTGCTATTTCAGTAACATGACGCTGGCGGTGAGACATACAACTTGCTAAACACGACGTCGTTGATGGACATGGTTTCTGGGAGGCAAGTGATGGATCTACGTGAACACTTGACGAGTCACCCTCCAAAGACATCTGCCGAGGTTCAAGGCGGAAGAAGACTCTAGGTAGCCAGCCAGCCAGCTTATCAGGGCTTACGTCTTTTGTCTTGCATCTGCCAGCTGCCAAGTCGCCGCCAAAGCATTCACTTGTCAAAGCTCGGCCAGACCTATTTCTATAATGGAGACAGCCGCATTGTCAGCTCGGATCTCGTCGAATCCGTCGATGAAATGGACATCGGCCACTCCACGTCGCCAGCCATGCTAGAGGACGCGAGTGCCAATGCTGTAGACTCGTGCGTTTGTTTTACATGGCGAGGATGTTCGTCCGCTGCAACAGGCCAGGAGGCCATGGAAAGCGGGGGCCGTTTAGGACGCAGTCTGTTGAAACGGCCATGCGAACTGTGGCTCTGCATGCACATGTCTCGGGCTCCTCCGAAAAGGCGACGGCCTGCGGATGGCGCATGCACAGCAAAATCAGGCTGAAGGTGGTACGAGTACACTGGCACATCTGGGACTTGCCACTGTGCAGCACTCATGGCTTTCATTCGGTCGAGTCCATCGGCGCGCGTTGGTGAAGTGAGCGGCTCTTGGCATGCGCCCCCGCCGCAGGACCGAGAGGCGCCGGCTTTCCGTTGGCAGCACATGAAACCAGGTATGGTAAAGGCTCCTGCAATGGACACGTCCGCCGACAAGGGAAAAAACCATCGTCGCGACTTGGACGACGGCGAATGCTTCCCGACGTGCACGGCCAAGCCGAGATGGCGACTCTTCCACAGACAGGTACCGGTACCTCATACGGGTGCACGTGACTATCTGCTGTACCGAACATGTACCTCTGTAGCAGCAGCTTACCCATCGCCCCCCTCCTTTCCGCCGAGCCACCATCCAGTCGTAAGCAACCTGTTGGCCCCGGGCAAAGGACCTCCGAGAGTAGTAGTTCCCCAAAGGGCAGAGGCGCCGGTGGCAGGTACCGGTACCGCAAGGCGCCAGGAAAAAAAACGCCCACCCCTGTCTCTCACTGCCTCGTCAATTTATTCAGGCCGTCGGTCTCCAGAGGCACCGAGAGAGACACACACACGCACCCACACACGCACCCACAACCCACACACACGCACCACACACAGAGGTACGTGTCACCCGGTACTCCGTACCTCGCCCGTACTTTTCTCCTTTCCCCCCTCCACCCCCGAGCTTCTCCTTTCTTCAACCTCACTTCTCCCCCAAGCCACCCCCAGAATCTTTTGCATCCAGCTTCGCCCCGACTTTGCTCGACGACGCCCCCCCGTCCCTCTTCGACATCCTCATCACAACGTGAGCCTCTCGCTGTTGCACGTTGACCCTGTCTGATCCCGACGTCGGTCGCTGAACTCTTGTCTCCAGCTCCCAACCGCCATTCGCCATGGAGGGTACGTCGAACCACAACCGCAACCCGCTGGCCACACGATGCAGCATCCTCGAGCCATCGCGGAATCTGCCGGATGCATCACGGGCTATTTGCTAACTGCTGTTCCCTCTGCAGAAGAAGTTGCCGCCCTCGTCATCGACAATGGGTAAGCTTCCCCGCTGTCTCACCGCCGACCTCGCGCGCCGCCCGCGTCCTTTCTGCCTTGTCCCTCGCCCGACAGGGCGGTGGCGACGGCTGGAGACTGCGAAATTCTTCCAAAATGTGTGAGACTGACTCGACGACAGTTCGGGCATGTGCAAGGCCGGTTTTGCCGGTGACGACGCTCCCCGAGCTGTTTTCCGTGAGCTACCCCACTTCTGTCCACCCAGCTCTCCCCAACTGCCACCAAACAGCTAGTCGGTCGGGGGAGTCTGGCATATTGCGCCGGTCACAATCATGCTGACGCCTGTTTCCAGCTTCTATCGTCGGTCGTCCCCGTCATCATGGGTAAGCTTTCCAATCGCTGAGTTCAACCTGGGTCAGCGCGCGCGCACGCTGGCCCCACCGGCGCGACAGCATGGTCTGACCGCGGCTTAGCATCATGATCGGAATGGGTCAAAAAGACTCGTACGTCGGCGATGAGGCTCAGTCGAAGCGTGGTATCCTGACGCTCCGATACCCCATCGAGCACGGTGTCGTCACAAACTGGGACGACATGGAGAAAATTTGGCACCACACCTTCTACAATGAGCTGCGTGTTGCCCCCGAGGAGCACCCCGTCCTGCTCACCGAGGCGCCCATCAACCCCAAGTCCAACCGTGAGAAGATGACTCAGATTGTCTTCGAGACCTTCAACGCTCCTGCCTTCTACGTCTCCATCCAGGCTGTCTTGTCGCTGTACGCCTCTGGTCGTACCACCGGTATTGTCCTCGACTCCGGCGATGGTGTCACCCACGTTGTCCCCATCTACGAGGGTTTCGCGCTTCCCCACGCCATTGCCCGGGTGGACATGGCTGGCCGTGATCTTACCGACTACCTCATGAAGATTCTCGCCGAGCGCGGCTACACCTTCTCCACCACGGCCGAGCGAGAAATCGTTCGAGACATCAAGGAGAAGCTTTGCTACGTCGCCCTCGACTTTGAGCAGGAGATTCAGACTGCCGCCCAGAGCTCCAGCCTGGAGAAGTCGTACGAGCTTCCCGACGGCCAGGTCATCACAATTGGCAACGAGCGGTTCCGCGCCCCCGAGGCTCTGTTCCAGCCCTCCGTCCTGGGTCTCGAGAGCGGCGGCATCCACGTCACCACCTACAACTCTATCATCAAGTGCGACGTCGATGTCCGGAAGGACCTGTACGGCAACATTGTCATGGTGAGTAGCTCCCTTGTCCGCCGGAAACCTGCTTGCAGACGTCAGCCAGCTGACGATTTCTCTTCTCTGCGCAGTCGGGTGGTACCACCATGTACCCGGGTCTCTCGGACCGTATGCAGAAGGAGATTACCGGTCTTGCCCCTTCGTCCATGAAGATCAAGATTATTGCCCCTCCCGAGCGAAAGTACTCTGTCTGGATCGGTGGTTCCATCTTGGCCTCGCTGTCGACCTTCCAGCAAATGTGGATCTCGAAGCAGGAGTACGACGAGAGCGGCCCCTCGATCGTCCACCGCAAGTGCTTCTAAGGTGCGTGACGACTGGCGTGAATGTGCTTGCTTGTGGGGGTCATGTACTGACGGGAGACTTTGCAGCGATGCCCTACCAAAAACTAGACGGTCCTCTTGTCGCCGAGTCGAGAGGGGGCCATGGAAGTGGCGGCCGATGCGGAGCCTCCTTGGCCTTGCGACCATCTCAGCCAAGTCTCATATTTACGAAAGGTTTTTGGCAGGGTTAAGGGGGTTGGTGCTGCCTTTACTCGGAAAGGACCATGGCGGCTCGTGTGTTGTGTCCGGACGGCTGACGCGGGTCAAGGGGGGAGAAGCTGAGGCTGACCAGACGAGTAACTTTTTTTTGTTTCCGTTCTAGACTCGTACAATGGAAGACTGCAACGAGGCCGACCAGCCGTTGAATTTGCGTCAGTGGCGTGTGCTTGACAAAGTTACAGGATCCCTCTGGGCGTTTGCAAGCCTTGCCCAGTAATGGACATGTGCAGGCGAGGGGTTGCAAGGAATTTCGGATTGGGAACGATGGGTATGGGTCAAGGCTTTTGGAGTTTATTTCTACGGTCTGCTTGGCCGGCTGGAATAGTGGCATTGTCCTGCTGCTCCGGGATATCTTCTCGGTCGTTCTCGTGGCTGGGCTCCTGCTCTGCGCCGGCAGCCGAAGCTTTGTCCTCGTCGAGCTTCTTGTATTTTCGGCGACTCTTCTTGGCGGCGCTGTCGGCTCGCTTCTTCTTGACGTGTCCGACGGCGGCGGCGCGACTCTGGTTGCCATTGAGCAGATGGTCGAGTCTTTGCGCGAGCAGTTGACGGGCGTGCTTGCGGTTCTGGCTGCGGGAGCGGGTGGCCTGAGACTTGACGACGATGCCGGTGGGTATGTGCTTGAGCTGGACGGCGGAGCTGGTTTTATTCTGCAGGGTCGCGGGAAAGGTTGATTCAGCAAGAGGGGAGCTGATGTGCTGTGGCTGGCTGACCCACAATCTTCTGGCCGCCGGGCCCGCTGCCTTTGACGAAGAATTCTTCAATGTCCGAGTCGGGTGGCGGCTTGGGCCGCGGCGGGAGGCTCTTTGCGCGGAGGGCGGCGGCGGAGACGAAGGGGCGGCGAGCGGCTGTGATTGTGGCGGCGGCGGCGGCGAACGGGAAGGGGTTTCGACGGGTTGCGCTTGTGAGGAGGCAGGCGTTTGGGAGACGGGGGGGACGAAGGCGTGGGCGTAGCATGGCTGCGGGTTGCGGAGGAGGATAGGATGATGTTGCGGTGGATTGAGGTCATGTTGTGGAATATGTATTCCCACGGATTGAGGCTGGATGCTTGTTTGGTCTTTATCAGCAGACGCGGGTGGCGCCGTTGGTGGATTACCTACATTACTTGAAAGGGGTGGTGATAGATGTACTGTCTACGAATTTAGGTAGATATGGCGCTAGGAACATGGAGTACCGATACCCCGCCGGCAACTTCCACTTCCACTTCCACCCTCTAGGCGTGGGCCGCGGCTCGTTTTCCCCTGTGTTTTCTTCCTTGCTGCGGATAATTTCCAGCAATCCTGCTCAACCCGTCCTCTCCTCTCCTCACCTCTCCTCTCCTCTCCTCTCCTCTCCTCTCCTCCTCTCCCTACCTCCCTAACTACCCGTCACTCACCTTCATCGAATCGAAGCCTCCTCTCGACACAATCCGCCCAGATAGGTAGCTGCCGCGGCGCGCCAACCCCTCGAGACGAGACGGACGGCCGCCCTGCCAACCAATTGACCGCGGCGGGCGCAGAAAGGGGCCAAGTTATCGAGCGCGGCTTTGAAGCGCTTGCTGCGCGTGCGTTTTTGTGCCGAGGCGGCCACGATGGCGGTGCTGGCGGGCTTGAGAAGGTGGCTCTATCGGAAGCAGTACCATTTCGAGGTGACGTTTGGCGTCTACATGCACACGGCTTGGGAGAAGTTCGCCATCTGTACGTCGTCCCCATGACGCGCTTCTTCAACGCGCGATGCACCGATGCTAACCGGCGCGCGCGCGCAGACTCGGTCCTCTTCCTCCTCTGCGGCCTGGCCTTCATCGCCGCCATCCTCTACCTGCCGCACCACGTCGCCATCCTCGCCGGCCGCGCGTGGTACTACATCAAGGGCGAGAACATCGACGTGGCTGCCTCGGCCCGCGAGGCGGTCCGCGAAATGTCGGCCAGCGTCCTCAACGACGCGCTGCCCACCGCGGTGCGCGTCAGCGACGCCCTCGGCGCGATGGATAAGGAGCTGTGAGGGAAGGGAGGAAATCTAGGAACAAGTGCTGCTCTTTTTTTCTTCCCCTTTGCGCTCGTCGTAGGGGGCGGCCAGTGTCCGGTACGCATCGTGGATTGCGGCGTTGAAGGAGTCTTGTCTGGTTTTGTGGGTTTTGTTGACGGACCTGTTTCTAGAATACCCTGGCCGGCTTGGCTGAATGGTAACACTATTCCTCGGACTCATTTGTTGCTGTGTATGTTTGTCGACGCACTCGTGCTCATCGCAAGAGGGCATAATCGCACGGCCATCATGGAGTCGCGTCTTGGCTACATTTTGAGAGACAGCAAGGCCAGCAAGGAAGGGTTCCAGTCGAAACACGAACACGAATGTGAGCCGACTGGTCTATTTCTCCAGTAAAGTCTGCAGAATGAATAATCGAGGAATCATGTACAAACATGTTCATCCCTCTCCTTTGCACAACGTCTCATGGCGGCATCTCGCGTCAAAGATTCTTCATCACACCAGGCCTAATCGCCTCGAGCTTCGCAACCAGCTCCTCCCACACCCGGTCCTGCGCCTCCTTGCCCTCGGCGCCCGTCACCAGGGGCGCGGGGGCGCTCACGGCGCAGTCGGAGAGGTACTGGCCGTGCGAGTCGGCGGCGACGGCCGGGGACGCGGCGTGGACGAGGGTGCGGCTGCCGGCCTCGGTCGAGCGGGCGAGCAGCAGCTTGCGCAGCCAGAAGGCCCACCCGGGCACGTCGCGCGCCAGCTCTGACTGGCACAGGCCCGGGTTGACGCAGTTGACGGTGACGGGCAGCGCCGGGTGGCGCTCCGCCAGCGCGCGCACGCACAGCACCTCGAGCAGCTTGGACACGGGGTACTGCTCGGCCCAGTGCCGTTCGGCCGTCGTCTTGTCGTTGATGGTCGCGAAGATGCGGCCGTGCGGCGCCGACTTTTGCGGGAACTGCGTGTGCCCGTGGACGCCCGACGAGGTAATGGTCAGCGTCGGCCGCGAGCCCGTCTGCGCCGCCGTCGACTTGAGCTTGGGCATGACCAGCGCGGCCAGCAGAAACGTGGCCACGACGTTGACGGTAATCATCTCCTCATTGTCCTCGACGACCGAGTACCGCGCCCGCGCCAGCCCCGCGTTGGCCAGGAAGACGTCGACGCGGTCCAGCTCCGTGTCGACGCGCGCCGCAAACGCCTGCACGCTGGCGTAGCTGCCCATGTCGAGCTGCCATACCTGGACGACGCTCGCCTCCGCCGCCAGGCCCGGCACGCTCGCCTCGATGTCGGCCTTGGCCGCGCGGCCCTTGTCCAGGCTCCGCACGGCGAGGATCAGCCTGCTCGCTCCCAGGCGCGCAAAGTGCCGTGCCGCTTCCTTCCCAAGCCCCGTGTTGCTGCCGGTGACGACGACTGTTTTCCCGGCGTAGGACCCTGTCGGGTACGGGAGGTGTTGGATGAGCTGGCTGTAGAAGAAGCTCATTGTGCCACGGGCAGTTGGTTTGCGTTGTTTCTGGGCTTGAAAGTCGGTGCTTGGTAGCTGCACCCCCCTTTCGCACGGTAGCTGCCATTTCGCTCCATCGAGCTTTTATACGTCAAGAGACGGCATTAGCTTCGACTCGGACGATCGGACATTTGGACCGACGTCAGAACTACACGGGAATTGAGTTTGTACGCGGGAACACCGTCCGGAGTTTATTAGCCAAACTCCGTTCGGCAAAAGGCATTGACAAACCTTGAGCCTCACTCCTGAGACGCCGTGCCCGGACTTAAGGCCGACATCAGCATCGCTCTCGAAGCACACGCTGTTCCCACGTCCCACGCGGTGACGCGAACTGGACGGCTGGTTTGACAGCGTTGCGGAGGTGAACGGCCGTCACCACAACGTCAGACGACTGGACGGTCTCCGCATAGTGTGGGAAGCACCAGTCAAGGGAGGACAGAGCAAATTTCGCCACGGGCCTGCATTGAGCAAAATCAACGGTAAAGGCGACTGGGCATGTCCTTTATTGCTTGACTGGTAGCGCGCCGAGCGACAATTCTGCCCTTGTGGGTATTTTCATTCTTCTGGTTCTACCTCACCCATCTGAGGGCCGTAGATATACCTTGTCAAAGGCAAAAAGCCTCAGAGAGCTATCCTCCCCAGCCGCTGCCAGAGTGTACGAAGAGCAGTCCCGGTCCAGAGGATGTGGTCTCCAAGCCAGCTGCAGCACAGCGTTGGGGAAAGCAAGCCTGCACTGGTCAGCCATGATCGATGCGGTCTGCGCGAAGGAGAAATCCATGAATGAGCAAGGCGTCACTTACTCGGGAGACGGCTGAAACTCGACCAATGCAGAGCCATCGCCGTTGACCGTACACAGGCTCAAACGGCCGGCTTCCGTTCCAACTGCAAGCACGAAATGACCGTCGACCTGGCGAGGCAAGAAGTCAATCGACGTGACAGGGGCTGCACACGCCAAGGCAGCCGCCTGGGCAAACTGCAGCTCTCCATTCTCACCCGGCTTGGACGCCCATATCCGGACCTGCTTGTCTCGACCCGCCGTAGCAAAGAGGGGCGTCTCGGATGGCGCCCATGCAGCGTCAAGTATCATCCTGCTATGGCCCTTGGGGTTCGACTGCAGTAGTTTATACATGGCTGCCTCGTCAGCACTGCGCTCAAAGACCACCCATTGTCGGTCACGGCCGACGCTCAAAAGATACTTGTCATCGGGCGAGAAGCGCAGGCGAGTTGCTGTCAGTGAATGGGCCGTCAACGGCGGCCTCACCTCTGTCCAGCGCTGCGTCTCAAACAACCGGATCACGGCGTGGTTCGTGGAGCTTGCCTTGCACGCACTGGCTATGAGCTTTCCGTCGTGGCTGGCAGCGAGGCAGGATATCTCGTATCCGTGACCATAGAGCTTCTCGGTCTCTGGCCATAGCGTGTGTCTGGATAGCGTCTCTTCAAACGGCGGGTGGTCAATGTCGAGATGTGACCTCTTAACGATGGAAGCCGGGTCCACGGCTCCGCGGTCGCCATCGTCCACTGCCTGTATCTCGTGGTCGTCGTCTACAGCGTCAATTGCCTTGTTCGACAGCCCGAGCACAGGCATATTGGCCGCGTCGGGCATGTGCTCCATGTTTGTCTCTTGGGCCCCAGCCAGCCGGTGGAGCAGCATTGCAACCGCCCTGGGTTCGCTGAAAACCCGCATGAGCTTCTCGTCGGCACCAGACACGAACTGCGACTCGCCAAGCGAATCGATGCAATTGAGGTCGTATCCGTGGATCTGCGGACGGGACATTTCATGCCAGGTATTTCTCCCAGAGTCCACCCACTTTGTGTGCAGCCGCGTCGTCTGATCGGAACTCGTGGAGAGCAGATAACTACCGCCCCTGGACCACGAAATGCCAGTCACGGCCTTGGTATGGCCCGAGATGGCAACGCAGGGCTGCCACGCGTCGTCGGCCGAATCGTACTGCCATCTCCTCCAGCTTCCTGTCCGGCCGAGGCAGGCCACAGACTTGCCGTCTGGGGACCAGAGACCGGTCCAGAAGCCACCCGTGCTACCAGTCGCCGTTGTCGCGCCTTTTTCCCTGCTAATCTCTCCCAGCCTGGCTAGACTGATCCAAATCCCCGAGGACGGATCTGCCTCCCAGATGGCAAGCGAGTTATCGGCAGACGTGGAGAGCAACTGCAGCTTGCCGTCTTCGTGAGCATGCCATCTTGCGCTGTAGATCCAGTCTTCGTGGCCCAGGAGCAGGGCCTCAAAGGTGACGGAAAAGTCCCGACCGGCTGACTTGAGCCAGTAGGCTTTGTTGGACGGCGACTTTCCCGGCAAGAAGGCGCCGCTTGACGGGTCTGTTCCGGAGGCAGCAAGGGCAGGTAGCTCTTGGCCCTGATGAATCCTCCATATACGCACGTACTTGTCCTGGCTCGCCGAGGCGAGAAGAAGATCGCAGCCGGCTTCCTTGGACTCCTTCGTGAAGCTCAGCGACCTGATCCAGCCCTCGTGCCCGGACAATGTTGCTTGCAAGTTAAAGTGAACGGTCTCTGCGTCCGTGTCAGCCGTCAGGATCTGGATTGTGTCGCTCGTTCCGGCCGCGGCAATGACTAGGGCATTTCCATCGTCTCCCAAAGCCGTGATGGAGAGCGCTAGAGGGAAATATTTCGGTGTCGTGTGGATGGTTTGCAGTAGCTGGAGGCAGTCGGCCTCGAAGCTCCATACTCGGATGGTAGCATCAGCTGCCCCAGTCACTACGATCCACCTTGGACGGTCAGCCGAAGGCCTGACGGCGGTGATGCAATTAATGGCCCCAGCATGATCAGGACAAGTCTGAAGGATGCCAAAGTCTGGTCCGTGGCCCGTCGCCTTCCAGACAATGAGTGTCCTGTCGTCTGAGCCGGTGATGAGATAGCTGGAGTCGTCTCCCTCGGCTTCCGGCAGGAACTCGACAGCCTTGACCGCGCCCTTGTGGCCGCTCAGAATCCTCTCGACTCCCTCTGGCGGATCAAGCTGCGAAGAGATGATCAGCGATGATCTTACAAGGCTTGCGAATCAAGCTCGACTCACATTAGGCTGCCAGAGCGCAACGTTGACGTCGGCGCCAAAGCCAAGTAGACCGCTCCGGCTCCAGTCTGCAACAGCGGTCTGTCTGTTGGCACCCGCAGCCAGATACTCGACCGAGACCCCTTTGGCGCTCATATCATCCGGATCTCCGTCATCAGGCTTCTGTCAAGGCATGAAGCTGAAAACTGTGCCAGTATCGCCGTCTGATTGGCTGCGAAGACGTCAGGTCGGGTTCGAGCATTTGCTTATGTAATATGGCTGGGAGCTCCCGGTACACTGACCCCAGGGCGCCCTAGCACTCGCACGTGGCACTTGCGCGTGCTGCTGTTAGTGACGGGCCCAGACATGCCAAGAAGACGATTTCACGATTCGATCTCACGACCTCGATTCGCAAGCAAGCTGCAACGACCTGGCGCAGAAGAAAGCCATTCCCAACCAAGAACTCCTCCAAACAGCCCTCTTTCTCTTATTTCTCCTCCCCCTTCTTTCCCTATTTTTCTTCGTACTTCTCCAAACCCCCTTTCCTCCCCTCCGGCCCAGAACCCTCAACATGCCCGCTGCCGGAGACGGCAACACGGCCGAGCAACAGCTCACCGTAGCCGTCGAGTTTTCGTAAGTAGACTCTACTATCTGTGAGGCCTCTCATGTATCACGGGCTCACCATATCCTGGCCGAGTAATCCTTTCTCGGCGGCCGGTGCTGCCTTGACAACCTGGGGGGTTGGCGTAATGCCCCTTCTCCTCACTCAGCGCCGCCACGACTCCTATCACGGCTTTTCCCAGCACGGACAGCACACTAACAGGGAAACCGTGGATCGCAGAGGCGGCCTCGAGATGCTATTCTCAGACCAGCGCCGCCACTCGCTCTCCTTTCCATCCAAGGACAGCGACGGCCGGCCCTCCAACATTGCCTTTCTGATACATCACCTCTGCCGGCACGTCATGAAGGACACGCGCAAGGACCTCTTTGTCCTCGACGACCACCTGTCAGTCCTCTCCTCGGTGGGCCTCCTGATGAGCCAAGTTCATGATGATTGGGCTTTGGAAACTGGCCTTGTCCCTGCTCCCCCCGCCCCTACTGCGTCTCGTCACGCATCGTGCCCGCAGGCAAACGTGCCAGCCGATGCCCCTTTTAAAATCTAGCTCATTCTCCCGCTGACAGTCGCTGCTTTTCAGACGTCCAGGCATCCTGGTCCTCATCAACGACGCCGACTGGGAGCTCGAGGGCGAAGAGTCGTACGAGCTAAAGTCCGGCGACAACGTCCTGTTTGTCTCAACTCTCCACGGGGGCTAGCCGCGTGTAACTGCAACGTCTTGTCCATGTCTTGCGCTCGAGTTGAGAAGAGCAAGAGCTCCACGACCGCTGTCTTGGATCCGGAGAGGTTACCGAAGCGTTCAGCTGGACAGGGCATTTCTGGCTCGACTCTTTCCCCTCTTGTCATATTTCGTCTCACATTCTGTTTATTTCCGTCAACCACCTTTTTATGACAGTCTCCTCCCGGAAATCTGGCTCAAAAGGGCATCGCGCCACCCCCACAAGACACTGCTGGGCAAGACACATTCCCAACCAATCGTCGGCGTCCGGGGCTGAGACAGGCTGCTTCGCCTTTTTTTGGCCTGCGCGATGTTGCTTTTTGCCTCGCTTTTCTTTTGGCCCTTGCTGGGGCAGGGACCTGAGATTCTGCAGACGAGACCGGACTGCAGTAGCGGGGGGAAGGAAAGGGGGGGAAGGGCGCGAGAAGCCTCCCAGTCTCCTTAGCTGCTGCGCCTCTCTTATCTTGCAGAGTGTTTTTTTTTCGGTTCCGCTGGAATTCGTCGTTGACACTTGCAACTGCACAGGGGAACCGATGGATGTCTATCGGCGACGAGGCGGTGGCATCGGAAGGCTCGGCAGCAACAGGTTGGGTCGGGAGGCACTCTACCGTGACAGGGTCTCGGGACACGACGACACCGCCGCAAGGTGTCAAAAAAGCCGTCGCGGCCAACGACAGCCGAGTGTCTCCATGTAACTCGAAGGACGGAGCTTGCCATGCGGCCGGCAGTCCCAGCCCCTCTCCCCCCCCCCCCTTTGGCAGCATTCGTCTCCAAGCTCCCTCCTCCTCTCTCCCCTCGCTTCTCTCGGACACCCAATCTGCTGTCTTGGGCAAATTGTTGGGTCAATCACCTTCTCGCAACGCACACGAGCCCCCGACCATGGATAGCGGGGGGAGACAACGCTCCGGTGTTGCGCGAAGCCTGCATCTACATACATACAGTACACGCTTGCGCAGATTCTCATGCCACGCCGTCCTGCCGCTGGCTCGTGGCTCAGTTTGCAGTTCCGTCTAGGTTGGCGTCTGAAGCAAATCAGTCAGTCTCCCTAACCCGTAGGGGGAGCGGGATACGGGAGTGTCGAAAATGTCAAATCCCGTCTTCGCTACCAAGCCGCTTCACCGCGTCCTTCGTACCTATGCTGGATTCTCTCCCCCTGAACCAGGTCGACTTTGCCGCCGTGTCACTTCCCATGCTCTCCAGCCTCACTCCCGGTCCCCGCCTGCTGCTTGCATACTCCCCCCCCCCCCGAGCACGCGGCCCCAAACCGGGCACCGATTTGCTACAGCTGTTTTAAGGGGGGGAGCGAGGGGGCCTGCCGCACAGCTGTATAGGTGTATGTATTTACGTACAAATATGTTGGCAAGAAAAGAGTCGCCCCGGGGGGGGTTCCATGTATTCAGCTCAACCATCCTGCCATCATCTTTGGTGATGAGGCCGCTGTCTCCACGCGCTCGGGTTACCGTATTTGCACATGAAAAGGAGATAGGGAGCTGTTCTGCTGCTGTGCTGTGCTTAACATGTCCCAACAGCTGTCATGGATGGTGCTTCGTCTCGCCACCCCACCTCCGCCCGCGCGACATCACATTTTTCTCCTTGGCCTGTATGAGATCCCTTGCAGAGCCACCGGAGCGAGAGCCGAGCACGCGTCTGCAGACGGCCTGAACGCCCACGGCATTGGGCATGCCTAGTATACTTCGCAGGCCCACACGCCGGCCAGAGTAAGAAGCCTTTTGGGACGAAACAGCACAGGACGCAGCTCGGCGGAGCCGTGACAGCGTAGCACGAGAGAGCAAGCTCCTGATGCAGGTGTGAAACTTCAGCTTCATATGTTGTTGGTAGACCTTATGTTATCACAACGGCCCTCAAGCAGTTCCCGGCCAACCAGACTTTCAACCAACCACACAGACCCCCCGTACCACTGAATAAATGCACACTTCATAGTCCCCAGCGACCATGACACAAAGATAAGTCCATACAAACGCAGAAGAGCGACAGATGGACCAAACATACGCGGTAAAATAACAAGACGCGACGCCAAAACAAGTTCAAACAAGATGTAACAGCATGTACAACAGCATAAAGCCAAAACAGCCTCGCTGTCAGTAGTTGTGTAGAGGGGGAGAGAGAAAAGATGTTTCCAACTCCACCGCTGATTTTTCCGGGTTCCAAGCAGAGACCCTCAAAGAACAAGCCTCCCAACTTTTGATCCTCGCCTTTGCGGACGCTTTGCGGTGCCTGATGCGGGCTGCCACAGATATAAGTTCAACCGACAGCGCGAGTGAAAAACAAACAGTAAAAAGTACAACCTGCAAACGCTGCCAATCAATCCCGCTCGATTTTTTCTTTTGGTTTGAGCAACGCCTTCAAATCAATGTGAGCCCCAGACTACGTGCCCCCTATAACATGCAAAAATGAAGTAGTGCCGCCCGCACCCGTAAGTTGACAGCCACAAGAACCGTCAACTCACGGTGCGTTGTCGTGTCGTCATCATCCAAAAATCGATCTATCAGTACAGGCGATCGGCCGAGAAGGCCATCTGTCGCGCGTGCTCGTCCTCGTAGAGAATGCCGGGGCCGCCGTTGCCGTGATGTTGCTCAAACATGCCGCAGTTGCCAGTAGGGTGGTGGCGCGGAATGCTGGCCAACGAGTTGGACGGTCCGGGAACGTACGCTGGCTGCTGGGTCGGCATGGGCAGGTGCGGGAAGGCCATGGACGAAGGAGCCTGGGATCCGCCCTTTGATTTTGGGGCAACTGTTCGGGCCTTGCCGCGGCCCTTGATGCCCTTGTTGCTGTTCTTGTAGTGAACTTTGAAATATTCAAACAGCTCCTGATGCTCTTCCGGCACCTCCCCCATCTGCGCAAACTTGATGAACATGTCGGTAAGCCTCTGAAGTGTCTCCTTGTGGAAGTTGTTCTGGTGAGTCTGTAAATCGCGTTAGCTTTGCTTGACGCCAGGCCACATTCTTTTCTCCCACGCACCTTCATGTTGCCAAGCTGAGAGAAAGTCTTGTTGCAGTCGTCGAGTCTACAGATGAAAGGCTTGAGGCCCTTGTGAGTTTCCTCGTGGGATCGAACATTGCCGCGCTGGGCGAACAGCTTGCCGCAGATGCTGCAAGAGTAGGGCTTCTCCCCCGTGTGTCGTCGCATGTGTGTCTATGGGTAAGGCAGTTAGCCTCAGAGGGGTATACAAGGTTCTCGACCATCAACATACCTTGAGGTTGCCGCGCTGAGAAAAGGTGAGCCCGCAGTTGTCCTTGGTACAGACCTGAGTAGGTTAGCTGGACGGTTCGTTCCTGGACAAGCGGGCCTTTACTTACATAAGGCTTCTGACCGGTGTGCGTGCGGCGGTGAATATCGAGGTGGGTTTTTTGAACGAAGCGCTTGTTGCAGTTGGGCCCGTCGCAAACCCATTTTTTCTTGGGCTTCGGCTCCGTCCGGGAATTCGACGAGTGGACGGTGCTGACAGGGCTCTGGGAACCCGATAGGGGCTCGGCATTGGGTGTCTGGGCAGGCGTGGGCGCCTGGGTTCGAACTCCGTCCTCGCGGTCTTCCTTGTCCTGGATGACCTTCATGAGCTCATCAACGTCAGTCTCAAAGTTGATCCTGTCGGCCGGGTTGATGGTTTCGTTGTATGTGATGGACTTGGAGTTGGCCGTCGGGTTCGAGGCGACGGAGCGGGCGGTCGAGACTTGAGACTCGCTCCGCGCTGATGGTGACCGGAGACGGACCTCGTTGGTGTGCCTCGAGTCCCGTCGGAAAGGCATGGTTCTAGGGCCATCGCTATCCGGCCCCGGCATCTTGTGGCCGTGGGCGAGCCGCTCGTGTGCGTCATGCCTGTACGGAGAGCCGACCGGAGTAGACGGCGGCGGGCTCTGGTAGGGCACGTATGCGAAGGCTTGTTGATTTGGATAGTGGTGGGGTGGCGGGTTTGACATGTGCCCGGAGTTGTAAGCCGGAGCGACGACGTACTGCGGAGGCAAGGGCCGTTGCATGTGGGCAGCGGGAGCGCTCCGCGAGTCGTAAGGCAAGAAGGTGGGCGCGTCCATCATGGCGAACTCGTGATGGGGTTGTTGTGGCCAGCGTCCCCAGTTAGGGGGCGCCGCAGGAGAAGCCGTGAGAGCCAGGTTGTCGGTTGAAGTCAGCCTCGCCACAAGAGCAAGACTGACGATGCTGTCGGGTGGAAAGGGTGCCTGAGAAGCAAGGAGCAGAGGCGGTGGCGGGAGCAGACAACGAGCTGTTCGCAGAGATATATCAAGAAGGCTGTACGATGGTAGTGAGACTCCGAAGAGCAAGGGGGAGAGGGCTTGGAGATGATGGATGGACGTGAAAAGGAACGATGAGGGGCAGTTGTAGAGAGGCGGGCGAAGGGGTCCATATGTAGTTGAGGTCTATTCCAGGCGTCCGGGGCAAGCAAACGGCGTGGGCGAGCGGGCGTGCTGTGGGTAGGCAGCAAGAGGCCCGGGGTGGTAGCCAATCGTCCGGGACTGGGTCCAGAGATCTCGACTTGGGAGTGCGGCCTGCATTAGAGGTGGCCAGGCCGGGGGTGTTTTGGTAGCAGTATAGGTGATCCAGTCCTTGCGATCCCGGCACGGGGATGGATGGCGTACTCGCCATGTTCGCACACATTGTGATTGTCAGTTGATAGAACGCCCCCCCTTTCTCCTTTGCAAAACACACGCCAGCAGAGGGGGTCAGCACTTGGACGTTCCCGGAAGAGCAAGGATGCGGATGTGTGTGTGTATGCACATACATCCAGACCTGGATGTTCAGGATGAGGCGGATGCAAGGTGATCAGAGGGTGCCAAGGGGTGAAAGGGTGAGAGATGGTGAGGGCTTGTGGCTGGAGCCGCAGTGCCGGACTACCAGGGGTTCAGCCCAAGGAGCGTTAGATGAGAGGCCGACTTTGGCCTTGTCATGTACTCGGCAGCGCTATCGCCGGCGGCGTTTGCAAGTCGAGAGAGACTCATCACCCACGGATCACGTTCGCCATGAATTCTGGAGATGTGTGCACGTCTGATTGTCCAGAACAGGGACCGGGGCTCCGGGAAGCAGACAATAGCAGCACATGGCCATGGCTGGACCACAAGGGCGGGAGCAGGAGCCGGAGCCGGCGAGCAGGAAAGCTGGGACCGCCACAGGTTGGAGTCGAGGCTGAGCAGAGACGCAGGGCGGCGCAGGAGGTGCGGACGGTCGGATCCAACCTTTTTCCCGCCCACCGTCTCGCCATCCGGAGCTCTGTCTGATTATGACATGTGTGTCGCGGGAGTGGTGGTGTGGTGTGTTCGTTTGTGCGTGCACGAGCTCGGGGGGGGAGGAGAGTTTCCCAAGCTGGTGCTGATGCTGCTGGTGCTGGTGCTGGTGCTGGTGCTGGTGCTGCTGGTGCCGCCGCCGCCGCCGCCGCCGCTTCTGCTGCATGCAATGGCCCTGTGATTCGTCGTCTTTTTCGCCCACGGCCGTTGAGCTTGAGCAAGCAGCTGCTGGGGTGAGGTCAGAATTGGGTGCTAAAAGGTGGGTGTGGTGTGGCATCTCCCGTCTCCAGTTTTTGGTTTGACCCTTTTTTCCCTCCTTCCCGGCCGGACGCTCTGTGGGCGCCAGGCCAATGGGAGCAGACGATTCAGACGGGCCGTGGCCAATCACGTCTCGCAGAATGCCCAAGCTACGGATGCTCCGCCCTGTCGTCTGTACTCACTACCAGGGAAATGGTGCCAGTGGCAGGTGGGCAGAGAAAGACCCGGGGCGTTGGCGCAGAGCCCCGCACCCCTGTCGCCGTCTCCCGCCCACACTCAGCACCACTGGCTGGGTGTGCTTCGGCTAGGCCAGGCCCGCTGCCGCGCTGGCGCTACGGCCACTGGTACGTCAGCCGGGGGCCCCGCCCGCGCGCGCGCTCCCCTGCTGAAGCTGAAGCCGCCAGGCGCGAGGTGGACGGAAAGTGACGCCAGCGCTTGGCGTGTCTGTGGTGGTGCGCCGGGCTTTTTTGGTCCGTCCAGTGTTCACCCTTCAGCTGGGTGCGAAAGCCGCAGCAAAGGATACGGGCACTCTTGGGTAGCGCATGGTCTAGCAGCTACCACCCAAGGTGACTGATAGTAGGCACAAGCTATAGGCCACGGTATTGTCGCGGACTCGATGCCGGTTCCCCCCCCCATGCCAGTTGTCAGAGAGGGTCCCGGGAAGAGCAGCCGCTCGGCTGGGTCCTGATAGCATCTTCAGGCCCTGCCATGGCAATCACTGCCCTTTCTCTTGCAGCGGCCAGGCTCCTGGGCCAGCCTGCCGGCCTGCCTGGTCCCCCTCTGCAAGCCAGGCAAGAGCCAATGTCGGTACAGCCGCTATCCGACTGTGTGTGCGCGCGTGAGTGTGTGTGTGTTTGTGTGTGCGTTGATGTACTGCCAGGTATCTCGTCGCGGTCTCCAATACCCCCGTCCCTCCCAGCTTGGGCTACCTGGCCATGTACCGCCCCACCCGCCCAGTACCCGTATGGAACACCCTCAAGTCTGGGCCTTCGCTCGTCATCCAGCTTTCGTCACCACAGAGAGTCGCGCCGAATAGCGTCGGCACACATCACATCATTGTGCATCGCCAGAGACAGAACTGTTCGAGCTCGTCGCCACGGGGCCGAGAGGCCTCTTTGCGCCGACGGAAGCACCCCAATTCAGAGACCGTCCCATGCCCCCCCCACCCCCCGGGCCGCCGCCGCCGCCACCACCATCGCCCATCAGCACTACTACCGTTAACCTGCTGCCAACGATGGAGCAGCCCGGCACTGGTCGCCGCTCATCGGGTCTCGGTCTGTGCTCTGCAACACCGGCTGGAATCAGCCGACTGAGCTTGTTGGGCCATGCACGCGCTTTCAGTCAGTAGCCTATGCCCTCTCGTCTGTGCATGCATGGCCATCTGGCACCCGCGGCGTGCAGGGCGCTTCTCTCTTTCCCCGCTCTTTGATATCCCATCATCCACCGCTCCTCGCAGTCTCGTGCTCAGCTGCAGTCCCAACGTTGCTGCTGCTGCATCAGCTACACTGCCGAACACCCATGACTTGACGCTCTTTACATGACGACGCACGCTCATCAAGTTAAGTCAACCAAAATTGCTAGCCAAGGGAAACCGTTTGAAGCTCGTGCCCCCCCCCTCTCCTCCCTTGCCGGCCGGGCCATGTCAAAGCGCCTGTATGCCGGCGCGGTACCTCGTTTGTTTGCACGCACAGCATTCTGCCAGTGTTATACAGGGGTTGGCACGCCGAAAGCCCGGTGGCCGAAGAGATTGCGAGGCCATCATGGCTGACGACAAAGAGGGGGGTCCTTGCTCGCTGCAGAGAAAGCATGGCCTGTCCTCCCGGCAACGAGTTGGGAGAGATGCTTCTTCATTCTCTGGCTTCGGGGCACTATCGCAGGCACCAGCCTTCCGGGGGAGCTAGCGAGCACAGTATCCTTACCCGGGCCTTGTGGTTTGCGTCGCTGAGAAGCCAAGAGAACATGGCCGATGTCCCAGCAGAGCGACCGAGATGAGACTCATCAGGATCCTCGGGACCCGAAAAGAGCGTTCCCCCCTCCCCAATTCCCCCTTCCGGCCTAGGTCTCTTCTCTCACTCAGGCTCGGGTGAGACAATTTGCCCTGCCTACAATCAAACGGCGCCTCTGGGCGAGGCGAGGGGTCAGGGTTGGTGGAGTGGCGTAGCCGCCAAACCAACAAGGCCTGCCGTGGCGGAGAGCAGCAATCACCAGGAGGATATCCCCTAGTAGGGAGGATATGCCTCGTCCGTGCCTAATAGCCTTATGCACCCGCCCAGCCTGTGCGCGCCTTGGGCAAACACAGGCTGCGGAACTGGCCGTCGTTGGGAGAGGCGTCGTCGAGTCCGAGCTGACGGGAGTTTTCGGCGAAATAAAGGCCTGTGAAACGGGCAGCCGGGTCGCCTGTGGGGGAGGAGGTTGCACGGACGGCTTGGCTTCGTCTCCTCCCACCGCGGTCCGTCCAGCTCTCGTGTTTTTTTTGACATGACATGACACAACAAGGCAACTCGGCACACACACACAAGTGGGGGGGAGAAGGGCTGAACAGCAACCAGAATAGAAGCGCAAGCGTGCCGTCACTACGGAGAGCCACCACTAACAGAGCGTGGGCTAGTGAGGACGGAGGCTTAGTGGTGGTGTGTGTGCTGTTGGCTCGTCGTCGTGTACCGGGATCATGGATCTGGATTATTCAATCAGAGATCCCTCTCTCGACGACGACGCTCGTGCACGCAGCTGTATGTAGTATGTACTGTACACATGTATAATGCATACCTACCTGCCTACCTGCGCATTGCATCCGCATACATGCACATCTGCGTACAAGTGTGCATGTACATACATACATACTGTACAGTACAGTACGGATACGCATGTCGGTATCAAGGACTCGCAGTCTCGCCCAGGCCAACGGAGACGAGGGGGGTTGCAGCACATGTGACTTGGATGCATGGTTCCTGTCCGTCTGCTGTGCTGATATCTGATGGGATGGAGCGCGGTTCAGCCGGACCAGGAACGCGGGTACCCTCTGATCGCCGAGCTCGCCGCGGCCATGGTGCATTCTTCTGCGTCACCGCCGAAAATGCCCTATGCGGTTGACTGCTTGCACACGCACCTCGCTCTGCGCTTTTATCGCTGCTCCGCCCTGCCACCAAATCCCCCCGAGACCCACCGTCGGTCCGCTTGACACCTAATCGTGCTGGCGGGCCGGCGGATATGGCGGACGACGACGACGCGGGGCGCGCATCGAGCGCTTGCTTCCCTCCTCCTCGTCTCTAGTGCCGGGCCAGCGTGAGGAGGGAGAGACAGGGAGGGACGCGGGGTGCACCACCATCACCTGCACTTACTTGGCTCTGAGGCCCCTAGGCGCGCCTCTTGCTTTTCTCCCTTGCACGTGGCCTCCGCAACAGCAGTCCGTTGTCGTCGTTTCTTTTCGCCGCAAACCCCAGCCGGCCACCTGCTGCCGTTCTTTCTTTATTTCTTTTCTTTCTTTCTTCCCCTTCTTCTCCTTCCCCAGGAAAAAAACCGCCCGACATGCACATACACACTGT